CGGAACGACCTCGTCGTCGGCGCCAGCACCAGCACCAGCCCCAGCACCAGCACTAGCGCCAGCACCAGCACCAGCACCAGCACCAGCACCAGCACCAGCACCAGCACCAGCACCAGCACCAGCACCAGCACCAGCACCAGCACCAGCGCCAGCACCAGCACCAGCACCAGCACCAGCGCCAGCACCAGCCCCAGCACCAGCACTAGCGCCAGCACCAGCACCAGCACCAGCACCAGCACCAGCACCAGCCCCAGCACCAGCACCAGCGCCAGCACCAGCACCAGCACCAGCACCAGCACCAGCACCAGCACTAGCGCCAGCACCAGCACCAGCACCAGCACCAGCACCAGCACCAGCACCAGCACCAGCACCAGCACCAGCACCAGCAACGCCCACCTGGCCACCCCCGCCACCCACGGCAGTAGCAGAGCGCAGGTACATCACCAGCTGCTGCTTGCCGCCGTCGTGGCTGCTGCTGCCGTGGTTGTAGCCAAGCAGCAGCTTGCCTCGGAAGTTGGGGATGATGCCGGGGACGCGCAGGTAGAGGAAGCGGGTTGCTGAGTCGGGTCCGTCGTACGCCTTGAACCGTGCTTCACGGACTTCCTCAAGCAGGGTCCCATCCAACACAACCTGAGAGGTGGTCCGGGGCAGGGGGGAAGGGGGAACGGGAGCTGCGTGTTGGGTTGTAGTCAGCCACCGGAGCAGCGGAGGGCGATGTTGCATTAGTGGCAGGGGCCAGCGAGCGTACATCTGTTATCCTGAAGTAAGCAAGCAGACCGGCTTAGATCCTACCCTCCGCTGCCACCCTTACCCTCAGCGGCACTGAAGTGCAGGTCGGCCAACCAAACCAGGTCGCGGCGAACTTTCTGGGAAGTGTGAAGGTGGTTCCCTTTTTAATAGCTGCCCGGGGGCAATACGTCTGCGAGTAGGGTGCGGCGATGTGCAGCACAAAATCTTGAGTTACGGCATCGGTCAGGAAAAGGTACTGGTATGTCACAGCATGCTAGTGTCAGCAGCGCCCCCACAAGTAAGTAAGTGGTGATTGGCATTACCTCAGTACCCTGTACCCCCCCAGATGCCATCATGCGTTGGACCTCGCACCCATGCACTCTGGCCCATAGAATGCTAAACCCCGAGTGTTTCATCAAACCCCAGACATCATCGGTTAAACCTCACCTCATAATACTCCGCCACAGATGCAGGGACGCCTCCGCTGCTGCCCCTCGGCCCAGCAGCATCTGCCCCGACAGGCCCGGCAGCAGCAGCAGCAGCCTCGGCAGGCCCGGCAGCAGCAGCCTCAGCAGCTGCAGCCTCGGCAGCAGCAGCAGTACCAGCAGCCTCAGCAGCAGCAGCTGCGGAGGCAGCAGGCCCACCTGACTCACCCAAGACTGCAACCGCCGCCTCGCCACCGGAAGCACTCATACCTGCCACTCCACCCACCCCATCAGCTCCATCTCCGCCTGCACCGCTCAATGCCGCTTGCGCGTCGCTTGCGTGAGGGGCGCTACCCGCGTCAGGGGGGGCTGCCTCGTGGTCAGGGAGTTCCGCGTCTGGGCTGGCAACACCTGAAGCATGTAGCGGTACGGCAGGGCAGCCGCCGGCATCTCCACCTCCATCCCTGCTGCTGACCAACTGCTGCAGCCGCTGCTGGTGCTGGTGCTGCTGCTGCTGGTGCTGCTGCTGCAATGGCCCCTGCTGCTGCTGCTCAATCTGCTGTGTGGCCGCAGCGTCATCTGTTCCACCCGCCCCACTGCTGCCTGACGCAAGCCAGCCGCCGTCGCCACGTGGCGCTCCAGCAGCTCTAGCACTGCCACCAGCAGCGAGCCCCGAGCCGGCACCGCCATCCTCACCAGCTAGGGAAGCCGGCAAGGGCACGGACTGCTGCGGCTGCTGCGACGGCGGCGGTAGGGCATTGCGTTGGGGTTGAGAATGAGGAGGTGCTGCCCATGGCGACGGCAGCAATGGCGACATGGTTTGCTGCTGCTGCTGTTGTTGTTGTGGTTTCTCCAGCTCTTCCATGCGCATGACCGCTGGCCTAGTAGCACTGAAGACTCCCCATGTTTCCTGCAGTTGCAGTTGCAGCTGCGGCTGCGGCTGTCCTGCTTGGAGAGTGCCCGCCTGCCCCATGCCCTGTGGCGCCGCCTCCTTAACGTCGGGTTGGGACGTGATGGTGCCGGCGCGGTTTGACTGCAGCTCAACAGTGGCAACGACAGCTGAGGCAGGTGCGGGAGCCATGGCGGCTGCAGGCCAAGCATCGACGGCAGCTGCGCCTGCAGCCTCGGCAGGCCCACCGGAACCACCAGCACTGCCCGCTGGAAAGCCATCAAGGCGCAGACCTAAGGTGACCCATGGGTCACCAAAGCCGCTGTTAGTCCTAGACGGGGGAAGCCACCTGCGCCTGCGCCCATGCCCCTGCGCATGTGCTCTTGGGAGAGGTCCACTGCTGAGGCCAGGGGCGGCGTCTCTTCGTGCGTCATTCACTGCCTCCATGGGGTGCCCGGCAGCTGCAGCTGCAATGCCAGGAGGTGTGGCTGCTGTTGCAGCTGCTGTGGGGAATGCTCCATCCGCCACATCTGCGTTAAACAGTTGGCTACCTCCCATCTGTGCCGCTCCTTGTTGTTGGTAAGCGGTCGCTGCGTCCTCCCAGGGGGTTGGCCCACCGTCCTCGGCGGCTCTGGCAAGCCCGGGGGAGTTGCCCGCCAGGGCTAGCCGCCCGCAGGGAGGCGGAGGGTGTACCAGCAGCAAGGAAAACTGGCCGCGAGGTGGAACGCACCAGCCGTCAGGGGTAGTAGGGTGTAGAGCCGTTGCTTCAGGCGCCGCATCCGCCGCTACTGGGAAGCCCGGTGCGGCCACTCGCGGACCCGCAGCCGCGCTGGCAGTCACCCTGGCTGGAAGCGGCGACTGCTGCTGCTGCGGCCGATGCCGCTGCTGCGACTGGTGCCGCCGCTCATGACAGCCGTCTTGGTGCTGCTGCTGCTGCTGCGGACGCTGAGTCCCCGCCACCGCCTGCACTGCAGCGGCTGCTGGGAAGGGCTGCCGCAGGCCCAAGCCATGGCTGAAGTTTGACGGTACGGGGGAGGCCGCACCAGCAGCGGCGCGGCTAAACAGTACGACAGCGCCAGCGGCAGCATAGCAGAGTGGAGAAGGCCGTTCGTCCCCCCGCAGCGTCGGCTGGGGTAGCTCCTGCCGCGGGGTGACAGGGGATGGTTGTTGTGCAATGCCACGGAGTGCAGTACGGCAGCCGTCGCTTCCTATGGCACCATCGCCGCCGCCGCCGCCACTGCCAATGCCGCCGGCCCCGTTGCCATCGCCCTCTTCTTCATCGTCCGACAGCAGGGCAATGACCTCCTTGATATCGCCGCCGCCGCCGCCGCTGGCAGTGGCGGCAGCGGCAGTAGCAGGGATAGCGGCGGTCGGGGTGGCAACAGCAGCAGGGGCCGGGGCAGCAGCGGCTGAGGCGGCCGTGAAGACGCGGAACCGTGTCGTGTTCTCCGCGCGCCAGTTCTGGATGGCAATCCTGGCGACCGGCGCGGGGCGGAGGTCCCCCAGCGTCATGGCCGAGCCTGCAAAATGGTGGCGGTGAAAGTAAGCGGTAAATAGACATGACGGGAGGGTAAATGTAAAAGACAGGATGACCAGGGAAAACCACGGTACACGTGCAGCCAGTGTGTACGGCGCCGTCGTAAGCAATAGAGGAGCGACACCGTGCAGATATGTCGTCGTATCTTGCAGATACTTCGCGATTTGAATGCTGTGACCCATGGGTCATGGCACACTTGCGCATACACCCACACGCCGCCACAGTCCCCCGGGCCCCTCCTTACTCACCCGTTCGCGGGTTGCAGCCGAACGCCCGGACGTGCGCCTCCAGGGCCGACCTGTCGTACACTGTGTTGGGGTCGGCTTTGTCCACGGCCGGGTCCGACGGCAGCTTAGCACTCAAGGGACAGATGAAGAAGTACGGAATGGGGGAGCGGACGTTAATCGCAGTGGGGGGCTGGGGCTGCTCCTGTGGAGGACGGTGGTGGGGAGACCCATGGGTCACTCCAACGCGCGCCGGCGGCGCGCCGGCGAGTCCTGCCTGCGTGGCTTCGTCCTTGACCGGCAGGGTACATGCCGGGACGATAGTGGCCTTGGCTGCGAGCCATTGCTCGATAATCCTTTGGTGGAAAGATGCGACCGGAAGCGAGAGTTTTGGATGGCCTGTGGCGCGAGGGTGCGAGTGATTTTGCAGTAAGTGCAGCGCTGCCCATCCTTCTCCCGTCCGGGTAGTCAGGCGTCCGTGGGCATTTCAAAATGTGCTCAGCGTAGCACGACATGTTCGCGATGCGAGGACTGGTAAGGCTGATCACCGAAGAGCCGCGGTTAGCTTCAACACGTTTAGCACGTTTAGCTTCAACAGTTAACGCGAAACTTTCACCATATTGTTTTGCTGTATTACTCTACGACAACGTTGGATTCCTTGGCAACGGCAAGGCAGCAGCTCACCGGAAAGCGGCCGCACGTTGTGCCTCTCCACAAACGCCTCGTAGGCCGCCCGCTCCACGGCGCGGCCTTCCGGGTCCTCAGGATCCACAACCGGCTCCCGAAGGAGGCTCTCACAAATACAGCACACATATTCAGCCGGTAAGTCCTCCCGCAGATATATGAGGTAAGGACCGCTGCGAATGTTTGACCCCATCTAGGTAAAAGCGTGCAAAAGCGCGAAAGAGCGAAAGCGAGACGTTCATGCGAAGAAAAACAGTGATCTGCTCGATCTGCTGAGGGAAAAAACAATTGGATTACGGCGCTTACCAGCGGCGCGTTTATGCCATGTTGCACCACCAACCGTACGACGCTGCCTGTCGGGACCAATCTGTTGGGAAGGATCCGCAGCCCACTGTAAGCCGGCGTCCGTCATTCAGAGTTCATTATTCTTTTTAGCAGCCATCTCTTACTTCCGCCTTACTTCCTTAGCTGCCGCTTTGCTGATTGCTGACAGGGATGTCTTTGCTCAAAAGAACGCCATCACATACTTACATTCTTCAGCCATTTGCTGTCCACCACTGGCATCCAAAATGCGCCATTCTGTTCCTAATGCCATCTACTCCGGAGCACCAAGGCATCAGGCCCCTTCACCCTCACACCTGCGTGAGGTTCAGGGCCCCTTACTTGCGGATGGAGGTAACCCCTGTGAGGGTGCCTGTTCAAGCACACAACCCGCACCCCAGCCTTCCAAGCACCCCACCCAATCTCAGAGCAAAGGACATGCGCATACGGGTGTCTACCCTAATAGCGAGAGCTACCCCGCTAGCAACGCTGCTTGCTGCTACAGCAGCTGCGGCCGCCCAGGCGAGCCTGCCGGCGCGGCTCCTGCGCTAATATCTTCAATCAGGCCTCCTAAGTCCTAGCCAACATGCAACAAAACTCTCCGCAGCAGAAACACACATGGACCCCAAAATCCTCCAAATCCAAAAACGCGCCACAGTGACAGCTGCCCAGCTACTCCCCCCCCCCTACACACACAACGTACGCCACGACGCGACATTAAGTGTGAGAGGAACCGCCCCAGTTTGCCCTTAAACGTCAAGACAACTGCAACAGCAACGACCCACGGGTCAGTCCTCTCACTAGGACGGCGCACAGTACCAACAGCCACACAATAGGAGTGCCCGCCTCCTGGACTGAACCAAACCAGGCCAGCAACATCACCACGCCAGCAAGGGCGTGCAGGAGCCCCAACCAAAGCGCATAACAAGCTAGCAACCCACACTCGACCCGCGTCAGGAGCTGGCCGCGATTGCGCTCGCGTGTGCGGTTCCCCTTCCCCCACCGTCGCAACCAATTCGCCGGACCATTCCGAACTACCGGTACCACCAACTACCCAACTGCCTACCAACACATTACATCCCGCCTCCGCTTCAGAGCCCAGAACCCAAGCACAGGCCTCAAGAGAAGGCATGGCCGCCCCAGTCCCTCGCGCCTACAGCCAATCTCACACCTCTCCTACCCACCAGCAACTCCAAAACCTCTCACTTTCTCCCCTCTCCTGCGTTGTCACCACCACCACCACCACCGCTGCTGCCACCATCGTCACGACCTCCTCCACCACCGCGATCCCGCCCGCTCCTCCTCTCCCTCTCCATGTAGCCCTCTCCTCTCCTTTCCCTCCTCACCATCCTTCACCCACACCATCCGCGCCACAGCATCCACCATCCGCGCCCCAGCACCCGCTCAACAGCAGTATCGCGTGGCCGCTCGAGTTCATCCACAGTACACCCCGACGGACGTACATCATCGCATGTCTCCATAGTCCCGGCGAGCGCCGAGAGCAGGGCAAGACGCTGCCCGCAGACCTGGACGGACGCCGACACTCGTACCATGCAAACACCGGCGCGTGCAGAAAGCAGGTCAGAAGGGCTACCCGTAGATCTTGACGGGCTTCTCGTGCGCGTATCGGCTGCTGGCGGGCGGTTGGCGCCGGCCGTTGCCCACTCCTCGGTCATCGTGCAGGATGGCGAGGGTGAGCTTATTTGGGTCCATGAGGTAGGCCTGTGGGCGAGAGGGAAGGAGGAGGTGGAGGGGGGGGGGGGGGCGAAGCGGGAGGAGCGGGCAGGGAGGGAGAAGGTTCAGGAGGAGTAGGAGGGTGAGCGAGAGCTCGGTTGGGAGCTTGGAAGCGCCAGGACAGGGCCAGGAGAGGCGACATGAGGGAGTCCTGAGAAGGAAAACCCCAATGAACTGTCCTTTCTTGCCATGCATGGCAGCACCGGCAGCACCGCCGCATGCCCCCGCACCCGCCACCCTTTACTCACATTCGTCTGGCCGCCGGTGGCAGCGTCTGCGGTTGCCTGGACGGCTAGCTTGTTGTGATGTCCGCTGAGGTAGTTGGTGAGGTTGTCGGAGGGCTGCAGCACCGCGTTGGGCGGCCGGGTGCCCACGAAGATGAGCTGCCAGCGAGCGAAGTCGGCGGGGGGGACGTTGAAGAGGGCCTGGGTGGGGGGGGGAGGGATGGGGGAGGGAAAGGAAAGGGAGGAGGGGGAGTGGAGGAGAGGGGTAAAGGAGGAGCCGAGGAGGCCTGACTGGATGCCGGCGGTCGACTTGGCACTTGGCACGCACCGCCATCCCACGCCCCCCCGCTCCGCACCTGTATCCTGGCTCGAAGCTGCGCCATGGTCTCCCCCTCCGGCACCCGCAGCAGCAATGGATCCCCAAACGCCGCTCCCGGCATGTTCTCCGCGAGCGCCCGCTCCAGCTCCTCCCGCCCCTCCCGCAGCTCCTCCGCCGCCGCTGCCCCCCGGTCCGCACCCCCACCACCCCCGTTCTCCTGCCCTGCCTCATCGCCGCCCTGCCGCTCCCCGCCTTCCGCCTCATCCTCCTCCATATCCTCCTTCACACTGCCGCCACCACCGCCCTCAGCCTCCATGGGCACCGCACCCCCGGACGTCCCGCGGCCCTGCGGTGACGTTTCCGCCTTACCAGCCCCCCGAACCGCAGTGGCTACCGCTTCCTCCGTCGACACACCTGCCGTACCCGCCGCCGCAGCAGCTGCCTGCTGCTGCTGCTGCGCTGCGAGGTACGCCGCCGCTTTGGGCGGTAGCGGCGGCAGCAGCATGTGGGCCGCATGCACCAGATAATCCGAGCCGCTCAGCCCATCTGCCAGCTGATCTGCGGGAATGAACTCCGCTCGGAGCTGCCAGTAGGCTTCGTTGAGCGCATCCAGCGTTTCGCTGGGGTCAGCCACCTTGTAGAGCTTGTTTTGTATGAGCTCCATGAGCCGCATGGGCCGTCCTGCTGCCACCAGCTCCGCCGCTGCAGCCAACGCGGCCTCATCCGCTTGCTGCTGAGCCTGCTGCGCTTGCGACAGGGGCTGCGGCCCTGCAGCAGCAGCAACGGCAGCTCCCCCGTTGCCTGTGCCGCCCTGACTCAACCGCTGTTGCTGATCGGCAGCGGCGTCTCCGTTTCCGCCGCTGACGGCCCCCACACTCGCCTCTGCTGGCTGGCTCCCGCCTGTCGCCGCCGCCGCCGCTGCAGCAGCCCTGTTGGCTGCTGCTGCCGCCGCCGCCTGCTGAAGCCGAGTGCCTAGCTCGGTAAGCAGGTCAGCCACAGTGGTCTCCCGCCGCAGCCGCAGGGAGTGCTGCTCGCCCACGAATTCGCCGCGCTCGTTGTGGAAGGAAACCTGCGAGCGCGCGTTGAGCGTATGTGGGGGGGCCGTTGGTGTTGGTGTTGTTCAATTGATAGCAACCCATAAAGAGGTCCACAGCCAAACCAGTAGCATAGACAAAACCTTCACGAAACAAGCACCAGCAGCACCACCACCAACAGCAGCGGCATCCCTTCCCCCCCTTCCCCACCTTGACCGTCTTCAGCTGCTCCATCTCCTCCAACGGCAGATCCAACACCTCGTAGTACAGCGTGTCCACGGTGTGTGACCCATGGGTCAGCAGCGAGTCCAGGGAGGGGGCTGCGCGCCATTTGACCGCCGTACGTTGCGGCTGGCAGCTAAAGTAGTTGTGGCGGGTGAGGCGGAGTTTGGTGGGGTCGGGCAGGGACAGCGCGGTGGCTAGGGAGGCGCACACCTGTGCATGGATGCATGCATGGGTGAGGGGGGAGAGACAAGGACAGTATTGTTGATGGCGTTACTCGCAGTGCAGGGGTGCGGGGAACCAAGGGGGAAGCAACAGGAGGACGATGCGGAGACACAGCCTCATCCCTCATCCCCCTCCCCCCCTACCTCGTCATACGTGGCTGTCCGCAGCAGCTCCAGCGATACGGTGGGCGGCGCAGCGGGCTCCTCCAGCCGCTTGAAGTGGACCTGGGGGTGGAGGTGGTGAGGGGTAAAACATAAGGGGCGTGGGGGGAAGGGAAGGACATGACGAGGGGCAGGGGGTCATAGAAGTACCAAAGCACATGCGAGGAGGAGCGAGGAGAGGAGAAGAGGGAGGAAGATTACAAGGGTGTAAGCTCCCGAAGGCGCATCCGCAGATGTCAGGATCGCAACTGCAGAGCAGCTTACAACGGGCAAGGCAAGGTAAAGCGGGCCGGAGGCGCGGCACCTCAACAACGCCCCACTGTGCCTGCCTGTCCCCAGGCACTCCCTCCCACGCTCCCAGCCCCCAAGCCCCTCACTCCCTGCTACATCCTGTACTACTCCCCTCCCACCATCCCTCCCACATCGCCCCTTCTTCCCGCACCTCATTCCCGCCAACTAAACCCCTTCCCAGCCGTCTCCCTCCCCCATACAGCTCGTCAGTTTCCTTCTTTCCTAACCCCCCCCCCACCCCACCCCCCGTCCCCCCAGCCCCCACCTGTCTCCTGTTCTGCACGTACACCAGGTACTTGTCCACGGTGGGGTAGCGCACCTGCGCCGCCAGCTCGGGCGGCAGCTGCCGCTGGTAGATGAGCACATCGCCGTGCTGCAGCTCACTCTCCGCCAGCGTCTTCCTGGAGGGGGGGGGGCGGCGGGGGAGGGGAAAAGAAGAAACCCAAGGTGTTGCCGGGAGGGGGGGGGTCAAAGACCATACCGAACCATAGGAAACCACGGGCTGGAGCAAAACAATGGGGACAGGATGTGGGGGGGGGGAGGGGGGAGGTCAGGTGGGGGAGGGAGTTCAAAAATGGCAAGAGGAGGTTGCTCCGTAACTCTGATAAGTTAAATGGCAAGTTGGGTAAGTGAGCTCGCAATGCCTCTGTCACCAGTTCGGCTCCAATCACGGAACGTTTTCCCCCAAGGCCTCCCCACCTAGCCTACCACTGTCACACAACACATTGGGTGCTCTTCTTTTTTCCCCACTCCTCTCCCCCCCCCACCTGGGGTCCAGCTGCGGCACCATGACGGTGGGGTCGAACTTGATTTCCTCAAACACCAGCGCAGTGGGGGGCCTGGCGGCTGCCCCGGGGGAGCCAGCCCGCTGCTGCCGCAGCTCCGCTTGAAGGTCCTCATCCTCCTCCAGCAGGAAAGAGCCCAGCATGCCCACCTAGGGGAGCCGGGCGGGCGGGTGGGTGGGCGGGAGGGAGGTGAGGTGGGAGAGGGTTTGGTGGTGGTGAGGGGGGGGTGTTGGGTGGAGGGCTAGGATCATCATCCCCATCATCCCGCCACTCATCATACCACATGGACTTCACGTTCCCGCTACTTAACCGCCCCCTATGCCCCCCCGCTCCCAACTACCGGTATGTTACCGGGGCCAGTCTATTTCACCAGCGCGCAGTTGCACCTCCCCGCCCTCCCTCCCTGTCACCCCCTCCCTACCCCACTCCCCAGTGCCTCCAGTGCAGTCACTTGCTCACTTCCCACCCAACTCCTCCCTCCCTTCCTCCTAGTTTGCCACTGTCACACAACACATTGGGTATTCTCCTTTTCCCCCACCATGGTTTGTCCTTCTTACCCCCTCCCTTCTACCATGGTTTGTCCTCCTTTACCCCCTCCCCTCCCCCCTTCCACTATCCCACCACACATTGGAACTTCTTTCCCCCCCTTCCAACCCCTCCCCCCTCCCCCACCTGCAGCCCCCGCATTAGCAGGTGGTGTGTGCGGTAGGTGAGGGTCTCCTTGAGCGGGTCGTACACCTTGAAGAACAGCAGCAGCTCCCCGCCGGCGCCGCTCACGTCGGGGCGGATTTCTGGGCAGGGGGCGGAGGGGGGAGAGGGGGGAGCGGGGCGGGGAGGTGGAGTGGCAGGGAGGAGGGTCGGCAACCAAGCTGCGTAACCAACCCAAGGGGTGGAAGGACCAGTTGACACAGGACTGCTTCCTCCCATTTATCCCTCCTCCCTCCCCTCCCCTCCCCTTTCCTCTTCTCCCCCGCCCAGCCGTTACCCCCTCTCCCCTCCCCCTCCCAATCCTCCCCCCCCCTCTCCTTCTCCTCCTCCCCCTCCCCCTCCTCACCCCCCTCCCCCTCCTCACCCGCCGGGTCCGCCGGCAGCTCCTCCAGGTACAGCCGGATGTCCATGAGCGCCGACCTGCCCCCCGCCCCTGCCCCTGCCCCTCCTCCTCCTCCTCCGCGCTGCCCCCCTCCTCCTCCCGCCCCCTCCCGCGGCAGGTCGCGCATTTCCCGCAGGTCCACCAGCTGCGCCTGCTCCTCCGCGGGGGTGAGGGGGCGCTCGGGGCGGCAGGTGCCGTTGGTGCGGCGCTTCCAGGTCCAGAAGCGCTGGCGGTGGGGGGGGATGCCGGTGCGGCGGGCCACCTGGGGAGAGAGGGGGGGAGAGGGAGGGAGGGGGGAGACGGAGGGGGGAGGGAGGGGGGAGAGGAAGGGAGGGGAGGGGTTGTTAGCGGTGAGCGATGAGCAACGAGGGGAAAGTGCAAAGGTGCAAGCCCTTCCTCTCCTCCCGAGTCGTCTCGGTTTACGGTAAGCAAAGATTCGGTAAGATTCGGTGGGGAGTGTCTCCGAATGCGCTCACTGCATGAGTCGGGATATGGGATTGGGACTTGTTGTTTCACTTATTAAATTTCCCCCCTCCCCACCTCCTCCTTGACCTCCCCTCCACCTCCCCACCTCCTCCCCTCCACCTCCCCACCTCCCCACCTCCTCCCTTCCCCCCTTCCCCTCCCCTCCCCACCTCCACCCCCCCTCCACCTCCCCTACCCACCTCCTCCTTGAACTCCCCTCCACCCCCCCTCCACCTCCCCTACCCACCTCCTCCTTGAACTCCACGAACTTGGTGTTCTTGCGCAGCCGGTAGTGGCAGCGCTCGGGCGGCAGCCGCTCCGGGTCCACCAGGTCGAAGTGGCTCACCTCGCCCACCTTTGAAGGGGGGGGAGAACGATAGGGAGGAAGGAGAAGGGAGGAGGGGAGAAAGGGAGGCGGGGAGAGGGGTTAAAGGAGGAAACTGACGGGCATGCTTCTGTTCCCCTCTCCGACCCCCCCCCCAAATCTGCTTTGCCCTAACCGGTGGCGTTGGTGTATCTCAGCCCTCTCCCCGCCCCCCACCTGCTGGATTATGTAACCCTGCCCGCCCCCCCCCGCCCCCTCCCCCGGCCCCCACCTGCTGGCTGAAGTCCGCGTCCGTGGCCACCTTGAGGCTGCAGTACAGGTGCGCCTCCATCTTGTCGCGGTGGCGGGCCTCCTTGTCGCTCATCTCGCGCTGGGAGGGGAGGGGGAGGGAGGTGGTAAAAAAAGAGAGGGGAGTGGAGGGGGTGGGGGGAAGTTGCGGGAGGTAGGAATGGGAAAAGGGTTGGGCTGGGGCCGGCAGGGGACTCCGTTCCGTGCTGCATGCATGCGAGCATGGGTGCACGCCAGCATGGGTGCACGCCAGCATGGGTGCATGCGAGCATGGATGCATGCGAGCATGGATGCATGCGAGCATGGATGCATGAGTGCATGGATGCATGAGTGCATGCAAGGTGAGGCCAGGATCTACCGGATCATCACCCCACATCCACATCTGGCTACCGACCCTGGATGATGAAGCACAGCTTTCCCCCACTCCTCCCCGCACTCCGCACCCCCCGATCTCCCTTACCATGCCCCCTTACGGATTCTTTCCCCCACTGCTTCCCGCCTTCCCCCCCTCGTTTGCTGCCTCGTCCGTTTCCTTACTTTAAACCCCCCCCATTTAACACCTTAGGATTCTTCTCCCCCCTTCCCGCCTCCCCCCCTCCTGCCGTACCTCCAGTCGGTCCAGCAGGTGCTTGGCGATGTCCTCCTTGGTCACGGAACACATGATGGTGGGCCAGTCCGACTGCCGTACGTACACAAGCATGTAGGCGTTACTGAACTTGCCGTACTTGAGCGGCATGGGCGCGGGGCCGTGCTGCTGCTGCGGGCCGTGCTGCTGCTGATGGGAGTAGCCGTCGTCATCGCCGCCGCCTGGAGGGGGGAGGGTGAGGGGTTTGTGTGTGGGGGGGGGGGGGGGGTTTAGAGGTAGCAGATTAAGATGAAGGTCAGGGATAAGGAGAAAGATGTAGGGTCCAGGATGAGGGGTTGGGAGTCGCCGCCGGTTAGCGCTCCGAGTGCCGCTGAAAGGAGCGCTCCACTTACCCCACGATGCACCACACAACCCCCGCCTTACCCAAGCTCAGGCCCCTGGCGTGCGTCTCACTACCCGCCCCATGCCGCCCCATAATCTTTCCTCCCTCCTCATTGACGTCCCTCCCTCCCACCCCCCTCCCTCCCTCCCTCCCACCCCCCTCCCTCCCTCCCTCCCACCCCCACACCCCCTCCCCCAACCCCACCCCAACCCCTCTCACCCTCACCAAACTGCGCATCCAGCGCCTGCCGTGCGTCCTCCCGGCTGACCCGGTCGTCGTCGAACTTGAGCCACGTCTGACCGTCGGGACGGATGTAGCTGCGGGGAGGGGTGGAGGGAGGGGAAGGGGGGGAGATGGATGGGGGGAGGTGCGGGGGTGGCAGGATGGAGAGCGGGGTCAGAGAAAGGGGTGTAAGGGGTTAAGGGGGTAACAGGGGTTAAGGCAGATGGCAGACCTGGAAAACCCTACAAGCCCCCTAACAAACCCCTCTACATCCTCCCTAACAAGCCCCCCCATACCATCTCCTGTAACTTCTCTTCGTACGAACTGCACGACAATCTCCCCCCACCACACACTTTCCGGTTGCTATACTTGTCATATATCCTCCCCCAAAGTCTCCAGTTGCTGTACTTCTCACTTATCCCCCCCACGCACCCCCCCACCCCCCCCCCACTCACGCGTAGTAGTGCCCCCCATGCACGCCCCCGCTGTGCACCAGCACGCTGTGCAGGCGGTACAGGTTGCGCACGGAGCGGTCGGCGCCCGGGGCCAGGTACTTGCCGCCCTCGCGGTCCAGATCCAACTCGTCGTAGAACTCGTAGCGGTCGTTGATCTGGGAGGGGGAGGCGGGGGAGGAGGAGGGGGAGGGTGAGGAGGGGGAGGAGGGGGAGGCGGGGGAGGAGGAGGGGGAGGAGGAAGGGGAACAAAGGCCATACCGAACCATAGGTAACCACACAAGTTGGGGCAAAGCAATGGGGAGGAGGAGGGGAAGGAGGTGGAAGGCAGGGGGTGGGCTTAGGAGCTGGGGGCCTGCCAGGCTAGCAACCCACCAACAACACACACGTCCTCAATCCCCCCCTCCCCCACCCAGCCCCCCACCTTGACCATGGCTTCTCCCCCCCCTCCCCCACCCAGCCCCCCACCTTGACCATGGCGTCCCGCTGGAAGTCGTACTCGAACCTCTTGAGCTGCAGCTGCAGCACCGGCGGGAAGTCCTCGAACAGGATACCCTTGCGGGCGTCCTTGGGGGGGAGGAGGGGGAGGGGGTGGAGGCGGTGGAGGCGGTGGAGGGGTGGAAAGAAGAATACCCAATGTGTTGGGAGGGGGAGGCGAGGAACAATGAGGGGGGAGAGGACGAGGCGCGGTAACGTCTCCAGGGCTCATAGGAAGTGGACTAGCGCAACGGGCTGTCACGCAGCCTACACATCCCCAGCTCTGATCGGGATAATAACTCTCTTCAAAAACTGCAATCCTTAACTTCCCCACCATAGCCCTCCTTCTCCCCCCCCATCAGCACCATTATCCGCGCCTCCATCCCTCGCCCCCCCCTCCCCTCCCCGCCCTCCCCCCCCCCACCTGCAGCCCGAAGTCATCGGTCTTGTACTGGTTGGCGCCGCTGAGCACCTCCACCTCCGTGTACCTGGGAGGGAGGAGAATGAGGGGGAAAGAAGGGAGGGAGAAACCGTTGGTCTCTTCATCTGCTCACTCCATTCACCCACCCAACCGCCCTCACGACTTATGAGCGGGGGGTCTTTAACCCCCCCCCCCTCCCCACCACCATCAGTTGGGAAGCTCCTCAGCTTCCTCGTCATTTTCCTCCTTACCCTCCCCCCACCTGTCCTCCCAAACACATTCCCTCACCACATTGGGTCTTCTTCCTTCTCCCCCCCCACCTGTGGTTTGGTATGGTCTTTGACCCCCACCTGACCCCACCCCCTCTTCCCAAACACACCTGTCGAACGAGTCGTATTCTTCTCCCCCCCCCCACCTCTCCCCCCACCTGAAACCCCCTCCTCCCCCCACCTGTCGAACGAGTCGTATATGTTCCTGCACCCCTTCACATCCAGCTGCAGGTCCATGAAGCTCTCCTTGCGCGTGCTCTTGTAGGCCACGTGGATGCACTGCAGGAAGTTGGCGGTGTGCCCCTCGAACAGCTCGTTGATGGCGCGCTCCACCTTGGTGTTCTGGGGGTGGGGTGGGGAAAGAAGGGGTGGGGGGTTGTAAAGAATAAATGCAGCAATGCAGTGTGGGGGGAAGGGGGAAGGGGAGATGGATTAGGGGGTGTGTGAAAAAAGAAGAAGACCCAATGTGTTGAATGATTCATCTTCTCCTCCCCGCACACCCTGCCACCCCTCCCACCTTCATCTTCTCCCCACCACCACCACCCCTTATCCCCAAGCCCCCCCCACCTTCATCTTCTCCTCCAGCTTCTCGCACAGCACGCGGTTGAGCTCCTGCACGTCGTGCTGCATGAAGGCGTCGTACGTGTTCCACCCGAACGACTTGGTGAGCTCCTTGGTGGACACCGCGGAGCGGGAGTACTGGAGCTGGGGGAAGGGAAGGGGGGGAGGGGGGGAAACGGGGGGGCGTGTGTGTATGGGGTGGGCTTGCATGGGTGAGGGAGGGGAATGGGGCAGCTCCTTGGTGGACACGGCGGAGCGGGAGTACTGGAGCTGGGGGGAAGGTGGAGAACAACCGACGTGACCACACGAGGGTAACGTTGGGGATTAGTAGACACTCGCAGGGCGGGTAGGTTGAGCAGGAATGGAGGTAAGGGCACGGACTCTTACGCCGTGAACTTGGTCTTCCTAGTCATCCCGCCTCCTCCCTGCCCTCCTTCTCCCTCTCCCCACCCCGCCCCTCCCGCATGGTTGTCCTCCCTCCTCCCTTCTCTCCCTCCTCCCTTGAAGGAGAGGCTCTGCAACGGCCCTCCTTCCTCCCTCGCCCCCTCCCATCCCTCTCCCCAGCTGCACTCCGTACACAGCAGCAGCATGATTTGTTTCCTCTCCCCCTACCTTGTAGAACAGGCTCTGCAGCGCCACCGGCAGCGACTTGCTGGGCTCCTCGTTCTCCGGAACCGGCATGTGGTACACGGCCTGAGGAAGCGGGGGGGGGGGGGAGGGAGGGGAAAATAGGTGAGAAGTGAAGCAACTGGAGTCATACTCCCGTGATACCTACTCATGCAGTGAGCACATACGGAGGGAGGTTGGAGCCCTTGGAGGAAGGGAGAAAAAGAAGAAGACCCAATGAGTGGGAAAGGGGGTGAGAGCAGCACTACTCTGGGGTGATGGGGGGTGGAAGGCGGGGAGCAGGAACATGGTGAGTGGGTGGGCTGAGGGCTGGGGTACACGAAGGATGGACCGGAGAGGGTGGGGGTAGGAAGACCGCGGCTGCTGTTGATGCTGGTTTAAGGCGTGCTGCTGCTCCCGCTACCGCTGCTACTGTTGGTGCTGCTGCCAGCTACTAGAGCCGAGAGGGACCACCAAACAGGGCGAGGAGGGCGGAAACGAAGGGGTAGAGGCGGGTCTACGGATGGTGCCGGCCCGCTGGCTGCTGCCGCAGCAGCAGCCCCTGCCCCCCTCCTCCTCCTCATCATCATCATCCTCGTCCTCCTCCTCTGCTCCAGCGGATGTGCTGCTGACACCGCTCCGCCGCCCCTGCTCCCCTGCGCTGCGCTCTGCAGCAGCCCCTCAGCAGCGACCCGGTCCCTCTGGCGCTCCCCTGCTGCTGACCCGAGTCCCCAACATTCCGCCACTGCTGACCCAGATCAACCGACCCAGATGGGCTGCTGACCCAGATCAACCGACCCAGATGGGCTGCTGACCCAGATGAGCGGTAGCACACACTCTGCCACTGCTACTGCTGACCCACATCGCTGCTGCCTCCGCCTCTGCCACCACATCCTTTCGCCTGCATAATCCACCTCTTGCATTTCAAAGAAGCAATCCAGCTGCTGCTGCGATGACTGCAAGCGCTATGCACACTGAGGGCTAAGCAACGGCAGAGCTGCGGAAACCCAGCAGCGGTGGCTGTAGCAGCGGTGGTTAGGGCAGCGGCGGTACGGCAGCTAGGTACGGCGGTACGGCTGGCTGCAATGTAAGCCGCCCGATGACACCTATGACCGATGAGCTAGGGTCTTGCGGCAAAATGCCAATTCACCACACCCGATTATCGCCATCCGTACCACCCCCAGAATGCCGTACAATCCCCAACAACCCGCGTACCTTGCGGAAGTACGGGATGTTGTACAGGTACTGCAGCAGGGAGTTCATGTAGCACGTGGCCCCCTGGTTCTTCAGCCCCACGTAGCCCGTCTCAGCGCGGCTGTCGTACAGGTACCGCTCGTCCCGCTGAATTGTGATTTCGACGCGGATGGTCAGCGTGCCGTCCTCTCGGAGGTAGCCGGAGGCGGGGGTGATGTCCACCAGGGGCACCATTTGGCCGAAGCCCCAGTCAACTTGTTCGCATGTGAAGACGTGGGAGGCGTCTGGAAGGGGAGGGGAGCAGAGGATGTGTGTCAGAGAGAAGCTAAAACGAGAGGGTTGACGTGTATAGGGTTGCTCGAAGGGTATGGGAAAGGAGGGCAAGACGGGGGGATGTGCTTGTTCAGTCCTCCATTGGTGCTACCCGGAGGGTGAAGCAGCGAGTCTTCTTACCCTTCATGAAGTTCTTGCTGGGATCCTTGTGGTTCTTTATGATTAGTTTGAAGGAAGCGCGGGGGCTGAGGGCCGGGGGTGTGTAGGTGGCCTCCGGATACTCCAGAAACACCGAGACATGCTTGAAGGGCTGGGCGTTTCCACGTGGGAAGCAGAGCAGTCGCCTGTGTTGAAGGAATAACGTTAAGTAAACCTCGTAACGAACCTGTGAGCATACTGCAGGTGCATGACAGGAATGCGCTCGCTGAGGATGGCAAAATGGCAGATGTCACCCGCACCCACCATAAGTAGGTGCCCACTTCGAAAATTTCCGACGTCTGCCTCTCCGGAAGCTTGTGAAAGTTGCGTATCTCCCACTGCGATTATAGGTGTTGGCATCAGGGGCATTCGGGTAAGGCACGCCTCAGCGCGCGAAGCATCGTCCTCTCGCACCTCATAGTGTCCGCTGTACTCCGTCTCCATAGGCTTGGCATTGCTCGCTGACACGGACATAACAGAGGGCTCCTCGGCAACAGGCTGAACAGAAGGCTCGCTCTCTTCGGCTGCAGGAGCAAGGTGTTCGGATTTAGGTGCAGATCTTGGCAACAAGTGCTTCTACGCTACGCACCGTCCATGTCAGACGGCACCGCTTCGAATAGCTTCTGCTCTTCTCCATGATCTTCTTCCATGATTGGTGTGCGCACTCTTCCGTGCTCGACTAGAACAGGTAAAGCCAATGCGTCAGCAAGGTGCGAAACATACTACTACGCAGCAGTAAGAGCTAATACAAAATTGCTCCTACGGTGCTGGCTAAAGTTGAACTCGAGCAACAGGCAAAGCTGCAAGAAGGCCTAGGTCCGTACAATGCCATGAACCGCTTAACCGCCATGGAAGGTCCTTCGTTCCAGTGTATGCCTTATAGAACGCTGTTCGCCCGTCTTTAGTGCAGTGAGATAAAGCGCTTCAGGGCGTTACATGGTTATAGGCGTCGTGTGGCTGTAATCGACGACTCCCCGCCTTCCTTAACCCGCTTCATCACTTCACATCCCCCCCACCCACTCGTCCGCTTGTTTGCTAGCATCATTAAACACTTTAGGATTCTTCTTTTCCCCACGCACACCTCTTCCATCTTCGCAACCCGCTAGCCACGCTTCAAGCAAATGACTGTCCCGCCATCCAGTGTTGTTGCTGCAGTGCTTTTTACCGTTACGAATTGGATACCGGTAGCTGATGTCATTGGATAGCAATGTACTGCATTCCGGCCGTCTGCCTCAACATACACTGCAAACACGAGCACCTGCCCTGCCCAGAGGTGTTCTTCCCTACCGCCAACCGCTTGCAGGGACACCTTTTGTTTGCACCTATGTGATTACTTGACAGGTGCAGGCAGTTTTGGCCCTTGTCCTAGCCACACCGTTGGGCCGCCGGTTGGCAGTTAGGGGCTGGACTAGGGTTTCCAACCGCTCCTGGACTCTCACACATTGACACATACACCGTGCCATGTGACTGCCTGTCACTTCTTTTGGTAGGACTGCAAGCAATTGTGCATCCTTGCATGCTGCTGGGCTTTGCTGGTCGCCCGGCATGCCAGGTCGCGGCCCTGTTGCCCAGCCGGCAAGCAGCCAACCGAAGCTTGATAGGGTCAGGCCAAGTGAACAGTTCGGCCACCTGCTCAAGTTGCGTAACCCACTGCCGTGCATTGTCGCCGGGGCGGTAAATGGGTGTCAAACCCCAGGACTGAAACCAGCAAAACAACGACATGGGGTACGACACTCCCCCCCATACCCGAGGGAAGAATACACGAGGGTGGAACACAACATGAGTACCTCAGGTCACGCTGACAACCAGCACGGGTCGTACAGGCACGCAAGGGCAGGAGAGTACGGTCAACATGCAAGGACCAAGCAAGCAATCCGCCAGTACTGATGAAACCAAGCACGGACCGACCCGTGGGCCAGCAGTCAAACATGAGTAGGGATGGGAACATACGTTATACGCGTAACATTTACTATACGTAATATACGTCAGATTTACACTAGCGAAATGGCCATTACGCGTACAGGATTGCGTACAAGTATACGGTAAAATTTACCAGGGCCTCGAAGCTGCAAGTATAATATCCCAAACCATCGCAAAACGCAAAGAACAGGTCCTGCTCAGCGTTTAGATAGCTCAGCAGTTTGCGACGCTGTAATTACGAGGGCTTTAGGGTGGTCAAACGTTGTTGAAGTTTAGGCGCCATGGCTCGGTTCGAACACGATTTAGCTTATCCGCGCCACGAACGGACGGACGGACGGACAGACGGACACACGGACATGACCAATCCGCTGGGCGATGAGGAGCGTCCGTGTGGCCTGCTGTACGTGTTAAGAAAACTGGCCGCGAGTACGAACGTACTGGGATGTCGGAAGATGAAGTCCCCACAGAACCGCCGCAGGAGCCGAGGAATATGGTAGCGTATGTACATATATAAGTACGTAGGGCGTAGGAAGCACTCTCGTAAAACGACCGGACCTATGGCCCGTAGTAGTAAGTTGATATGTATGTAGTAGCTGACAGTATCGAGTAGAGTAGGTAGGTAGATAGGAACTGCTGCTGAACAGGTAGCAAAACAGGGGAGCATGCCGAGTCGCAGTGCATGTACGTGCAGTACGTGTGTGCGGTGTCCTTTTAGGGCGCCATGGCTGCTTCTCGTAGCGGTGGAAGGTGTAGAACAATGGTCCGGTGCTATGATGATTACCCGGGCGAGGGGCGGGCAAGGCGCATTGGCCTTGCACGTTGTGTGGCGTTCAAGGTGGCTAAGGTGGCCAGCCTGGGCATTGGAGTCGGCATTCTCACAGCCATCCTTATGGCTTATGCAGCTTGATTGCGCCCGCATGGGATGTCGGCATCGGGACATTTGTTGGCCGGCGGGGGCTCCGCCCAAAAATTCCTGGCCTGTCATCACCAGACCGAAGCGATCTCATGGCCTGCCCAAATGGGTGTGTAGCATGGAGGGGTGACGGTGCGGTGGGGTGGTTGGGTGCGTTTTTGCGGCTGTTTACTTGGGCGGCGAGTGGGGGTCACATTTGGGATGGTGAGTTGGCGGCGTAGGGACGTGGATGTGTTGGATTGGACAAGGAGGAGAGATGATGGTAGGGAGAGTTTGGGAGGCAAGGTTTGGCAAGGGGGGACGGGGATGGAAGTGAAGGCAATGAAAGGGAAGTGTCGTTAGGGCAGAAGGGGCAAAGGGATGGAAGCACAGGGATGGGGACGGGGTGGATTGGCAAGGGGCGTTGCGGGGAGAGAACGATAAAAGCATGGAATCTGAGGGAGGGAGTGGGCAGGGGAAGGGTTAGGAAAGCAAGAACAGGGACGGTGGTGAAAGGAAAGCGAGGGGAGGTAAGAGCAAGGGGTGGGGAAGACAGGGCGGTGGGATGGCTTGCGCAGAAAATGAAAACGAATTGGACAGGCTATACCATCCATACATGCTGGTTTCCAGATAGAAGTCTCCGTAAATGCAGGAATGGTATGCGTATAGCAATCAACCGTTCTTCGAGCTCGGGAATGCCTTGCAGCTCAGGTGGAACCTCTGGAATTTCAAGCCCGTTGTCCAATGAAAACCTTGGGCACCGGTCCCTACGAATGCTGCCAAGGCATGTGTGGCATATGTAGCCCACACCACGCCGTGTTACCCAGCCCGCTAGATTGGTAGCCCACTCCTCGTTGAGTGTGTCATACATGTTTTCCGTGACCTCCACAACTGATTGCCTGAACAGCTTGCGTTCGCAGCAGCAGCAGGCATATGAGCAGGACTCTGCAAAGGCAGATATGCAGGCTTCCTCTGCTGCTTCAACTGAAGTATAGGTGCACCTCTGCACACCACTGCGTGTGTAGAATGCTGGCAGAGCCTCGTCGCCAAAGTCGTCTTCTTCTACGTGGGCAGGGGTTTGTGGGTGACATTCGGTGCATGTCGGTCGCAGCAGCTAGTATTCAGTGTTACGCTCTCTTCAGTGCAGCATTCTTCCACCAACCTTCTCTGACATGCACAAATATCAAACAACGTACCTATGCCGCTCTCCTCTTGAGCACTGCTTGGAACATTCTGACCTTTGTCTGTGCGATGGAGCAATGTCGTCAGCGAAACAGTGGTTACCTTCAAACGCTTCACTACGAGCAACCATACCTTTTTGACTTTGTTCCTTCCGCAGTCGATTCCGCACCATGCGTGCTGTAATACTGGGCCGCCCCATTTCCTGCAGCAAAGTCTGTGGCGAAGCTTCCTTCCCAGTAGCCACGATCGTTTGTAATGCTTGTTTAAAAGCCTGCTCATCTTCAGTACTCCACCGACAGCGTTTTTTAGGTGGTGGCGAAACAGACTTGTCCTCTTCGTTAACAGCTGCCTCATTGGTGCCGCTACCATGCCTTAATTCTTTACCAATATTGCTTTTGAAAATAAAGGTTTTTAGTTGCGTCTTGGTAACATTGGCAAATCGAGAGGGGGCATAAGCTTAAGCTTAAGCTTTCTGTAAGGTGCTTGACAGTAAGTTTTTCATTATCTACAGCTATACGTTCTGCAGCTTGTTGCAATGCAAGCAGTTGGTCAGCAGTCAAGCGGCGTTTGCCCATGCTGCTTCATAGCAACACATTCACAACATAAGTATTCTAACGTTACTGTGAAGGCTTCAATGTGTGTAACTACAACGACTGATCAACAAGGGATGCCAAACAGCGACTGTAACGTCTGTAAGAAAGCACGTGTACGACAGCCCCTTTCCGAACAGCAACGTTGCACCAAAACAACACACAACAGAAAAACACATTCGGTCGTTGTTTCGAAAATTCACAGTAGCAACACATAAGACCAACTTTACGTCCATGCCCCATACCAATGTTGTCTGCGCGTTCAAACAACTGTTCTTCATGGTACCGTGGCTTACACCAAGCCATAGTCCGGAAACATTTTCAATGTTATGGCTTCGAGCGCCATATTACCTAAATAGGAAATTTAGCGTGGACCTTAAGTCCCGGTATTCCCTATGGCTTTTCCCTTGCTTCCACGGCGCGGCCTATCGGAGCGCCTAGAACCAGGGGCAGGCCAAAAAGACATGTCACGAATGGGTTGTGGGTTCGGGGTGGTGATGTCGTTTCACGGGGCAGATGTCTTGCATATCACCAACCCTTCCACGCCGTATGGGTGCTGCATGCTTTTTTGAAAGGATGCTAGTCCCACACTCAGATTTCCGCAGCTGCTTGCCGGCAACCTGGTACAGGTGGCCCCGGGTATTATGGAACAGGGGGTATCATGGAACACTCCTGTTTATGGCGCCCTGGGTGCATAGACTGCTAAGCCCTTTTGGATATAAGAAGTAGTAGTTAATATATTTTAACCTTATCGAATTTATTTCGCCGGTAACCGTCGTCTTGTCTCGGAGCACTGTTGGCCCCGCCGGCCCTGCGGGGCACCGGATACGAACTCGCGGCCATGTCAAAATCGGCCTCGGCACCCAGCATGAACGCTTCCTTATGGGGCCACCTGTATGGAGCTCCCTGGAGCGTCACCAAAACTGTGTCACAGCTGCACTCCAGATTGCTGGTCGTCACCAAAATGACATATCACTAACATAATTCCAGCTATAATTATGAGGCCGTCCCCAAACGTTGTGTCGCAAAAGAATTGTATGTACGATCCAACGGCCTTGCAGCAGGTTCAGCAGCCCCCCGTGCAGTTTAACGTGGCTGCCTCGGCTGCCGCAGGCTTGGACTTGCTGCAGCAGCGTGATGGCGCGGCCATGGGGCTTGGAGGGGGCTTGCATGGTGGCCTTACGGCCCCTGGCACCGCCGCAGGCTTGGACTTGCTGCAGCAGCGTGATGGCGCGGCCATGGGGCTTGGCGGGGACTTGCATGGCGGCCTTACGGCCCCTGGCACCGCCGCAGGCTTGGACTTGCTGCAGCAGCGTGGTGGCGCGGCCATGGGGCTTGGCGGGGGCTTGCATGGCGGCCTTACAGCGCCTGGAGCGGCGGGAGGCCAGCTGCTGGGCAACCACCCGCTGCCCCAGCATCCTCTGCATGCGGGTGCGAGTGCAGGGGGCGGCGGGGGCTTGCATGGCGGCCTTACAGCGCCTGGAGCGGCGGGAGGCCAGCTGCTGGGCAACCACCCGCTGCCGCAGCATCCTCTGCATGCGGGTGCGAGTGCAGGGGGCGGCGGGGGCTCCAGCGCCTGGAGCGGCGGGAGGCCAGCTGCTGGGCAACCACCCGCTGCCGCAGCATCCTCTGCATGCGGGTGCGAGTGCAGGGGGCGGCGGGGGCTTGCATGGCGGCCTTACTAGCCCTGGGCGGCTGCCAGCCCTCAGCGGCACCTCCTTGCTTCAAGAGTTGAGCCCGTACCGTGCCGGTATCGTAAAGGCAACCATTGCGGGGTTGGAACCGGTGGTTAGGAAGCATATTAGCGTTATCGCAGGGGAACTCCGAAGCACCAGTCTGCAAAATGGTCGACTCTCTTGGAGCAATGTGTCGGAGCACCGCAGAGGTAGCGGCAGTTTCTCAGGGAGCATTTTTGCCGCGCAGCATGGCAGCCTATAAGCCGGAGCCTGAAGAAGAGGATGGGAAGGCGGGATTCTTTGCGCAGCGGAGAGCAAAGGATGTGCATAAGCAGAAGCACTTGCAGATTCTCAGGGCAGCACGTGTTGCGGCCTCCGTGCAGCCCGAATGCCATTCTGACTTGGGCAGGACGCTCCCCGTTCGCCCGCCTACGGGTGGTGCCGGGGCTCTGCAGGAGCCTGAACGTGGGGCAGCAGCAGGACAGGATGACCACCCCGGGGGACGTGAGGAGCAGGCGGTCGTGCGTTTCACGCAAGTGGTCGGGAAGGGTAAAGACCGGACAACAGTCGATGCCGATGTCAAGTTGACATGGCGTTTGGCGCCTGGATGGGTCATTCCCGGCGCCCTGGCTGCCAACAACCGCCCAACGGAAGAGCAGTGGATAGAATGGCGCGGCTTCTACAGCCAAGCCGAGAGTGAGACTCGTGGCGTCATGGGCTTGGTTGTGGATGTGACTGCCTTCGCACTACATGTGCACTACTTCGTTGCTTCAATCTTGCTCTTCTGTTGGCGCAGTACAGTTGTGAAGATCACTTATAACACGTTATATATTCATGTCCTCCTACAGAGTATGCATCGCTCCGGGACCTGTGGTGTGAGTGGAGCGATGGGATCCTGCTCCCTGACGGCAAGAGCCGCCTTGCACCCATGCGCATCCTGGAGCATCCGGACCTGCGGCGTGTGTGGAGGTGTTTGGAGGACATGAAGAAGGCCGTGAATTTCCGCAAGACGGTCATCTACGCCTTGCACAGGCGCATGGCGGGTATACCACGGGCCAAGGATGGGGCCGGCGTCGAAGGCCAGGAGTACGCCCGCATGAGCTTCGATGAGGCGTGCGACGACCTCCGCGCCGCATATAAAATTTCGAATGGTTCCTCCCCCAGTGTGAGCTTCTTGATGCGCAACGTGCGGGAGACGGCCCCTTCCGAGTATGAGAAGATGATGGGCGAGCAACTGTACCTGGAGCTTCCGTGACACTTATGTACAGCACTTTTACTCTGGTTGTGCCGTACTGCATAGTCAGCATATATTCCGATGGCTATTCATTGAAAAACAACCTGTGAAGCGTGGCCGGCTTGCAGGCATGCTTTCTCGGCAAGTCGCGTTGTGTGGCAATGGTTTTACTCGGGTTGTGCCGTAAGGCATAGGCAGTGTGTATCCAAGAGTGCAAATTCTGTCACGTCCTTATTTCCACTGGGGACTGCCCTTTCACGCGCGTTTATTGTACAATACAATTGCACACCCCGTTCATCCCCGGGGTTTACTGCGTCTTGCAATTGAGGCGTTATGTTTGTGGACTGCGGCGTTTATCGTAACTGTACTGTGTGATGGGTTTCCTCTTTGCTTGTTGGAGACAAAACATGGCGACATGCTGTGGTTGCCATTGTGTTACATCCACATGTTCATGAGGCGAGAGGTCCGGTAGACTCTTCCTGTGCTAGGCATTCTTTGTAGGAGGACTTGGAGACTGTAGGATATTGTCTTTGAGCGGTGCTTGTTGCTTGTAATCTACTCGTGTGTCCCGGCGTCTTGCAAAGGGCTAGTCTCCTGGGATATCGGGGTTGTCCATAAGGGAATTGCGGGTCCTAAGCTGCACCCCCGCCATATGACAATCGTTTTGTGGGCTTGTGTGCTGTATGACCCGGTGCACAACTTTATCAACACTTTCACATTGCATATGCTTGTAAGCGGTAGGCGGCGACCAGAATTAAACCGTATGGAGCATCTATGGTGTTTTCCTGTCGAAACTTGGTGCGGGCGTGTCCTGTAAAGGGGGAACGGAAGCGGGGGGGTCCAAGTAAGATGTCCCAGGGGTCGCGGCCCAAACACTATGGCCAGACAGACCGAGTATTGTTTTCACGAGGTCCCAATATATATAAGACCCTAGTCCGACCCTCTCTCGTTCCAAACATGGTGGTAGAAGTATGTAAGGCGGCATGTCTCGCTTCGCTGCTTATTTGGAGTAACCCGCGCTAGCTGCTGTTACTTATTACCTTTTTTAATGGACAACGAGACGAGGTCAAAGAGCGCTGCCTTCTGCGGGCAGGTCGGCTACTCATTGACCGGTGCATCGAGGTCGCGGCAACTGTGGACTGTTATTATTAACCAAACATATTCTATAAGCCTTCACGAGAAGATTAGAAGGTGAGCTAGCTTGTAACAGTGGCTTTCCGGTGACAGGCCGGCTCGCCGGCATGACAGGGCTCCAGGCCAACTTTGCCAATCCGGACTTTCCCTTGCCGTATGGTGCCATAAACGTTAATATGAATGAAGTCATACAGTTTCATAGGGTCCACGAAGGGGTCTCAAAGGGGTCTCACCACTTTCCTTAATGTACTGGTACGGTATCGCCAAGCCCGGGGTGTTCCCTAAAGCTGTTCGCCTGTTCCCTTGCTTCCAAACCGCGGCCTAGCGGAGCGCCTGGATTCAAGGGCAGGCCAAAAAGGGGTGCTTGCTTGCCTGAAGGTGCCGCGTGTCACCACTCCACGCACGCATCCACTCCAACACCCCACTCCAACAGTGATACTGTGTGCAATGTTAAAAGGTTACCAGCGCAGGACTTTCAGGACGAAGAATAAACTACCGGCAATGCCGCTGGCCCCCTTGCATTCTCGCGAGTGATGGACCCCACGCCGCCTCAAGCCGTTGTTTATAAGGCGGAATGGTTAGGTAGTAGGAGATCGCGAGCTTAAACATGCACATAGAAAGATGCCATATGATTGTTTGGGTTGTGCCATAGGCCCGGGTTCGCATTTCTGGCATAGGGCTTTTGCTTCGCGCTCTTGAACCGATTACGACATGGATCACACGCTCACCCGCAGTACACCAGAAGTGAATTCTCACTGCATCTGGGTTCTGTGCTAAGAGGTCATCTGGCTCGAAAGCTTCAATGCATGCCGACGGACAATTGCAATTCCCGAAACGAACGCTTACACCGCACCGCTTATGTCACTCATTAGAAGTGTGCTATCTTAGTGCAAGTTGGGGGCCCGATGGCGTAATATCTCGGAGCCGAGGCGAACCATGCGTAACGGTTTAAGAGCGCGAAGCAAAAGGTAATCGTATGTTGCGATGCGCCTGTCGAACAGCACACTGGACACACCTTTTGTGCCATCACGCATGCGGTAATGGAAACTGTGCCAGTTTGTTGCTAGTCGGATTCGATGGCGAAAACGCGCTGGCTCAAATGCACTTTTGTAGCGTGCCTACTTATAGATTTGCAGACTGTATTTAGGTGCGCATTTTGTCTGGGCAACACGCGCGCGCTTTGAGTACGTACGTACGTTCACAGACTATACGTACGTACGCAATGAGTAGGTATATCGGTAGGAGCGCAGTTATTCAGTCCTTATGGATAGGCTATAACTTGAAGCAAGTCTCTCACAAATACCTTTCGATAACACGCTCAGACACAAAATGCCCTGGGACGTCTCTTTACCTCAAGGGAGCGGAAGGCGACGTGTCGGCGGCGTGGCGTGGCTTGCCTTAGCACTTCTGCTGGCCAACGTATCAACAGTAGACTCCGAAAGTAAGTAGTAACATGCTACCGACAGGATATTGTCCGTCGCGAGTGTCGGCGCATGTGGCGTGCATCCAATGATTGGCGGCGTCCGTAAGCTGCTGCTAAGGGGCTTGACGTAAGCAACTCAACTCAACACATAGACACGTGCCTGCATCAATGGGCCCAGCGCTTCAGCGCCATATGCGCCCAGCGCTTCAGCGCCATGTTGCTCAAGCCATGCTCGCACGGCACATATTAATATGGGCATTGCAACCCAATTTTCCTTGCAAGGGCATTATGCGATTGTTATGTTGCGCAGGTTGGTGGCCTTGGTGCCCAACCATTGCTGGCATGACAGCCAGAGAGGGTGTGGACTATAATATGAAAGGTGATCCTTATGATATGGATGTTTTTTTAACGGAAGATTCCGTGAAGCATTACGCAAGCATGGCGTCATCTGCGAGGTCTTCCTGCCAAGCCGTCGCGCTTTCAAGGTGGTATGATGGCGAATACTGGCTATTCACCGTCGACTACAGGAACACAAGCGTCACCAACTACAATGATACAAACCGTTGCTTTTATACTTTCAATTCGACATCCCCGGGTAAGCCGGGGGGGCAGGGATTACTATTTTGCAGTGCCAAGCCTGCATGCCCAGCTTCTCTTTCTCTTGCTGCCTCACTTTTCGTGGGCTTGACGTTTTCAGCCAGCCATCGTTACCGGTAGTTGCTGCACGTATTTGACTCTACGTACGTCACCTCAAGCCACGACCTCAAGCCCATTTGTTTAACATCGCAGGTGACTGCCCGGACATCCCAGGTCTCACACTCACCCGTGACATGGACTACATGACGGGAGTTTTTACTGCTGACGCCAGCGGTTGCTATGAGGTTTCCGCTAACATCGCTGCCAACATGACTGCCAGTTGCAGTTATGCCGCAGGCTGCAGGGCTTTTTCATTTTATCCTGTGTTAAGCAGCAAGTACGGGTGCAAGAGGAACTCTTCCACCCCCAATGTGTCGAGGCCGGGAGCTTGCTTTTACGCATTGCCATGTAAGTTCTGTGGCTGGTATCATGATGAGGGACCTAGCTAGGGGTGGCAGTGGCAGGGTGGTGGGGTGCGCCAAGCTTGTTATGGTGGATGGTAGGGTTGGTTGAACACCGCATCTCACTAAGTTGTTGCCTGGAAGGACCAGCAGCCAATGATTCATATAGTTAATCCCTCTGTCCTGACAAGTAATAACCAAACTAGGACATGACGACTGTCATGCATGTGTTGCCTCCCATTCCCACACCCTTCGCTGCATCCCATCTTCCTGTGTCTGCAGCCACTCTCCCTCCATCGCCCGAGCCTCTTCCTCCATCGCCCGAGCCTCTTCCTCCTTCTCCTAGCCCTCCATCGCCTGCTCCTCTCCCTCCCTCTCCCAGCCCTCCGTCGCCTGCTCCTCTCCCTCCCTCTCCTAGCCCTCCATCGCCTGCTCCTCTTCCTCCTTCTCCCAGCCCTCCATCGCCTGCTCCTCTCCCTCCCTCTCCCAGCCCTCCGTCGCCTGCTCCTCTCCCTCCCTCTCCTAGCCCTCCATCGCCTGCTCCTCTCCCTCCCTCTCCCAGCCCTCCGTCGCCTGCTCCTCTCCCTCCCTCTCCTCTCCCTCCGTCGCCTGCCCCTCTCCCTCCCTCTCCTCTCCCTCCGTCGCCTGCTCCTCTCCCTCCCTCTCCCAGCCCTCCATCGCCTAGCCCCCCCTCTCCCCCTCCCTCTCCCAGCCCTCCACCCCCACCCCCGCCTCCCCGGATCCTCATCAGTACACCACCCAGCCCCGCTCCCCCTAGCCCCATACCTCCACCATCTCCCATCCCGTCCTCCTCGCCCCTACCACCCTCACCCTTGCCACCCCCTCCACCTAGCCCTTCACCACCCTTGCCCCTGTCGCCCCCCCACCCAAGCCCACCACAGCTTTCACAGCCGCCGTCCCCAATGCCCTTACCCCCACCGCCTCAGCCTCCGAGCCAACCTCAGCCGCCATCCCCAATGCCTCCGTCACCGCCACCCTCACCGCCTCCTCCCTCGCCAACTCCCCCTCGGCCCCGCCTTCCCTCGCCACCACCACCAACCCCGCCGCGTGTTCCGCTGTCGCCGCCGCCTAAGACACCACCTCGCCACCCACCCAACACGCCCTCGCCACCACCGCCACCAACCTTCTTCTGGGCAACGTCCGCCTCGGGTCCCAATGTAAGCCGTTGGACAGCAGCCGCTATCGCCGTATCGGGGTCAAACTATACTTCTTAGGTGTTCGCATGTTGGCTATGCTGCTGCTAGTTTCAGCGGGTGTCAAGTGAAGCCGCAAACAGGTTCGGTGTTAAGTGTGAGGCGCAATGGCACAAGTTGTCTGCGCATTGCAGCAGCTTATGATAAACTAGTAAAAGCCATCCATTATGCGGTAAACGAACTGGCCGGAAAATTGATGTTGGCTGTGTTTTGCACGATCAACGTACGGCATGTTTTAATAATGCCGTGTGGCATGTCTTCCACACGCAGGATCACTCCGGCAGCAGCACCCAACCGGGCTCCGTAAACCTGCTAGTGGGGCCGCCAAGCCCGCAAGTCCTGAATGCCAGGGTTTGCAAACCCGCTAGCAAACTCAGCTGGCTGCCCCCCAAAGCGGTGAGTTTCTTCTGGCACGCCAAGGCTTTGGAGCAGAAAGTCAATAGCAGGATGAATTGGCATCGACCCGCCCTGCTCTAGCGGAATGCATGCTCACCCCACTTCGCCTTACACATGCAGGCCCCTCGCTACGCGCTGGCCTACTTCAACCAGAGCTCTCTAGCCAGCCTTCCCGTCAGCAGGATTGCAGCTGTGGGGGTATATGTCCTCAACCGCGGCAGCCTCCCCAGCCCCGCCATTGCTTCCATCGAGCTCCTGCTGCTTGGACCCGACAAAGTGGTGCGTGGGTGTGTGCGCGTACGGGGAATGCCTTAAAGCAAAGTGCCATGCATGCATGCGCTCTTCCATGCATGCTGCACGATCGAACGGAGGGATGGCCGAGTCGGGCAACTGTCTAGGACCGCGGTGTCGGCCACAAATTAGGGTCCCACCGTGTTTCCCGTACCCGCCACGTACTTTAATCCAAGTTTTCCCCCTTGCTTGCTTCCCTGCAGGCCTCGGCTGTTACGGTGTACACCGGCACCGCGGATCAGCAGCTGGCGTGCCCCGGCCTGAACTACTTTGCTGTGTCGGCAGCAACAATGGTGCCCGTCACGACGCCCGCAGCACTTGGCAACCTTCATGTCATTGGAGCTCGGATCACCATAAGCGAGGCAGATGTCTCGGCAAAGGCTAACCTGCCCCATATTGCAGCGATTGGCCTACAGATCGCTTGAGTGAAGCCGCAAGGCTGGTATCACCGCTCCTTGCCTGTGAGCAACGGAAACGCAAATTGACACATTGGAAAACTTCACCACATACACTACACCACCACCTCGTATTAGCTGCTTTGGACTGGGCCAACGCCTTTGACCATATTGTTGTTGGTTGTTGGTTTATGTTGTGCAGACGAATACCAAAATGCTTTTCTTATAGGTGCGGTAATTGGCCAATAGCACCCCTACTGTACGGCTGCTGTGATGCCGTACATGCTGCTTTGTCCGTATCATGTGTTGCTTAATTTCCTTTTGCCTGGACAGCACGAACTTCTTAGTCAAAATTTGGTACGGTAATTGGCCAATAGCACCCCTACTGTACGGCTGCTGTGATGCCGTACATGCTGCTTTGTCCGTATCATGTGTTGCTTGATTTCCTTTTGCTTGGACAGCACGAACTTCTTAGTCAAAATTTGGTACGGTAATTGGCCAATAGCACCCCTACTGTACGGCTGCTGTGATGCCGTACATGCTGCTTTGTCCGTATCATGTGTTGCTTAATTTCCTTTTGCTTGGACAGCACGAACTTCTTAGTCAAAATTTGGTACGGTAATTGGCCAATAGCACCCCTACTGTACGGCTGCTGTGGTGCCGTACATGCTGCTTTGTCCGTATCAGTGTTAATAAGTTTCCTTTTGCCTGGACAGCACGAACTTCTTAGTCAAAATTTGGTCCGGTAATTGGCCAATAGCACCCCTACTGTACGGCTGCTGTGATGCCGTACATGCTGCTTTGTCCTTAACATGTGTTGCTTGATTTCCTTTTGCTTGGACGGCACGCACGCCATGTGCTTGTTTGAAGCTTTCATTAACGCCGGACTAAAGGCGCTTTATAGTCTAATTGCTGTCTGTTCTTCACTGCATACCACTACACTTGGAATTGCAGTAGGTTGTTTGGCGTATTTGGCTCGGCAGGTATGGACATGCCATGCAACGTGTTAGTTCAAACATGCGTAACGGCTTTGCTTGTTTTGTTGATGAGCCCTGTTCGCGACGTGCGTGGCATCCAGGGGGCTCCCTTGGGTCACTCCTACACTATTGTGCGTTGTAACAACACGGTAATTTGCTTTCCTTCGTCACTCGCACCACCACATCAGGCACTGCCATAGTGTGGCATCAGGGGTCCTGAGGGTAATTAATTAGGCGTGCCGTTTGACGGAAACTTGCTTAATTTCTTGCTCTCTGGGGCTTGTAAAGGGCTGCCCGCTGAGCACGAGGGCATGGGTAGCTTCGGATACCGGCCAATGAGCTATGCAAAATCATGTCTACCGTAACCAACTGCAGGGGCAGCTTACTGTACAAAGATGCCCAGCAGGTAAACATGGCTTCTTCGGATAGCTAGGTAATCCGCGTGCATCCTACCGCCGTCTCTTTTCTGCATTGTGTATGTGGCAATGACACGCCACACCAATCATACGAGCTATCGGTATCGCCGGGGGTTACCTTACAAAAAGCCCATCCAAGCCTCCCAGCCCATTCAACATGGCAACGCCTCCGCATCAATGTCTCCCCCCATAGGCCTACATGCATGGCTGCTGGTTCTATGCAAGCCAACCCGCATCCTTCGCCCCTCAGCTTGCATGCATGCACGGCTAGTTGAATGAATGACCGTTACAATGGTTCGCTAAAAAAGGGAACACGGGTGATGAACCCAACCCTACACTGCAAGGGAAACAGGAAGACGCCATAAAGACCACACCACAACGGGCCAGCAGGAAACAGGCAACAGAACCCAAAAGGGGCCAAAAGGTACCAGACCGAAGCGATCTCATGGCCTGCCCAAATGGTTGTGCGGCATGGAAGGTTGACGTTGCGGCGGGGCGTTTTTGCGGCCGTTTTCGAGGGCGGCGCAGGGAAGTCACTTTTGGTAGGGTCAGGTGGCGGGCTGGGGGGCTGACGAGGCTGCTTAGGAGAGTGGCGCATGGGTGTCCCGTTTGGGAGGGTCAGTTGGCAGCGTAGGGGCATATGTTTTCCGTGACCTCCACAACTGATTGCCCGAACAGCTTGCGTTCGCAGGAGCAGCAGGCATATGAGCAGGACTTTGCTATGGCAGATCTGCAGGCTTCCTCTGCTGCTTCTACTGAAGTATAGGTGCACCTCTGCACACCACTGCGTTCGTCGAATGCTGGCAGAGCCTCGTCGCCAAAGTCGTCTTCTTCTACGTGGGCAGGGGTTTGTGGGTGACATTCGGTGCATGTCGGTCGCAGCAGCTAGTATTCAGTGGTACGCTCTCTTCAGTGCAGCATTCTTCCAGCAACCTTCTCTGAAATGCACTCATAACAAACAACGTACCTATGCCGCTCTCCTTTTGAGCACTGCTTGGAAAAATGTCACATTCGTTTGTGCGATGGAGCAATGTCGTCAGCGAAACAGTGGTTACCTTCAAACGCTTCACTATGAGCGACCGTACCTTTTTTACTTTGTTCCTTCCGCAGTCGATTCCGCACCATGCGTGCTGTAATACTGGGCCGCCCCATTTCAAGCAGCATTGTCTGTGGCGAAGCTTCCTTCCCAGTAGCCACGATAGTTTGTAATGCTTTATTAAAAGCCTGCTCATCTTCAGTACTCCACCGACAGCGTTTTTTGGGTGGTGGAGGACCAGACTTCTCTTCTTCGTTAACAGCTGCCTCATTGGTGCCGCTACCATGCCTTAATCCTTTACCAATATTGCTTTTGTAAATGAAGGTCTGTAGTTGCGTCTTGGTAACATTGGCAAATCGCGAGTCGTTCCTCAAGCTTTCTGTTAAGTGCTTGACAGTAAGTCTTCCATTGTCTACAGCTATATGTTCTGCAGCTTGTTGCAACGCAAGCAGTTGGTCATCAGTCCAGCAGCGTTTGCCCATGCTGCTTCATAGCACTGTACTGTACTGTGAAACGCTTAATTGTATATAACTACAACGACTATCCGTGATCAAGAAGGGTTACCAAACAGCAACTGTAAGAAAGCACGTGTACGACAGCCCCTTTCCGAACAGCAACGTTGCACCTCAGCAACAGACAACAGGAAAACACGTAACGTAGTTGTTTCGAACAATCACTGATCCAAACCATACTACCAACCTCATTTCCATGCCCCATAACAATGTTGTCTGTGTGTTCTAACAACTGTTCTTCTAGGTTCCGTGGCTTACACATAGCAATAGTTCGGAAACATTGTCAATGTTATGGCTTCGTGCGCGATGTTACCTAAATAGGAAATTTTGTGTAATCCTTTAAGTCCCGGTATTCCCTATGGCTTTTCCCTTGCTTCCACGGCGCGGCCTATCGGAGCGCCTAGAACCAAGGGCAGGCCAAAAAACGAGGGTAGAGGCCAAGAAACGGCCCCTCAGCAAAAGCCTCCATAAGCAAACACTAGGGCAAAACACCAACACACGCATCCTCCAAAATACCATACCATAATAACAACGCCCGAAAAAACAGAGACAGGTCTGCGAATGAAACAATTCGTTCCATCTGCGCCCATACCGGCAACCCACACCTCACCCACTCATCCCCTCACCCACCCTCCTAAAAGCGCGTTTGAAATTGTCTCTGACCCGCCCCCGCTCTCCCTGCTGACCCGCCCCCCCTCTCTCCCTGACCCTCCCCCGCTCACAGGAACAGTCCCTCCAGGTATGCATCCATCTCCTCCTCCGCACTCGCAGCCTCCTGCACCGGCTTGGACTCCCACACGCTCGCATCCGCAGGCAGCGTAACCATGTTCGCCGCCGCGCCTGCCGCCCCCTCGGCCTGCTTCCCCGTCCCTCCTGCCCCTGCGCCTGTAACCCCACCCGCCGCTGCTGCTGCTGCTGCTGTGCTACCCACCGCTAGCGGAGGCGGCGCCACATCGCCTGCAGCCCGCTGCACCTCTGCATCCCCAAGGCCCCCCGACGCGCTTGCCCCACGCTCATCCTCACGCACAGCACCCACGCCTCCTCCTTGCGCGTAGCGGCTTACGTAATCCAGCGCCTGCCGTACAAGCGGGTCGCGCGGCAGTGCTGCCACCTCCTCCTCTTCCTCGCGCCGTCGCTTGCGTGCAGCGGCTGCCTCGCTGGCCTTCCGCAGCTGCTTTTCCTTGCGGTAGTTGAGTTTGAAGGCGCAGGCGGGGCACACGCGCAGCTTCACGAGGGCCTGCTTGCGCTCGCCAGCCTCCTGGGAGGTGTGAGGGTGGGCGGGGAGCGACAGGGGGTCAGGGATGGAGCAGGCCATGGGAAACCATAAGTTGGGGCGCAAACCAACAGGATAGCGGTAGGGGGGAGGTTGGGCGAAAGGGACAGTTGGGCGGAAGGAGAGGTTGGTTGGAAGGGGGAGTTGGTTGGAAGGAGAGGTCCGGCAGAAGAAGGGGATGTTGGCGGTAAGAAGTACCGCTGTAACGCAGTTTCCACCAGCACTTGGGTATCTGGGTCGGTTTCAATTCCACAAAACCTATGTACGACGGTTTTGACACGTGACACATGCTCAAGTGCTGCATGACTACTTTCCACAGTCCGCAACGCCCCACCCGGTAGGCGAAGTTCACTTCGTAGCTGCAGAGCCCGTCTGTGGCGTCGCAGTGGTCGCACCCCCTGGCTCCGCACACGAATTGCCCCTTGTCCGCCATCACCTCCTTCTGAGTGCGCCAACGCATGCCCAGCTTGCTCTGCTTGTAGTACGTCAGGTCAACGATGGCGTACTCCTGCCGTGCAGTAAGGGCGGGCAAATGGGAGGGGCAGCTGCGATAGGAGGGCGTTGTAGTGCGCTATTATGAGCATTGACGTTAAAAATGCAGGACGTAAGGAACTACAGGTTCTCTTTGGCAGTAAGGAGAAAGCAAAGGGAAGTGTGTATGTGTTTCCGACAGGGGAAGATGGCTGGGAGGGTGCATGGAGCAACCCTGTTCACTGTTGGCGACCTTCAAACGCGCCAGACCCCCTTCACAGCCCCTTCACGCGTCTACCCTTCTCACTTTCAGCAGCTATCGGTTTGTACGAGTGGGTTCGCACCTTGAAAAGGCAGTCTCAGTAGCGCTTAGCCAACGGCGCTTCCCGACTGCCGTTGGGGATGTCAGAGTCATAACGCATCTGCGTCCGTACGTATGGAAGGTGGTTGCGTGCCATCGCGACATCCCCAGGTCGTGCATAACTTGTATGTACCGGTACCGTACCGGTAGTCGTTCACGAACTTTGTATGTTTTCCTATAGCAGTCAGATTTGCTAATTTCTGCGTCGTAATGAGCGCTTTGCACTCGGGCCAAAAGCCTCGCGTGTATATGCCCAAAGTTCGCCATCTTGGTGAAAGACCGGAATCCCGCCAGAAGGTCAGATCGCAAGTGGTATGCTGTGCCACACGAACGCACATAATGATGTAGCAAAGTCCAATAGGATGGGCGGAAGCGTTTCAGGGTACATTGAAAGGTGAACGCCATAACATCCAGGCTATCTCATTGGTATGCGTAAGTGCTTCAAATATAGCATAGTGCTGCAGGCAAGGACGCTGGTGTGGTTTTCCGTCTTCTAAGCGGTTCGGAGCTACCGTACGTAATATTTACGTATATATGTACCGTACAGCCTCCGGGGTCTGGGCGCAATTGCCATCAGGATTTGCATGTAAAGTCAGACGTATCACGCCGCATACGTAGTCTTCTGAGTATATTAAAGCTCCCAATCCTTTAGCTCCCCTGCTGACGGGGGCTGGTTAACTAGACTGGCTCCAGGGTGCCCGTAGGAACTTCGAGGCCGCCGCATATAAGTCCTCCTTTGAACCATTTGTACAAAGGTCGATAAAATGCCAAGGGGTGTCCCCTTACCTCAAGAGAGCAGGAGGCGGCGTGTCGGCGGCGTGGCGTGGCTTGGCTTGGCACTTCTGCTGGCCGTAGTATCAACAGTGAACGGCGGTAAGAAGTGACGAAAATGCTACCAATAGGACAATGTATGACGCGAATGTCGGCACATGTGGCGTGCATCCAAATACTATATGTTAATAAGCACGGTACGTGCGAAACATACATACAGTCATGCAATACATAAACATAATACGTAAAATGCATATAACATATTTCAACACATTTACACTTGACTGCATCAATGGGCCCAGCGATTCAGTGCCATGTTGCTCTTGCCATGCTCGCTCAATACATTTATGGCATACTAAATGACATACATATGCAATCTGGTTTCCTTACACGGGCATTATGCGATTGCTGCATTTTGCGCAGGTTGGTGCCCTACCATCGCTGGCATGACAGTCACAGAGGGTGTGGACTTTAGTGCTTGGAGCCCTTCTGATGGCATTTATGTGTCTGATAAAGCGGGTACGGCGTTATACGCAATCACGATTACATCTACGAAGTCTTCCGGCCAGGCCGTCGTGCTTAGCCGCTATTATGATGATGATTATGATTGGTGGTACTACTACATCAGCTACAGGAACACAAGCGTCACCAGCTACAATAATGAAGACCGTTGCTTTTATACTTTCAATCCGACATCCACGGGTAAGCCAGGGGGCGGGGGTTACTATCTTGCAGTGCCAAGCCTGCATGCCCAGCTTCTCTTTCTCTTGCTGCCTCACTTTTCGTGGGCTTGACGGTTTCAGCCAGCCATCGTTACCGGTAGTTGCTGCACGTATTTGACACTACGTACGTCACCTCAAGCCAAGACCTCAAGCCCATTTGTTTAACATCGCAGGTGACTGCCCGGACATCCCAGGTTTCACACTCACCCGTGACATGGACTACATGACGGGAGTTTTGACTGCTGACGCCAGCGGTTGCTATGAGATTTCCGGTAACATCGCTGCCAACATGGCTGCTCGCTGCAGTTCTGGCTCAGGCTGCCTGGCTTTCTCTTTTCATCCTTTGTTAAGCAGCAAGTATGGGTGCATCAGGACCTCTTCCACCCCCAATGTGCCGAAGCCGGGAGCTTGCTTCTACACATTGCCATGTAAGTTCTGTGGCTGGTATCATGATGATGAGGGACCTGGGGCTGGCAGTGGCAGGGTGGTGGGGTGCGCCAAGCTGGTATCCTGATGAGGAACCTGGGGGGCCACAGTTGCTATGATGGTTGAATGAACACAGGTGATTGTTGTCTGGAAGGACGTTACTGTGACAACCCATTGATTACATGCCAGTAGTTCACCGATTTGTCCTGACTAGTAACCAAACTAGGACATGACGACTGACATGCATGTCTTGCCTCCCACTTCCACACCCTTCGCTGCATCCCATCTTCCTGTGTCGCCAGCCGCTCGCCCTCCATCGCCAGCCCCTCTCCCTCCATCGCCAGCCGCTCTCCCTCCATCAACTGCTCCTCTCCCTCCCTCTCCTAGCCTTCCATCACCTGCTCCTCTCCCGCCCTCTCCTCTCCCTCCGTCGCCTGCCCCTCTCCCTCCCTCTCCTCTCCCTCCGTCGCCTGCTCCTCTCCCTCCCTCTCCCAGCCCTCCATCGCCTGCTCCTCTTCCTCCCTCTCCCAGCCCTCCGTCGCCTGCTCCTCTCCCTCCCTCTCCTCTCCCTCCGTCGCCTGCCCCTCTCCCTCCCTCTCCTCTCCCTCCGTCGCCTGCTCCTCTCCCTCCCTCTCCTCTCCCTCCGTCGCCTGCTCCTCTCCCTCCCTCTCCCAGCCCTCCATCGCCTAGCCCCCCCTCTCCTCCCCCTCCCTCTCCCAGCCCTCCACCCCCGCCCCCGCCTCCCCGGATCTCCAACCCGCCACCACCCAGCCCCGCTCCCCCTAGCCCCTCACCTCCACCATCTCCCACCCCGCCCGTCTCACCGTCCTCGCCGCTACCACCCTCACCCCTGCCAAACCCTCCACCTAGCTCTTCACCACCCTTGCCCCTGTCGCCGTCCCACCCAAGCCCGCCACCGCCTTCACAGCCGCCATCCCCACCGCCTCAGCCTCTGAGCCAACCGCAGCCATTCCCATTGCCTCCGTCACCTTCGCCCCCGCCTCCTCCACCCTCGCCAACTCCCCCTCGGCCCCGCCTTCCCTCGCCACCACCTCCAAACCCGCCGCGTGCTCCGCTGTCGCCGCCGCCTAAGACACCACCTCGCCACCCACCCAACACGCCCTCGCCACCACCGCCACCAACCTTCTTCTGGGCAACGTCCGCCTCGGGTCCCAACGTAAGCCGTTGGACAGCAGCCGCTATCGCCGTATCGGGGTCAAACTATACTTCTTAGGTGTTCGCATGTTGGCTATGCTGCTGCTAGTTTCAGCGGGTGTCAAATGAAGCCGCAAACAGGTTCGGTGTTAAGTGTGAGGCGCAATGGCACAAGTTGTCTGCGAATTGCAGCAGCTTATGATAAACTAGTAAACGCCATCTATTTTGCGCTAAACGAACTGGCCGGAAATTTGCTGCACGATAAACGTACGGCATGTTTCAACGATGCCGTACGACAAGTCGTACGTACCTTCTGCACGCAGGACCCCTCTGGCAGCAGCATCCAACCGGGCTCCGTACAACTGCTGGTGGGGCCGCCAAGCCCGCAAGTCCTTACCGTCAGGGTTTGCAAACCAGCTAGCAAACTCAGCTGGCTGCCCCCCAAAGCGGTGAGTTTCTTCTGGCATGCCATGGCTTGGAACAGAAGGTCAATAGCAGGATGGACTGGCATCGACCCGCCCTGCTCTAGCGTAATGCACGCTCACCCCACTTCACCTTACAACATGCAGGCTCCTCGCTATGCGGTTGTTTACTTCAACCAAAGCTCCCTTGCCAGCCTTCCTGGCAGCGGAGTTGCAGCTGTGGGGGTACATATCCTCAACCGAGGCAGCGTCCCCAGCCCCGCCATTGCTTCCATCGAGTTGCTGCTGCTTGGGCCCGACAAAGTGGTGCGTGGGTGTGTGCGTGGATGGGGAATGCCTTAAAGCAAAGTGCCACGCATGCGCTCTTCCATGCATGCTGCACGATCGAACGGAGGAATGGAAGAGCAAAGGCGCCTGTCTAGGACCACGGTGTCGGCGACAAACTAAGGTTTGGTCTTGCCTGGACCGTGTTTCCCGTACCCGCCACGTACTTTAATCCAAGTTTCCCCCCTTGCTTCCCTGCAGGCCTCGGCTGTTACGGTGTACACTGGCACAGCGGATCAGCAGCTGGAGTGCCCAGGCCTGAACTACTTTGCTTTGTCGGCAGCAACCATGGTGCCCGTCACGACGCCCGCAGCACTTGGCAACCTTCATGTTGTTGGGGCACGGATCAACATAAGCGAGGCAGATGTCTCGGCAAAGGCTGACCTGCCCCATATTGCAGCGATTGGCCTACAGATCAAGTGTGAAGCCGCAAGGCTGGTATCACCGCTCCTTGCCTGTGAGCAACGGAAACGCAAATTGGCACCTTGAAAAACTTCACCATACACTACACCACCACCTCGTATTAGCTGCTTTGGACTGGGCCAACGCCCTTTACCATACTGCTACTGGTTGTCAGTCTATGTTGTGAAGTATTATCAATATTGTTAACTTATCGGTGCGGTAAATGGCCAATAGCACCCTTACTACACGGCTGCCGTGATGCAGTACTTGCTCCTTTTCCGTATCATGCGTTGCTTGAATTCCTTTTACCCGTACAGCGCGCACTTGTTTATTATGGTGTTTGAAGTTGTCATTAACGCCGGTCTTAAGGCGCCGTGTAGGTCACTAGGTCTTCAGCAGGGATGGATATGTCATGGACTTGAACTATAAGTTTGGAACCAGGAACGGCAAAGTGACAGTATGGTATAATTTATTGATGTTTGGAACGGCAAAGTAACAGCCCTATTGCATGTACGTCTGCTGTGATGCCGCACATGCTGCTTTATCAGTATACCATGTGTTATTGACTTCCTTTTACCTATACAGCACGTTCTTTTGTTTCAAAGTTTGGTATGGTGATTGCCCAATAGTACCCCTAATGTACGGCTGTTGTGATGCCGTACGGTACATGCTTCTTTGTACGTCTCATGTGTCCTTTGTTTCCTTTTACCTGTACAGCACGCACATGATGTGCTTGTTTTCGCGCTGTGTACGTGTGTAGTATGTTTGCTGCCTTTGCTTCGCAGCACATACCACTTGTCCCTCGTTTGATTGTAATTTCAGTAGGTGGGCAGGGATGGACATCCCATGGAATTTGTTGGTTCAAACTTGCGTAACGGCTTTGCTTGTTTTGCTCCTGAATAATGAGCGCTGTTCAAGACGTGGCATCGAGGGGGCTCCCTTGGGTCAGTTCTACTCTGTTGTACGTTGTATGATGGTAATTTGCAGTCCTTGTGTGGAGGTGATGATGAAACTAGTGCGGAGTTCTCACATAACCACTTCACGGCGTGTTCCGTTTCTGTTGCAGTGTAGGGTTGGGTTCATCACCTGTGTTCCCATGTAGGGAACCATTGTAGCCGTCATTCATTCAGGCACTGTCATCGCGTGGCAACACGACAACCGCGCCCAGAAGGACTCTCGCATATGTCACTTGCGACCACCACAGTCGACCACCACAGTCAATGCGGCCACCAGGGCCAACGAGGTGTGCATGCGCATGTTTCACGCAACCTACTACAGTGGCAGGCCTACTGTGTGAATACTAGTCCTATGCCTGAAAAACAATCCGTTCCATCTCCGCCAAGAACCCGCCCAGTTCTGCTCCCTGGCCCGCCCCCCCTCTCTCCCTGACCCTCCCCCGCTCACAGGAACAGTCCCTCCAGGTATGCATCCATCTCCTCCTCCGCACTCGCAGCCTCCTGCACCGGCTTGGACTCCCACACGCTCGCATCCGCAGGCAGCGTAACCATGTTCGCCGCCGCGCCTGCCGCCCCCTCGGCCTGCTTCCCCGTCCCTCCTGCCCCTGCGCCTGTAACCCCACCCGCCGCTGCTGCTGCTGCTGCTGTGCTACCCACCGCTAGCGGAGGCGGCGCCACATCGCCTGCAGCCCGCTGCACCTCTGCATCCCCAAGGCCCCCCGACGCGCTTGCCCCACGCTCATCCTCACGCACAGCACCCACGCCTCCTCCTTGCGCGTAGCGGCTTACGTAATCCAGCGCCTGCCGTACAAGCGGGTCGCGCGGCAGTGCTGCCACCTCCTCCTCTTCCTCGCGCCGTCGCTTGCGTGCAGCGGCTGCCTCGCTGGCCTTCCGCAGCTGCTTTTCCTTGCGGTAGTTGAGTTTGAAGGCGCAGGCGGGGCACACGCGCAGCTTCACGAGGGCCTGCTTGCGCTCGCCAGCCTCCTGGGAGGTGTGAGGGTGGGCGGGGAGCGACAGGGGGTCAGGGATGGAGCAGGCCATGGGAAACCATAAGTTGGGGCGCAAACCAACAGGATAGCGGTAGGGGGGAGGTTGGGCGAAAGGGACAGTTGGGCGGAAGGAGAGGTTGGTTGGAAGGAGAGTTTCGGCAGAAGAAGGGGATGTTGGCGGTGGGAAGTACCCTTGTAACGCAGCCTCCACCAGCATTTAGGCATATGGGTCGGTTCCAATTCCACAAAACCAATGTACGAAAAAGCAATGTGGCTTTGACCCGTGACACATGCTCAAGTGTTGCATGACTAATTTCCACAGTCCCCACCCCCCCACCTGGTATACTTTTTTTACCCCACCTGGTAGGCGAAGTTCACCTCGTAGCTGCAGAGGCCGTCCGTGGCGTCGCACCCCCTGGCTCCGCACACGAATTGCCCCTTGCCCGCCATCACCTCCTTCTGAGTGCGCCAACGCATGCCCAGCTTGCTCTGCTTGTAGTACGTCAGGTCAACGATGGCGTACTCCTGCCGTACAGTACGGGCGGGCAAATGGGGGGGACGGTGATCGGGAAACGTTGTAGTACGTTGCTGATACCACCGGTAAAGACTGTTAACATGTGCAGGTTGAGTTCAACTGTTAAGGAAAAGCGGAGTGATGAATGTAAGTGGGTCGGATAGGCCAAGGCGGTTGGGCCGACACTAGGCGATCTTCAAATGCGCCAGATCCCCCTTCCCAACCCCTGCCCGTGTCGACCCTTTTGCATATTCAGCAACTATAGGTTGATAGGGGCGGGAGTTGCACCTTGAAAAGGCGGTCATAGTAGCGCTTAGCCAACCGCGCTTCCCAACTCCCGTCGGTGTCGTCAGCATCGCTGCGAATGAACCGATGATGTTGCATCAACGCATCTGCGTCCGTACGTATGGAAGCTGGCTGCGCGCTGGCCGTCGCGGCATCCCCAGGTCGTGCATAGTATGTCAGGTAGTCGTTAACGAGCTTCTTGTGTCTTTCTACAGCGGTCAAACCCGCCAAGTTGCTTGCGTAGTACTGTGCGCTTTGCACGCGGCCAAACGCCTCGCGTCGCACATCCCCAAAGTGTGCCATTTTGGTGAAGGACACCGGAGTTAGGAAACAGGTAGGTCCATCACATCCTAACCACCACGTAACTGTTGATGTAATAAAAACCTCTTTGGGCGAGCGATGGCGTTTTGGGTTAAATCTGGTCGTATGTGATTTGCTGAAACAGTACCGGTATGCAGACACACTTCAACGCTTATATAGGAATACCTTTTCTTCCGTCTCTGAACAGGAGAACGCGCGAACCGCACGTATGCAGTACAACGTGTCGCAAATGTGCCGTAAAGAGTGGGGTGGACGGGCGGTGACCGTACATCCAGGCACCCTACGTGGTCAGCACAGGTCTAAATGCCCTACCTGTTCAGCATCCCCACTGTCCCATCATGTTAGTCCCGCTGTGGTCAATCCCAGCAAGGACGAAAGTCTAGCAAGCATCATTGACCACTTGTCATCTGGGTTGTGGGGTGTCCAGGAGCATAGTATGGAATACGTCCGTGCGTATGAGAAGCGTGGCGTGGCTTGGGACAGGCAACTTAGGAAAGCGCCGGTGCCGCCAAGACCCCACTGCAAGTTGCACGCAAGTATGCCGGTTCAACCATAAGGCCATGAAACAGCCCACCGTGCCTTTCCTTACTCCACCGTGACTTTCCTCACTAGCAGCATGACACTTTTGCATAGCTGAATAATTCGTATACATCAATGCGCGGGACTCGACGGACTCGGTTGTCCTGTTGTCCTTATCACAACGATCATAAAGAAGTGTTTTTCTTACTATTGTCCGTGGGTTTTTCTGGTATCGTATCTCCGACTGGAGCACTGGACTCGTTATGTTGGAGCTTGCCTAGATCCAGCTGTCGTGCAGGATGTTATGCGGCAGGGCTTTCGTGGAAAAAGGAGCGCCACGGCTTTGCCTCTTATAACGCTTTCGTATGCACGTGGGCTAGCAGGTATGGTATCTGTTCGTCCTCTGCCGCAGCCCTTGGTTGATAAGGTCCGCACTGGTGTGACCTTAAACAGCTTCCATCAGGCCGTAGCAGAACTTTTAGCGAACGCCTTAGACGCTTCAGCTCAGAGCATTGTCATAAAGTTCAGCGCAGGTGCTCTTACTTTCACTGTCGAGGACGATGGACATGGCATCCATGGTGAGGACCTTGACGTCCTGGGTAGCCGGTACAGTACATCCAAGATGCGAAGTATGGCTGATCTTCAAATTGGACTGCGAACGCTTGGCTTCCGTGGAGAGGCCATCAGCAGCGTATGCGAATCATCTGCTGAAGTGAGCATTACGACACGCGCACGTGGCTGCTTTGAGACCTTGACAAAATCGGTCCGCGGGGGCGGCAAGGAGGCGCTGGTTGGGCCCAGCGCCTCGCAACTCACGCACTCCGGCACCATCATAACCGTCAAACGATTCCTCTTCAACCAACCGGTCCGGCAACGACAGCTGGCGGCCCAGCACGAGTAGGTTCAGTACACGCGCAAAATAGCAAAGCATCCCTCCACGTCAGGTTCAGGTCTGGTACCAGGGGGCTAGACCCAGCCGACGCAGATGTATTGAAAACAGCTTGCAGGGAGTGCGGAACCTGACCTGAATTACGACAACCTGAGATGGTCAGATGATCCATCTGGGTCCATCCTTGGTTTCCACTGCAGGGATGTGGAGGCGAACACCGTCCAAGCTGTGCTACGCATGGCGCTGCCTTACGTGGGCGTGAGCGTGGCGTTGGTGCGAGCACCTGCAGGCCAGGTCTTGCTGCATCTGCCCCGGGTAAGCGGGCATGGCCACCTGGTTGACCGAGCGAACTCTCCGCAGCAGGGGTCTATATCACCATCTTGCGACACGGGAACATGCAGGATTGTTGTTTTGGCTGCACGCCTGGCTTGCACGCAGCAGCTGCTCTGCCTTCAGGCCCATCTCCCCCACCCGCCGCCCTATCCCTAGCACACCCTTTAAACGCCCACCACGCCCACTTTCGGCCATCGCAGGGTCGAGAATTGATCACCACCTTCCGGTCCCTCGCGCCGGAGCAGCCACCCACGCTGCCGCTGCTGACGGCCATCGGTGAACGAGCAGGCTACACCGCACGCGCCGTCCTGGGAGCCCTCAGCGCAGCCTACCCACATCCGCAACACCAGTACGTCTACGTTAACCGCCGCTACGTCCTCAGCACGCCGCTGTCCGCGCTACTCAACGCGCACTTCCAGCGCGGCTACCTGAAGGCCGGCTACCACTGCCAACAGCAACAGCAGCAGCAACGTGGCGAGGCACTCGGCAACGTGACGGGCTCCAGTGGCAGCGTGAAGGTCTTCCCCGCCTTCCTGGTGCTGATTGAGTGCCCGTACGGCGACTATGACGTCACCGCTGAGCCAGACAAGTCCGACATCGTGTTCAAGGACGTGTGCGTCGTGCAGCAGTTGCTGAGGGGCTTGGCGGCGCAGGCATGGGGCTTGGGTCCTGGCCGCATGGAGGGCTCAGCAGAGCGTGACACCCAGCAGTGCCGCCGGTCGGGTGGTACGCAGCCGGGAGCAGGCACTGCAGGTAGTGCGCCTGCTGGACACGCCCATGCATCGTCTGAGGACGTGGCTGCGGCAGCAGCCCTCGCCGGCAGGATCAGCTTTGAAGAGCTGCAGAAGGATGCCTCTCCCACGCTCAGTCGAGCGCTCGCGCAGCAGCAGGCAGCACAGCGCCGCGCGACGGCGGCTGCAGCGGCGGCGGCGACGACGACGACGGGCGTGCGCATGCCGGGAGCGCTGTGCAGTTTGCTGCAGCTGCAGGCATCCGGGAGCGGCTACAATCTGGGTCAGTCGAAAACCATGAGCCTGGCAGCCGTGGCGGCAGCGTCGACTCCGGGGGAAGAGGCAGCAGCAGGTGGGCTGAAGCCGCGCGCAGACCTGACTCATGGTGGCGGTAACGGAAAGTCGAGCAGCGTTCAGGATACCACGGTCCCCTACGCGGCCAAGACTGCAGGAGCTGCGGTGATGGCACGTGCAGCATATGGCTGCCGTGACGACACCGTTGATGGGGGTGAAGGAGACACCGACCGGCGCAGTGAGCGCTTACAGGCCGTTCCGGACGTGCGCTTGCAGCAGGAGCCGGCCCTCCGCCTCACATCCGCCCATGGCTGTCAGGACAGATCTGCAACAGGCAGCGTGAGGTTGTCTTCCATGTACGAGACCGTGGCGAAGAACGGAGGCTACGCTGCGGCATCAAACTCAGCTGCGCATTCCTTGAAGGCATGGGAGGGTTATGATGACCTCGCTGCCCTCGCCTTGGACCACGCCTGGCCAACTCCTAGCCATCCGCCCCCATCCCTGGCTTTGTCGTCAGCAACGAACGTGGCTGCTGAGGATGATTTCAGCCCTGGTGTGTCCCCGGACATGCTGCTGTTGCGACCACGCACCGGCGTCCCATCTGCCAGCCCGCTGCCTGAGATCAGCCCCGGCCTGGAAAACCTAGGCGAGTCTGAGCCTCGGTACGGCAGTCGCGGGCGTGGCGGGCGGCATGGAAGCGAGGGTGATGTAGGGGGCGTCCGCTTCTACCCTGCACCGCATGACGGCGGCTCCGGCGTGTGCAGCGGTGCGGGTGACGAGCTGGGGATGAGCCCCAGGTTGCGTAGCGACGCTTCCGGAGCAGCAGCACGAGGCCATGCAGTCCAGGCGCTGGCAGTCACGCCCGACTTCCCAGCTACAGCGCTCATGGACCGGGCTAGCTGGCGCGAGGTGCTGGACTGCCAGGTATCGCCGGTCCCTTGGCATGTGGAAGACAATGCAAGAAAGCAGTCGGGGGCGTGGGCAGCGGCAGCGGCAGCATGCAGCGACGGGCGCTGCGGTGGGGCCTCCCCAGAGGATGACACCTGGCAGCTGGGGCTCACCGGGTTTGACCGTCTTGGAGGCGCACAGGAGAAATGGGCGGGCTTACCCCAGGCTAGGAGGTTCTGGGAGGAGGAGGATAGGGAGGAGGCAGATGGCTCCGGCTTACTTGCTGAGCTGCGGCGTCACGGGGAGCAGCACACGAGAGGTGGCGGCTTGCGGCGTCAGGGCGCATTAGGATTGCCGCTAAGTCCAACCTTCTCCCTTGGCGATGACCCATGGGACAAGTCGTTTGTGGGTTGTGTCGAGAGCCCGTTGCCATCGCCCCTGCCGACAGCCAGCGGTCTGGCCAACTCAACTGCAGCAGCTGAGGTGGATGGCGGCAGGGAGAAGCCACTTCCGGCGGCCAGAGGCGCCCCCAACCCATCTTCTCTACCGACAGGTGCGTTCGAGGCGAATATGGGCCACGTAGCATGAGCCGTGACACTCGATGCCCATGCGTGCCAAGTGTGCGCACACGCATGTTCGAGGTACGGGTAGCTATTGCGCTCTACTGCGCTTGGGTAACATTGTGACGTCCCTTGATTCTCCCCCGATCACAGTTTTGGTAATGCAGCCCCTTCCTGCCGTCGCCCTTTTCCCCCAACCGCCCACAAGCAGCAGCTGGCTTGGACAGCCTCCTCAACAACCTCCGAGACACCCCAGACATGGCCGTCGCGCCTGCTATGCACGCTGTACCGTTCCGGCGCACAGCACGAGCAGACGCCGCCGCGTGCCCGCCCGTCTGCCGTACCTCTGCACCCGCAGCATCAGCCGCTACTGCAGCCATGCAGCCTGCCGCAGCAGCTGCAAGGCCCGCTGAGGCCCATGAAGCAATTGTCGCAACCAACAAACAGCTGCCAGCCGATTTAGAAGCACCCGCCGCTACTCCAGGGCCTGAATCCCGCAAGCCGCAGCAGAACGGCCCTAACGCTGCGCAGCAGCGGAGTCCAGTGCTGGTGGGCGTGGCTTTGCCGGTCAAGGACGCAGGCGGCGCCAACGGCGCTAGCAGCGGTTTCGGAGCCTGCGACGGAGCAGCAGCAGGCGATGAAGAGGAGGAATCCATATCGCCTCTGGCACGCTTCCTCAGCTTTGCCCATGTGGGAAGCGAGCCTGGCAGCGCAACGCACGAGTACAACACCCCAATCGCAGCCATGACACCGCATTCCAGCACTCAGAGGTCCGTAATCGGCAGCGTCGGCGGGAGCAGCGCAACGCAGGCGGAGTTTTCGGAGGCGATTGATACGAAGAGCTCTGATCCACGTGATCCGGGTTCTACCAGCGCACCCCAACCTCCTAAGCGCTCGGCAAAGAAAGCAGCTGCAGGAACGCCAGCCCCGGCGCACCTCTCATCTGCGTCCCAAACCTCAACCTGCGACGATGGCGACGTGAGCCTCGTAGCCCCAACGACAGCCATGGTTATTGTACAGCGCCCTGAGGCTGCTGGGGCTGCGGCCGCCACAACACCAGTCGCTGCTGCAGCTGTAGCCGCAACGGTGCTTGCCGTTGACGCCTTGTTCGCTGTTCCTGGCGCCTTCGATAGGCGCTTGCCGCGCTCGCCGTCGCGGCTGGTGCATTCAGCTCCACCACACCACAAGAAGCGAGCCAGGGCGGTCCATGGCCAACACAGTTGCAGCATGACCGCCGCTGGAGCCGCCATGCCTGTGATGAAGCAGAACACTGGCCTTGCAACGCGCCAGGGCGCAGTTGCAGCAGCTGCCGGCGTGGCAACAGCAGCAGCTACACCAAATGTACAGGCTGCTGGCCATGGAGAGGAGGCTGCAAGGGCAACCAACGCGTCAGATTGCAACACTGCGCTTGCCGACCAGGCGGCGGATCACGCACCCCACGCAGGTATTCACATGGAGGTGGGCGCAGCTGTTTCTGATGTTCAGGGACCCGCATCGCACGCCCTGCCGCACTCCGCCATACCTGCACCCGGCGGCAGCTCCGCACCGTCAAGGCCGCCTCCCATGCAGTCGCAGGCCGGAGGGCTGCACGTGTGCAGCTTCTTTCGCGGCGGACGTGCCACCCCTGCCGTGCGCAATGACGCAAGGAGCCTACCCGCTCCGCTACCACCGCAGCAGGCGCCTCCTCCGGCCAAGCAAATAGTAACACCGGGTCCTGCCGCAGAGACTGCTCCTATCCCGCAGGCTGTCGGTTCGACCAGCATGGCAGTCGGACACACGGGAGCTGCCTCCGGCGCGCAGCACGACCCCATGGTGCAGGAAAGCGCTGCCGCTGGAGGTCAGGTTCCTGGGGAGGAGCTGCCGTCTGGTGGGCAGCGCAACAAAAACACCGGCAGCAGCCGCTCTGGTGCGGGTAGGACCGGTCTCCCTGCTGATGATGGCAGTGCAGGGCTCGACAGTGCATGCAGCGCACGCGCTGCACGCAGCAGCGAGGGCAGACGCCCTGGGACGGCCTCGCTCTCCTCGGCGAGGAAGCAGACAGCCAGCATTCTGAGGCGGCCGTCTTCCTCCGCAGGCGGCCCCGACTCGCGCACCCCCAAGCGTGTGCGCTTCCAGCTGCCGACCGAGGCAGGGAACCCGAAAGGGGTGCTGGAGAAGCAGGCCGGGCTACAGACGTCGCAGCTCACGCCATTCCTGGCTGTGCCGCGGCCTCAAGCAAGGGCGCCGGAAGAGGATCGCAACGTTCTTGTCCTGCAGCAGCAGCAACAGCCGCAGGGGAAGCCGCAGGCGGTGGTAGCCGTCGGCAGCGCGATAGAAGCGCGGGTAGCTGCACACGGCACGCCAACGCTGCGAGCGCCAACGCATTCCACGCCAGGTCCAGTCGCCGCTACCGCTACCGCCGCCGCAGCAGCATCAGCGCGCCCGGACAACACCATTCACCATGAGCAAAAGCCGCAGCAGCAAACCAGCTACAACCGCGGCAAACCAACGGAACAATCTTACATATTCCCGCCATTCCCAGTGGGCTTTGAGGCCTCAGCCAAGGACCCGTTGCACCTGCTGCAGCAGCCGTCCGTGCTGGGACAGCAGCCCTACAACATGAGGGGTAATCTTCTGTCCATAGAGCACGACCTGGCTCGGCTTGCGGCTCCGGGCGAGCGGCTGGTACCCACAGACGTGTCTCGCAGCACGCTGGGCAGCGCTACCACTGTGATGAACCAGGTAAGGTGAGAGACCTGAGAGGCCGCGGCCGCATCCGGCATCCCCGTGTGCTGGCGAGGCCCAACGTGGGTCCTTTTCGCTGCAGCAAGTCCCCTCCTCATACCTCTTTGCGTGTCCATGCATGCATGCTGCGTACGTGTGTCACGTCCGTACCCATTGCTAACCAACTGCATGTTCGCATCCATTGCATCCATTGATGCCCGCAGGTGGAGCGTCCATGCATGCATGCGTGCGTATGTGTGTCACGTCCGTACCCATTACTATCGGTAACCACCGGCTTACGGCACCTACTGCTACCCGCAGGTGGAGCGCAAGTTCATTCCGGCCATGGCGGCCGACGGTACCCTGCTCATCTTGGACCAGCACGCAGCCCACGAGCGGGTGCGGCTAGAGCAACTGACCGCACAACTGCAGGCACGCATTGCTGCCTCCTCCGTTGGCAACAACAACGACAGCGGCACTGGTGGCCGCGAAAGCAGTGGTGGCGGAGGCGGTGGCAGCAGCAACGGGCCGGCTGCAGAGGTGTTGGGTTGTCAACAGCTGCCCAAGCCGCTGCAGCTGCAGTTGGCAACAATGGAGGCGGCGACGCTCGTACGGCATAAAAAGTTAATTTCTGCATGGGGATGGAGGCTACGGCCGGTCGGCGGCGTACGGACGATTAAGCACAAGGCAGGTGATGCTGTCGGCGGTGCAGCGGCCTGCGGTGGCGGTGGTGGTAACACAAGCACATGGCTTGGAGTGCTGGATGGTGGCGCCGAAGAAGAGGAAGGAGCTGCGCCGCTTGGGCCGCTGCAGCATGTTGTGTCTGGGGAGGAGGCTACACAGCTGCTGGCCGGCGTGCCGTGTGTGTACGGCACATTGCTCAGCAACCCTACAGACCTACGGGTAAGGCCCACATGTCCGCACTGCATCGCATGTGAATACAGGTCTACATGCATCCATGCGTCCAGCGGTTAAGCGTTCCAGCCTTGCAGCGACTCGCCGGCGGTCAGGACCTAACCCACCACCCTGTTTTAGCCCATCGCTCCCTAGACCCACCACCCCCTTTTCAGCACATCATCATACCGTACCTCAATCCCCTCCTCCTCTGCTACCCCTCCTCCGCACCAATACTTCCCTCCCCCATCACCTCCACGCCCCCCCAGGTCTACCTACACCAGCTTCACGAGACCGGCGGCGCCGCACTGCTGCCGCCTGCCGTGCTGCGCGTGCTGCGCTCCAAGGCCTGTCGCAGCGCCGTCATGTTTGGCGACCAGCTGGCGCCAGAGGAGTGCGTCTTGCTGCTGGGTCAGCTGCGCCGCACCGCCCTGTGGACCCAGTGCGCGCACGGGCGGCCCACTGTGGCGCCGCTGGTGCATGTACCCACGTTGCGGGCTGTGCTGAAGCGAAGGCGCTGCGTACGGCAGTTAGGGCTGGGGCATGGGGTGGTGGGGGCCGAGGGCGCCCCTTGGCGGCGGATAACGGCGAAGGGGCTGAGGGCGGCGCTTGCGAGGGGTGGGCTGCGTGAGGGCAGCGGTGGGAGGGGTGAGGAGCAGGAGAGGGAGAGGCGTGACGGTGAGCGGTCTGAGATGGAATAGACTGAAGCTCCGTGCCGCCGGTTTGATTCATCGGTAATATCCGGTTGCATGTGTTTATGGGTCACCAGCTGGAATGTGTTTGACCGGTGGTGGCCGCGTTTGCAGGTGTGCATCCTTGTCTTTCCTGCGCAATAGCTGGGGAGCGGAAGGTCCCACATAGGTCTGCCGTGCAGGTGGCCGTGTATCTGTCGCTGTCTTGGGGTTTCGCAGGCTAGACCGAACCGAGCATTAGCTTCCGCTTGCCGCATTGGCAGCCTTGGCAAAGCCCAGACTACACGATCCTATGTATTCTCCTTGTGGATTCCACGCTTATTGCCGTACTTGTAGCAGGCTGGAAAGCGGGTTTAGTATGCATTTAAGATGGCCATGACATGGTTCATATATATCGTGTGATGCATTAACTTTTTCGTCAATCCCTCTTCATGAAAGTTCGACGCATATTAACAGTGTGCCGTAGAAGTGTCGTAGCGGTGATGTCTGGGTCGTATACTGCACAGCCTGAACACTTCACCTGTACCTTCCATGCCGCCCTCCTTCGCTGTACGAACAGTATAGCTATGTATAATCCTTAGTATGCTTTTTGTCTCGTACGGTTTGTTGGCGGTGCTGTACGAGTATGAATGAATGACCGTTACAATGGTGCCCTAAAAGGGAACACGGGTGATGAACCCAACCCTACATTGCAAAAGAAACGGAACAAACCGTAGAGACAGCACCACAACGGGCCAACAAGATGGGAGACATAGCCCTAAAAGAAACCTCAGGAGGGAAACAAGAGGGTAGAAGCCAACAAAAGGCCCCTCAGCAAACCTCGACAAACTTCATCTAGGGCATAAGACAACCCATGTAGTATTTCCTGATGGTGATGACCTCAGCATGCGTGCATGTACCGGTATGTTATGTTCCGCAACCGGAGGCATGTACATATGCTGTAAGGGCATTCCGGCTCGCTGAGAGGCAAGGAATTGAGATGCATATCTAAGTGCTTGGGTGTATTTGGGTGCTTGGGTGTATTGTAACCAGTTTGGAAGATCCAAAACGTCCGGTAGCTTGGGAGCTAAGGCGCCCATGCACGTAGGCCGGCGTAAGCGCCAAGATACAGCACCACCCATGCTTGCTACTGCCACGCTACACCACTACCAAGAACGACGACTTGGATATCCATGATTCGAATTCAAAGCACCCGTCAACCCAAGCCCACAAGAGCGCACGCCTGGGACTCACACGCTTTCCAGCCCTGCCACCGGTAGCGGTTTCCGTACTCAGATCTGGCGGGCGGTCTGGGAGAGCCACAGCATGCCCAGCAGCCGCACAGCTGCAGACACGGGGAAGGGGTGGTGGAAGGGGGCAGTTGGAAAGCGGGAGGGGGGCATGCGGGACCGGCAGGCGTGCGAGATAGTGGAGCTGGCAAGCGAGGTAGACTGTACGGTCTTGAGCTGAGAGGCGGCAGGAAGAACACAGCAAAGTCACAACACCGGTTGCGCGTTCACAAGCAGTCCCCAAATACCCGCAAGCGCCCTCACCCGATATCCTGCCCCGTAGGCGTCCTGTAGCTACCGCCGCCAGCAGCAGCAGATCCAGCAACAACCGGCCTGCCGCCAACCACCGTACGGCACCCAACAACCGCTGCTGCTCCTGCTCCTCTGCACCCTTTCCTTCCTCCCCGGCCTCCCTCTGCTGCCGCCCCCAAAGCGCATGCACGGCACCCGCCGAAACCACCGCCGTACATGCAGGTATCAAGACGTCTGCAGCCACCGCAGCCAAGCCAAACAACAGCGGAGACAGGGACTGCTGCAACGCTGGGGCTGCATGGGACAGCAGGGAGCCCGCGCCCCCCGCCGCGGTTCCCCCAGCGGCAGCCATGCCGGCGGCAGCCGGTGCAAGGCTGGGCGCTGCCACCTCCGCCAGCTGTAGCGCCGCCAGTACGGCAACCATGCAAGCGGCGCCGCCAGCTCGGAGGGCCGTCAGGGTGGCGGCTTGCGGCCTGGGGTGGGTAGCGGTAGCGGGCACATAACACCTACCCTGAGTTTCCATGTTCGCCCACGCGCTTCTGCAATCGCAGCCTGCCCCCACCTGTCTAGCTCCACACGCGTTCGTGACGCGTCCCTCCATCACCCCTTCCTATTCCGTACACCCGTACAGTCAATCCCTGTGCAGGAAGGGTGACATGGGTCGCGGTTCGCGTACCTGCCCCGCGGCCGCAGCGGCAGCGGTATGAGCGGCGCCAGGAAGGGCCGCAGGGGCATTGCCATGGCCAGCAGCACGCCTCCGCCCGCGGCCAGCCCGCCCAACTGCGCGGCAGCCCCCAGCCAGGGAGCAGCTGGGTGGAAGGAAAAGGGGGGAAAAAAGAAATTCCAAAGTGTGGTATGATAATGATACAAGTTGCTGACAATCCCTGGTGGAATCAACCGTGAGTCGAGCCGTGAGGGGGGAGGAGGGTAAAGAGGAAGCGACTAACGATGGTAACGAACCGAAGGAGGGGGAGAGAACGGCAGCGCATGGGGAGTTGTGGGAGCAGCGGGAGTGGCTATCCGTGGAGATTCCGGAAGGAAAGGAAGAAAACGGGGTCTGTGGACCCAGGTAAGGAGGCAGTGAGTGCGGATGCATGTCTCGCATGCGTATACCCGGCCTACCAGTTTGTATCGCCACCGCTGTCGCCCGGAAGGCGCCGCTGAGCCGGCAAAGCGAGGGCAGCAGCGCCTGAGCCGCCCAGCTGACGAGGGGAGCTGCACCCGCCTCCTGCATATTGTCATGCGGAACGAGGGGGAACTGGGGACCCGTACACGCGGGCGGTAGGTGCGGGTCCAGCAGCCCTTACCGTGATGCCAAGATAACCCGCTGCTTTGCTTGCTCCTCCCGTCCTCGCACCCAGGTATGTACCTTACCACCACACCATTCTTCCGATCCCCCTTCCCACGCTGCTATCCACCTAGGGCCTTCGCCACTCTCACTGCTGCACCCTTGACCGGTAGTCAGCACCGGCAGCCAACAACGGCCCCACCTGTAACGCCGCCAGGACTTGCTCGCGACCGCCGCCACCGCCGCCGCCACTGACCCCGCCGGCAAGTCCCGCAGCCGTACGTAACGCCACATCGACCCAATCCACCGCCGCCACCGCTGCCGCCGCCGCCGGGTCCGTAGCCGCCGCCGCCGCCGGAGTCGCTACGAGGGAGCTAAATGCGGTTTTCGCAAGACTGGCAGCGGCGGCCAGGGTGGCATAGGCTGCACTGACAGGGCCCACTGCCAGCAGCCTGTGTGTCGTGGGTTGGGTGGGGGGTGCATGATGGGGTGTTGTGTTGTGGGGTGGGGGGTGCGTGTTGTGGTGTTGTGATGGCGAGCGGTGCGTGTTGCAGTTTCCTGAGATATAAGGGGAAGAGAGTACCATGTGCGGGCTTTGGACCACGTGCGGTACAACATGTGATACCGGTATTGGTATGACGCATGGGACTACTGCCGGTGACATCCCAGCGCCGTTTGCTTTCCCCCCCGTCAAGCTCCTACCATGTTGCACCCCACGTGGCTGCAACCAAGTACACGCCCGCGGGCCACCGGGCGGCGGGCCCTCCTGCGTCAACAGCCCTCCCTGCTGCTGCTGCTGCCTCCAGCTGCCGCTGTCCTTCTGGCTGCCGTACATCTAGTTCTTGCTGCTGCTGCTGTTGATGCTGCTGCTGGTGCTGCTGCTCTTGTTGCGAGTTCTGTCCCGGAGATTGCAGCACGTGGGGAATGCCTCCATCGCCATTGCTGCTGGCGCCTTGGCCGGAAAGGGCTGTCCCTTCGCTGCTACTACCCCGGCTCGCCTGGCAAGCAAGGAACCCAGATCGCTTGTTTTGCGCTGTTAATGGCGGTGAAGAACATGGAGGCCCTTCCAGGGGCTGATGGACGCATTGAAGGGACTGGCGGGACTGGGGCAGCGCTGTTCGGCTGCCCAGGGCCTTGGGGATGATGGTACTGGTAGGGGCATGTTGGGAGCTGCAGCGGCAAGGGTGTCGCCGCTGGCGAGCTAGCGCTTGGGCGAAACCGTGGAGTAACGATAGGCGGTGGTTGGAGGCGCTGGCAGGAGGGCGAGTTGCACAGCCGTGCACGCGGTCTCGAAGCATGGATCGAGGATGTCCGGCTGGCGGAGACAGGGATGTGTCGCGAGTTGCTGGGTACTTCAGAATGATACCGTATTTACGTAGTTACTTAAGTAAGAATATATGCTGTTACAGAAATAGAAGCGGGCTTTGCCGATTTGCGTTAGGCCGTCGCCAATTGCAAGCGGCGGATGCGACGACTCTTGCCGATATGTTACGCACAGACTGTGAAGTCAAGGTATGAAACGCATCATATAAAACGTAATTGGTGCCAAGCAGGTAAAGTTGTAATACAAACCAGAAGGACAGTGTTGGTGTCGCGGGCAGTCGTGCTGTACGGCTTTACGGCTACCTCGACTCAACCCCGACCCTTACCCGATAAGTGTGCAAACCTTCTTTCTGTCGCTAGCTGTGCAAGAGGGGCGAGGCAATCTGCCCTCGGTTTGTTGCTTACTGCACTTTGCGACAGGACATGCCTAAGACATGCGGAACCCCCAGGTGGCAAAATAAATGATAAGTGCAGCGACGAGTCCCAATCAGCGGGCTTTCGCCGTTGCAGCGTGCGTGAGCATAGTCTTACCAGACACTTGAGAGTAGGGAGCGTTGCCAGATAACCCTGCGCATGCAGTAATGTTGCCCTGCAATACTGGGGAGTGCATATATTTCTGGGGAGTGCAACTGTAACTAACGTTGCAGTGAAGTTTACATTTTAGGATACCCTGATCTCATCATTCCTGACTAGCAGGGGGATATTGGGCAATTCTACGAAGGGTCGGGGCAAGGTGTTGTCGCAAGGGAGCCCTACGACATGAAAGTTTGGGGCACACGTCTTCAAGTCATTCTCTGCACTTTCGGCGCCTTGTGGTATGTCCTAGCGCCGGTTTGCATCTAAATTACGCGTCAGGCAGTCCAGCTGTCCTTACCTTTTATGAAGGCTGTACGACCGGCAATCGCAGGGGAGCCGAGGGGATTCTGGGGAATGTTGCTTTCAGATAACGATTTACTTTTGTCAACGGCGTGGCTTGGTACATATCTCGGCATTCTTGCAGGTTGCGCATGCGTGTCCGCTTTAAGATTGAGCTTAAGCGCAATTGGCGGGTAATTTACATGCCCTAGCTGCAATACGTTCTCACTATACTTTTGACACACTTCATACCGTGCTAACTTATACCTGCAAGCTTGCTGAATAGAGTTCAACCTCCATGGCCTTTTCCAAAATCGCATTTGATATTGGTGCTTAACAAGTAAGAGTACGCAATGGATCGGAAAAAGCAGGAGGAATTGCAACGCGTCGGTCGCCAGCGGGTAGGCACTTTAAGGGATAGTCCTCCGCTCAGCATGCATTAGTGACACATCGTTTCTGCTCACAGCTTGAGGAATTTCGCAAGCATAAAGCCGAGAGGCAAGCCGTAGCCTCTACTAGCAGCGGTGGTCCTCCCTCTGGCGGCTTGACGACAGAGGTAGGCAAACGCGTCGATCTGCCGCTACCTCCTCTGGTAGTGCTCACCGCCCCTCTGCCCTGCTTTCGAACTGTACAGACCGTTGCAACTACTTCGGCGACCTCGGGGCCTGGTAAGTTCACCACCGAAAACCCGCACTTGACGCGTCAGCCTCTTCCCTAACCATAGCTGTGCGTTACAGGATTGACTCCAAGGAAGTCCAACCGCTCAACCCCAGCAGCAAGCGAAGCCAGGCAAGTCAATGTCGCTTTTTGGAGGTGTCCTGGGGATAAAACTGCTGTTCCAAGGCTGTTTTTCCACCCCAAGCTGCGAAACCGCAATTCTCCTTCTCACCTCCGCCCCCCTCCTTTGTATCAACCTCCCCTTATGCAGCACCCCCTCGTCTGCGCCGGCGGCCCTAGCCGCAACCTCTACCGCCACCACCACCACCGGCACGACCATGGCGCCGCCCACCTCTTCCTCCTCTGTCGCCATGGACCTTCTGAACAAGGAACTGGCGCAGATGCGGCTGCGGGTGGCTCAGGCGGAGAACCGGGCCAGGGAGGCAGAAGCACGCGTGTTGGAGGCAGAGGTGGGCATCGAGGGCAGGGACGGGTTGGTCTTCATGCGATTTAGCCCCGACCCAAATGCCCTTTTGCTTGTTTCCTTGCTTTCCTGCACTAGGGAAGTTAGGAGTGCAAGGCACGTACGGGCGAAAGGCCATTTGGGTCGGGGCTAAACAGCATGAAGAGAAGCAGCTACTGCGCTATCCATGCTGCTCTTTTCCTGCTTCTCCGTTGCTTGATGTACGGTAACACCTCGACTGCGCCCTTGGATGCGTTGGATAAGGGTTAACGGCTCACACGTCACTGCTCCATCCCTGTACCTCTCATGTAATTCCCGATCCTTGCTGCACCAGGCCCATCTGTCTGCTGCCCGGGCTATACCCACCACTCCCCGTGGAGGCCGCGCATGCGTCTCAACGGGCGGTGTTGTGGCAGCGGGGGCGGCGGAGGCAACCCTGAGGAGCTTGGAGGAGGCCCTGCAGGTGGGGGCCACGAGCCATGGAGGAGGGAGGGCGGGAGGGAGGGAGATGGACAGCTAGGTTGACAACTCCTCGCCCACCTCCAACTCTTGCCCCGCGCCTTCTCAGTTCCTTCTAGCATGCATTTGAAGCCCCTTAAGCTCTCACCCTCAGTATCTTCACACCTCACCACACGCATGCACCTTCACATACCTCTTCTTCGCATCCACACACCCCATCTTCGCACCCCATGCACACCATCTTCCCTCCCCGCCCTCAGGAGGCCCAGCAGGAGCGCGAACGTACGGAAGCCGCCCACCATCAGCTGCAGCAGCAGCTGGCCGCCAGCCAGGCGGTGGAGGCGGGGCTCCGGCAGCAGCTGGCGGCGGCGCAGCAGCGGGCGGAGGGCGCGGAGGGGCGTGCGGAGGCGATGCAGGGGGAGCTGCAGGAGGCGGAGCGGCGGCTGGTGGCGCAGCAGGGACAGCATCGGAAGGAGATGGAGCTGGCGGCGAAGAGGCTGGTGGAGGCGACGGTGAGGGGGGCGAGGGGGGCTGCGGAGTGATGACTGATGAGGTGAATGTACATGGACATATAAGGATACGGTTCGGCATCTCGTTGGTCTGCATGCGGCTCTTACATCGTCATTGACAATGTTTGGTGCGGGAGTTCTCATGGCCGCGGCTGCGGGTTAACCCGTCTCCTCCCTAGCGTCCTCACTAACTGCGCCGTGTCCACCTCGCCATCCTTCTGCCCTCCCCGGCCCACATGGTTTCTTTTTCTTCATACCTCGTCCGCCCCAGCACCGAATGGCCTCCCTGGAGGAGGAGGCGGACCAGCAGCGGGCCCGGGCGGAGCGGGTGGAGGCGGAGGTGGCCAGAGCCACTCAGCTGGCGGCTGCCATGCAGGTGTGTTAAGGAAACTGGCCGCGCGTCGGAACATACTGTGCTTGCCGGAAGGTGTGTAGTTGAGTAGAACAAGTGCAAGCAGTCGGGATAGGTTCGCATGTGAACCGCGAGTACGCGTGTGTGTGGAGACCGTTGGGAGTGGTGCACCGCGCAAAATACTGACCGTGACCGGTGGAAGACGGAAGATGGTTAGTGGGGTTGATGTAGATGTGTCGTAGTTGGGAGACGCAGTCAAGAGGCTTGCCGGTCGCATGTCGTGAGGGGCTCCACAGCAGTAGCAACTCAGCAGTGTCCTGTTTCTAACGGATTGCCAACGTGTGTGGGGCGCCTCCCGCTCTCTCCTCCGTCCCTACCGCAGGCCCAAGTGAGGGAGCTGGAGCGCAGTGCGCAGCAGGAGCTTGCGGAGGCCCGGGAGCAGGTGCGTCTGCGAAAATACCGTTATGCAACCCGCTTTTCCTCGCACTCATGTCATGACCCACATCGCATATCCCACCTGCTACCCGCCCTGACATCACGTGTGCCTTCCGCTCGCTCTGATCTCCGTTGTCCCACCTGATCCTCGCCTCTGACTTCCCGCCCTCCCCCCGCTGCTGCTCGCCATCCAGGTTTCCTCCCTCCAGCAGGAGCTGGCCGCTCGCGACGCCGCACTGGCTGAGGCCACCGCCGCCTCGCAGGCTGCAGAGCACAAGCTGGATGCCGTGCGGGAGTACGCTGCGTCGAGTGTGGAGGAGCTTAACACCGCTAATGAGAGGCTAGCGGCGCTGGAGGGAGAAGTGGAGCAGGTGGGTTGCTAGCATGCCAGCGGGTGGTGGTGGTGGATGTGATGCTGCTTGCTGGAACAGCGTCCGGAGTGCCGGGGTCATGTTGCTGCTTGCCTGGCCCACTTGGGTTTTCGCTAGCCGGTACTGCTGGTACCGGTACCTCTCTCCAGAGCCCTACTTCTTTCCGTAGTCTGGTACTCCGATACCGCTCCTTCGTTGCTTCTGGCTGGCACCTTGACGACCTCGTCCCTGTGCATTGTCGTACCCTACCACTGCCCATGTACAGCTCCGCACCTCTGCAACTGAGCTCTCACAGCAGCTAGCCGAGGCGGAGTCGCAGCGTCAGGCGCAGCAGCAGGCGGCCGAGCAGCTGCAGCGGGAGGGCCAGGCGGACCGCGAGAAGCTCGTCGCGCTGTTGGCGCAGGTTTCGGAGCTGGAGGCGGCCAAGGGTGCAGCGGAGGCGCAGCTCGAGGCCGCCAAGGGGGCCATGGCGGCGCATGCGGCGGAGGAGTCGCGCATGGCCAAGGGGCAGATCCGGGTAGGGGCGCTGGGGGAGAGTGTTCGGATGGAACGGGAGTGAGGGTTGGGGACTTGGTTTCGAGGGTTTGGGGATTTGGGTCTTTCGGCATTCACTGGGGTTACGTTGTTGCGGAGCCCCCATGGTGTGCCGTTTTCTCGATACGGTATCGAGGCTGACACGCACGCATGCTGTTGCCCATCTGGCATGCGTTGACCCGCTGCTGCCGTGCCCGCTGCCATGCGTGTTCCCCTGCCTGCTCCCCTGCTGCTGCTGTCGCTGCATTGCGTGCGAAGTCGCATCCCCTGGCTGCGGGTGCTGCCGTGGGTGCTAGTAGTGGTGCTGCACGCATGACTGGCGGGACCACCCAGGTAAGCGTGTTGCGGTCATGAAGTAGGCCAGCATGTCGATCGCGGGCTGGGCTGCGAGGTCGGACGCGCTGCGTACTGTTGCGGGAGCTCGGGTGGTCGCTGTGAAGGAGGTATAAAGGTGGAATGCCTTCCCTTTCCCTCTGCCCGGTTCTCCAATGCTCCCCTGTAAGCCCGCCTCTTACCCTCCATTCTAACCCAACGTCCACTGCCCCATTCCCTTCTCAGTTTCTCCATGCCCCTTCCTGCTCTCCTGGGTATGCAATCCTCCTCCTCCTCCTCCACAGGAGCTGTCTGCCACCCAGAGCGACGTGGCCCGCTTCCGCGCTCGCGCCGAGGCGCTGGAGACGCAGCTCGCGGTCGCCTCGCAGCGTGTCAACGTGGTGGAGGGGGAGCTGGAGCAGGCGCAGGCGGAGGTGGCGGAGGCCCGGCAGTTCAGGCGCAGGATGCAGGTGGGGGCAGGAGCGGGAGGCGTTGTGTGTTAAGGAAGCTGGCCGCGACTCGAAACACACTGGGATTGCCGGAAGAGGAAGTCCCGTTGTGTGAAGCTCGTTTTGCGAGCTTGGGGCACGAAGCAGCAATGAGTATAAAGGAAAGAGAGGAAGGAAAGGACCCCTGCATGAGCGAAGGCGACATGCGCACGTGTATGTTGCTACGGCGGGGCAAACACCACAGTCACATACCCTTATCCTTACACCCTTTCAATGTTTCTAATACCGCTGTCCGCTGGGGCTGGCATTTCCCGCGCAGTCCTTCATTGAGGAGCAGGGCTCGTCCGAGTCCAAGGGCCTGGCGGTGCGGCTGGTGTCGGCCACGGAGGAGGCGGCCAAGCTGGCGGCCAAGCTGGAGGAGGCTGAGCGCAGGCTGGCGGTGGGTGGGGGGGCACAGGGCGAGCGGGACGGGTGCGGGGCGGGGTGTGGGGCACATACCTGCTGCCGTACTGCTGCTCCCGGGCGCAGGGTTGCCAATGGTGCTGCTGCTATGGTTGTTAGAAACATGTGCAATCTGTGTTGTATGCGCACCGATGCGATAGCTAATTGCGGTGAACCTGAGCCGGACAGTGACGCCAATACATTCAACTCGCTCGTGCCTTCTCCTCTTAACTCGCTCCTGCCTGTTCCTGTTCGACCCCGCAGGAGGGAGCTCCCGAGCGGCCTCCCCGCCACCACGAATCCAAGCTCCGTCGCTTCCATACGCCCGCGGAGGGTCTCCCGGACACACCACGCACCGGCAGCAACCCAGGTGGCGCCAACAACCCCTTCTTCGGCCTGACGCCGCCCCCGCACATGCCTCGCAGCTCCGACGCAGGCAGCAGCACCAGCGGCGGAGGCGGCCTGCCCATCCGCATGGGCAGCCTAACGCATGTAGCAGACGCGGTGGAGGCAACGGCGGCGGGTGCGGGTACGGGTGCCGCGGGCTCGGAGCCAGGTGCCTTGGTTGCAGAGCTTGATGCAGCCCGTGGGCAGGTGAAGGAGGCTTCAGAGCGTGCCGTCGCTCTGGATGCGGACCTTACTGTCGCACGCGAGCGCATCGCACAGCTAGAAGCCCAGCTGTTGCAGCAGCAGCCCCAGAAGACACAGGAGGAGGTTACGGGCGGTGACGTTGAAGGCGCCAAGGCCGCTGACGTGCCCGCCGTTGACGTTGACGCTCTGCGGGAGGAGTTGGCGGCGGCCCAAGAGGCGGCGGCCCGGCAGCAGCGCGAGGCGGATGATGCGCGTGAGAAGCTGCGTAGCGCGGTCAAGAAGGGCAAGGTCCTTGCGGAGGCTCGGGCGGTCCTTGACGCGCGGGTTTCGGAGCTGGAAGCAGCTAAGGGTGAGCTTGAGGCTAGCGTGAACAGTCTCACGGAGGAGCTCACCGCCGCTCGGGCAGCACTGGAAGAGCAGCGGGTCGAGGCGGCAGCAGTGTTGGAGGCCCGGGTTTCGGAGCTAGAGGCAGCCAGGGCGGCTGCGGCATCGGAGCTTGCTGAGTTGCAGACGGCTAAGGATGTACTGGCGTCGCATGCGGCAGAGCTACAGGGCGAGAGGGCGAAGCTGGAAGCCCGGAAGGCAGAGCTGGAGGCGGTGGCAGAGGCGGCGGAGGCACGCGCCGTGGCGGCCGAGGCGGCGGCGCAACGTCTGCGCGAGGAGCTGGCAGCAGCGCTGCAGGAGGGCGGCCAGGCGACGGAGCGCCTTGCTGTCATGCAGCTGCAGCTGCAGGCCGCGGTTGATGCGGCAGCGGCTCTGGATGCTGCCTTGGAGCAGTCACGGGCGCGAGGAGCGGAGTTGCAGCAGCAGCTGGAGGCGGCGGTGCGGGAATCGGGCAGCCGTGTGGCGCAGTTGGAGGCGGAGATGCATGCAATGGAGGAGCGGTCAGCGGCGCTGCAGTCCGAGCTGGCGGGTGTGCGAGAGGAGGCTGTTGGTGCGCAGGCTCGGGCTGAGGATGTGGCGGCTCAGCTGCAGGCAGCGCAGGCTGCTGAGGTAGAGTGGAGGAGGCAACTGGAGGCGAGCCAGGCGGCGTGCGAGGAGGCGCGGCAGCAGCTGGCGACGGCGCAAGCGGAGGCCGAGGAGCTCCGGGTCGCTGCTGCTGCAAGGGCGGAAGCTTTGGCGGCAGCGGAGGCGGAGGCTCGGGGAGCGGCAGATGAGCGTGTGGCGCATGCTGCGGCGGCGGAAGCAAAGATAGCGGAGCTGCAGGCTGCGCTTCAGGAGGGTGTAGCGCGCGCTGAGGAGCAGGCCGCGGAGGCGCAAGCGCAACTCGAGGCAGCACAGAAGGCTCAAGCCGACCTGCAGACTCAGCTGGACTCTGCCAAGGTCGCGGATGCGGAGTTGCGGTCACAGCTGGAGGCAGCGAGTGACATGGAGGCTGGTCTCCGGTCACAGGCCGAGGCAGCTCAAGCGTCTGAAACCGAGCTGCGTGCTCACTTGGAGGCAGCTCAGGCGGAGCGTGAGGAGTTGCAGAAGCAGCTTGAGGCCTCCCGGGCGACCGAGGTGGAGCTCCGGATGTCAGCAGATGCAGGCGTTCAGGCACAGGCCGAGGCTGCGCAGGCGAGGGAGGCCGAGCTGCGGGCACAGCTTGAGGCTGCACAGACCGAACTTGCACAACTGCAGCATCAGCTTGATGCCGCGCAGGCAACGGAAGCCGAGTTGCGGTCGCAGATGGAAGCTCTCCACGGCACGGAAGAAGACCTGCGAGCGCAGCTCGAGTCAGCACGGGATGCGGAGGCTCAGCTGGAGGCCATCCAGTCATTGGAGGCGGCCCTGCGGCTAGAGCTGGAGGCAGTGCGTGAAGAAGAGGCGAGCATGCGTGCGCAGGCTGAGTCAGCTCAGGCTACGGAGGAGGAGCTCAGGTCCCAGCTGGACGCTGCTCAGGCTGCGGAGGCCGAGGTTCGATCGCAGTTGGAGGCACTTCGGGATGCGGAGGCAGGCCTGAGGGATCAGGCGGAGGCAGCCAAAACAGCCGCAGCGGAGCTAAAGTCACAGCTGGATGCGGCTCTGTTAGAGGCGAAGGAGCGCCTCGAGGCTCAAGCCGAGGCAGCCCATGCGGCTGAGCAAGAGCTCCGTTTGCAGCTGGAGGCTGCCCGGAGCGCAGAGGCGGACCTTCAGGCGAAGCTAGCCGCGGCGCAGGCGACCGAGGCGGAGCTTCGCACGCAGCTGGAGACCGCTCAAGGCACGCAAGCCGGTTTGGGTGACCAGCTGGCGACGCTGCAAACACAGCTTCAGGCAGCGGAAGAGGCGGCGACGGCATCGCAGGCGCAAGCGGAGGCACTCCAGTCCCAGCTGACAGTCGCGCAGATGCAGATACAGGAGGCGGGCGAGGAGGCGAGTATCGAGCTGGCTGCGACGGCGGCGCGTGCGGCGGCTGCAGAGCAGCAACTGGCGGAGACGCGTGAGGAGCTAGCGGCAGCGCTGGCTCGTGTTGAGGCGCTTGAGGTGATGGCGGAGGACAACGCCGCGGGAGCTGAGGCTGCCAAAACGTCAGCCCATCTTGCACGAAAGAGCGCGGAGGTGGTTCTGAAGGACTTGGCGGCGGCACTCGAGGAGCGATCGCAGCTCATTGGCAAGGTCGAAGTTGCGGAGGCGGCGCTGACGGAGGCGAGGGCGCAGCTGGCGGCGGCGGCGGCGGAGCGAGCACAAGTGGTGGAGATGCTGCGAGAGTACGTGGACCTGCAGGAGCAGGCCGTACAACGGCAGGTTGTGGGAGCAGCGGAAGCAGTGACGGAGGCAGCAACGCTGGTGGAGACAGCGGGTGCCGTACGTACGGCAGTACACGGGCTCCGGGAGCAGCTCGCGACCGCCAAGAGTCGCGCGGAGGCTGCGGAGGCGCTGACGGCGGAGACGGAGTCGCGCGTGGCGGAAGCGTCCAAGACTGAACGTTCGCAGCTGCAGCAGCAGTTGGAAGAGGCGCGACTGGAGCTGCAGCGCGCTGTGGATCGCGCTGCGGCGGCGGAGGCGGCAGCACAGATGGCCGCTGAGGCTCTGCAGGCTGCAGCTACAGCTCAAGAAGCGGATGCAGCCCGCATGACTCAGCTCAGGTCAGAGCTGGAGGCAGCACACGCGACCGCAGCCTCAGAGGTGGCAGCCATGCGCGCCGCTCAAGTGGATCAGGGAAATGCCGATGCGGCCCGGCACGCTGAGCTAGTCGCCAAGCACTCGGCTCTGGAGGCGCAATTGGTCGAGCTTGTCAGCGCGCGTAGATCTGATCAGGCAGAGGCGGAGGCCAGGCTAGCGGCAACTGTGGCGGAGCTGCAGGCTCAGTTGAATGAGCAGGAGCAGCGCCTAATGGTGGCGACGGAAGCCCAAGCGGCTCTCGAGGAGGAGCGCCGTACCGCGGCCACACAGGTCGCTGACCTTGAGCATCAGCTGACGGCGGCACGTACAGAAATCGAGCAGCTCAAGGAGGATGAGAAGCGCGTTGGTGTTCTTGAGCGATCGCAACTAGATGAGCTGAAGGAGGAGCGTGATGAGCTGCGCTGCCGCGTTGGCGAGCTACAGGCCTGGTACAAACAACTGGCGGCGGAACGTACGGCACTGGAGGGGCAGCTGGCGGCGGTTTCGGAGCTGCTGAGCGAGAGGCTAGTGGCGGCGGAAGCTGCTGCGACGGCGTCAGCTGCCGACGCGGCTCAGATGCTGGCTACGGTTAATCAGCTGGGTGGACTGCGGCCTTCTGTGGAGGAGGGTATACTCGCGGTTCAGCGCCTGGCAGCGGCTGAGGTTGAGCTGGCGGAGGCAGCAGCGCGTGCAGCGACGTTGGCGGAGGAGGTGGCGGCGCTGGGGGTGGCGCAAGAGGCTGCGCAGGAGGAGGCGGGTCGCATGCGGGCGCAGCTGGGGACGGCGGAAGCGCTTCTTGCGTCGGCCCGGGAGGAGGCGCGCGAGGTGGTGGAGCGTGAGGAGGAAGCGGTTGCGGCGCTGCGCGAGGAAGCCGCTGTAGCGAGAGCTCAAGCCGAGGCGGTGCTGTTAGCCTCGGCCGAGCTCAGCGTGCAGCTTGAAGCAGCGCGCAAGGTGGAGGCTGGACTACGGGAGCAGGGTGAGGCTGCGCGGGAGGCGGAGGCCCATGTACGATCGCTACTGGAGGCAGCTCAGGCGTCCGAAGCCGAGCTGCGTGCTCAGCTGGAGGCGGCTCAGGCGGAGCGTGAGGAGTTGCAGAAGCAGCTAGAGGCCTCCCGGGCGACTGAGGCAGAGCTCCGGTTGTCAGCGGATGCAGGCCTTCAGGCACAGGCCGAGGCTGCGCAGGCGAGGGAGGCAGAGCTCCGCGCCGACCTGCAGGCAGCACTGGATGCCGAGTCAAGCCTCCGGGCACAGGCCGAGGCAGCGCAGGCTGCGGAAGCCGAGTTGCGGTCGCAGTTGGAAGCAGCCGGAGTGCGAGAGCAGCAGCTGCAGTCAGATCTGGATGCAGTACGGAACACGGAGACGAGCCTGCGCGCACAAGCCGAGACGGCCCAGGCGACGGAAGCGGAGATCCGGTCACAGCTGGAGGCCGCTCAGGCTGTCGAGGCAGGCCTGCGGGCGCAGCTCGAGGCAGGGCAGGGTGTTGATGTGACCCTCCAACCTCAACTAGAGGCGGCAAAGGCCGCGGAAGGAGAGCTCCGGGCGCAGCTAGAAGCTTCCCAGGCGGCAACTGCGGACCTGCAGCAGCAGCTGGCGGCGGCTCAGGCAGCCAATGGCGATCTTCAGCAGCAGCTGGAAGCCGCCCAGGCCGCGGTTTCGGAGCTTCGTACCGAGTTAGAGGCCACCGCGGCAGCGCGCGATGAGCTGCAGGGCCAAGTGGATGCAGGGGCGGTGGAGGCGGAGGCTCTGCGGGGGCAGCTGGAGGAGGCGCGAGCGGAGGCGGAGGCAGCGCGTGGAGAGGCAGCCGAGGCGGCTGCTGTGGCGGCGAGTGTGCGGGAACTGTCAGGAGCGGCTTGCGAGGACCTGGTGCAGCAGGTGATGGGAGGAGGCAAGGCCATGCATGCGGGCATCGCTTTGTATCCTAAATAAGAGGCTTGCCGCTGGGTTGCACAGCCGTGGCCTTGCTTTCCGGTGGCTTGGCCTGTTCATTGTATTTGCGCAATGCCTACGCTTGAAATTCCTCGCATCCCCTCTCCCCAAACACTCCCCCGCTGCGCCAGGTTGCTCAGCTGACAGCGCAGGCAGCTCAGCTGCGCGAGGTGAACGAGGGGCTGCAGGCCGAGCTGACCAACGCGCAGGAGGAGCTGACCAGCCGGGAGGCCGAGCTGCTGGATGTGGGGCGTGAGGCGGAGGCGCAGCAGGCGGAGGCGGCGGAGGCGCACGGCCGCGTGGCTCAGCTGCAGGCGCAGCTGAGGCAGATGGAGGCGACTCTGCTGGAGGACAGTGGAGCGGCGCGCGACTCGGAGGCCCGGATAGAGCAGGTGGGAGGGACGGCGTCGTGGGGCTTGCTCTTCAAGGCATCATTCATTCCAGATACCGCTGAAGGCGCTGATCCGATTTAGTTTTAGCATTTTAGGGAGTGCTGGTCCTTGTCCTGTTGACCTCATGTTCCTTCCTTCTCTGCTGCCCTGGCCAGGTCCTGTCTGACCTGAACGCTGCCCGGCAGCAACACGCGGCAGTTTCCGAGCAACTGGCCGCGCTGCAAGCCGAGGCGGCTGCTTCCTCAGAGGCCGCTGCCGCATTTCGAGCCGCACAGGAGGCCTCCGCCGCCGAGGTGGAGGACTTGCGGCAGAAGCTGCGGGCTGCAGTGCGCAAGGGCAAGGCCATTGAGGCCTCCCGTCAGGCACTAGAGCAGCAGCTGCATGAGCTGCAGGCGGCTAAGGAGCAGCCGCAGCAACAGCAGGTGCTGCAGAAGGAACAGGACGAGGCGGCAGCCACCAGTGCCCGGGAGACGGATGAGACGGCGGCGCTGGTTGCTGAACGAGTCGCCGCGCTGGAGGGGCGGGTTTCGGAGCTGGAGGCGGCTAAGGAGGCGGCGGAGGCGCAGGTTGCGGAGGTTCAGCGCGTGAAGGCGGAGCTAGAGTCAAAGGTCGCCGAGCTCGAGGATCAGCTAGCGGAGGCGGCGGAGACAGCGGAGGCGAGGATGCAGGAGCAGCAGCGTGCGGGGGCCGAGGCAGCGGCAGCGGCTGCCATCCAGATCGCTGACCTTGAGCAACGTCTGGCGGAGGCGGAGGGAAGGGTGGCGGAGGCGCAGGCGCAGGCTGAACGCGCGGAGCTCGCGGCGGCAGAGGCTGCTCGCGCAGCGGACGACGGCGCCGCCGCTGTTGTTGCAGAGCTAGAGTTGGAGGAGCTGAAGCGTGAGCACGCGGACGTGCTGCGTCAGCTGCATGCCGTGCGTGAGGAGGCGGCGTCGCGTGCCGCTGAGGCGGCGGAGGCGAGCCAGCGTGCTGAGGACTTGCGTGGCAAGCTGAAGGCGGCGATCAAGAAGGGCAAGAGGCTGGAGGAGCTTCTGGCGGAGGCGTCGGCGTCGCCGCTGTCGCCTGGCGGAGGCGCTGGGACGGGATGTACGACGACCCCGCGGGAGACCATGACGGAGGAGAAGGCTGAGGCCGCCGACGCCGTGGTAGCGGTAGTGGCGGCGGCGGCGGATGCGGCGCAGCTGGTGGAGGTACGGCAGAAGCTGGCGGAGGCCCAGGAGGAGTTGGCGGAGCTGCGGGGCCGGCTGGCGGTGGCGGAGGCGGAGCTGGCGGAGGCTCGTGGGGAGGCGGAGGCTGCTCAGCGGGCCGCGGCGGCAGATGCGGAGGAGCTGCGGCAGCGGGCGGCATCGCTGCAGGAGCAGTTGGCGGCGGCGACTAAGAAGGTAAGCGGTGGTTGCTCTTGGCGGTGGCGTAGGCTTCGGGGTCCCTAGGTGATGGGGAAGCTAGAATGCGGCACCCGGTACGCCGATGTTTCCCCCGCGGCTTCCGCTCAACGTTACCCCTCGAACGTTACAAACTTACAATCCTTATAATCCTCACGGCAGCAGCTGTCCTAACCCCTTCGGTTCCCTTCCCGTTCCTTCCACTGCCTCTTTCAGCTCTCCTTGTCTGCGGAGCTGACCTCCCTTGTGGAGGAGCTCAGCGCCCGCAACGACCAGCTCTCAGCCGACCTGGAGGCTGCCCGACAGGACCTCGCCGCTGCCTCCGCGCAAGCCGCAACTGCCGCCGACGCCGCTGCAGCGGCAGCCGCCTCCGCAATGGAGGCGGCCGAGGCGCAGGCTGAGGCCCTCAGGGCTCAGCTGCATGCAGCGCAGGAACAGGTGGCAGGCGCCGACGCCGACGCTGCTGCGGCTTCGGAGCGTGCGGCTGCCCTTGAGAGTCAGCTAGAGGACGCGTTGGCAGCGCTCCGCGCCCTTGAGGTACAAAAAGTCGGTTTGGAGGAGGTGGTGCGGGAGCTAAGGCGGGAGGTGGAGGCAGCGGCGGAGGCGAAGGAGGCACAGGGAGGTGCCGCCGCTGCGGCGACGGAGGCGGCGGTGGCGGAGGCGGCTGCCGCCGCTGCGGCGGAGGCTGAGGCGAAGGCCGCGGAGAGGGTTGCGGAGCTCGAGACGCAGCTGCTTATGAGGGACTCGGAGATCACCCGGATGACGTCGCAGGTAGGTGGGCTCTCGGCTGTGTGCGCCTAAGTAGGGGCTAATGGACGTCATACGGTACCACGGTACCCTGCCGAGACGCAGGCTTTGCGTGATGGCTTTGTTTTTCCTCTTACCTCACCTCCCTCATCACCCTCGTCACGCGCCCTTGTTCTTGTGTTTCCGTGCTACTCCCTAGGTCGGCCGCATGACATCACAGCTGGAGGAGGAGCGTGCCGCCGCAGCGCAGGCCGCAGAGGAGGCGGCTGCTCGCATTGCGGAACTTCGTACGGCAATAGCCGGTACGGAAGCGCAGCTGGACGCGGCGCGGGCGGAGCTTGAGGCCGTACGGCAGCACGCAGAGGAGCAGCGGCGGGCCCGGGAGACACTCCAGGGTGGGTGTGGAAGAAGACCGTGGGGGTGCTGACCTTGCTGTTGTGTTGTGTTGTGTGCATGAGACTGGATGTGAACTTGTGGACCAGCTTGGCTTGGAACGAAATTACGTTCGTTGTGCCAAGTATGAATGTAACCCGACCAAGTGTCGGGATTCGGGAGGATTATCTCATTGTGCAGGCAGCGAGGCAAAACGGTATTTCCGCCCTGCAGGCCAGCTGGCAGCGGGTGAGGAGGCCGCTTCGGAGCTGCGGCAGCAGGTCGAGGCTGCGGTCCGGCGGGAGGAGGAGAGCCGGAGGGAGGCGGCGGCGCTGCAAGCCGCATCAGAGGACCTGCAGATGCGGCTGGATGTGGCTCAGGTGAGTCTCAGGGTGAGGTTTCCCTGGGCCTTGTGACAGGATCTAAGTCAGGTTCTGTACCGGTATGCTGCGTCATATCGTCAAGCCATGAACCCCAGTTAGTGTTTACTAGCCATTGTTGAGTATCGCTGGTTCGGTCCCTCCTGACCCCCCAACAGGAGCAGCTGGGTCGCCTGGCTGAGCTCCAGCAAGAGGCTGACGGCGCCGCCGCAGCCCGCGCGGCTACCCTTGCCCAGGTCGCCGACCTAGAGCGCCGTTTGGCGGCGGCGGAGGGCCAGGTGGACGAGCTGCAAGGTGAGCTCATCGGCAGTCGCATGCGGGCGGAGGCGGCGGAGGCCGCCGCCGCCGCAGCGACGGCGGCGCAGGCAGCGACGGCAGCGGAAGCCGCCGCCGCAGGCGTTGCTAGCGCCGCCAGGGTGTCTGAGCTTGAGTCCATCAACGAGACGCTGCAGCGGGAGGTGGAGGAGCTGCGTCGTCGCGTCGACGTCGCGGCGGCGGAGGCCGCGGCGGTGGCGGCGGAGCCGCTGCGTGGGCGCGTGGCGGAGCTCGAGGCGGCGGCGGCAGCTGACGCTGCCAAGCTGGCTCGCGCTCGGGAAACCCTGGCACGGCTTCAGGCGGAGAAGAAGACAGCGACGAGCCGGTTGGAGGAGATGCAGCAGCAGGTGGAGGGCCTGCGAGCGAGCAACGCGCAGCTTGAGGCGGCGGTCGCAGCGGCGGGAAGCCAAGGGATGGTTTCGGGGGCTCCACGGGTGCTGCAGGAGCCGACGGCCGTCAGCAGCGTTGCTGCAGCAGCCGCGGCGGCAGCGGCGGAGGCTGACGCGGCTGCGCTGGCGGCGGTGCAACAGGAGTTGACGGCGGCGCGGGAGGAGCTGACGGCGCTTCGGAGCAGGTTCCAAGTGGCGGCGGCTGCGTTGGCGGAGGCGCGTGCGCAGCTGGCGACGGCGGGAGATGAGAAGGAGCAGCTCCAGGCGAGCTGCCGCGGTGCAATGGAGGAGGCAGAGGCGGCGAGGAAAGACCTGGCGGTGGCGCAAGAGGAGGCACGTCGTACCGCCGCTGCAGCTTCTGCGGCGGAACAGCGTTGCGCACAACTGCTCGAGCAGGCAGCTGCTGCTGCTGCTGCCTCCACGGCCACAGTTGCCGCTGAGGCATCGACGTCTGGAGGTCGTAGCCGCCGGGGCAGCGACACAGGCAACTCGCAATCTTCATCCTCCGTACAGCGTTCAACAATGGTACGGCGGCCCTCACGAGAGGTCGTCGACAGCTTCCTCCCGCCGCCTCCCATGCTGGCTGTGGGTGCGGCGTCAGCGGCAGCGTTGCCTCGGGAGGCCTCGACGGGGGCCACGTCGACGGCGGCTGCTGCTGCTGCTGGCGCGGATGCCGTACGACGGGCTGCACGGGAGGACGCGCGTGCGGTCAGCGCAATCCTGGCCAGCGCACATGAGAGGGCGGTGGGCCTGGCGGCGAGGTTGAGCCGGTCGCAGAACTTGATGGCGGAGCTTGAGCTGGTAGGTTGTTCAGCTCCCTCACGCCTGTGCTTCTTGGGTCTTGGGTCTTTACATCGTCTTTGCCTCTGCTGAGTACGCCCTAAGCCTCTCCCCAAAGCGGTGCCCCTGCGGACAGCCAGTCTGCCCGCGCACCTCTCCTGTGCACCACCCATGTCACCACGAGGAAGCTCCGAATCCCCTGTTGAACCCGCCTGCCTGCCCCCTCCACACCCCGCAGGCCACCGCCTCCTCCCGCGGCGTGAAGAGCGCCTCCCAGCTGCCCGAGTTCAGCGAGGTGGTGGCGTGCGCGGTGGCGCTGGAGGGCCTGATGGCGGTGCTGGAGGCGGGAGTGAACCAGCAGCAGCTGGACATGCACGCCAAGGTGGGCTTGCTGGTGGTGCTGCCCTGGGGTTGAGGGACCCGCAGGCAGGCGGCCATGCGCGCGCCAACGCAGCAGGCCGGGGAGAAGTCATCTCATGCTACGTGTGGATTGCTACGTGCTGTGTGTTTGTTGTGTGCATGCTTCTTGCGCTCTTGCAGCCATACCTTGCTTTCGTGGGCCTAAACCGGTTAACCTACCGGTACCTACCGGCAACCGTTACCTAACTGACCATGCGCTCGCCTGTGCATTCTCAGGCGGAGCAGCTCACGCAGCTGTCGCAGCTGCAGGCGCGCACCGTCGCCCTGGAACAGCAGAACCAGCAGCTGCAACAGGAGCTCAAGCGCTGCGAGAACGCGGCGGCAGCTGCGGCGGCGGCGGCCGCGGCAGGAGGAGCGGCAGCAGGGGGCAGCGGCGGCGGCGGTGGTGCTGGTGATGAGTCGAGCGTGACTGTGCAGCTGCTGCCGCGGATTGGCGGACCGGCGGCGGGAGGAAGCAGACCGGTAAGGAGGCGAAGCAGGTGGTGCAACGCGACGTGGGCTGCGGGCGTGGTTGTACTGCATTCACGTTGGCTGATCTGGTCACGCGTATGCAGGCCGTTTCTCCCCATTGCTAGACACTATCGAGCTCTGTGACATCCCTTACTGGTATCCGACTTGCGACGTTCTTTCCTCCATCCCCCACAGGTCACTGCGCGCCACCGTTCAGCGCAGTTTGACATCGAGGCCGGCTGGGGCGCGGGAGGCCCCACCGGAACCGGCGACGGCTCCCTCTCCTCCAGCGGCGGCGGTGCCCTGCTGCCCTCCTCCACCCCTGCTGGCCTGGCCGCCGGCGGTACCGACGACTCGGCACACGACAGCGACGCCGACGACTCCACCGCCGTGGCAGCCTACGCCAGCGGCAGCAGCCGCAGGTTGCAGCTAGACTACCGACCGCTCCTGTCCTCACCCGTCATGCGGGGAGCGCACCCACGCGTACGGCATGCGCTGACGCTGGTGGACCAGGCGAGCGTGCATGCAAGCCGTTGGTTGACGAGTCGCCCCACGCTGCGGCTGGGCGCGTTGACGTACGTGCTGGCGTTGCACCTTGTGGCTCTCACGCTGATGATGCTGGGCCGCAGCTGCGGGTCCGCGGCTGGAAGGCTGGGCGTGCCGTAAGGGGCTGGGAGGCTGGGAATGCCGGGAGGGGCTGGAATGCTGGGCGTGTACCGGTACCATAGGGCTGTGTGTCGGGGGCTGCGTGGGGCTCTCGCATGGGAGGCTGGGTGAGAAGATCAACGTGGGGCTGGGGGTTCATGACGAATTCGTTCAAGCGGCTTTGGCGTGAGGCGAGCCTTAAGTATGGAGAGGAGCGGTTTGTTGTGATATGGGTATATTACATGTTTTTCTTGGTTTGACGACTGGCTGGTTACGGAGGTAGCCATCGTCGGGGTTAATATGGTATGGGTTTTTGGTGATGATAATGTGTTTTGGGCGTGGCTTTGTTGTGGTTAGGACCCTCATGCTGCGGACCCGTATCTTGCACCTACAAGCGGCTATGCTTGGGGGTTGTGTTCCTTGCTGCTTCCACCTTGAAGGATTGCTGATCGGACTCATGAGTGTGCATGTTGTGTACGTGCAAACTGCTGACAGGTTTTTAATGCATGGAGAGGTTATCCAGGTGGACCTTCTCTGCATTCCGCGGTGAATGGTCAAGGTTGGACGAATGACCCGGCGTAGTCGACCCCTGGGGCTGTAATGCGTTTAGCCCACGCCTTTGATTGTAAACTGGGCATACATGTACACGTGATACGGTACCATTCCATATTCCTCTTTCCCTGCGATATCTGTCCTATGCGCTGTTGCCGAGCTGATCGACTGGCAGTTGCAACTATCGTCAACTTTGCCAAGCAGGGGCAGCCGCAGTAACGCCTTTCTTACCACTCCACATAAACAGACGAACGGACAAGTATTTGTTTCCACTTTCAAATTGCTACCAGCGCTGATCAGCTTGACATGTTCCCAGCAAAGCAAAGATAGACTCAAAGAATGTTTACACAACGAGTATTGATTGTTAACAGTCAACTTGTACACGCATAGAATTTGTAGCTGTAAAATATGTACAAGAGGGACGTCGCGATCTTGTTGCTGGCCTGCGTCGCTCTGCTGATATCGCTGCAGAACGAAGGAACTTTTACCTTTGAGAAAGCATGGTGCGGTGTTCGGCGTATGTATTTGGGAGCTAGAAGATGACTTTGTCCTGGCTTTGCGGGATTCCATGTGCCCTCGTTTATGGACTTGCGAAGGTTTCACCATACTGTTGACGAGTCACGAGAGCTATACGCTCAGCATCACGAGCTCCCGGCGCCCGTTGTGGTAGGTCCGGTATCCGGGTGCGGTTCAGGGTGTTGCTGCTCCTTCCTGGTGCCATCGACGGTGCCGCGACGCCCAAGCTCGCCCTACTCGCCATCGTAGCCATGTACTCTTCCCACCTTTCTGTTACTCGTCTTTAAACTTCTGCCTGCCAGGCGGACCTCAACGGCGATGGGCACCTGGAGCTGGTCATCACAACTCCAGACCTCAAATTGCAGGTAAAACATGGGCAGAACCCTTGGGCCCTTCGCACAGCGAACAGGAGGAGCGCTCCTCGAGTAGAACAACCAGGTCGCGTCATGGGCCCGCTTCTGAAGGACGACGGTGTGCAGCAGCCACTAGCATGTAACAACACGCTCTCGCTCCCTTCCCCACCCCACGCCGCCTCTTCCTCACCTCTTCGTCTGCTCTCTTTCCTCGCCCCTGCCCCTCCCTGCTCCCCGCCACCTCTCCCCAGGTGATCCAACCCGCGCCTCCGGGGCACCGCGGGGAGGGCTTTGCGCCCGCCACCGACGTCAACGCCATCTCGCTGCTCTTCAAGCGGGCACTCGTAGCAGCAGGGCACAGGCCGGTGAGCGAGGAGGGCGGCAGGGCGGGCGTACGGCGGAGGCGGGGGGAGGGATCACAGGGCAGAGGCGGGGGAAGGGCGGGCGCAGGGCAGAGGCGGGGGGGGGGAGGGCGGCAGGCGGGGGGCACAAGCGGATGGCGGGGCTCGTTCAGTCCCTACCGGCAACCCGAACCCGACCTCCCGGGTGCGGGTAGATACAGCACTACCGGCCACAGTACCGTTGTACCGTTGTACAGTCTCGTTGCATCCGTCTGTGCATTCTAACCCCCAACCCAAATCGCACTTCGTCGTGTTTCCTGTCCAACTCACCACTGGCCCCCTGTGTGTGTTAAGAAAACTGGCCGTTACACTGGCGTGTATGTGTGTGTGTGTGTCCTCAGGTGGCGCTGGCGGTGGGCTACCTGGACCCGCTGCCCGCCGAGCGCGTGGTGCCGCTGCGCAAGCAGGTGATCGTGCTGGTGAGCGCGAGCTGGGAGGTGATGGCGTTCGACCACAACCTGGTGCTGCTGTGGAGCTACGACGCGCGGCAGCACTTCCCGCACCACTCGCACATCAGGGAGGTGGGTGGCTGGCTGGCTCATGTCGCACATCAGGGAGGTGGGTGCCGGTAGCTGACGGGCACTACCGTTTATTTCACGCCAAGGAGGTTGGCTAAGGAGGTTCATGACTTGCACTCGTTACACGTCATGGAGGCTGGCTAGGGTTAACGAGGTAGGGCGCGGCAGCCGGTGTGGGAGAGAGTGCAGCCCGCGGCATCGCCTCACCTCCCGCACCAGCACCAGCAGACATCTTGCGGAGCTGGGCGGCTGGGCGCGCCTCACACCCGGCCGCACACCTCCACACAGCCCACCCCTGGGCACTCACATCCCTTGCCTTCTCCATCTTTTTCCTGCCACCCTTCTCCTGCTCCCTCCCCCCCCGCATGCGCAGGTGGCGATCCACATCTCCCCCCACCAGGTGCACGAGAGGGACCGGGGGCTGGTGGTGGTGGGAGCTAGCGTCATGGTGAGCTGGGGGAGGGAGCGGGGGGTTGAGGTGGGGGGGTGTGGGGCGGGGGAGGGAGCAGGGAAGAGAAAAACCAAATGTAACAGCAGCTTAGGGCAAGGCAATGAGGGTAGGAGGCGAAGGGCGGAGGCGGAAGGGCAGGAGAGCAGCTCCTGTAGGTGGGGCCAGGAGGGGGGAGGCGGAAGGGAGAGTGAGGTTTTGGGATGGAGCAGGGGGGGCACACCCGACTGCTCCCTCGAGACAGCGTGAGGAAGAGGAAGGACGTGGGGGGGGGCGATTGCCTGGTTGGTAGTGCCCTGTCGATATGGTGATGCCGCTGCTGCATGGCTGCTACAGCCGTCCTTCGAACCACTCTTGGCGCTTCACCACCTCTCCCCAATCCATCTCCTTACGCTCCTTCATCTTCCCCCGGCTCCTCCTCTCCCGCCTCCCACCTCTGCCTCCACTGCTACCACTGTAGCGCGGCGACGTAGCCAGCGGCGAGGGCCTGGAGGGCATGTCAACCGCCGCCAACCGCTCCTCCTCCTCCTCCTCTGCGGGTGGGGCCGGCGGTAGCAGCTTCTTTACGGATGATGATGTGCTGCTGAGTGAGATGCGGGAGGACGCGGAGAGGCGGGAGCACGCAAAGAGCGCGGGTGGGTGGGTGGGTGGGTATGGGAAAGGCGGCCGCGAAGCCTGGTTCGCCTCCTTCCTCCCGCTTCCTCCCCCCCTCTCGCATCCCTCCCTTCTCCTCCCTCTCCCCATGCCATGTCCCCCTCCCCCCTGCATGCTAACCCAACTATCCAGCCTAATGCGGAATACCTATCCCTATTTACCCCCCCCCCCGCCCCCTGCATGCCTGCCTGCACCCCCCCCCCCGCAGGCGCTGCCGAGGGGCTGTCCGACCTGGACTCGGGCGACCCGCTGGCTGGGCTGCCCGGCTCGCGTCACTTCTCCTACGTGGCGCTGGAGGGGGGCGGCGGGGCGCTGCGGTGGCAGCACGGCAGCGGCGACTTCCACAAGGACCTGGGCGAGCTGGGCGGGCAGCTCACCCCGCAGAACAACTACAGGTGGGGCGGGGGGAGGGGAGGGAGGGGGGCGGGCAGCTCACCCCGCAGAACAACTACAGGTGGGGCGGGGGGGGAGGAGAGGGGTGGTGTGCGGGAGAGGTGGTCTTGGAGGGGGCGGGCGGAAGAGGAGTGGGTGTTGGGCGGGTCGTGGAGAGGACGTAAGCGGTGGGTTCCCTGAAGGTCTCCCTCCCGCCCCATCCTCATCCACACACACCTACCTACCTACCCCCACCATGCCCACCACCCATCTGTCCCACCCACCCGCCCGCACCCCACCACGCAACCCCAGGCTGGACGCTGAGAAGTTGGAGGGTCGCCACTTCGGCGAGGCCTCCTGCCGCGACTACCGCGAGTCGCTGCTGCATGTGCTGCCGCACGTGTGGGAGCGCCCCGCGGACACGCGGCTGGCGGAGGCGCGCTTCCTGCCGCACCGGGCGGGCAGGGGAGCGGACAAGCGGCAGCTGGGGGCGGTGGGGGCGGCGGGAGGCAGGGGTGAGGAGGATGAGGATGAAGGGGTGGTGGATGAGGAGAGGTTAGATAGGTGCGGTGCTTGCAGGACCCCGCAATCGTCCCAAAAGATGCGCACCCACCACCGCTCTCACCACATCATCAGCGGTCTGAGCGGTCGGAGTCATGCGTTTCGCCACCACAAGCATGCTGAAGGATGCTCCCATACCCCATAGCTCTCTCTTTACCTTCCCTGTTCGTCTGTCTCTTGCAGGACTCAAGTCTGCTGCCGCCGCGGAGGGTGTCTCAGCAACCGGCCGCCGCCCCTCCGGCCTGCTCAAGCCCTCCCTCGCCTCCCTGGCTAGCTCCGGCAAGCGCCGATCCGCAGGCGCCGGCAGCCGCAGCGGCGACCTCACCCCACCTCAACACGGCCGGGCGGGCATTCACTCTGTTGATGCGCAGCAGCAAGCCGCAGGGGCCGGCAGCAGCAGCAGGGGCGGCGGCAGCGGTGCGGGTCACGCGGGCGGACCCATGGGTCATCAACGCGAGCATGCTCACTCGCAGCTGCCGCACAACGTGAGCGCCAATGCGCTGGTGGCGTTTCTGGAGGAGGGGGTGGAGGTGCTGCACCTGTACACGGGTGGGTGGGGGGGAGAGTGGGGGGGCCGAGGGGGTGGGTTGTTAAGGGGGTGTGAGGAGGGGGAGATGTGGGGAGATCCGGGGTTTGCATTCCTCCGGCGAATGAGGAAGAAGGAAAGGCGGGGATGTCAGAGGGCTTTCCTTGCTGCTGCTGCCCAAGTGCCCATGCACCGTACCCCGCTCCTGTCACATGTCTACTGCCCCCCACCCGCCTCCACTTGCCCCACTCCCCCACTCCCACCCCAGGCCGCACCGTGTGTCGGCTGCACCTGCCGCCCCGCACGCTGCATGCGGACATCAACGGGGACGGAGTGCTGGACCACATCTCCGTATACCACGGCCACGCGGCGGAGGGGGCGGAGGGAGGCGAGGAGGCGGGGTGAGTTTGGGGGGTGGGTGGGGGTGGGGTGGTGTCGGCGGGGGCGCGCGGGGCTGCGACTGCGCGGCTGGGGATGTGGATGTGGATGTGACTTGCCAGGTGACAGTGCCTTGAAGTGTGCCAGCTCTGTATTGCAGTCTACCGGTATACGCGCATGCTAACATGCGCCAGTGCTAACCTCCCATCGGCTCCACCGCAACCTCCTTTCCCCCGGCCCCCCTCACATTTGAATTGCTACTTCTCACCCCCCGTCCCCCTCCCCCCTCAGCTCCTCCTCCTCCCAGCTGCTGCCCGGCGAGCTGCTCTCCGCCAGCGGGGGCGGGCACCGGGTGGCAGGCAGGTGCACCGCGGTGGTGCGCAGCGGCATTCCGCCCGCGGAAACACTGTTCACGGTAGGGGGGGTGGGGCTTGGGCTGGATGGGGGAGGAGGGAAGGAAGGGCAGGAGGTGGTGTAGCAGTTGGCGGGGCAGTGAAGCGGAGTCGGATATGCGGGCGGTCCGGCGGCGGTAGGTAAGAAGGTAACATACCCTGCCTCACCCCAGCCCCTCTCCCCGTCCCTCCTCCTGCCCCCCTCTCCCACCCCGCCATTGCTTTGCCCTAACCTATACATTTGATCCCCATCTCCTTCCGCCTCCCTCGCCCCCTCCTTCCGCCTCCCTCCCCCTTGTATCATTATCACACCACACTTTGGAATTTCTTTTTCCCCTCCCCCCCTCCCCGCAGGTCCAGGTCTGTCACACCCGCAAGTTCGGAGTGGCCTCCAGCCGCAACGTCTTCCAGCGCGCCGCCGCCGCCGCCCTGCCCACCGAGCTGGCCACCCCCGTCATGCTGCCCATACCCGACATGCGGGGGTACGAGTCCAAGAGGTGGGTGGGGTGGGAGGTGGGGGGTGTGGGGGGTGAAGAGGAGCGAAGTAGGTACAGCGCTGTGACGAGGGGTGCTGCCGGGCGCGCTGGGGGGTGGGGGAAAGAGTGGGAGGAAGGTGTTTCCAAAGGCACGGAGGCACGGTCATGCCTTCCCTTGTGGTCCTGTCGCTAGCTCGCTCCCTTGCCTAGCACTGTGCCCCCAATCACTGGTACCAACATTTGTACCAACCACTTTACACCCTCCTGCCCGCCTGTCCCTTCCCCATCCTCCCCTCCCCTCCCATGCAGGCGGCAGCACGGCATGCTGGTGTTCCTGACCAACAAGGGCGAGATGACGGCCGTGAGCGCGGGGGGCAGCCACGTGTGGCAGGAGTACCTGCAGGTGGGGGGGGAGGAGGAGGGGGAGGACGGAGGGCAGGCAGGGGCCGGAGGAGGGAGGAGGGCAGGCAGGAAGGGGCAGACCGCTGCAGACGCCGCATCTACCGGTAGTTTTGCCACCGCTTTGTCACTCCCTCCCTGCATGCATCCTCAGCACACCGACCTCATAAGTCTTCACTCTACCCCGTCCTCTCTTCCTGCCTTCTCGCCTCACCCCGCCTCCCCTGCCCTCGCCCCGCCTGCCCCCTCCCCCAGGTGTCCTGGCCCCCCGCCGATGAGAACCCCGGCCACGTGGTGCCCACCCTGGCCGCCATGCCGCTGTACACGCATGCGGTGCCGACCGTGGTGCTGGCAGCGGGCGAGGAACACGCGGGTAGGGCGGGGGCGGGGAGTGGGGAGTGGGGGAGGAGTGAGCAGGGGGGGGGGGGAGGCAGACATGCATGCATGGGGTTGCTTCCGGGCTTCCGGGCGTTCGGCCGTGATGGCGCTCCTGTTCTCATTCCATCCAGGGCCCATTATTCCTCCATACTAACCCATACATGTACTCACTTCGGCTCACCCCTCCCCTCACCTCGCACCCCGTACCCCGCACCCCGCACCCCGTACCCCGCACCCCGCTGCTGCCTGCCACCACTCGTCAGTGATCGTGTCGGAGCACGGCCGCGTGCTGGCGGAGCTGGAGCTGCCCTGGCCGCCCACACAGCCGCTGCTGGTTGCGGACTTCAACGGGGACGGACTCAACGACATCGTGCTGGTCACCAGCAGGGGGGTGTACGGATACGTGCAGGTGGGGGGGGGGATGGGTGCGGCCGGGGGGGGGCGGCGGGGGATGGGCGCTACGGGGGGGTGGCGTCCTTGCTTGGACTGCTGCATGGGGCTCGGAACCGGCGCCGGCGGAAGTGGATTGATGGGGGCCGGGCTGCTCGGGGAGTTCTGCGGGAAGGGTGCACGGTGGGGAGACGGCTGGCGACATGCGCGCTGTGTACGACAATAACCCCTGACTTCCATTCCCTCGGACTCCGTGTTTCTGGTGCTCCTCTTTCACTTCGCACCCGCCGGCATTCCAGCTACGGGTACTATGCATACTTCCTGACGCCCCTGCTCCTCCCTCCCCCGACCCACCCACGCATGCACCCGCCTCCCTGCAGGTTCCTCACCTGGCGGGCGGCATGAGTCTGAGCGCGCTGCTGCTGACGCTGCTGTTGGGGCTGGGGCTGGTCTACTTCACGCAGCACTTCGATCCGCTGGGCTCGGGGGGCTCGGGAGGTGGGGGTGGAGGTGCGGGGGGCCTGGGGGCAGGAGGGGGTGCGGGAGGGGGGCGGCGGGGCGGGGGCAAGCTGCGCAGCACCGACTATGTGGATTAGGGTGGGCGGGGTAAAGAGGAGCCCCCGCCCCCGGCTGTCGGCAGGGGAATGGACTAGGATGTGGGCTAGGATAGGTGGGTGAAGGAGGCTAGGAGTTGCATGGGGCAGAGTGCGTTTTGGTGCTGCCTCAAATGGCAGCACCAAAACGCACTCTGCCCCATGTAAGGGGTTCCTTGCCATCTCGAGCAAGCCTTTTCGCGCTGTTCCAGCTGCCTCAAATCAAAGCCAAAGTGCCACGCACGTGAGTCATTGCTTCTGCGGCTATCCCGTATGTATGTAATTATCAGGTCTATGCGTGCCTGAGGTCTCTGTTTTCAGTTACAGTTACAGGCTGTACGCGTGTACAGTGAGTACACCTAACACCTAACGCTCTCTCCGTACTTCTCGGCCAAGCTGGTCCAGGCCTGTACGGCGGAGCTGTCGTACACTCCTTGCGTGCCGTGCAGCAGACATGTCAGCAGCAGCTTGCCGTCTTCCCCAAGAAAGCGTGTTGCGTAGACGTCATAATCTCCGATTTTGGCCTTGGATTTTGCAAATCGTACTTCTTTTACCTACGAGGGACGGGGCTGGGACATTCGTGAAACTGCTGTCCCGCCGTTGATAACACCCTGAGCCCAAGACCTTGTTGGTATGGTGACTCAAACTGTATCCACTTGCGACCACATTTACAGAATGGCATGCGACACGAATGGGCCGGTCGTGCAGGGCAGCGGATACATGTACGGCGGGTCCACGATTCTGGGGCCCACCTACCTTGCTCAGCACAATGTGACATTCAAAGGACTTGTCCTCTGAGGCGATAGTCGCGAGTACTCCACGACCGGGCACATCGTTGTATCGCACACTACAGGGGGGACGAGAAACGATGGGCAACCGACTGTTTGACTGTTTCCATCCAACGCGCAAGCTTAACATGCGAGGCAGGTAAGGGTTCACACAGCAACGATCAATCTGCTTGTTGACATGGCTTGGCGTGATTGCAAGGACTCTTAGCTTCCCAATTCGCTCCTTCAAGCGTCAAGCATGGAGCGCATGGCTATGGCGACATGTTGCTGTTGTCGTGTACGTTGCAAATTGAAGCTATGGCATAACACCTAATTCTTGTTGCTTTCTGCAAATTGCATATGATACTACCTCGTCCAATTGCTGACGCTCTCCAGGATAGCTCCATCGCCCAACACAATGAAGCGGACCTTTCCAAGACCCGCCTTCGCTGCGTCGTTGAGAACTTCGCGTAGAGGTACAGTACACGAATGCTGTGCACGAACGTCGGTTACGCTTCGCCTAGCGGGACGCAGTGGGCAAGTAAATGGTCGCGCGACGGGCTTGCACTGGGGAAGTCGCAGGGCTGTGGATACGTGCATCTTTGCCTGCATGCCACGAATAACAGGTTGTTACAAGAGCAATTCAGTCGTAAATGCCAGAAGCATCAGAAGATTGCGCAGTACGACAAATGCCGTAGATAAATACACACCAAGGCCTCTTGTTAGCGGAGAGAACCGATCGCACATACCCGCACTTGCATATGTACATTGCGGCAGGCCGGTCTCCTCCGCAGCTACATCCTCCCCCAGCCCTCGTCACGTTCCCTCTTCTACCGCTCCTCGCGGCTCACCACCTAACCGCCCTGTAGCCTCCGGCCCTCTCTAAAGAGCTTTGCCTCCTCACAAAAGCAAGAAGACACACGCACGCAGGACCCGATCATAGATAGGCACCCTTGCTGTACACACATCACTGAAGCACAAGATACACACAGGTCAGTCCTCTTAGCAACTACACACATGCACGTGCAAAGCGGCACTGCTCTGCCAATAGCAGGTGGGGTCCTACCAGCAATCCTTGCCCCCGACGGACCAGGCGTCGTCCCTTCTATACCCTTCCCGTCCATCCATTTCTATTCCCTACATCGGCCCAAGCCGCCGCAAGCACGCCACGAATGCTTGGTTTCCACCCGCATCCACATCCCCGCATTCTATGTAAGCCGCTAATCGCACACTCGCGCGGTACGTCCCGACTCACGGCAAGTTTTCTAAACACACACGCGAGCTGTCAAGCCAGTCGCACCGTGTTGTCGCGGTTTGCTAGCGCTGTTGGGATTCCTCAGCCCTACTGGGTCCCCAAGCAAGTAGTGGTAGTAGTGGATCCAGGTAAACCCCAAACCCCAATCCAGACTCTGCAGTCATCACCCCCATCAGGTTACCCCCACTTCCCCTTCCCCACCTATGCGGTGGCGCGCCAGCAACCGCTCCCCCTCACTCACGCCTCCCACCTCCCCGATCCCCACCTTTCCCGTGCTGCCTAGTCCATCCACCACCGTATCGTACCACCAAACACGCGCCGTAACCGGTCTACAGTATTACTGCATGCCCGCACCCGACTCCTCCCCTTCCGCCGCCCCTCATGCCAACTCCGGCAGAACACTCGTGGACCCACGTGACCCGAAACTCAGCACCGTTCCAAACCCCAAATCCAAATCCGGATCCAGGCCACCTCCTTGTCCCAAACCACCACGCAGACTCCTGCTGCTGCTGCCTCCACTCCCTGTCATGACGCCCACCTCGCCTCCTCCTGCTGCACCACCCAGCCTCCTCCAGGAGCCTCCGCCACCACCACCACTACTTACATGACCTCCACCACCACCACCACCACCACCACCACCGCCTCCGCCGGTGCTCGTAACGCCACGATTCCCCAGCACTGCACCACCAGTCCGCACCGCGACACCCCCCAGCAGGCTCCCTCGCCCCGGCTCAGCAGAAGCAGCAACACCAAGCTCGGATCTGCAAGCCAGTCGAGACGGCACCCTGCCAGCTAGCAGCGACCCAACCCCTTCTGCTGACTCCGCCCCAAGACCCAACCCCAACGCTACCAAATGGTCGACATCCTCCTCCTCCTCCTCCTTCTCCTCCTCTGCTGCTGCCGCTGCTGCCGTTAAGACCTCCCCATGTGGTGCCACAGCAACAACCCCACCCGCTCTTCCTCCACCTCCTCCTTCACCGCCCCCACCGCCCCCCTCCTCGCCGCTCGCCATTACCGGTACCCGCCGCGCCCTCACATGGGCAACAGGTCGTCCCCAAGCTGCTCGTTTCCCCAGTCGTCGTTGTCCCGCGCCGCCATGTGCTCCTTCACAAGCATCTTCTTGCCGCGGTTCTGCGCGGCAACCGCCGACCCCCCCAACTCATCATCCCCCATCCCACCTCCCATGCCGCCTCCACTCATGGGCCCCGCCACCACCGCCGCCGCCGCAGCCGCCGTGGTGGCGTCCGGAATGGCCGCCTTCTCCGCCTTCTTGAGCTTGGTCATGTACTCCGCTGCCTCCGCCCTGCGACCCAGCTCGCTGCAGAGGTGCACCAGGTAGCGCAGGCACTCCACGTTGTCGGGGTGGGCGGCGTGGATCTGCTTGTACTTGGCGAGCGCGCCGGGCAGGTTGTTGGTGCGGCGGTAGCAGGAGGCCACCATGAGCGCCCACTTGACCTCCTGGGGGGAGGGGCAGGGTGAAGGGGGAAGGGGGAAAGGGGGAGGTGAAGGGGGAAGGGGGAGTGGGTTGGGAGCAGGGTTTGCGGTAAGGGACCGCGGTAAGGAGGGTGAAAGGGGTGAGACGGCAGCCGGCATCACCCCCCCCCCCGCCACCACCCACAACCCGCCTGCACCGACCCAGCAGTTCGCAACAGTCCGCTCCTCCCCCCCTACCTGCGGCTGTATCTTGGACGCCAGGTCAAAGAACGGCATGGCCTTCTCGTACACCTCATTCTTCACGTGATAGGCTCCCAGCCAGGAGATCACGTCCATGTTGACCGGCCACACGCGGTGTGACTCCTGGTAGTAGTGCAGCGCTTTGGCCTCGTCGTCGAAGCGCGCGTGAATGGCGCCCAGCCTCGCCAACACGCCGGGGTCGTTGGGCACCAGCGAGGTGAGCATCTCGAACCACTTGACGGCGTTCTTGAAGTCGCCCATCATGTCGTACGTGGTGGCGATCTGGTGGATGACCTGGGGGGGAGGGGGAGGAGGAGGGAGGGAAGGGAGGAGAAGGGGGAGGAGGAGAGAGGGGGTTTTAGAGAAAAGAGAAACATGCTGAATAGGGGGGCGGCGTTTCATCGCGGCCCAGTTGTTCCAATGCAACTCAATCCTATCTACCCCATGCCCCCGCTTGGTTAACCATCCTCACTACCCACCCCCGACCCCCTTCCTCCTCCTCCCCACCACCACCGCCCTCCCGATGTTGACGCCTTATCACACGGTTCGTTAGTCGTTTCCTCTTTACCCCTCCCCTCTTACCTCCACATTATCCGGCACCATGTTGTGCAGCTTCTTGAACGCCGCCAGCGCGTACGGCAGCTCGCTCAGCCGCTGGCTGACCAGCCCCAGGTTGAAGATGGCCTCCACGCAGTAGGGGTCGATGCCGGCTGCCTCGTTGAACAGCTGGCGGGCGCCCTCCAGGTCACCCCGGTCCACCAGCACACAGCCCTTGTTCACGTAGGCGCGCGCGTTGTACCTGGGGGAGGGGAGGTGGAGGGGGGGAGGGGAGAGGGGAGAGGGAGGGGTTGAAGAGGAAGAACTAACTGACCGTGTGATAAGACGCCATCATGGTTTGCAACATGTGAGAGCGGTGGAAGGATGGGGTTAGGTTGCCGCACCGGATGCCATCTTTTCCCTTGTACCTCCTGTACGATCTTCTCCCTCCCCTCCCACGACGTGTCCCCCCGCTAGCTTGATTCCCCCCTCCTCCTCCCACTCAAACCACCCAGCCCCTGCTGCCTCCCCCCTGCTGCCCCCCCCTCACTTGTCGTTCTTGAGCGCCATGCTGGAGTACTTCTCCGCCTGGTCGGTGTCCGCCTCCAGGTAGTATAGGAAGGCCAGGTTGGTGGCGGCGCGCGCCTTCACTCGCGGCTCCTTCTTCTCAAACTCCTGCGGGTGATGGGGGTGGGGGGGAAGAGGGGGTGGTGCGGGTGAGGAGGGGAGGGTGGTAAGGAAGGGGAGAAGGAGGTGAGGAGGGGGAAAAGAAGAATACCCAATGAGAGGAGGGGGAGGTGGAGGAGGAGGTGAGGAGGTGAGGAAGGAGAGCAGCATGCACAGCGCGAGGAGGTGCGTCTGCTGGCAACCCATGCATCGTGCGATGACGGCTCTGTATCGTCCTTACCGCAGGGCCCAACTCCTCCTCCTCTACACGACTCCCTTACCACCCGCCACCCGCAGCACAGCCATGTACACCTACCCCGTCCCCCTAACCGGTTGGTTGCCTGTCTGGATTGCCTGATTTGAACAGCTGGTACGGTAATGCAGTTAAGTGGACAACCCCACACATACTATACACATGTGTTTGTGTTTGTGGCGGCCAGTTTTTTTAACACACGCTGTGTTATTGTGTTTCCCTCACCCCCCTCCTCCCACCTTGAACACCGCCACTGCCTTGTCGAACTGCTTCTGCCCCATGAAGCGAGTGGCCTTGGCCAGCTCAACCTACGGGTGAGAGTGTGGGGGGGTCAAGGGTGTTAAGGGTGAGGGTGAGGGGAAGCGGAGGAGGAGGAGGAGGGGCGACAAGATTTGTTAGCGACAGCAGGAGGAGGGCTGCCACGGGCTTTACATTCCCACGGAAAACAGCGGCGGAAACAAGGCCGCTAGCGCCAAATCCACTTCTCCTCCCTCCGTCCCTCTTCTCCTCTCCCCCCTCCTCCTCCCCCCCATCTCACCTGATTGGCTAGCTTCACGTATCCCGCCTCCCGCAGCTGGTTGCAGCACCACTGGAAGCCGCCCTCGAAGCCGTTGGCCCGGTCCACCTTCTCGCTGATCAGCTGGGCAGCCTTCACGATGAGACTGGGGGGAGGGGGAGGGGAGGGAGGGAAGGGAGGGGGAAAGGGGTTTTGCCAGAGTTTTTAAGGGAGGTTTAAGGGCCCATGTTTCACCCAGAGCCGGGTATGCGGTCCTATTGCGCCCCCGGACCCCGGCTTCCTGAATTCGCCGCACGATGACCCACATCACAACTTCACCCCTGCTAGCCCCCCTCCGCCCCTTCCCACTGCCATCCCCACCCCCCCTTCCTTCCTCCCCCTCCCCCCTCCCACCGTGTGATGGTGCTGTTGCGTTTCCGCAGCTCCTCTTTCAACCCGTCATCCGCCACCACCGCCTGGGGTGGGGGGGTGGGGGGTATTAGCAGGGTATGATGTAAGCGGAGGGGAGGGGGAAGAGGAGGAGCACGGCAGGAGCAGGAGCAGGAGCAGGAGCAGGAGCAGGAGCAGGAGGAGCTGCTCAGTACGCGCAACGACCACATGACCCCAAGACACCCGCATGCAGCAGCGGAGCAGGTGCACAGCTCTACATGTGTGGCTGGCTCACGTGACAGAGCATGTCGGAACACCCCCCCCATGGATGCCGTATCATGGCGGGGCGCACCAAACCCCCACATTTTGCAAGCCCTTCCCCAAGCGACACCCTTCTAGCGCCTTTTCCTCTCTCCTCACTATCCACTTTGCCTTCCGCCACTTCTTCCAACCCTCGCCCCTTCTTTCACCTCATTCTTCCTCCACCTGTCCCACTCCTACTTCTTTCCACACCGCACCTGCATCTCGTCGTCCTCGTTGAGCAGGTCGTCATCGTCGTCGTCCATCTCCTGGGGCGGGCTCACCTGCGGGGGGGGGGGGGGGCGGGGGTGGCGGGGCAGGAGGGAGGAGGATGAGAGGATAAGGTGCCGGGGAGGTATCTCTCGATTCTCGACCTCAAAGTCTCTGTGCACACCCGCCCCTTCATTCCCTGCCCCCTCCCCTTCCCCCTGCTTCTCCCACCACCCCCTTCCTTAATATTCTGCCCATTTGTGGTTTTTTTATGTTTTGACCCAATTTGAACCCCCCCCTCTTCCCGAACAACGTCCGCTCCTATCAGCCGGTACCCAGGAAATCCATATGACCATACACACATTACCCGCCCCCCCTAACTCGCCAAGCACTCCCCCCCTTACTTGGTCTAATTTCCAGGAAGCCCACCCACCCCACCCACCCCGCCCTCCCCCCACTCGCCTTGAGCAGCTTCACGAATGCTGCCTTCATGCCCTCTCGGTCGCTCAGCGCGTAGTTGCACATCACCAGGTTGTAGCCCGTCTGGGGCAGCAACCAGGGAGGCAGGGGGGAGGGGGGAGGGGGAAGAGGGGGGGAACATGAATAAGAAGTGCAGCAACGGAGTCCCAATCCCAAAGGGAAGGGGGAAGGAAGAGGGGGAAGCGGCAAGGTGAGGCGATGAAGCAGGGGGTGGAGCAGCATGACTTGAAGCACAGGGGGAGGGGCACTGCGGCCCAGGGGGGCCGCATGTGGGAAGGCAGGGCAGGTCGCACCGGGAGGGTTTGAGAGCCCCTGTTGTCTGTTGGAGGTACCACAGCACGCATGGCATGCATCGCACGCAGCTGCCATCACCGGGAAGGGCAGCACGGACGCAGCAAAGCAGCCTGGCTCCCCTCCCCTCCCCAACCCAACGAGTATGACGGCATGCAAAAACCTTACTGCGAGCTTGTGTGGTAACACATCATATTCCTGGTAACCACCCCACCTCCTGCTCCCCCCCCCCACCCCACCTGGTGGTCCGGCACGTTGTCCATGACGGTTGCGAAGGACTGCAGCGCGTCCGGGTACTGCCCCATGCGCACGAAGGACAGACCAATGTTGCGCATGATCTTGAAGCGGACCTGGGAAGGGGGGGGGGCAGATGGGGGCATAGGGGGGAAGAGAGGACATGAGAGATGCGCGAGGACAAGGGGATGACATGGGTCCTCATATGGTTGGTTGAGCGTCGATGTGATCCGATCCGATCCTTCGCCCCTCCACCCAAATCGCCCTCCTTCTATAAGCCCAACCCGCACTCTCCTTTTTAGCTGCCCACCCTCCCAGACCATTGACTTTTCCATCCCCAACCCCAGCGTCATCTTGTTTGCCATTCTCATTCAACACGATGGGATTCTTCTTTTCCACCCCTCCTACAGCTTCCTCCCCCTCCTCCTCCTTATATGCTTTTGGCATGGTCCTTGCCCCCACTCCCCCTTCCGCCCACCTCCTTTGCCGTCGCCGCAATCTGGTCCAGTGCCATTCGGTACATCTTGATGGCGCTGGTGTACTTCTTCTGCTCGAAGTAGATGTTGCCCATGTTGACACGCAGCCAGCCCGACTGCTGGAAGCTCTTGTTGCGAACGATGGCTGTGCAGGAATTGGGGAGGTGGGTGGGTGGAGAGCGAGGTGGGAGAAGGTGGGTGGAAAGCGAGGTGGGGAGGGAAAGGAGGGTGTGGGGTTGGACAGGGAGGAAGCGGACCAACCGAGGGAGCGGCAAGGAGGGTAGGAAAGGGAGGTCGACACAGGCGGGTGAACCGCATGGCAGGTACGGCGGATCATGACGGACCATCATGAGGCCCTGGCTGCGTAAAAACACTTCAGGTTAGCTCCGTGCGGCGGAGGCGGAGGCCACGTGCCTCCTCCTGCCTCATGCCACCGCCCACCCTGCTCAATCCAACCCAATATGGGTCGGGCTCGCTGCAGCTCCGCGGGCTCGCTCGCTGCCTGCTGCTGCTCGCGCAGTCTCCACCTCTCTCCTCCTTACCCAGCTTTACCCGCCCAATCATGATCCATGAACCGCCCAACCATGAACCGCGTCCAACCACGCCCCACCGCCCCCCCTCCCCCACCCGTGGATATTCTTCTTTCCTTACCCGTGTACAGGTTGATAGCCTCGTTGTAGTTCTTGTTCATGTGGTACATATGAGCCAGGTTGAAGTCCACCGCGTAGACCAGCTCCGCATTGGTCTGAGGGGGAGCGGGCGGGAGGGAGGGAGGGAGGGGCTATTAGGGATACGTACTCCGCAGGGAGGGAAAGGAAGACGAGGAGCAATTGAAGGGGAGGAGAAAGGGAGGGGAGGGTTGTGTTCGCATGGCCAGTCGTGTACCGTACGGCAGGTCTGGCGGCAGGCCAAAGCCCCATGATGTCGCCGCGGACGCAGCGCACCAGCGACCCCACCATCCCTACCTAGGTATCCTTCTTTTCCCCACCTGCTCTGCCAGGTTGTGTTGCTACCGGAAGCGTGGATTCGTGGTTTCCCATGGTTTGGTCTATTTTGACCCCCCCCACCTGATCTGCTAGGTTGTGCTGCTCCCGGAAGCGAAACAGCTTGCGCTCGTTCTTCTTCGCCTCCATGGCGTTCTCCAGGGCTGTGCGTACAGGAGAGGCAGGCGGGCAGGTGGGGAGGAGCGGGCGGTGTTGTGGTGTCGAGGGCAGAGGAGCGGATAGGTGAAGGGACAGAGGAGAGCGGAGAGAGAGGAAGAGAGAGGACGGATCGCATGTGGGGGGTACTTGGGGCCGCCTGACCCAGCGCCAGCACCTTCCTTGGCCCGGGCGGCCCGGCGCGGTCGGCCTTGAGGGAACATTCACCGGGGCGGGATGGCACCCGCGGCCCATCCTTCCTCTAGGGCAGCCACCCCCCCCCGCGCCATGTGCATGGAAACGGTAGGTACCCAGATGCCAGCGGGACCGCATTGGCCTGTCAGGCCCCCCGAGTCCCAGTCCCAGTCCCCGTTCCTAGCCCAGGCAGCAGCCTGGTCGCGGACACTACCAGGCTGCACGTCATGCACTGCGGTGACAGCTGCGGACAGCTGCCGGACACGGCAGTATGCGTTTTGCGGTTCGCCCTTCACTCCGAGCGTAGGGCTGATCCCCCGGTCCCACAATCAGCTGTGCGTGGGCCGCATGCAGGATACGCCCCCCCTGCCTCCAACCCCTCCACTCCCTGTAACGCCCACGACTCACTATCCCCGACTTGGCCACCCTTGGCCAACCAGTTAGCCCAACTGAACCCAACCGGTACCCAGGGCCCCTAGCCGCCTACCAGAGTTGATGTCGCCCTTTACGGCATCCGCTGCGCTCTTCTCCAAAAGCTCGTGAACAGTCTTTTCAAGGCTGCGCGCCTGCTCGTCTGGGGTTACCTCTCCCTTGCGGGTTGCTAGCAGCGCGCCACCCCCTGAAGAGCCCAGCGTCGTCCCCATGGAGCGGTTGAGGGGGTCGAACTTTTTGTTTGGAGCTGAGGTGAAGCCCGCGCCCCTGTTTGAAGTCATGGGCCGCGCTGAGTTGGGGTCCTGCATTGCCGTTCCACCGCGCATGGCTGTGCCCGGTACGAAGCTTTTCATGGCCGTGCCGGGCGGACCCATTGCGGCTGCAAGGCATATGGAGAGGGTGGGATGGGCACAGTTCAAGGGCTTGGAGGGAAGCAGGCTCGTGCTGCGATGTCCGCTGATGCAGGCACAATGCTTCATGCCGCTAGCTACCGAAGCGAGCACGCACCGGTTCCAGGAGGAGGTGCGTCTGACCCCAGAGCTTTAAACGCAGCACCGCCTGAGCCCTGCAGGCGAAGGGAACACGGACAGGTCGTGACATGCGAGCAACAAGCAGGCTGGGAACCCCAAAACAGGAGCAGACATACCGCAAGTGGATTTGACTGCTCGTCATATCCTCCATATAGATCATCATCCTGCGTCGACGAGCGTCGGCATTAAGCATAAACCAGGAAGTCCAAGCGCTGCGACCACTGTTGCCCACCTCCGTGCCTCCGTAACTCATTGTAACCTTTGCAGAAAACTAGTATGTACACGTATGGGCTATGTAAAGTAACTTATAACAGCCACGGTCGGGTCTACGTAGTTCTAATATGCGATAGCAAATTCCTTGAAGTTCTACGCATGCCCTATGGGTAATCACGAATATGTTTACTAGCGCAACCTGCAGTAATTTCCGGTTACGGTGTCAGCTTCCATCCTTCTGTGCATCTGTGGAGCGCGGGGTACGGCATGGAAAGGTCCAACTCTCCAAATGCAGTTGATCGAGGGGCTTTTACGCGAATTGCTTATGCAGGTGATACTTATAAACGCTTGCAGGCTACTGCTGCAACACAGCAAGCAAGGTTACCTTTGTCTCCATCCCCGCGTGCCCCAACGAGGACGCGCATACTACGCACGTTGCTTGCCTAGGTAGCATAGAGAAGTTTTTACTACCACTGCGTCCAGACCAATAGTATAGCCCCTATACACACACGTTCATCGGGCGCAATCTGTAGGGCTTCAGTTACATCTTCACACGTGAACCCAGCACAGGAACCCTTTGGCGAACCCTTGACCCATTTCTACCAATTTCACTCCAAGCTGCTGCACCGGGATGGACTTTGGCAGTTTTGCAGCAGAATTCCAAGCTCTGTCCGAACTAATCAAGGACTCAGATGCAGAGGTGTGATGCCGGGTCCAATATAGCACCCGCGGTAAAGCGTCGTCATACAGCTCGCCAGTTTCCTGTTTTTACCCCCCTTCAACCGACCTCTGTCCGGGTTTCCCGTGCTTCACTTCTATTTGCTGGCCCCCGTCCTGTCGGGCCGCGGTATTGGCATTAACACTCTCTCCCCTCCGTCCCCTCTGTGCCCCTCCGTCCCGCCCCGCCCCCCTCCCCCCTGTCAGTCCTCCTCCCAGCCCCCGCCCCCCGGCTCCGTGTCCCGCCCCACGCCGGGCTGCATAGGGCCCCGGGAGCTGCTGGACGTCAGGGTACCCGCACCCAAAGGTGGGAAGGGAGGGGAGGGGAGGGGAGGGGAAAAAAGAAATTCCAAAGTGGGGAGGGGAAGGGAAGGAAAGGGAAAAGAAGGAGGGAGGGGAAAAGGAGGGAAGGGAAAAGGAAGGCTGCGGCCTTCTATCCTCCTCTCCCTCCCCAGCACATGCGCTCTCGCTCATGCTGTCTTCCTTACTGTCGCGTTTACCTTCCCCCTTCCGCACCTGGGTTTCCATCCCGCACCATATGCCCTCCTCTCCCTCCCTCCCCTCGCCCCCCTGGAGCGATGACGCGCCTACTGCAATAGCCGGGACTTCATCCGTGCTTCACTCCTCATTTACTGTGTCCTCTGCTTCCCCTGCCTCCCCTCCCCTCTTCTCCCCTCCCCCTCCCTGCCCCCCCCCCCAGCTCGCTCCGACCCCAAGGAGATCTGGCGGGAGGAGGAGCTGCTGGCGGATGCGGTGGAGGACGACTATGATGACGGGCGGGAGGTGCCCAGGTGGGTGGGTGGGGGGCCTAAGAGGAAACAACTAACTGACCGTGTGGTAAGGCGTCATCATGCTTTGCAACATGATGACCAGGTGTTCCAGAAGGCACGCCCCGGATACCCTCCTGCCTGTCCTTATCCCCGCCCTGCCTGGGTTCCTGCCCCACTACTTACCTCGTTCCTGCCCCGTCCCCGTCAGTGTCTCCTCCCAGTTTACACAAACCCCCCCCCCCTTCCCCCTCCCTCCGGCCCGCATTGGGAATTCTTATTTTCTCCCTCCCCCTCCTCTGTATTGTGGCGCCCTGCCGCTTCCTATCCCCTTTGCTTTGCCCTAACCTGTGGTTTCCTGTTGTTCGGTCTTTGACCCTCCGCAGCTACGAGTTCCTGTACTGCCAGGCGGTCGACAGCGCCGACAACTTCCTGGGCATGAGCGGCAAGGACCCCTCCTCCGCCTGCTGCGAGGACCTGGTGTGCAGGCTGGAGCTGCCGGGGGCGGAGGGGGCGGCGGGTGAGAGGCGCGGGGAGGGGGCGGGGGGGGGGTAAGAAATGAAGAATGCCAATGTGTTGAACGAGGATAGCAAACACGCCGACAAGCTCCGGAGGAGCGGACTCGAGGAAGTCGAGCAGTCGGGGGAGGGGGGGCTGTAATCCCATGGCTGCATTCCCAGTGGCTGCATTCCCATTTCGACCCTGTGTTGTTGGGTGTCATTGAGGCGCCTCTCGTGACGTGTGTGTTGCTTTCCTTGTTTGCCGTCTTGTGGGCTCCGTCACTGTACTGCAGAGCTGGATCTGGAGGTGAAGGACACCTACCTAAAACTCAGCTCGCCGCAATAGTGAGTATAGTACGACACCGCATCGGTGTTTAGGGGAGGGAGGGGAAAAGAAGAATACTCAATTGTGTTGTATGAGAATGGCAAACAAGGGGAGGGAGGGAGGGGAGAGGAAAACAAGGCCGTGCCGGTGTTCGGTAGGGAGGGGGAGGGGGACCCATGGGTCACAGCACGTGGGTGACGAGGGCACTGGGGCAACCTCATGCTGGGTTCTGGGTCATCTGCCGCTTGATGTGACTAGTGTGGAGGGGCGCACGGCAAGAGTGCAATTGCATGATTATGTCGTCTTGTGAAGGGGTGCGGCGGGGTGGCGGCCGCCAAGCAAGGAAAGATGAATGTTTGCCATGTCGTTTGAGCTTTGTCCTCCTGCCCCTGCGCTGCAGCAAACTGTCCATACATCTACCCCACAAGGTTGATGGAGAACGAGGGAAGGCCAAATGGGACGCTTCGAAGAAGGTCCTATCAGTCACGATGCGCATCGTGCGAGAAGACCCGTTTTAGCTGTTGCAAGGCAACAGCCGCCAGCATCTGAGTGGAGTTCGGACCTTCTTCCATATCGACACAGCCCTTGGATGACGATCGACCAACGACGACCCAGCGATTAACCACATATGTTTATGAGCGAGAGCTTGTGGCGAGAGAAGGGCGAATGCTTAGGTTTGGAACAAGGGCCAACAAGTGGGCCCTTAATATGCGACATAGGTATACCTATATGGTATAATATCTTATATATTGGGGTGGATGTGGCTTGATCCTAGTCCTGTGATGACGTGGAAGATGGCTCGTACGTGTCGTGTCCACATGAGCTATAACCACTAATTGCGGGCTGTCCTTCGTAACACCTGCGTTGATCCTCTGTAAGACCGCAACTAAAGAGGTTTTACGCTTTTTTACATTTGTTCTTCGCGAAGTTAATAGTCTGTCCTACATCAAGGCCTCTGGAATGGAGACGCTTGTCGCTTCTCGCGATGAGGCGCTTCGTAGGTATGTCGCGGACGTGAAGTAAGATATCTTGCTATCATATGCGTCGTTGCGCTGTGAAGGCCTTGGCTCCGAACGCGCAAAGGTTCATCTCCTAACAAACTTGCATTCTGTTGCAGAGCTCTGCTGGTTGCCATACCGGTGGGAACTCAACTGAGCAATATTGGGCTCGACTCAATAAGCCGAGCAGCCGACAGCACGCTGCGGCTAGCTACATGGTCGGTCACGTCAGCTGTCCGGAAAGCAGGAGCCAGCGCTGCTTTCGTAAACGTAAGATTTTCTAATCTAAACTCCATTTGACTATCTGCTGTTCCAGCCAGATGATTTTTGCTAACCTTGTCGACGTTTTCCTTCCTTGCAGCGGAACATGCTTGCACCCCTCAGCAACTTCGCCTTCGGCGGCAGCAACAACTCCTCAACGAGCAATGTTCACTTCTGCACACAAACCTGCCCTCAGCTGCTGCCAGACCAAGGCCGCAAGCACCACCCTTCGCGTTCAGAGATAAGGTACGTCACACGGCACAGCACACCCGCACCCTGCTCCTCGTTCCAGCTATACCTCCCTTCTCATGCTCCCACTCTACCTTCTGGAGCGTCCCCTTGTGGTTTCCCGCCTCCTTCCCCTTCTCTCTTCATACAACTTCTGCAGCTACTTTCTGCTCCTCCTATCTACCCGGTGTACGATACAAAGGCTCAAAGGCTTGCGTATCTTTTCATTAAACCCCTCCTCGGCCACCCACCCCCCGACTCACACGCCCCCAGGTACCAACGCGTGGCCAGCAACCTGCGCTCAGGCAGCGCTAAGTGCTCCCTCCAACGCAACAACAGCCAACGGCATTCCAACCACCAGCAACCGTCCATCGCTGCCGCCGCCGCTCCCGCCCTAGCCCTGCTGGCAACCCACCTCGCCGCGTCATGCGCGCTCCGACCCACATCGCCCACATCATCGTCCTCACCATCCAAGGAGCACCTGTCCGCGCCTTTCACAATGCAGCAGCAGCAACAACAGCAGCAGCGGATCATGCTGGGCAATGCGGCAGTAACGGTCACGGTGTTGGGTCATGGCAGCAGCAGCCCCGGCGGCAAGTACGGCAGCGGCAGCTGCTTTAGCGATGAAGCGGAGGCTGTGGAGTGGACGGTGAACACGCTGGGGCTGCAGAGCTCCATGCTGTGATGAGAGGGAGGAGAGGATAGGGGGAGGCAGGTTTGCCTTGTTGTCCCTTGTCTTTAGGGGGTTGTGTTAAGGGGGCTGTATAATCATATTATATCCGTATCCCGGTGGGCCAACCAGGGTGCTGGGCACGTCCGCGATCCTCCTTGTTAGGATATGGAGGCGGTCATGGATGCTGAATGTGAGGATGCGTGTGTGGGTGTGTGGGTGTTTTGTGTGCGGTGGAGTGGGGGTTAACGAGCAATGGCTACTTACTACCAGCTACCATAGTTGCCGTTATCGCCATAACTGCCATCGCCACGGTGTTCACCCGGTTGAGAAGGATCTGTGTTCAAGTTGGGGTTGTTTTTCAAGTTGTCGGAACACTGGATTGGGATACTAGGACGTGAAGGGGACGGCAGAAGCGTGATGCGGCGCGAGTTGCAGGGCTGCTCCTGGTTGGGCGCGATACCCCGATTGTATCCCCCAAGCTGTGAAACACACGCGTGTCTTGTGCGTAGCTTGCTAGCTGCTCCTGAAAGAGGAAAGGGGTTGGGATATCCCTCTGCTGCTGGCCTGCCCCGGTTGCTGCCATGCTGCCGGCGGGGTAACTAACGGCAACCTGCGCTTACTATGTACTACACCACTTGTTGAGCTGTTCTGGATTGCGATTTGAGTATTTAGGCTTCATTATCTTGCCTGGGTGGTCTAGGCGCCTGATCTGCTGCTTGCTGCTTGCATTTTAGCTGCCGCCCGGGCAAAACACATTATTTCCGTCGCCGTTGTTGTTGTGTTGCGTGTATGTGGTTATGTGTGCGCTTTGGATGCAGCTGCAAGCGGGCTTATAGAATGGATATACACACACACGCTCTCATGGTCAGACATGTCATTCGCCCGCTTTGCGCTGTACCCCTCATTCAATTCGACGACACGTGTATGTGTACCCTTGAAATTGATCGTAGGCTGTGTGCTCCCGTACCGTTCCTGTCATGTATATCAGTTGGGGGAGGGCTGTGTTGTGACGCTCATGAGAGGGGATCCTTGCTTTGTCGCTGGTTGGGGTGAGCGGCGAATGCCTGAACAGGGCTGGAAGCATATGGCTGAAAGCCGTGAAAGGATGCGTGGGGGCTGCTGCTGTTGTGGCGCTGCTATATATAATATACTGTACTGTACTGTAGATGGTTGGCTGCTCGTTCGTTCTTCACAAAAGCGTATAAAACATTTTGTATGTTCTACCGACGGCACCGTTGCCACGCGGACCGTTGAAGATTGAGTCGAAAGGGGGCATCGAACGTTGAAGCACGCTCAGATTTCAGCACGCTCGTATTAGTTATAGTTGATTTTTAGGAGGGTTAAGGCATGGCATGGCTGTGTTTGGACAAGCCGTGGAGGATTCAGTCGTATGTGTAACTTTGGGTCCGCGGCACATATCAACTCAATCGGCAACGGCCAAGGCACTTTTGACTCCACACATTTGCGTCAGGCACCACCCCACTCCTTACCTAGAACCAACCATCGTCGCTTGCGGCATAAATGTAGTAAAAGAAATCGGCGCAGCAACAGACCATCGCTCGAAAGAGCGATACCTAGGGGACACTGGCTACTATTGATTTCACAGCCAGGATCATCGCGATCCTAGTGCGCCTGATTGTCCTCAGGCGACAGCTTTGCAGTTATCTATCGAGGAAATATGCACCACATCGTTCGAACAGCGCGGCGGCTTCGCAGCTGCAGCAGCAGGCGGCGCCGGCAATGCGCGTTTCTCGCAGCAGCAGCAGCCCTAGCCGCAGTCTGCACGCTCGCCGCCGCTGCCACAGCGCTACCCGTAAATCGCAGCAGCAGCGGTGATGAGAGCGCCAGCAGCAGCACCAACAGCTCTGATGATACGGAAACGGAAACGGTTCGATGGTACACAGCAACAGCAGCAGCAAATGATGGCGATGCGGGTGGATGGTCAGCAATGATACCGCCCAGGCCGGATGTGGACTTTGGTCCCCCCGCAGCAGCAGCAGGTGAGTTTCGGGCGCTTGGGTGGTGCGACTGCTGGGGCGGGGAACCTCTGTTGATGGCCCGTTGGACGCCGCGCCGCGCCGTGCTTTCCTTATCGTTAGCAGCAGCTTAGCTTTGGGTTCAATGCGCAGAAAATTTATAGATTGTAAAAGATGTTTTTGAAGCCTTCTTGAGCGTTGTAGTCATAGGTACAGTCATCGCTTAGCAACGCGTCTAAGCACCATATAGCTAGGTTTCATTGTAGCTGCTTTCCTTTTTACAGTGTTCATATCGTTAACGCCTATCTCGTCCCCCAAATCGCAAAAAACGTACAGCTGGAACTGCGGGCGCGACGGACCTCCTCAACCGCTTCCAGCCGTTCTCTTCACACGGCAACAACAACAACAACAACAACGACGAAAGCAAATTTACTGGCGCAAACGACTCATCGCCCTCGCCATCACCTTTACCATCCTCTGCCTCCCTCGACCAATGGTCCTGGGAGGCTTATCATAGTCATGAGGAAATGCTGGAATTCCTAACGCAGCTGGTCGACAACAGCTCGGGCGCTTGCAGCCTGGAATGGCTGGATCCAGCCAGGTGGGCAGATCATGGATTCATATTGGATCGGGTCGTTAGAACCGGTGTTGTACAAGGGTACGGTACATGTATACAGGGCAAGCATTTTAGTTTTTTGTCACTTCCTTCGGTCGGCTACTCAACTGTACTTCTTTTACTGACTTGTCTTACTCGGTACTGTGCTGCCCTCCTCCTCCTCCTCCTCCTCCCGGTACCCTCTTCTTCTTCTTTCCTCCTCACCCCACTGCTGTGTACGCACGTATGTGAGAGCTGCAGTGTGGAAGGTCGGAAGCTGGTGGCGGTGGTGGTGGGCGGAACCAATGAGAGCTCCGGCGGGACGTACGGCATGCCAAAGCCCTCCTTCACGGTAAGCAGGGTACGAACGACCCATGGGTCACCTAGGCCGAATCTCCATAGCCCTACCTCCGTACGCGTGCTGCACTCACCACCCGTGTGCTCGTCATCCCCCCATGCATCCAGTGGATAGGCAACATGCATGGCGACGAGACGGCTAACCGGGAGCTGCTGCTGCGGCTGGCCGCGGGGCTCTGCGGGGGCGAGCTGGCTGGGGGTGGAGAGGGTGCTGCTGCTGTGGGTGTTGAGGGTGCGGGTGCGGGTGAGGGTGAGGGTGCTGCTGCGAAGGATGGTAAGGAGGAGGAGGAGGGGCGGTGGCGGGTGCTGCTGAAGAGTACCACCGTGCGCATCATACCCACCATGAACCCAGACGGGTGAGGGTGAGGGTGAGGGGAGGGGGGAGGGAGAGGGAGGGAGGGAGGGAGGGAGGGAGGGAGAGGGGAGGGAGAGGGAGGGAGGGAGGGAGAGGGAGATGGGGAGGGAGGGAGGGAGAGGGAGATGGGGAGGGAGAGGGAGGGAGGGAAGCGGAAGTAGAAGGGAAGAAGGAGCAAACCAGGAGGGAGGGAAAGAGGGAGAGAGGCGAAGCGGCCGGAGCAGTAGCAGTGACGCGTATTGGACGTGGATGGACCTTCCTATCTAGGAATGGACCTTCCTAATACAGTTAGGAAGGACCCAGACGACTCCCTGCCTGTCCCAGCCCCCCAAAGAAACACAACACCCGCACTCTCTCCCTCCCCTTCTCGCCTGCAGGTTTGCGGCACGCCAGCGCGCTAACGCCCATGAAGTGGATCTCAACCGAAACTTCTGGACGAGCGACTTTCCGTACAGTGAGCTCCGTTTTCCGTACGGTTTTCCGTTTTTTATGTTGTGACGTCCTGTTGCCGGCTGGTGATGTGCCGTACATACCATGCGGATCGCCCGTTGCAGCGTGACCCGGCAGTTGCTCCACTGCTCCGTCGCGCAATCCAGACACATATCCTTCTTTCTCAACCTGTTATCCGTCCGGATGTCTTCATCTCCCGTGCCCCCCTTCCACGCCACGCGCAAAGGCTTGCCGGATGCCTCCCAAGCGCTCCAAACCAACCCAGTGGGCATTCCGCTACACCCCGTTGCATTCTCCTGGGCTCAGGTGCGGCTTGCCTGCCTGCCTGTCCGCCTTAAGATACCGGTACCGGTATGCATGCTTTGTCGAACTGTTGTGTGCCTGTTGCAATGCACCCACGCACGCCCGCCCACCCGTCCATGATGAAGCCATCCACTACGGCATTTCGATAGTGTCACCTTCCATCTTTACCAACCTTAACCTTAACCCACCTCACCTCAAGGCCCGCAATCCCCACCTCACCGCCCGCACCCTCCCATCTCACAACCCACCTCACGTTACTTCTCACGGCTACCCTAACCCCCCAGGGTGCGGGCAACGCCAGCCGCCAGCCCGAGGCCTCCGCCGTGGCCGCCCACCTGACCGCCCACCCGCCCGACCTGTCCGCCAACCTGCATGGAGGAGCGCTGGTGGCCAATTACCCGCTGGACGCCTGTGACACCTGGGTGAGTGGGCGTAACGCACGCATGCGACACTGGGTGAGTGGGCGTAACGCACGCATGCGACACTGGGTGAGTGGGCGTAACGCATGCATGCGACACTGGGTGAGTGGGCGTAATGCACGCATGCGATACCTGGGTGAGTGGGCGTAACGCACGCATGCGACACTGGGTGAGTGGGCGTAACGCACGCATGCGACACTGGGTGAGTGGGCGTAACGCACGCATGCGACACTGGGTGAGTGGGCGTAACGCACGCATGCGATACCTGGGTGAGTGGGCGTAACGCACGCATGCTTGCGACACCTGGGTGAGTGGGTGTTGCTGGTCCTGTTAGTTATTGGCTGTGCCTGCTGTTGCTGTTCTGAATGACACGCGCACTTCCTCTGCCTCTGCCGCTACCGCTACCGACACCTCCTCTCCTGCCTCCGCCACCCCTGTCCTCATCTCTCACGGGGCCCCCAGGGCGAGCAGTCCTCCTGCCCAGCCGCCGACGAGCCGCTACCCGGCCTGCTGGCCGCTGCTTACGCTGCAGCACACCCTACCATGGCTGCAGCAGGAGGGGGGCAGCAGGGGGGCGGCCGCGCTTCGCCCTTCCACAGCGGCACGGTGCAGGGCGCCGCGTGGTACCCCGTGCTTGGATCCATGCAGGTGGGTAGGTGGGGCGGTTGGCGGTTGGGTCATGTTGACAACAGCGGGTTGGCAACGTCATCGCCCAGTCCACATGACCACCATACAACTCCGTCCTTGTCGCTACTAACTATACCCACACCTTTTCAACATACCACAGCTGAATAAGCAAACCATGATAACCATCTACCGGTAAATGCTCATCCATTTACACGACATATACCGGTACCTTGACGCACACACGCAGGACTGGGTGTACTATTCGATACACCGGCTGCAACTAACCCTGGAGCTGCATGAAAACAAAGATCCGCCTGCCGTACAACTGCCTGCTCTGTGGGAGGCCAACCGTCGCCCCATGCTGCGCCTAATGGAGCTAGCGCACATGGGTCTGCGGGGACGAGTGTTGGATGCACTGACCCGTGGGTCACTCGCGGCAAACATCAGCGTCTACAGCCCCCATGGCATCCGCGGAACGACCGCTGATGCCGCACGTGGCGGTTACTTCTTCAAACCCATGGCTCCCGGGGTGCAGTACACGTTTGTCGTACAACCATACGATCCGTACAATTCGAGTATATCGTACTTTTCGATTACCGAGAGCGCAAAGTTGGGGGTGTCGGGACGTGAGGAGGTTCTGTTTGGGGCGGGGCTGAAGGGTTTGACGGTTGAGCGGTTGCTGTTGGCGGTTCGGAGCAGTAACGGAACGGAAGCGTCGGCAACACAGAAGAAGAAGCGGAATGCGCAAAGATTGATGAGCAGGAGGATTGCGATGCGACGGCGAGTGGCCCGGTAAAGGTAGAAGGGAAGGATACCGCTACTGCTTAGTAGTGTGGTATATATAGACCTAATACTTTTGATGCGGTATTTCTGATGTGGCTTAGTTGTATCGTATATGTAGAGCGCTAGATATTGTTAGGTATTGGGCGATTAGCGTTTTGCTCGGGTGGTCCCGGGCGGTCCTGTACCATACAACGTAGGTTGAAGCGAGCATGGTTGGGTGTCGGGTCGCTGCGCTTGTTGCTGGCTTGCCTATGCACAGCAGCGCGGCAGCGCTCGCACGTTGTACAATAGTAGGTGTCGTACATGATATTGCGCCGCACACGAGATCTATCTCCTCATCTACATTTGATAGCTCGCCAGACTGGGGTTAGTGAAGTGAAAGGGGATTTGGGAAACTGGAAGGGGAGGTCGTGCGCAAGTGCATGCGCTGTTTCATGTTAGGGGCTGTCATCATCGCTTGTCCTAGTGCTACGCAAATTGGTCACTTGCTATATCGTCCATGCTTCGTGCGTTAGTTACGTAGCGTAATGTGTATGTGTTTTGAGTCAGAACGTATTGTGTGTGATATATGTTGTGGGGGCGGAAAAGAGTTGCATGCTGCATGCAGGAGTGAACCCAAACTCTTCTGAATGTCATGAACCCAAACTTACATGCATGTTGGGCAACCAGCGGAAGCAATAGCGCATGAACAGCTAGCCATGTGTGGCTGTAAGCGATTCCTCAGTTCACTCCTGAGCCTCTAGCCCTCCTAGCCACCCCCTGCTGCCCTCATCACACCACGTAGCCTTCCCTTGCAAACCTCACAGCCCTTCCCACAGCCACACAGTCCAACGCATCAACACAGGCAGCAACAGCTTGTACCCGGGCTGGCAGGCCCAGCCATTCCGAACTGCCGCGGCGGGACATACCTATATCCCTTATCCACATACCTCAGAACCTCAACCTCAGCAGGAGCTTTACGCGTGCATGTCGTCTGCCCCAGCCGCCCAAAGGCATACCGTACGCATGCACATGCGTGCGCGCCCAGAAAGCGTTCTGGAAGCAAAGGCTGACGCGGAGGCAAACAGCGCCCAACAACGTGTCATGGTGCATCCTGCGTTGTGTCTATATGCCCCCTCTGGCGGCGCTAGGACACCTGGAGAAAACCTGTTACTAAACGGTTACTAAAGCACCATTTAGCCCAATGTAGGCTATAAGACAGGTGCTACAAAGCCACAGCTTCTACCTCTTTAATACGTTGGTCGCGTCATCATTACCAAACCACCGCATCCCGTTACCCAAGCTTCCACAGCAACACATCACGCCTCACGTCGATAACAATACGTCACTCTTTCCAGTCGTGTGGGTGGCTCCCCAGTCCTATCTCCCCGCAACCGTCCACATCCGAAAGAACTCACATCACCCAGCTCCCCGCCGCAACCCCCACCACCACCTCATCCTTCTTGCAACCCACCCCGCCGGACCCTCGGTTTCCTATGGTTTGGTGCGGTCTTTGACCCCCCCCCCGGACCCTCACAATGCTGCCACTCCGCTGCTGCTGCTGCCACTCTGCTGCTGGAGAGTGCCACTGCATGGGTCGCACCCGGGCTCCTCGCTTCCCGCGGGAACGCCCCTCCTGCACCTGTGCTCCACTGTCGCCGTCGTAGCCTGTTGTTGCTGCTGCTGCTCTTGTTTCTGCTGCCCCTCTTGCTGCTGTTGTTGCTGCTGTTCACGCGCTTCAGGTCGTTGTTGCGCCAGCGGTCGCCTCTTGCCCCCCTTCAGGCAACCACCGCCACCGCCGCTGTCGCTGGCGCTGCGGCGCTGCAGCTCCCGGGGTTTCCGTCCTGCTGCTGCTGATGCTGCTAGGTGTCCGCGAACTGGCCCCCACGTCATTTACAACAGCAGCAGCAGCAGCCTCCGATGCCGGCTGCTGCTGCTGCTGCTCGTGCTGTTGAGGCTCCTCTGGCTCATGCTCTAGTTGTTGTTGCTGCTGCTGCTGTTGGCGCCGCGGACGCTCCACACGTCGCGTCCCCGTCCCGCCACAGCGGCTCTTTTTCTCAGAGTCGCTGCGTGCCGCTGCTGTGTTGATATCTGCTGCTGACTTTGCTTGTGTTACTGCTGCTTCCGCTGCTGCTGCCGACGCTGGTAGTGGCGGTGGTGGTGGTGGTGACGGCGGTGCTACTGGTGCTGATGACGGCGGTGCTGCTGGTGCCTCTGCAGGACTCACGGACTTCCGCCGACCCCGCCGCGGTTTCCCCTGCTGCCCCTCCTCTTTCGGCTGCTGTCCCTCTTGTCGCCGCTCTGGTTTCTCCTCCTTCGAGCCGTCGCCGCAAACGGCGCTAGGGCTGCTAGAGTCTGAACTGCTGCTGCTGCTGCTGCTTGGATCAGCGTCAGGAGCAGCGCAACTGCCCTTCCTAGTCCTGCTCTTACGACTAGCACTTGTCACGTCGCTACTGCTGCTGCTGCTGCTCTTCCTCGCAGTCCTACGAGCGTTCTTTTCCGGGGCAACCACACCACCACCACCACCACCATCACCACCGGCGATGGAAGCAGCATCACCGCTACCCTCGTCACTACCGTTACCGTTATCATTCCCGCTGCTGCTTCCAATTTGCTGCTGCTGCTTTAACATCTCAGCCCACTCCTCCTCTAAAGCGCCCATCGCCGCGCCTTCCACAGCGGGAGGCGATGGAGGCGGCAGTGGTGAGGGCTTGGGCGGGGCCCTCAGGCTGCCGACCCGTGGGTCGAACGACAGAGCCGCATGCAGCACTCCGAGACCGGTGCCCGGGTGCACGTTCTGTGTGCACAAGAGTGTTGTGCGGGTGACCGGGTGAGCGGGGAGAGAAAGAAGCGAGGAAGGGGGATCAGAGCTCGACGACGCGAAAAGGTGCGGTTTCGGTGCACAGAGGTCATGCAAGCTGCTGTTGGAATGCGGCCTTGCACGTTTCCATTAGCACATTTCCATCACAAGCCCTGTTGTCCCCATCCAGCTCCTGCCGCCTCCCAAACACCCATCCCTCCGCACCTGCAGCACCTCCAGCTCCGACATCATCTCCTCCCACCGCCGCGGCACCTTCGACGACAGCTCCACACCGGGATACGCCTCCGCCACCACCGCCCGCCACTCCTCCGCAACCCACGCAGGCTGGAACCGCCCCACCAGCGGCGTCAGCACCCGCAGCACCAGCGGCGGCGGCAGTTCCGAAACCAGATTGTACAATAGGACGTCATGATCGTCCATGCAGTCAAGCACCGAAACCGCTAGTGCGCTTCGTACGGCAAAGTGCCACGAGGATGCGCACTTCGCAGCGAAGCCGTACGTTGCGTCGAGCAGGACCGCGGCGCGTTGACGCCGGGAAGGTGGCGGCGGCGGCGCCGGGGCCACTGCGGATCCGCCCTCCACCGCCGCCACCGCCGCTGCAACCTCCGCATCTGTCGTCAGCAGCACTCGCTGCGCGGTGGCGGCGGCGGTGGCGGCGCCGCCGACAATGACGTGCGCGCGAGCGACCTCAGGCCACAGCTCGAAGAAGAAGTCGAAGAGACAGCCGTGCCACTCGGCGTCGTACAGATCTGGAAAAAGTACGGCAGCGTGTAAGCGCCATGACGTGAGATCCACCGTTGACGGCAGGTCCGCTGGCGTGAGTGTCGCGGCTGCCGCCGGCGTTATGGAGGAAGCGGCATGTACGGCGGCGCCCTGTGCGTTCGCGCGTCGCTGCTCCGCTGCGGCTGCTTCGAGAGCGCCGCGGATGGGCGCTTCTGGCAGTACGAGCAGATCTCGCGGCTCAGAAACCATCATGGAAGGATCTGAATGAGCCGGGTCGGACCAGGGTTCCAGAGGAAGATCAAGTGCGGATGACGACGGCGACAAACCGATTGGATTGCGGCGGTCCAAGAGAGCTGTTGCTGGTAGTTGTTGTTGTTGTCCTCCGCCCGCCTGCCCTTTTCGCTGCTGCTGCTGTGGTTGCTGCGGCTGTTGTTGCGGCTGCTGCTGCTGCTGCTGCTGCCACCAGGGATCGATCGGCATGCGCTCAGCGCTGCTACCATAGCCGCCCCAACCATCGTCCCGAGCAGCAGCAGCAGCGGCGGCAGCAGCTGCCTTTGCCTCCGCTTCCATCTCCTTAACAAGGCTGAGCGCCGCGCGCCATTCCTTGCTGCGGACTCGCTCAGCGCGGGGAGCGCGAGTGGACCTGATAGTCACCAACCCGCTGTCTTCAGCCGCCGCCGCTGCTGTTGCTGCTGACCCCACACCGTCCCTCGGGAGCTGCTGCTGCTGCCGCGACGGTGCCGTTGCCGTACCTCTTTCGCGAGGACTCATCCCCACGATCCTGTCCTCCTCAACAGGATTATCATCGTCAGGAGGAAGGACCGCTTCGGAAGGTGTGGCAGAGGGTGGAGGCGGAGCGGGGGGACGTCCCATGGGTCTCGGCAACAAGGCGGGTCCGTCGGAGGGCGCTGGGGCTGGCGCGGCGAACAGCAAGTGCTTCGGCTGCGGCTGCGACTGCGGCTGCGACTGCTGCTGAGGCTGCTGCTGCGGTTGCTGAGCTGGCTGGGGGTTCACGCCGGCGGGTCCCGGCTGGGCTGCTGGAGGCTGGCGTGTGGGAGCTGATGTAGCGGGGTTTCCGACGTGGGGTGCGGACGTCCCGCGCCGTGTTGTTGGCGGCGGCGGTGGGGTCCGCTGGGGTCCTGCCGGCGGCAGGGGCTTCCCTGAGAGGATGTCGTCCAAGCTAATGGAGGGAATGAGCGCGTCGAGGTCATCGAAAAGGGAAAGCGCGGCGTCGCTGCTTAGGGAGGCTGTGTTGGAAAGCGTTGCGAGCTTGGGTGGAGGCAGCGGAGGAGCAGAGGGTGGTGGTGGAGCTGACGAGCGGCGCTTGGATGGAGGGAATGCGGACATGGGCTTCGAAGAGCGTCCGCTGTCGCGATCAGTTACAGCAGCTACGGACGTGCTGGTTGTGCGGGTTTCATGGTGCGGGTAAGGGTGTTGGTAACTGCGCGTCCCTCTGCTGCTGTGGTTGCTTAGGTGACTGCTGGCGAACACCGATGGCGCTGACGTGCCGGCCGACGCTGACCGGTCTGACCGAGCATGTCCATCAGAGGGATGAATTGATTGAACTTTGGGGCAATTGAGCAGTTGCCGGGCGCCAAAGCTCTTCCTTAGCAGCCGTGAACATAACTGACATTGGTGGCCGCCAGTTGAAGTACCATGAGGCCACCCTTTGCCGAGCAAGGCAGGCTGCAAGCCCGTAACTTGTGCGCTATGCGCCATCACAGTGACGGCAGACGATTTAAGGAATAAGCACAAGCACCTAGTCTCTACCGAAGGGCTTGACAAAGGTTATGCATTGTCCCGTTAAGTACGATGCGCAATAAGCAATAAGCGTATGGGTATATTGATTACGAGCCGCAACCGCCGTTGTGAGGTTGTCCCTCGCTCCAATTCCCGGTACGGAACCGAAACAATGTGTGCTGGCTGCACCAGGCGCCATGTCAAGGCCTTAACCAGTGTCTATAATAATGTTATTAGGCAATTCACCAAGACGCTGGTTTGTCGCGATAGTAGTTCGTCGACCAACTCCGTCGTCGCAACATTACCCATCCTTTCGGACAGCAAATTCGTTTGCAAAGGGTCCAAGAAAGCAGTTTTCTTTAAACAGACCTGCACCTATCCAGTACAGAATTTGGGCCGCTCCGCACTTCGCTGCGCCCTTCCCTGGGCTTTGTGACATGCCCAGCCCTTCGCGTTCTATGGCTCCCGTGCAATACCTGAGCGTGTTGTTGGTATGATGCATATGAGTAGCTTGAAGATCGAATGCTTACGGCCGTAAGCCTCCAGGTTGGGGCGTGTCCTGTACCCTCATATCGCATGCTTGTAGTCCGCTGAACCTTCCCGAAGACGTCTGCGTTATGCCCCTTGTATACAGTGCTAGCCGCCGTCAACGCCTTCGGTTAGTTCTCGTGTGTAGGGATACACCGTGCATGCCTCCTCTTAATACTCTGAGAATTACATGTGGAGCACACGGTTAGTAACCGCCACTCCCGTACATCGCCTAGGCTTAGGCCACGCTCTACCGCCCCATCCCCAAAGGCGGCCACCGACATGGGTCTAGGAGTTTATTAACATCATCTACACAAAAGAGTCACTATGAGGACGAATGAAGAAACACATGAAGTAACGGGCGGCTGCTCTACAACACAGCCGCCCTGGGGTACAGCTGCAGTCAAGGCCGGAGGCGTCTTGCATGGATGGATGGTGTGCTCCTACACTCTCCCCGATCTCTGGCGACCTGGCGACGAGAACCTCAAAAGCTGCCGCCCGCACGGGCGCCACAGCCGGGCAGCTGGCCCACTTTGCAGGTTCGTCGCCGCCCACCTCCCTACACGTATACCGTACGTCATTTACCACCATTCATGTATGTCAATCGCGAGTGTGACATATACACGATCTCTGTACCAGGTCATGCCTTGCGCAGGCACACATGCCGCACACATCTCCACACACGTGTCCGGCAACCGACCCGGCGGTTGCGTAGCACAGCCCAGCAAAAGCCCAAGTAGTCGGTAGGTACAAGCAAGGTACTACGGTAAACGCACGTCGTCCCCAGGGCCTCCTCTGTTTGCAAGCCTGCATACTCATCAACAACCACCCTATCCCCCAACCTGCTAGAGCCCTGCACGGTATGCCGGGGGCGTCCCAACCGTCCTGCTTTACCAGGAGCACATGCACAACTGTCGAACACTCACCGTACACACGCACACACGCATTAATGTCAGGCCGCACGCACCACCTAAGCGCGCCCGTGTGTACACAACACCAGACACCAAAAGAGAGAAACGATCACGGCAGGCCACCCCGTCAGCAGCCTGGATACAGCATCAGCCTGAAGCCGGAATGCGCCATTAGGGCAGCTAATGCGCGCACACGCTCGCGTATGCTACCCGATCGTCGTACATCCTCCCCCATTGTTAGCGTCTAGGACACGGGACGCAGACGAGGCAAACTATTGCATGGACGAACACGGACGGACGAATTAAACCCTAGTTGTGAGGGACACAAACGCACGCACGACACGGCAGGCAGGCCCACGCACGCACAAGCGCAAGCAGTCCACAAGCACACGCACGGGGACAAGCGCGCGGCTCAAGCGACATGCCAACAGAGTGTCATCACATCTAGTTGTAACATCACTATAAAGTTGGTGGTCCCCCGAGAACGATCTCAAACAGTGGGCTGCACCGGCGCTTTGGCTCACATCAATCCTCGACCCCCTGTGTTGTATCACTGTCAGCAACACTAGCAAAGGAACCCGCACAAACACGGCAGCGAGGCGAGCAGGCAGCGTCACACGCGCAAGGCACAACTTGGCAAAAGCTCAACGCAACCAATCCTCACAACTGTGTGATCAACCCAACCTACGCAACCATACAATGCTACGTCGCTCTTGGTCCCAAGCCGGTGAGCCTCGCGATGCACCGCACCGCGACGCGCTGTAACAACAACGAGAGTACAAGGCTGCCCTGTCGTGCGCTGCATGCATGCTTCAACCATAACCAACGACCAAACACTGCTACAACCTCTTGGTCCGCCATCGCACGCTTATGAGCACGCGTCTCAGCAAAACAGCGGGACTACAACTTTAGTGTGCGTTATTCTTCCATTCACGCAGGGGATGAAGCCAACGAACGGATCCGCGCCGAGGCATGTACAATGCGCAAACGGATGACGCCCATGTCAAGGACGCAATGAAGATGGTTTACGAACGCAAAACGGCGCGGTCCGCCCGAACTAACGGTCAGCATGCCCCGCCTCAGTTTTTACTAGTCCTTCTGGCCCCATACCCCGAATAATTACCCCAATTCACATACATATCGTACGCTAGTCGCACCAGATCCATATCGTGCGCTGCCACTGCCGCCGGCGTGGGGCTATAACAAACGGCGCATCACGATGCACATCCGTTGCCGTAAGGGTTGCACGCACCACCATGAACGTCATGGGTCGCTGCGATGCGGCTTTTGTGGCAATGGCAGCTGACCTCCGCTGCTTAAGCACATGAATTACCGGGCCTCGGCACCCAGAGCTCCTAGTTTAATCTCTCTCTTCTCGTCTTCACCCCTCAGGCGGCTGCTGCGGGCTCTGCTCTTGCTGCCTCTGCTGTTGTCGTCGCCGAGTTGCTATCGACGACGATTGCGGCAGGGACAGCGCGGCACCCGATGGTAGTGATGCGGAGGATGGAGGCAGCTGCGGCGGTCGTGGCAGCCAATCGGTGGGTGTGGAGGCTCCTCGAGAGGAGGCGGGGCTCTGCATGGCATGGAAGGAGAGACAGGTTACAGGTCGGCACACTAAGCAGGTCTAAAACCATTCTGATAAGATGTCCCTTTAACGTTCCATGCCTAGCGCACCGCATGCATTCGCTGCCATTCCCAGCTCCGCTCACCATATTATGCAAACTGCTTTGTGTAGACATGCGAATGACCTCAATGCCCTGGTCCGGCACCGAGCTAGCCGGCACGGCAATTGACAGCGACGGCCCCTCTCGCCGCCGCGCAGGCGACCCGTTGCGACTGCGGAGCGAAACCTGCCGCCGCGGACCGGCGCTGACGCTGCCCATGAGCCCCCTGGGACTCGGTATAAGCCCTGCAGGCGAGAGCGCCCCAGGACCCGGGCCGCCCGAAGAGGAAGCGGGCTCCGCTTCCGACAGCGCCGCCTCCGCCGCTACCGCTGCAGATGCGAGGTACCTGGACTCGTCGGGCCCTGATGGTCCAACAGGAGGTAACGAGGAGTGCGGTGGCGCCGGGGATGCTGCCGCCGTCGCCGCGGCCTCGTTAGCTCTACAGCTGTCGGAAGACGCGGTGCTGCGTGCTGACGCGCTGTACACTGGGCGGAGCGAGGAGGCGCCCCCCTGGCTGTCGGCAACCGGCGTCAGCAGCGGCTTGCCTGTTGTGGAGGAGGGTGGCCCCACGCCGCCGGTTCCGGCCATGCCTGCCGCGTCCGAAGACAGCGACCCCACTAACGAGTGGCGCACAGAGGTGCCCAGTGGGGGTTGCGGCTGCAAGCCCTCCTGGAGGCTGCGGTGGGGTCGGTCCATGCCGCCAGTGCAGCTTCCAGCCAGGCCGGCAGCTGCGCCACATGATTGCTGCTCGGCCTGCATTCCTGACACTGTCCCTGCCGAGGCTAGGGACTGGCTTCCAGGCCCCGGACCTGCCGCCAACTCCTCCGCTGCTGTAGCACCTCCGAAGCCGCTGCCAGCGTCACTACCGCCGCGTTCGGTCGTCCTGGGCGTTACCGGGAGACTGGGCAACAGCGGTTTAAGCGGCGGATGGGCGGGAATGGTAACGCATGAGGTCCGGCCGCTGTTCGGCGGCGCCAGCCGACTGAGCACGGGAGGTGCAAAGCCTCCGACAACAACCGGCCCGCTGGGACCAGCCAGCCGATTCGCGCTGGTAGCCAGCAGCGACGGCCGGTACCGGGGCGCTGTAAGCGGCGTGAAGGTATGCGCCACCGCTGTACCGCTGATGGTTTGCAACTCCAGACCCGAGCTTTCCGACGCCGCGTCTTGAAGCTGCTGCTGCTGCTGTTCGCTGCTGGCTGTGTCCGACATGGGAGAGGGCGGCGGCAGCGGTGAGGACTCCATTCCGGCAGCCAACAGGTGCCGTACGCTAACATCTCGGGAGGGTGTGGCGGAGGTTGCGAGAGAGGCTGCCCCGCGGCCGGCAGCGCCTCCAGGCGGGTTGAGCGGCGTCTCCAGGTAGGAAGTGGTTGGGCTTTCGGGCACGGGCCCGAGCAGCCGTCGCCGGTAATCCACCGGGTCGCGCACCTTGTCCAAGTGGGTGATCGCCACAAGCACTCTCCGAAACGGACCGCGCTTGTAGCTGTGGGGGAAGACAGGGGATAGGCAATGGAACCTTTCGGAAACCGGATCATACGAGGGGGCATTACGCGGACAGCTCTCAGTCCTGCAAAGACCGTTCCCCTGTTTTATAGCACCCATGCCCCCTGATGCGCAGAAGGCGCTCGTCCCGAGCCCGCTAGCCCACCTGCAGAGCTTCAAGAGGGCAATCAGCATGTCGCCCATGGACAGGATGATGGACGCCACGAACAGGCCGTGGTCCATGTACATGCCGTTGCCCATCAGGTTCTGCCGCGCGTACACGATGCTCTGCGTGACGGACTCGGCGGGCGCCTGCAGCAGCGCCACGCAAAACTCCACCAGCTCCAAGTACCTGCACCGCCGTCCGCACCGGAATAACAGTTGAAGAACACTTCGTTAACGCCAAATCATGGCCTTTCATCGACATGCCCCGGTAGCATCCCCCTGTGCCCATCATCTATCCCCAGTCGGGACCTCCCAGAACCAACCCAATACCCAGCCAAGTGCTCACCGCCAGAACACCAGCGGCACGTCCGAGTTCTTGATGTTGGCCACCGCCAGCACCGGCCCCACCAGCGGCCCCACCGCCACCAGCAGCGGCGACAGCAGCGCCACAAGCAGCCTGCTGGAGAACAGGTGGTGCCACACCGACGCCAGCAGTGCCGCCGACACAGCCGCCTGCGTGACCAGGATGAAGGCCAGACACACCGCTGCTGCGCTCCCATCACCGTCGCTCCAGAGCCAGGCGGCTACCCGGACATCCAGCGCCACGTCAGCTGCTAGGTAGCCCACCCGCACCAGCAGCGCCAGTCGCCGCACCCAACGCCGGCCCCACAGGCGAGCGGCAAGGCTGTGGTTTGCGGCGGCGGCTTTGGCAGTGCCATCCGCGTTGGCTCCCTCCGCTCCGACCTGTCCTGCTATGTCCGCGTCGCTGATGAAACCGCCGCGGTTCCGGCGCGGGGCTCGGGCTGCGCGCCAGGAGCTGACGCCCATGATGAGGAACATGCAGAGGCCCGTGAGGCCCCACAGCACGCCCAACGCGATCTTGTACCTGCAAACGGGTACGTATTGAGGAGGTAAGGGTGATAAGCTGATAACCGTAAGCAGGGGACTGCATGTTTTTCAATACCTACAGGATTTCAGTGTACCTTAACAGCAACGGCTTTACCGCGAAACACATGCATCGCGCCACCGCACGCAACCCAGGAAGGCGCCCACGACCTCCACGCCCATCCCCAGAAACATCCTCCACATCCCCAAAACACGCACAACAACACAGCACTCACTGGTGGGATCCGCACAGGTTGCTGCTGCCGCCCGCGAGCGCTCCCCCGAGGTCTGCCACCGCGTATTGATAGCGCCCGGACCACAGCTCAATCCCAGGGTTGCCCTGCAGCAAGAACGTGGCCTGGTCGTCCGAGCCCAGCGCCGCTAGCAGCTCAGAACTCGGCTCGCCCCGCAGCTGAATGCGTAGATGCCTCGACACGCAGCTCTTGTACACGTAATCACGAGGTACGGCACCCGTTAGACCGTTGCTACTCAAGTCCGCAACCAGCTGCGCCGATTGCGTGCCAAGCTGGCCAGCTAGGGAGGAAGATGCGTATGGCGGCGGGGAGGGCGGTGGGGATGCAGAATAGGTGGGTGCAGGCGGTGGCGGGGGAGCCGTGGTTGGCTGCGTAATGATGTCAAGCCAGGCAGCGGGCAAAGTGCCGGTTAGGCCGTTAGACGAGAGATTTAGGTAGCCGAGCGTCATGTTGCTCCAGGATTCCGGTAGCGCGCCGGTGAGGCTGTTGTCGCTGAGGTCGAGCACCCGGAGATAGCGCAGCTGCGATAGTTGCGATGGCAACGTGCCTGTGACGCGGCAGCCTATGACTCGGAGCTCCTGCAGGAATGGCATGAGCGCGACCAGGCCCACGGGCAGGCCGCCCAGCATGCTGCTGCCTCCCTGGCAGCGGAACGTTAGGGAGCGTACGTTGGGGATTTGCTGCAGCCCGCCGCCAGATGCGTCCAGCAGGCCGCGTGGAAGGGTCAGGTCCGTGAGGACGTCAATAGAAATATCTACGTAGTAACTGGTGGACGACGTGCCGGGCTGGGATTGGCTGGATGCGTGGTAGCGGAGTTGGCCGGTGCAGTAGACGAGGTCGCCGCAGAGCATCTTGTCCAGGTCCTCCACCTCCTGGGGGAAGACGGGCCCAACACGCGTGTACATTCCGACACACGGCGTGGTTGTAAAGGTGGTCATGGCTTGGTCCGTCAAGAGCCCGCTGCTGCCGATGATGAGACCGTGGTAATTGGAGAACCCTGCGCAGTCATTGCTGCCGCTTGCGCCGACGTGGGCGTCGCACTGTGCAGCTAGAGCGGCGCTGCTGCTGCAATCGCTGCAAGGGCTGCTGCTAGCTGACACGGTGAAGCCGCTGCTGGAGGTTAGCTGCAGGGTGCGCATGGATGCAAACAGGTAGCCGTGAATCCGCGCGCAGCTGTTTGAAGGTGAGGACTTGGCATAGATGCCAGCACAGTAGCCTAAGGACGAATCCGCCTGCACCCAGTAACTGCTTAATGGCAGCTGATACAGCAGGTCGGTACTGTTGCCGGTGTTCTGGAATGCGGCGCAAGACGCTGTGGCCGAGCAGCGACCAGCCATCAGCGGCATGTCACTCGCCGCCTGTTGCACCGCAGCAGCACCACCCGCAATTAGGCTCCATTCTGTGTTGTCACGGAGCCTCCAGGTGGAAGCATTTGCGACAAGCAAGCCCCGGTAAAACGTGTAGCCGGGTAGCTTAGCGCAACCCTCGGCATCTCTGCCGACTGGATGTGTTTCGCAGGATTCATAAAAGTTGCCGGCTGACAGCGTGCGATTTGCTCTGCAAGTCCGCGTTGTCTCAAAGGAGTATGCGTAACAGTCCGATGACGTCGTCGAAACCGCGTACACTCGGCTGCTGAACTTCTGCTCCGGCAGCAAGTCCTTGTCTCCGACGACGCATTGTCCCGCTGGGATAGTACGCTGAGTACATGCCAGCAACCGACAGCAGCGGATGTATCGCTTGAAGGGGCAGCAACGAGGGGCGATGAAGCCGGTCTCAGCACAGAGAGCGGTTGTCTCCGCTGTTCCATTAACACACGACCCACCGCCGAACCAGCAACCCTGCCATTCGCAATCCACATGGCTAGCAAGATGCCACTCCGGTTGCGAAACTAGAACTCCATTCGAGCAGGCTGGATTATCGGCCGACGTGAAGGAGCACGAGACGCAGCGGTCCACGCGAGAGTGCAGCTGCGGAATATCGGCGAAGCCCCAGCCGCAGACTCCCAAGGAAGGCTCATTTAATAGCTCCGGGCTTGTTTCAAAATGGACGAAGCTTTCCTGCTGTGTATACCCGCAGCTAGGTGCCGACTCAAAGTAGGAGGACCAGCCAAAAGGCAGAAATATGACAGCGCCCGCTGCTAAATATAGCAGCAGGCGCAACAGCTGGCGCATGTACCTACAATAAGTGGAGTCAGGGTCCCTCAGAACGAAGAGTCTCGCACGCGAAAGAACAGGCTCTCATGGCGCGCACTCAACTCCTTTAAAGCCTAAGATTAGGTAGCAAAATCTGGCTTGGGTAAAATTACGGTAGACGGGGCTGGATTATTCAACAGCTTTTTGTGAGACCCTCTGCTGACTCCCAACCATGTTGTCCAAGTATAAAGCTCACCCCTCGCGGTCCGGTGGGGCCTCATTCGTGTGCCAGGAGAATATTGGATGCTGCGCTCAGAGCAGCGGTCATGCTGTAAATTCCAGGGGGGCCCGGAGGGCCCCTTTTCGCTCCTCTGCTCCTTGGCACGCTCGGGTCCGGCCAAGCACTCAAGACGGCGGCCAGGAGGATGCGTTGCACGACGGACACCTATCGTGCCTTCTATGCTTATAAGCAAGCTATTTTACGGAAGGTTGCTGCGCCCTCTTTAGGAGCGGGGCTTGCACAGTGCGACGCAAGGTAAGTGTCCTCTAGAGCGTTGCTTTACTTCGTGACTAGGTAAGCGAAAACAAGCGTGTCCCCTAGAGCTACCGAGCGCAACCCACAAAGCTGGCAGAGCAAAGCTCCGACCTTCCCCTGCCCTGCATAGTGCCGTACTTAGAACGCAAAGTCCGGAAAAAGAGCTCTGACCCGCAATAGTCTTGTCGCCTTGTTATTAGATAACATGTACAAGCTCGGTAGTATGATTTCCTTACAGAAAGACAGACAGATTATGTTTTCGAGTGTCGAATGCTGAGCCGTCCTCACGGACCGTCGGAACACGTAATGCAGCACAAGGCTCAGCGATTTCCGCAACCCATGTACAGTGTGCGAAGGCCCCTGCGGCGAACGCCGGTTGACCTGCCAGGGGGCCTACTACGTCCTACGACGCACATTTAAGTCGCCTCGTGTCCGGCATCCGCGCCTCTCTTGGCACATATGTTGTGCCCCTTGCACGAGCGTGCATTTTTCAGGAAGCTGAAAAGCAGGACTGGAACGTGCAAATCGGCTTGCATGTAGCGTGCAGCACGTCCTACCGTAATCTTAACCTGCCGTACCGTATGATGCCGTACAGCCGTACTGCAACACGCCATAACACCGCCCCCAAGACGCAAGGCAATAACTCGAGCAGATGGGTCAGCTTGAATTCCACGGGAAAAGGCAGCCATTCCCAAACACGTTAAAATAACTGTTAGAACCAGCTGGAACTCTTACACACTCCTTCTGCTTGCTCCCTATCCTCCACAGCAGCTTAGGTACTAAGTATCCGAGTGCGCATGCCTAGTTAACCTCGCCATGCCCAGCCATACCTAGTCGGTCTGTTTGAGACCGCTCGGGACTTGCCCCCGTAACAGACCACGGGACCGTTTAAGAGCTAGAGCAACACCAAAATAGCAACCCGTACTCGCTTGGCCAGAGGGCCCAGGCAAACGGCATGGGGGGCAACAGTCTATTTCATGTGGAAGGGGCATATCACGCTGGCGCCATGTCATCCTGCATCCCTGCCCAACACCATGCATCCCCGTCACCCCATACACCAGCCAGCGGCGCAGCGCCTTCCTAACGAATTCCCGGCCCGCGGTCCCACTAATCCCACTAACTACCATTCCAACTTCTGCGTTACACGCAAGTGCCTAACCAAGCTATGCTGCTATCGGTATGTATAACACGTGCCGTATGCCTTGTGTTTCACGGCAACTGCCTGAGCGGCACGCCTGCCACCGCCTCATGATGCATGGCGGCGGTGGCGTCGTGGCGAGCGTCGCCGAGCACCGACTGGTTCGTGACAGCAGCGAGGAGGGGGGAGTGACGGCATAGAGGAGGAGGGGGGAAGACAGGAAAGGAAACAGCAAGGGGTCAGAGGGGTCGGATGGGAGAGACGAAAAGCGATTGCATGGCAGCAAGGGCAGTGGAAAGGTAAGGTGAGACACGTGGCAGCGAAGCAGGACGTAGTAGACAATCACGGATAGCGCTACTCATACTCAGCACAACTCGGAGCACACCCCCCGCATGTGTCTACCCGCCTATGACCCGGCAAACGTTGCCCCTGCCCAGCTGCCCTCCGCACCTGAGTGTGCGAGTAGAGCTGGTGGCTGGAGTGGTGCGTCATGCGCATCATGCTGACAAACACCAGCGCGTGCATGAGCGCCAGGTACACGAATGCAAACATGCGCGCGGCGGAGTTGCCGTACACCAGCTGGGACAGCATGTACATAGCCTGGTGTTGGGGGAGGAGGCGGGAAGGGGGTCAAAGACCATACCATACCATAGGAAACCACAGGGGGGGCAGGGAGGCCACGGAGCAGACACGGTAGCAAGGGGTCGGTGAAAGGGGTGTAATGCGGAGAGGGTAATCTAGTACATAATGTGCAAAAGCAGCATCCACAGCATCCCACCAATTCCATGCATTGCTGCATTCTCCCTACGCCAAACCCTCAACCCACCTTGTCCACGAACCCCATGGCGGTCTTCTGTCGCTCCTTCTGTTGCTCCTTGAACTCCTTGAAGGGGTTGATACCCTCGTCGTACATCCTGCCGTACCGCCGCTCCACCTCGGCACCCGTCTCCACGTCAGCACCGCCACCGCCGCCTGCCTTGGCGTTTCGCCCCCCGGCGGCGCCCGCGCCGGCAGCGGAGGGACCACTGCGCGAGTGCACATACCTGCCAGACAGCAAGAGCGTTCAACCCAATACCAGCAGGCAGCGTAAGGAGGTTTGCGATGCGCCAGGGCCAAGGTTCATAGAACAGAGGTTTAGACCCCAGCAGAACCCATCTCGAGCAAGCAAGCATTAAGGAGCCAAGAACCGGTATTTGCAGACTAGAGGCTAGCTCGGGGTCAAGCTAAAGGCATAAGCTTGTCCTCACCTCAGCCTCTCCACAAGCGCAATGTTATCCGCCTTGGCCGCCGCCGCAGCGCTCTTGGTGGCCGCCAGCTCCGCCCGCAGCCGCGTGAGCTCCTCTTCAAGGTCGTGCACGCGCGCGCGGAAGCGGTCGCGTTGGGCGCACAGCACGCGCAGCATGCTGGCGTCGCCGTCCTCGCCGTCAGCAGCGGCGCCGGAGGCTGAGGCCAGGCCTGTGACGGTGCGCAACGTTTGGTACCGGAGGGAGGCAGGTGAGGGCAGGGAGGAAGCAAAGCGTTGGTAAGGAAATCGCTGGTTAGGCAGGGCGGATGAGACGGGGAAGGAGGGCAGATCAAGTGGGGGCAAGAGGCGGATCAGGTACTGGCATGCATGGGTAAGGTGAGCCTGGTGGTGCGGTCCATGTGAACGAGACCCGGGCGACGGCCATCGAGGCGTGCAGGAGGAGATACCGTAGCAGCAGCCCGGCTGGCCATGGACAGTCCGAAGGCTTGCGAGGCTCAGACACACACTAGAGATTTACCTGCTACGCCGTCGTTAGCGGAGCCGGCTGCTCCTACGCCGCCCGCTCCACCGGCACCTCCTCCTGCCAGGCGTTGCTCTGCTGCCCGACTGGCTAGCAAATCCTCCTCCAGTTGTCGTACAAGAGCAACCTGTCGTACACCCATGACGTAACGAGTCATACAATAACATGGACCGAAGGCACGTCAGATGCACAAGGTACCGGTAAAGAGTACCGCCACACATGTCTCGAACCTAACAGGTGCAGCCAACTTTCCTTCCGTTCCAATACACCGATACCACCTGCCTAAGCAACAAGGCTCCGTCTTCCTCAAAGAAAATTCCAGATAACCACCCATGCCGTACGGCGTGCGTCCGCGCACCTGCTCCGCCAGCTGCGCCTCCACCTCCGCTGCATGTGCCAACGCCGCATCCGCCTCCTGCCGTACATCCACCACCCGCAGCTTCATCATCGTCACCTCGTGCTCCAGATGCCGGTTCTTAGACAGCAGCAAGGCCTCCAGCGACCCCGGAGCACCCAGGGAAGATGAACCGCCGCTCCCGCCGGCCCTGGAACCGCCATCCGCAGCGCCACCTGATGCTGCTGCGCCGCCCTTGGCACCGGTGCGGGTGCTGCTGTTGCGGGTGACATCGTCGTCGGCCTCCACATCCAAGGTGTTGTACCCGATGGCTTGCAGCACTCGCAGCTGTTGCCGGAGCTCCTCCATCTGGGTCGGGAAAGGGAAAGCAAGACATGAGTGGGCTGGGAGCAAAGCGGTATGAGTAGGTCACAAATTCACAAGCGATGCGATACGTGGCCCAATGGGCTCGGCGGAGGAAGAGCGGTAATGGCAAGGCGTGTAATTTCATCCAGTTCTCTTAGCACGCGCCAGGCTTCCAGCCCCCACCTGCGCCTGTGTAGGCCTCGCCGCGAGCTCCTCCTCCAGCGCAGCCGCATGCTGCTCTGTTGCCGCCAGCGTCGCCTTCAGACCCTCCACACGCGCCTCCAGCATCTCCCGAGCCTCCTCAAACTCCGAACGCACCGACAGCAGCTCGCTTCTTAGCCGTGACGCAAGCTCCCGCTGCGAACCCAGCTCAGCACGCAACGTCTCCTCAATGCTAGCGGCAGCCGCCGCTGAGCCGCCGCCGCTGCTGCGGTGGGCGCCACCGGCTGACCCATGGGTCGCTGGCGACCCGACGCCCGCTGCTGCTGCGTCTTGCTGCAGCTTCGCCACCAGGGCGTTGCGTTCGCGTTCAAGCGTCGCCAAGCGCTCCTGGGCACATACAGAGTGAGGAAAGAGATCACAACAAAGCAGCAAACTGAACACACAACTAGGGCTTGGACAATTAAGAGCCGACCTCTACTGACCTCCTTTCTGGCTGCTCTTCAGGCTATGCTCTCTGGACTATGTGCACCACCAAGAATACCCCACCATGCCAGTCCTATACCAACTGCAACCCCCTTTTAGGATCCGCGATCCGCGGCCGCCCGCTGCCCTCTCCAACCCCCCACCGTCCATCATGGGCCGGGCAATGCACACCTCCCGCACCCCTTCCCGCCCGCCTTGTGCCTTCCTTTGCTTCACCCCCCCCCCTCTAAACCCCGCCCCCACCTGCGCCCGCTCCAGCTCCGCGGATGCCAGCTCCAGCTCCGCATGCCGCCCCATGCGCTCCTCCTCGCTCTGAGACTGGATGGCGAACAGCTGGTTTTCCGCGCCCGTGTAGAGCTTCTGCATGGCCGCCAGGCTGGCCTGCGCCTGACTCAGCATGGCCTCCAGCTCGGCCTCGCGGCTCTGCATGGCGGCAACACGTGCGGCATCCGCCTCCGCAACGGCACGCTGGCGAACCTGGTGGGTGGGGAAGGGGAGGGCAGCGGCAGGGTGATGAGAGGGGGCTGCATGCGAGTGTTGGAGGGAGAGGTGGGTTACGTAAGAAAGGGTGGTTGGGTGCATGCAGGGATGGTAAGGGGTGCACAACGAAACACACAGTGTTCGCACCCAGCTAGGTAGAGCGAAAAGCCAGTGCTAGCAAGGCATGTCTTGCTACGGCGAAGACAGGTGCCAGCGCCCCACCGTGCCCCGTCTTCCCACTTCCTGCCCCCTTCGGCCCCTTCCCACACACCTCCTGAAGCTCCCGGTCCTTCTCCTCCACATGCGCTTCCAAAGACCGGACCTTCTCCTCCAGCTTGCGGACTGTAAGGTCCTGGTTCTTAATCTGTGCCGATTCGGCTTTGTATTCCGCAAGCTCAGTCGCTAGCTTTTTGCACTGTGCCTCCAGGTCGGTGGCGCGAGAAGCGTGTGCGAAGGATAGCGCCAACGCGGGAGCTGGATCGGGCGCTTCATAGAGCTTCTGGTAGAGGTCCAAATACGCGGTTTCGCCATGCTTCGCGCGCTTAGTTAGACGGTCAATCTCCTCCTGATACTGTTTTAGCAGCGGCCCAACAGTCTTGCTGACAGCTTCGTTGTTCTTCTTAAACTCGCGCGTGGCCTCGGCAAGCTTGCGTCGATTCTGTGTGGACTCTTCCTGGTGCTCTGCAACTTTCAAGGCGACATCGTCCAGCTTTGCACGCATTCCCTCGAGGTCAAAGTCGCGCCAGAAGCTGGAGATGAGTGACAGCGGCGAGGCCATGGCATCCTGGCTGTCGGCAGCCATTGTGCCCCTACGTTCCAAAGCTATGGTTCAAGCAACAGTGCCAGATCTGGACGACCCTAGGTGATCCTGTTAAAACGAAGTCCTTTGTTCAGTTGATAGCCTAAAGCCTGATGTGACAGTTTGGTCAGATTTTCTGGGCTTCATAGGAAAGAAGTTGGGTCTAGCTTTTCGCGTGTCATGGATATGGCCATCTAGCTAGAACAATAATTTACAGACTTCGTCGTGTGTGCAGTCGTACGGCTTACAGTTCGAATGCTGCTCCTTTTCGTCGCAGAGTAATAAGCGCGTAACCTGCAGTGGCAGGGCGGCAGCATTGGTTGCATTTATTATCGATACCATGTCGGACTATACGCAGAAATACGCAAAACTAACCGGCGACTCCTGGCTCTAGGGTTGACCAGACCAATACTGTTTGGTACCGGTCCTCCCACTCGCGCTCCCGCATCCGGCGTTCCTCCCACTCGCGCTCCCGCATCCGACGTTACTCTCATTCGCACTCCCGGCGTCTTCCCCCACTACACGCCAGTCGCAGCTTGGATGCCCGGCTGTCGCGCCTGCCCTCGTGAATGACCGTTACAGCAATCCCTTATCATCATGCCTATGACCACCCTGGCTCGTACGGATACATTGTACATGCGTACGAAATGTACCGGTAACTGTTGGCTGGGATAGAAGATAACCAGCCGTACACTGCAAAAGGTACAAGCCCTGACACGACCAGTTCCTGAAAAGACATGGCTAATCCCGCTGTAAGAAGCCCACAGTCATGAAGGTCTGGCAACAAACACGAGCAGCAAGTGTAGCACCAAAGCGAACAGCAGATCCAAACCCCCACAGCTCTGCCTAGCCAAATCCAGCAGCACAAGGAGCACGACACGATAGGTGGTCGGCGCTTATGCTGAGCCGTAGCCTGTTCGACGTTCAAGCGCCACGCTACGAAGGGACCATCCCGCCAGTACTACAGGTTAGCCAGAGCAAACTACCGGTAGCAGACGAAGGCCATGTGAATTAGGCCTTCGCATGCACCTTGGCGTACGTGTTATGACCTCTTACCTCCAGGAGCATAGCAACGCTGGCTGATCTTAAGCGGTAATCCTAAGCAAGCCACCGCAACCTTTCTCACCCTGCTCTTTTTGATATCCACAAGGAATTTCCACTCTGCTGTCCCTCAAGGACACGCCCAGCCCGCCTTATGATGCAAACCCCGAATTCCCTCTTTCCTTTCCACTAACCCTACCCATAACGACCACAATCTTACACGTTTCCATTTCCCCAATCCCTCTTAACCCTACATGCCAAAACACATGCACGCTGCCCTGCCGCCTCCCCCATCCCCTAACCCCCCGGCTGCACCCTCCTGCTTATACCTCAACCGCATCCACGTCTTGCGGCTTCCTTCCATTGCAAGTCCCAAGCTCTACCACCTCCAGCAAGTCATCCGAATCCGAGTCATCCCCATGAGCACCCGCCGGGTCATCCAGCAGTGCAAACACATCGGGCGTCTGACCGTCCTTGGACGGCATCTTGCAGATCTCTCGCTGCATCTCCGGCTCCTTTAAATCCGCAAACTCCCCAACCACCGCCAACACCGCCGCAGCCGCCTCCGTTGACAGCGCAACGCGTGCTGGAGCCGCTGCCGGAGCCGCTGCTGCTGCTGCGGATGTGGACGGCCCAGCCGCTGCTGCGGCGGCGTCGAGTCCCTGCCCTAGCGCCGCTGCACAGGTGCTACAGCCTTCCGGACCAGCGTCGCAGGCGACCCAGCCGGATTCCCGCAGGGCCGGGGATGCCGGCGCAGCCTGCTCGGCTGCGGCTGCGAGGTCGTCCGCCAGCTGCTCCCAGAACCGTCCCGTTCCCCGGTTGGGATACCACCTGCATGCACGCATGCATGGAGCGCGAGGCCACTGAGGGATGACACGCAACCATGCAGGAAGCCTAACTTTCCACGGCGGCTATTCCGGATGCCGTATGGCCCCGGCACGCAACTCTCCCTTAGTCCCTTTGCCCTCACCCCACACCTGCCTCCTCATGCAACCTACTCTTACTTGCGGCACTTGCACTCCAGCTCCGCCAGCCTCACCAGCGGCGCCTTATGCACGCCGCCCTCCGCAAACAGCGCCCGGTGGCACGCGAACGCCCCCAGCCGCGCCACCACCGCGCTGCACGCCGCCCCCGCCAGCGCTGCGGCGCTGCCGGCGGGCGGCACGAAGCGGTCCGCCAGGTAGTCCGCCGGGCGCTGCGTGAGCGGGATGTCGTCCGCCGCTTTGGCGGATTCGTACTCCTGCAGGGACTCCCGCATGGCCTCACGCACGTCCTGGATCTCGTCCTCAACCTCCATGCGTACGGCAAGGTAGATTTGGGCCGCCTCCAACCAGTCCTGCAGCCGTTCGCTGCTGCCACCGCCGCTGCTGCTATCCGGGCTACCATCTGCGCCGGCATCGCCGCTGCCAAAGACCTCTTCCCGGGTCTCTTTCAGAGCGGTTAGCGCGGTATCAAGGGGGATCCCCGTCAGCTTGGCGAGCTGTGCTGCAGCGTCCTGGATGTCGGGGATGCGCGAGGGATTGGAGTCATCACCGGGGCCTTCGGTGCCCTCCTCCTCCTCCTCGCCGACTTCGTCCTCATCATGTGCTGCATTTTCTGCATTTGGCTGGTGCCCGGCGGCTGCGCCATTGGCCTCCTGCTGGGAAATGGCTTGCGCAGAGTTGCCAGCATCCAAGTGCTCAGACGGGCTTGCGTCCGAGAGCTCGGGTTCATCGCCTGCAAAAGCACCGGCACGAAGGCACGTAGCCGTTGGGCGGTCCACGGGGAGCTTAAGACACAGCTGCGCAGCACAGCGCGTTATAAATACAAGATACAAGCGTGGCCTCGCAGCAGCCCGCCAGCTCAAGTCTTATCCCTAAGACAAATGTTACCTGAGGCGCCTCCTTTCCGTCGCTTGGACCGCCTTAGACCAGTCGTTGACACTCTCCGCTTAGGCATTGCTACCAAAGGAGGTCGGCTGCTGCTTAAAGGGAATGCAACTGTTTCAGTCCCGCTATTCCGGTAGTTGGTAAGCCGGGTGAACGGCGACAGATTACAGATCGGCTAGTGACACGGCACATACAAATATACTATGAATTGTGGCATGAACCAGGAAGAGACAGTATCCAGGAGCAGACGGTAGAGCCTCGCTAATGTCCAGTGCGACAGTTCTATGAAAAAGTAATGGTTATATGGTGGTCTGTGTCCTACCTGTGGAAGTAGGAAGCGTCCGAGTGTATCAATCCTTAAAAAGCATAAGCTACGACTTGCCGGTCAGATGCTGTTCCTGCTCCAGCTTCGCGTCAACCAACGCCCGGAATTCCTTCAGTATTGATAGCGATTCATGGAGAATTGCATTGTTCTTCACAGGGAGAGACACATGCGACGGCGGTGCTGGAACATCCTTAGTGGCTGGTTGTTGCCTGGGACCAGGCACTAAGACACCTTCACGCTGCACCTGCAGACATAATGTGTAATCCTTGACTGCGGCTTACAAAAGAATTGCGTTCGTTGGCACATATAGAGACAGTCAACTGTCCTAGCAAGGCGCACCTGAGCTGCGGCGCCAGGTTGCGCTTGCTGCTGTGGAAAGCCTTCGCTCATTGGTGAAAGCGCATACATGCAAAAGCCTGTGACATCTGTGCCCAAACCTCTATGTCAGCGCTCAGCGGAAACAGCTCATGTACGGCATAATTTGGATTTAGCTGGATTCACACCTACATACCACCTAACTCCCATGGCACCTCCTAAGAGATGCACACATCGCCACCCAGCATCCGTGTTAGTCCATGCAACCGTTACTTGAATAACCTAATGCAGCATTCTACACTTAACGCTACGAACTTGCTCGACAGTCTGCCACCAGCGGTATCCCTTAACTCAATACCGTGCTGGTCATCATCCCTTGCCCACAACTGACACTACCCCAAGACCAATACCCACTTGAGACTTGGCTCGAAGGACATGTGTGTCCTTCCTACCTCATAACCAATACCAAGCGTCCCGAACGGCATGTGTCGTCCCTAACCGATTCGGTGACCAATGACTCCACAGGCCCAGCTGGGAAGGACAGACATGCCCTCCCTCAAACGCTGCTACAGCCCCTCCGCTTGTACAAAGCCGCCTCGCAAGGTTGCGAGAGCTCATAATTCCGTAGTGGAGGTGCGTAATTTACGGGCTGCCGGCTGCTGGCTTCCCTGCCGGTTGGAACGCCAGGTCTAGCTCCTGCGGTTGGGGAACGAGAGGGACAGGACAACGGGGTTATGCCGACTTCCCATCTGCGTAGTTATTGGGGCATCCGCTGTTGTCATGCGCCCATGTCTACTGTCCGCTGACACAATCGGCAGCTTACAGCGGCCACTGCAAGCTACCCAACAACTGCACTGCAGTGCGTGCCGGGGCCTAGCGGGCTGCCTCCGCCAATGGCCCACGTCCACAGCGAACTTCAGCTATGGGGTCACAACAATTGGCGTCTAATGGACGAAAGCTCACCAGGACGTTCTTGACCTTTCGCCCATAGAGTTGATACACCACCGATTGGCGTTTCACAACATCCAGCTCCTGGCGGCCTCTTTGCAATAGCGACTGCACAGCGGCTGAATCGGTGATGGATGCTGCCTCGTGGAATGCTTCGCGAGCCCGCCGCTGAATGTATCTGCGTAGTAGTAATTGCAGTTAGCCGAAAGCAACTTGAGCGTAACCCGATATGACAAAAATCCCTTTATGCCTAAAACAAAAATGCAAGCCTCACTCGCGGATGTTGTAGTTGGGGAAGCGCCGGCCCTCGCGAAGAAGCGCTCGAAACAGCGCCCGAGCCTCTGCCGCGGCACTCATCCCTGTAAACGCTTATTGAAAAGGTTCTGTAGTTTCACGGTGAGTGAGGCCTTTGTTACCGGTCATCATCAACTTATGGGCCGTTTTGTACGACGGTATCGTCCCGATGAAGTCCTCAGGACGAAACGCTAGAACGTCTTGGTTCATATAATTTGTAAACTTGTGTCATGTAGCTAAAATGAATCAAGAGAACGAACGTAGCGCACGCTGGTCCGCAGCTGTCGCTGCGCCATCGCAGGCCCTTGTCGAAGAACTTTGCGGGCAATTAAGATACACGTTCGTAGACTTACCGGAACTCGTAGATTCAGATGAGGAGCACATGGATGACGCATCAGGTGAGAAGGAGTATGATTGTCTGATGGTCTTGCTTCATCCGTACGCCTTAGGTGACTCCTAACCGTCCTCTGCTCCACTCCCACTGGTATGCCCTACTCCCTCAGCAGGACACGACCCACCACAACCCGCCATCCTTCCACAACCCACAGCACTCTGGTCCCCACCACGCTTCCAACCAGCCACGCACCAGCCCCCGGGCGAACCTACACCCTACCACAACGACGCAGCACAGCACCCTTGCCAACAGGTCTTCCAGCAACACCAGCACCACGCCCTTCAGCCCCTATTTCAACATCAACATCAACATCAACAACCCTTGAATTCTTCCCACCAGCAAGCCCACCAACAGCAAGTACCGGTACCGGTAGTCTCATGCGACCACCAGCAGCAAGGCTTCACCGTACCGATAGCCCCCGCCTGGTGGGCTGAGTCAGCAGCCCCGGCCGCAACACCCACAGCCGCCCCTACGCCCTCCAATCCAGCCTCAACACCCACGGCGTCATCATACCCAGCGGCACCTGGCCAGCAGGCAGACTCCTTGCATGCAGCGGCCCTTCCCGCGGGGGCGATGTGGACGGCAGAGCACCAGCGGTTAGTGGCGCAGCAGACCAGGTTGGCGCCGCCGGTTGCGTATGGGCAGCATCAAGCGACGTGAGCCCACATGGCAGCACGGAGCGGGCTTCCTGCACACCGGTACCTTAGCCCCATGCAACTCGTGCGTGCAACGGGCCAGCATAAACGGCGACCTGTGATTTGGGTCCTGTAGGTTTGACATCTATAACTGCTCGTCTGCTACTTCAGTTCTGTGAAGAACGCATTCCGGCATTGCCTTACAATGAAGGTTCTTGCTGGTATGGCAAGTTGGATGCTCCGTACCGGCGACCTCTACCTACAGCCAACTGCTGAGAAGGCGTGGCCGATATGCCATGTGGGGCACGCCTGGTTGAAGCATATGTATACGTAATTCTCGAATCGTACTGGGGCGCATTTGACGATGCCTGAGGACTAAGCTGTATAGGGAAGGGCTTGAGGCACGGTGCCTACGGCGGGACGAGGGGGCTCATATGGGTTTTCAGCGAACTATCCTTATCTTTCAGGACAAGCAAATGTAATTTCAAGTTGTGTATAAATGTGCAAACTATGTGCTCCGGCGGGCGACTTTTGACACCTCAGCTCCATGTACCGCCTGTGCAAATTGCACGGTCATTTGCATACAAACAGTACCAAACAGTCTTATCTGGTTTACTATCCAAAGTAATTATAAGATTAAACACCAGTCCAGTTCTCCTTATTACGTTCCTATTCCGTCCCAACGGAACCTGACAAGCGAAGAGGCGCTCGTGCTGCACACGCCATCCTTGCTATAAACTTGTGTCTTTAAGGTATGCTACTAGCTTTTCGCCATGAGGTCGGGATAGGGACAGCGGAGAGCGGCATGCGAAGCCTTGCTGCTTTCGGCTATCGCCTAAGTCGCATTCCATCTTGCAGGACCCCAACGACATCAGCTATGAAAGGCGGGCGGCAGCGGCAAAGCCATCATAGCTCTGCCCGGGGTACAGCAAAGACAGGCCGCACAGTTACGCTTATCACTAACAAGTATGGAGTGCGGCCACCTCAGAGCTGCGCGATCGCTGCACAGCTTACAACATCACCCGCAGAATTCAGCGGGCGAACAGTAGGTGCTGCGTCCTGCTTACGTCCAACTTCTCCTCCATGGCGCACGGTGGCGCCCCGCGGCAAAGATGTAGTTGCAAAGTCGACAGATTACGTAGCCTCGGCGAGCGATGAGGGAGTGTTGCGCTTGCCTGGTCGCACAGAGCTCGAACCCCACATGGTACGGTTATGCCCTGATTGCCCTCACGGCCAAATCATTCGTACCCACACCACTTGGCACCTCGGACGTGGGGTTCCTTCCCTCACAATCCCATGCCTGTACCCATTATCCACATGGCTGTTCCACGCCTCCCATGTCCACTTTCGCAACCTTTTGCTTAATACTTTCCTCAACGCTCCCCACCCACTCGTACGCAGGTAACCAGCGTCTTCGGCTATGCTCGTGACCTGCCGGTAAGCGCAACATGCCATCTGGGTCACCGCCAGAGCTCCCCGCCCTATCACGCTTTCCACGCCAACCTTGTGGCCCTTCCTTACCCCTTGTTCCTCCCCCCTACGTTCCTCTCCCTTCTTCTTTCCCGCCCTTTTTCCCGCCCTTTCTTCCTTGTTCCTAACCAGGAGAAGTACAGCTTGGGTCGGGTTATCGGCGCCGGTAGCTTCGGTGTGGTGCGGGAGTGCATGGAGCGGGCTACAGGACGCATCGCCGCGGTGAAAACCATTCCCAAAGTTCCCAAGAGGGGCCTACCCACGCCTCGGTACCTGCTCAAGTTGCGAACGGAGGTATGACGGCGGGGTGGGGCGCGGTACCGGGCCGGGGAGGGGAGGGAGGAGCGGGGGGAGGATGGGTTAGAGGTCTGGCTCCTTGCAGTAGGTAAACAAGGGTGTTCAGCTAGGGGTCACCCCTACACGTGTGGGTGGTGCGCGGGTGCCTGCTGTTGCGGACTGCGGGTTTCGCGGTCGGAGAGTGATGTGGGTCAGGATGGGCAAGGAAAGAGGAGCCTGGAGTGCTTCATGCGATCTGGGTCACTCTGGGTTGGCGCACAGCCCGCACAGCATAGCCGCCCCCCCCCCCCCCTCCCGGTGCTACCTCTCGTCCCCGCCCCCCCATCAAATCCTTGCGTCCTTAACACCTCATTTTACCCCTCCCCCCCCGAAACCTAGGTTGAGATCATGCAGCAGCTGGGTTTCAGTCTGGACGCGGTGAACCTGCGCGACGTGTTCGAGGACGACGACGCCATCCACCTTGTGATGGAGCTGTGCGAGGGGGGGGCGCTGCTGGAGAGGATTGAGGCGCACAAGTGAGGAGGGGGAGGGAGGTGTGGGTTGGGAAGGGAGGTGTGAGAGGGAGAGGAAGGAAGAGGGAAGGAGGGGGGGAGGGGCTGCCTTCGCGGCGGCAAGCTAGAGCCGTCGCGAGGACCCATGGGTCGGTGGGCCACCGCCCCCACCGGGCCTGGTTGGCCGGTGCGCCTGTAGCCATGGAGGGCCTTGCGAATGAAGGGCCGCATGCTGCTGCAATGCACACCCCTGTGCGTGGGTCCACCCCTGCCTCTGTGGTCGGAGGTGTTCACCCTCCCTCCTTCCTCCCGCGCCTCTTACCTCCTCTCTCGTACCTGCTGTTCCCCTCATCCCCGCTCCCGCTCCCCGCCCCCCCCCCGCCCAGGTACTCTGAGAAGTACATCGCGCGCCTGACCCGCTCCATCCTGCGCTTCATCAGCCAGTGCCACGCCAAGGGCATCATCTACCGGGATGTGAAGCCGGACAACTTCCTGGTGGGAGGGGTTGGGGGGTAAATTAGGAAGAGAACAGTACAATGAAAGGGAAAACCAAGGAAACGGACGGTTTGGAGGGGGTTGGGTTTTGAGGGCTGAGCATGGGTTGGGTTTGGGGGGGGCGTTAGTCTCGTCCTGGTGGTGAGGGCGGGGGTCCGAGGGGTGGGAGGCTGGTGGAGTGGGAAGGGAGGAGAAGAGGGGCCGCTGCGACCCCGATCAGCCCACGTGACCCCCTTCTCCGTCTGTCTCGCAAAACTCCACATCATCCGCTCCCCAACAGTTTCTGCGCCACGACGACGAGTCGCCGCTCAAGGCAACCGACTTTGGGCTGTCCATCCGCCACTGGCCGGATGAGCCCAAGCTGACCTCGCGCTCAGGTAAGCGGAAACACCCAACCACGATTTGTGAATGTGGTGTGATGGGCTTTGTCGTAATGAGCTTTGTGGTGTGATCTGTGATGGGCTTTGTGATTGCTTTGCGATGTGGGTTGGACGACCTGAGGGGCTGCGCGGGTCTTTCTGCATGCCCGGGTTGCCAGCCACGCCGCCCCACACCAGCCAACATGCAACACCAGCATGCAAGATGATCATCCTCGTCAATACCCCCACGCCCTGCCAATCCCCAGACTCTCCCGCCGTCTGTACGGCACTACTTTCTGAGACCTGTCGTACCGCCGTACTGCAGGCACACCCGCCTACATGGCTCCGGAGCTCGTACTTCAGTCGTACGACGAAAAGTGCGACATCTGGTCCGTGGGCATGTTGACGTACCAGGTGCGCAGATTCATCATTGCCGTACGTACTAGGGCGTACTAGTCAGGGGTAGTCACGAACCTTATGCAGTTCTGAATGTCTGTATTGCATCCGCCTGGTTGTATGCGGTTGTGTATGTTTGTTTGCTTGGTTGAGCGCTAAGGCTACGGTACTATAGCACGCTAGCAGGGCCATATACCAGTAGCTTATCCTGCATGCCGCATGTCTTTGTGCCTGTCCGCTCCTACCTGGCGCCGTAACGTCGTCATGTCGTCTTTTGCCTATGCGCTCGTCACGTCATTCACCCTAACCACTACGTTTCAATGTCGACATGCCCCCGCATGCCTGCCCCCTTGGTTTTGCTTTTCTCACCCCGCACAGCTGCTGCCTGCCATGAACCCTAACCGTGCCCCCCTGCCCCCCCCTCTCCCCTTCTTCCCACATAGCTGCTGACGGGTCGCTTCCCCTTCTGGGAGGACGTGCGCACGCAGACGCTGAGCGACGTGTGGAAGGCCATCCTCACGCAGGACGTCAACTGGAACGCACCGGTGGGGGGCGGGGGGCGGGCCGTGTGTGTGGGGGGGGGGGGGTTGAAAAGAGGAAACTGACGGGCTGTACGACGAGGCTTCACCATGGGTTGCGGGGCGGCCCCACCATTGTTCTGCCCTAATTCGTGGTTTCTCTATGGTTCGGGCTGTTTTCAACCCCCTCACTTCCCTCTCCCGTCAGTCTACCGTAACCCTCTCCCCCTTCCCATCCGCTCCCCCTCCCCTCCCGCCCCACAGGAGCTGAAGCAGCTCTCCCCCAGCGCCGTGGACCTGCTGCGGCGGCTGCTGCAGCGCGACCCCGGCCTGCGCCCCTCCGCCTTCGCGGCGCTGGAGCACCCCTGGCTGAGCGACGAGGGGCGCGCCAGGGACCTGCCGCTGCAGGGGAGCGTGGTGCAGGTGGGGGGCCTGGGGGGTTGGGGTGGAGTGGGAGGGGGGGTAAAAATAAAGAAACACTGACAAACTGAATGACGAGGCTCCACCATGGGAGGGGGGGTGGGGGGGTGGAGGAGGTGACACTCGGCTGGGGGTGAGCTGCTTTAACTCCGGGTCGGGCCGGGCCGAGAAGACCGACCAGTATGGCTGCGGGCAGCACGCACGTTGTCTGTTCTCCCTCCATCTCATCCCCACCCCACAAAAAAAGCCAATCCCAAGACACCCATCCCCCCTCTTTCCCGTCCCCCCACCCCCCCTCCCCCCCGCAGCGCCTGCAGCGCTTCTCCACGTTCGGCCACCTGAAGCAGCTGGTGTTGCGCATGATCGTGGACGAGATCCAGGACGAGGGCAAGCAGGGCAAGGCGCCAGCCAGCCGCACAGCCAGTGCGGCGCTGGGGAACCTGCAGGTGAGCGCCTGGGTGGGCAGGTGGGGGGTAAAAATAAGGGGGGTGGGGAGTAAGGGCAAGGCAATGGGGATAGGAGAGGCGGCAGGGGGGCCACACAACAAACTGTGTGGGTTAGCGGCCCATACCCATGTCGAGCTCAGCCCTCTTCAACCCCGCATCTTCAATGCCCACCTACCGGTATCCCCCCCCAACCCCCATGTCAGCTTGTTTGCTATCATCATTCAACACCTTGGGATTCTTCTTTTCCCCCACTTCCCCACTCCCCCCCCCCAGGACCTGTTCAACGAGCTGGACACGGACGCCAGCGGCAGCATCAGCCTGGAGGAGTTGAGTGCGGGTCTGCGGCGGCAGGGCTACGTGCTGGCTGACAACGAGATCGAGAACCTCATGCGCCGAGTGGACTTCGACCACAATGGCACCGTGGACCTGTCGGAGTTCATCACCACACTGCTGGACTGGGAGCAGATGCAGGGGGACCAGGGCTGGCAGGTGGGGGGGAGGCGGGAGGAGGCGGGCGTGGAGGGGGGGTTAGTTCAGCCATGTTTTTATCCCCCCGGTCTACCGGTCTACTCCTGTTGGAGCTCCTCGTTTCCTGCGGCTTCCTCCCGAGTGCTCCTCCTCTTCCGCATCCTCCCGGATTCCTCCCCAGTCCCCACCACCACATGTGTACCCCGCACCCCGCACTCCCCCCGGTACACTCCTCCCCGTCTTAACCCCCACCTACCCTGTTCCTCATCTGTTTCCTTATTTAGTTATTTTAACACCCCACCCCACCTCCAGGTCTACCTGGACCACGCCTTCCGCAAACTCGACCACGACGGGGACGGCTACATCTCCCTAGACGAGCTGCTGCACCAGCTGCCCCCCCTGCGGCCCGCGCCCTCCGGAGCAGCAGCAGCGGCCGTTGTCAGCGGTCCGGGCGCGTTGGCACAGGCGGTGGTGTCTGGCGCCGCCGCCGCGTTCGGGTTTGGCAGCCGGGGATACGACGGGGACGCGGAACGGCTGGCGGAGGCGAAGCTAATGCTTCGTGAGGCAGACACGAATGGCGATGGCAAGATCAGTCGGGAGGAGTTCTTTGACCTGCTGCGGGAGAACCATGCGCCCGACAGGTGGGTGGCGAGCGGGTGTGGGTGGGTGGGTGGGTGGGTGGGGTTGGTCTGTAGGAGGTTAGTTCCGTGGTGTGTCTGGATGCTGGCGTGATGCTGGCGTTCCAAAGAGGGCGTTTGTTCTCCTTACAGGGCATACGTATATCCCCTACGTGTAGCTGCGTCTGTACCCCGTGTAGCTGCGACCGGAAGCTGCTGTCGATGTACATTCCCTACTGCTTTGCGAATACCTAGATGCCCACCCTCCCCCTTCCTGCACCCCACCTTGTCGTTTCCTCTTCACCCCCTGCAGCCTGTCTTTCTACGACAACCGCCTGTCGTTGGACGGCCGTGGCAACACCACCGCCACAACAGCCATCATGAAGCAGGAGGGCCGCCCGGCGGCAGCCAAGCTGTGACCCACGTGGAGGCAGTTGGGGGTGAGACGTGAGAGGGCGCGCCCCATCGCAGTGAGACGAGGCGAGGCGGGGCGGGGCGAGCAACAGCAGCGGCAGCGGTTGTTGTGGCGGTGGTGTGAGGTGGCTGGGGTGCCCGAAAGCGTGTGTGCCGCTTGGACTGTGGCGAGAGTGCGGATCCGTAGGTTGCGGTACTGACGGGGCTGCGCAGGGGTCGGGAGCATGGAGGTGTGTGCGTAGGTAGCACGAGAGGGGGAGGAGCGCTCCATGCCTAGACTCCCCTGATTGCTCCCTTTTTTGGGGATGAGTGCGGGAAAGAAAGGAGGACGGCATGCACCGGTGCTGTTGAGTGCGTGGACGTTGGTCTTGCGGCTCTGGTCAGCGACAGCAGCAGCAGCAGCTGGAGCCTGGGCATCTGGGGTTTCTTGGTCTTGCCCGCTGAGGGAGTTCAGCTGCAGTGAGGGGGGAGGATTTGCATCGCGTCATTGTCTCATGATGGGCTTGCTGTGTTGCACACACACGGTTTTGCATCCTCCGCATAGCCCGTGACCTCATCTTGCGTTATGTATGTGTGTTAAGAAAACTGGTGATGGGTGATGTGTGTGTGTTTGCAAAGAGCCGTGGCTACAATGTATGTATTAGGCACGGCCCTGGCACGGGGGCAGAGTTTTCCATGCGTCACGGGTGCATGCCGTGTTGGCCTGTCTCCTCGTCTTGCCTTCGTCTCGCTGGTTTTGCGAAGACCGTGAACTAGTAGCCAGCCGCATCCTGTTGCGTCGTCTTGTGTGCATGGGAGGAGTATCGGCTGCCTTCCTTGTATGGGTACGGGTGCGAATGCGGGGGCTTTACCGGTATCTGTCTTTCCCAACAGTTTTGTCACATGTGGTGTGTGGGAACGCTGCAGAAGAAAGACCGTCCTCGTGGCGGATGGCTGGTGCTTCGGGTAGCTGCGCTATGAGAGGACGAAGACGGAGCATGAATGATGACGGTTGGGTCATTATGGGTCATTAAGACACTGACGTCAAGGAGCATAAGTACAACGCGTGTTGGTGGATTCAACAACGCGAGAGGAAATATACCCGTACCGATAGCAAGGCCCGGGAGTATACCGGCGGTGTCGTATTACCGGTACGACATGAGTGTGTTAAATAGACCGTTGTTGCGCCGTACGGGTCCCTGCAACAGGTGTCATGACGTGTGGTCCAGCCGTACCTGATTGCAAGTGGACTGGCTGGCGGTAGAGGCAGGGCTAGGCAGTTGTGTTATGGTAGGTAAGGATGGGTTCGTCTGCGTTGTCTTGTGCTATCTATATATCTGCTGTAGCGGTACGCTTGAGAAGACGCAGCTTTCTTGTGCTCTGTACCACCTCCCAAGTATACAGTGTGCTTGGATTTTGACGGGGTACGTCATGGCTTGGAATGTGTGTTTTTGGGGACTGTGTAGTGTGGTATTATCTATGCAGCTGTCTACCCGCATTGCTGCATGACTTGTACATGGATTGTACTCTTGACGAGACGGGAATGTATGTATGTGCAACTCAGTCGCAGGAAGCTGTACATGCATGTGTCACGTGTACGTGTATGGTCGGTGACGATGCGCCGGACAGTGGTACACGAAAATGCGCCGTTCTGTTACAAGGCCTGGTCACTATGTGTGCAGTGCCCCTCCTCGGGCATGGGTCCGTGTCGGTCACTCCCATTCAAGGTCTTCAGGCTTTATAGGGCGCTTCAAGGGAATTATGGAGCGCCTGTCGACGTCCTTGGGCAGAGCTTTCCGCATGTCGTAAGCGTCCTCGTCCCCGCTATAGTAGCCGATAACAGTTCGGTAGACGACATAGCCAAATTTGCGGTACATGTTGATCGCGACTGAATTGGACTTGCGAACGAACAGGTCCACAAAGTAGCAGTCGTGGACCTTCTCTGAGATCTCCTCAAGGATGTGCATCAGCTTCTGTGCCAGGTTCTGGCGCCTGAAGTCGGGTGCCACGGTGACCGCCGTGACGTGCCCGTGCCAAAGCTCGCCTTCGCCCTCTGCCTTGCCCAGGATATACCTATGACAACGTTTATATTACGTTAAGATCAGCCCATGTTTGTAGCTTTTATGCAGTGCCTTCTTCCGGCGAACAAGTCGCGCACTGCGGCGCGTTGTGAGCTTACCCCATGGCCTGCTTGCCGGGGCCCTCAGCCATCAGACAGTATTCCGGCCACTTCGCCAGGTAGGTCAGGTAGAACGGCAAGTTATACGTCTCTGTGAGGATGTCTAGGTTGACATTATTGTAGGTGAACAGATCATTGCAGGTAAAACGCCGCAAAGTCGTCATTTGTAATCAATAGCGCTGTTATTAAGCAATGCTTTTTGAAGCCAGCACTCTTGGCGTTGATTTGTTGGTATATTGAAGACGCACTCGTATGTATAGATAATATCTAGTCGCGTAAAGGTATTTATACGTAGTTGAAAGTGGTTTCCGAGAAGAAGGGAGCGCGCGAGATACATCCATCCGACTCAAACCGAAAACCGCCGCTGACGTATGGTGTTTTCGGGCCTCCACCATGAGGCGCAAAACATCGAAGCCATTGCCATAATGCAGGAACCGTAACAAGCAGCACTAGGGACGCAACTGGAAAATGCTATGCCTTCTAAGTTACTATGCACACTTTGAGCGACTAGACCCAACCTCATGATAGGATACATTTTGCCTTGTAGCATTACCATTATTTAGCTAATGGTGAAAACATGGTTTACCCCTGGTATTTCGCGTGAGTCGGCGCTCGGTTACGAACGATGCATAAGCAATTCCTTGCACTCGCGGTGACATGAGCATGGCACTAACTGCAGGGACTCGTCAACCTCCGTTGCCTCTCTCCTTGGCATTGGGAGGAAGAAGCGGGAAGATGGGGTTCAGACCCGGTGGTTCCGTCTTGCGGATGCGACTGAAGTTTATACGACTCTCGGAAGCGTAGCCAACGGAGAAGCTCTGCTTCCTGTGGCCGCATACCCTGTAAGCCATACCGCTACGCTGGCTGCTCCCAACGTATTAGCGCTGCCTAGCTCCTTTGCATGGATTCGTTGGCATGTGCCTTAACAAACAACATGTCTTCCCACTACCGGTAATAAAGCTGCTTAATACCCGCACAGAAACCCTTTCGGTCCAAATCTGTAGATTTTCTCGTTCCTTGCAGGCGACACCCTTGCGGCACTATGTCATGTTGGGTCCGGATGGCAATGCCCCCGCGCCAATGGCCTTCCCAACCGCACCTCCCAGCCAGCCCGGGCTAGCAACGGTGCTACCAACCGCCATCACTCCCGCAACCCCAGCGCAACCCACACCCCCCAGCGCCCTTCCCCAGCCCCAACATTATCATGTTGGCCCGGCAGCGGCAGCAGCAGGAACTTTCCAGGCACCAGCGGCAGCGGCAGCTGGAGTCACGTTTACCGCGGTGGCAGCCCAACCAGCAACCGCGAGCAGTGTAGGGGCGGCATGGGGCGGCAGCGCACAGGGCGCAGTAAGGACAGCAGCACCAGCAGCAGCGCCACCGCAGTTGATGCCCTCTGGAGCAGCCGCCCGGCCTGCAGCTACTCATCTCGCCTCCCAGAGCTACTATGCACCTGCTGCTGCGATGCCGGCAGCACCACCAACACCAACACCAGCAGCAGGAGTAGGGGCGACATGGGCTGGGGGACCAGCAGCAGCAGCAGCAGCGGCAGCAGGACCTTGGGCACCGCCGCAGCAGCAGCTGGTGCCGTCCGGGGGTCTTCTGCCCCAGGCAGCCCACCTGGCGTCCGAGAGCTACTCCGTTCCCATACCACCACCACCACAACCACCACAACCACCACAACCGCCACCACAACCAGCAGCAGCAGCAGGAGCTGCATTCCACTCGACGCCCCAGGCAGCCCACCCGACGATGACAAGGGCGGTGCAGTGGGTCAGCAACCGGCAGCCCACCACGACACCAGCAGCAGGGGGCAGGGCGGCGCCGCGGACGCTCAGTTGGGCAGTGTCGATGTACGGCAGTGTCGTACCTCCCGCTGCTGCTGACGTGGCGGATGTACGGGCGATCCAGCAGTGGCTGCTGATGCTGCCGGACCACTCCAGGCTGGCTCTGGCGAAAGCGTGGTGGGTCGGCGGCTCCGATTGGGCTGGTTCGGTTGGGGTTTGCTGGTGATGGGTCGTGCTCATACCGGCGTTGTATAAGGTATATACGGGGGAAGAACGGAAGATGCGTCGTGAAGGTAGCTGTTAACAGCTTTCCGGAGCTGATTGAAATGGACGAAAAGCGGAAATGATTGTGGAAATGTGAAACTGAGTCCTTACTCCTGTGCTTGGGGGCCAATAACTACTCTCGATCCACAGGTACCACTCCGCAAACCGAGCAGCCTTTGCTGCACTCGTGCGGGGGCCCCCGCAACCGCAACCGCAATCGCAACCGCAATCGCAATCGCAATCGCAACCACCATCCGCGGAGCCCGTCTGGCAGTACACAAACCAACTGTACGGCACAGACCTGCCGTACGATCAGATGCCGTACGACAGCGGTGCCGGTGGCGACGCGGACCCAAATGCAGGCCAGGAGGACGAGAAGATTCGTTATTATGCAGTTGCGGCGGGGGCGGCGGGAGCCGCCGCTGCAGCGGCAGCGGCAGCAGCCGCGCCTGCGTATGCCAGCATGGCCGACGGTGGCTTCAGCGGCGGCGGTGCAACAGCAGCATGGGAGCAGCCTGCCTCCGCCGCCGCCGGGTTGTACGGTGGCGTGCAAAAACGTGGGGAGCAGTACGGCAGCAGAAGCTGGGGAGGCGCCTACGTCAGCAACAGCCTGCCGGGTCCGGAAGACTACCTGGCCCAGACCACCTCGCCGGATCAACGCCTCGGCCGCCCGCCCGGGAGAGCTCCAGTCGCCGCCGCCGCCAGGGCTGTCACCTTTGGCGGCGACGGCGGAGGGCCCTGCGGCCCCGACACGCTGTACGGCATGCAACGTACGGCGCCGCCTCCGCCGCCGTTGGCTCAATTGCCGTACCCACCGGATCTCTTGGCGCATGTCGTGGGGGCCAGCGGCAGTCACGCATACGCGCCGCCGCTGGCGTTGCAGCACGTGCCGAGTAGGTTACTGCCGGCGGCGTGGGTTGCGCAGCGTCAGGCTGCCAACGCAACATACGGCGGTCCTGAACAAGCCCGCATGGCGTCGGAGGCGGTCGTACGGCGGACGGCGTCGGAGGATGGCGGCGGCGGTGAGCGGCAGCGGCGGCATGTGTCGTCATTACGGAATGACCGACGACGCATGGAATCGCCGCTGACTCCGGTGTTTGTAGTGGACTTGGAAAGCCGGGACGTCATCGTTACGTATGTCCGGGGCTTGGGTCGAACCGAGGTTCACACGCAGACCGCCGTCGCCGGCGACGGCAGCGGCAGTAGTGGTACGGACAGCGACGGCGGTTCCTACAGCGACGCTGACAGTGAGGCTGACGGCTCGTCCGGGCATGGGGGAAGCAACAGCTTGGGTAGCGTTAGTAGCAGGAACAGCAGCCGCGTCGGTCACATCCGGGGTGGGGGTGTCCCCGAGGAGGGAAGTGGGAGTTATGAAGGCGGCGGTGACGGCAGTGGCGTGGATGACGGCCACGACCACGGCCAAGAGGAAGGATTGTACGGCAGTGGTAACAGTACGGCTGTACGGAAAAAGCCAGGGAGGTTACGTAATCTGCTGCATGCGATGAGTCCCTCGCAATGGTGGCGGCGACGAGGCCGGCGGAGACCCGGTCGCGACAGCGGTGGCAGCAGCAGCAGCAAGAAGAAACGTGCCGATGATGGCGGGCGTGTTGGCGGCGATGGTGGCGGCGGCGGTCTCGGAAGCCGCCGCAGTAGCAGCGGTGCTTGCTCTGACGAGGAAGATGGCGTCAGCCGCCGTAGCGGCAGTAGTCGCAGCAGCGGCGCCAGCTACAGCGGTTGTGCTGAGGGGGTGCAGGGTCGCAGTGAGGGAGGTGAGACTGATGCTGGAAAGGGCGGACCGAAGCGACGTGTTCATTTCGTTGCAGCCGCAGCAGCGGGGGAGCTGCAGCAGCGGGGTTCCATCAAAGAGAAGGAGGAGGGGATGCGAAAGGAAGAGCGGGGAAAGAAGGACCGGATGAGGCCCAGTGGTGCGCCTGTGGTACGAGATGGGGCGAGCGGGATGAGGAGCAGGAGCGGAAGCGGGAAAGAGCGCAAGAGACGCGGAGCGACGGCGGCAGCAGCAGTAGCAGCAGCGACGGCGACCCCGGCATTGTCAAGACAGGATGAGGAGGTCGGAGGGGGAGACGGCGCGCCGGAACAAGACAATACTACTACTGCTGCCGCCACCGCTGCTGCTGCACCTGATGAAGAAGAAGAAGAGGGAGGGGGAGCTGCCCAACATGTGGCAGCTGACCAACATGAAGTCGCGCCGCCCTCAGATTCGGCCGCCGAGACAGCACGGCGCAGGCAGCAACAACAGCAGCAGCAGCAGGCACCAGGCAACAAGCGCAAGAAGAAGAAGAGCAAGGAGGGGCTGCCGAAGGAAGGAAAGGCAGCAGGCATGGAGGCCGATGTCACCGCTGCTGCTGCCGCTGCTGCTGACGGCGATGATGATGAGGAGGAAGAGGTGGAGGGCGGCGCTAAAGGGCCGCGGGCGCCACCGCCACCGGCCGTCGCCACCGCCGCCGCCGCCGCCACTGCCAAAGGGGCCTTGCAGCGGGTACGGCAGGGATACGGCAGCGCGGCCCTGGGTGCACGCAACGCATGGCGTCGGGTTCTTCGTAAGGCCCCGCTGCCGCCGCCGCCACCGCAGCAGCAGCAGCAGCCAGTAAAGCAGCCAGGAAAGCAGCCGAAGAATGATAGCAAGGCTGGCAAGGGGAAAGCCAGGAGCAAGGGGAAGGATGGGGCGGGGCGTCAAGGCAAGGCGGCAGCTGGCGGAGGCGGTAGCGGGGGAGGCGTCGGCAGGGAGGACGAGGATGAGGAGGATAGCGGTGGCGATGAAGAGGAGGAGGAGGAGGTTAAGAAGGAGGAGGTGGGAGCGGCGGCGGCTGCAAATGCTGGAGGCAGCAGCGGCAGCTTGAAGACACCTGGTGCCACCTCGGCACATGGCATGGCGGGTAAACTCAGGTTCTGGCGACTCGGCCGGAAGGATAAGGAAGCTGCTGCTGCTGCAGGAAGTGGCCAGGAAGCAGCAGCAGCTGGGAAAGCAGCAGCTGAGAAAGCAGCAGTTGGGAAGGTACGGCAAGGCGAGGGCAGCCGTCAAGGTCAGGAGCAGCAGCATGGTAGGGGGGAGGAGGACGAGGATGTGTCAGAAGGGGACGAGGACGGTGAGGAGAAGGACGGCGGAGCAGCAGCAGCAGCAGGCGGTACGGCAACTCCCGACCCGGCGGCTCCAAAACCACCGCCCTCTGGCAAGAAGGGCTGGTGGTCTGGGGCGTTCGGGAGCAGTGGCGGGGCAGGAATGAAGAAGAAGGATAGGAAGGAGCCTAAGCCTGATCCCGAATCCAAACCGGCAGGTGCAGGAGAGGCGGAGGAAGGCGCAGCTGATGCAGCTACGGCGGTTGCTGCCGCTGCTGCTGGGGGCGCTGAAGCGTCAGGAAGGCAGGCAGTCAAGGAAGGGAAGGCAGCCAAGGGGAGGAAAGCGGAGAAAGGTCGCCCGGCGCAGGAGCAGCAAGATGCCTCGGGAAAGGAGGCAGACGGGGTGGAGGAGGAGCAGAAGACGAAGCAAAAGGAGGACAAGAAGAAGGCGAAGGAAAAGCGGTCGGGAGGACTGTTCGGGCGGCTGATAGGCCGTAAAGGAAAAGACGGCAGCGCCGCAAAGGGTGTGGAGGCCGGTGGAGCTGGGTACGAGGGGAACGGACGCAGCAAGAAGGACGAGGAGGCTGCAGCAGCGGCAGCGGCCCAGGAGGCAGCTGAGCAGCAGCAGCAGCAGCAGGAGGAGGAGCCCTCCGCGTCCCCTAACGTGAGTGTCAACGGGAGGCGCCGTGGGAAGGGCAGGAAAGGGCCGCCGGTAGCCGGGCTACTGGACTCCGCAGCAGCGGTGCGTGCCTCGGCGCCTGCTGCCCTGGGTACTTTGCCGGCGGATGAGAAGGATGAGGAGGATGAGGAGGAGGGGGAGGGCGGAGCAGGCGGTATGATGGAAACAATACCAGAGTCCCCGGTCGCAGCAGCCGCACATGGAGATGGAGGAGGGGGAGGAGGGGCAGCGGGGGGGCGGGCGGCTATGCGGGTAACGAATACCAGTGAGATCGAGGAGATCGAGGAGCCGGAGGAGGAGGAGGAGGAGGAGGCTGCGGGTGTGGGTTCAGCAACAGGCGGTACGGCAGCACTGTCCGGATCTGCTACAGCTTCTGCTACGGCCGCGGCAGCTACGTCAGATGGCTCCATGGGACGTAGAACCAAGGGCAAGGGCAAGAAACGTAGCAGCAGCAGCGGCGGAGGCGGAGGCGGCAAAGGAAACTCATTGTCGGGCGGCGGCGGCGGTGCACCTGCTACTGCTACTGCTACTGCTGCTGATGCGGGCAATAGCAGCAACAGCAGCAGCAGCCCGCCGCCGCCTCCGCCTGCCAGCGGCCCCAAGGCCAAGCTGCTTCAGAAACTGCTGAACCTTTCCAACGTCGTGACGGCACAGAGGGCGGCTGTGGAGGCCGCTGCTGCTACTGCTTCCGTTGCTACCGCCCCCACCGCCCCTATCTCGGGCTCCGCTGATGACAACGCTTCCGCAGCTGCAGCTGCAGCCGCTAACAACTCAAAAGAGGCAGCTGGGGGAAGCGCTGGAGGTGGCGTGGGTGGTGGTGGTGGCAGTGACAGTGGTGATCTGGGTTTCCGACCCGAGGTGGCTGCTGCAGCGCTGGGGGCCTTTGGGTCGAGTAAGAAGGTGCTTGGGGGCAGCGGCGGCGGCGGTGGCGGCGGTAAAGGAGGTCGGAAGGGCAAGGAAGGGGCAGCTGCAGCTGCTGCAGTGGCTACTGCTGCGGGCGGCAATGGGGGCAGGTTTACGCAAGCAGGAGAGGCAAAGAGGGAGGAGTCTGAGCAGCAGGAGCAGCGGGATGAGCAGCTCGGTGCTTCCAGCCGCACCTCATCCGTGCAGAGCAAGTCCGGGAGCGGGGTCATGGGCAGGCTGATGGCTTCTCTGCGCCGCAACAGCCGCGTCAACAAAGCGGCCCCGACAGAGGTGCAGGTGGGGTGGGTGGGGCACAGAGGAAACAACTAAACTGACCGTGTGGGGTGGGTGGCGGGTGGGAGGGATGGGTTGGCTGCAGAACAGCCTGAATGGCAAAGAGGCAACATTCGAGCATTGTCACCTAGACTCCTGGCTGCCCCTTGCTTCCTCTGTTTCCTCCAGCAGGAGATGGCGAGCTTTGCGGATGTGGAGGAGCCGCGGGGTCACGGCGGCGGCTCCGGAACCGTCAGTCCGAGCCGCACGGATCCCGGCACCCTTATGAATGCAAGTCTGCGAAACGGTAGTGCCGGTAGTGCCGGTAGCAGCGGTGCACACAACACCAGCAGCCTGAACAGCAGCTTGAGGGGCGGTGGTGGCGGTGGTGGTGGCGGTGGAGGGAATGGTCTCAGTCGTCATGCAACGGCTGCGGTTGGGCTGAGCCGTTTGTCCAGGATACAGCAGCAATCGGCAGTGACGGCAATGCCGACGAATGCGACGGGGCAGGCAGCAGCAGGAGGAGGAGGAGCAGCGGGAGGAGGAACTTCAGGGCGAGGGGGAGCGAGTGGTGGCGGTGGTGGTTCTGGACCCATGGGTCAGTCGCCGCCGCCGACATCATCCGGCCGGTCGAGCGACGTTATGAGCAGGTACGAAAACACCGGAATATTTCGAATATACAGTTGGCGTTATAAAGTGGTGAAACTCCACGCGGCTTGGTGGCTCTGGGGAAACCTTTGATGAAGACATTCGACGGGTGTGCGGGTAGACATGGGTTTACCTTCCCTCATGTTTACCTTCCCTCATGTCTACCTTCCCTCATGTTTACCTTCCCTCATGTCTACCTACCCCCATGTTTACCTTCCCTCATGTTTACCTACCCCTGAACCCTGAACGCAGGACGCTCAACTCGACCCTCAGTGCATCCGCCCGCAGCCGGGGGCACCAGGCTGAGGCCGAAGACCTCATGAGCTCTATTCGGCGGCCGGACGGAGGGGGCAGGGGGGGAGCGGGAGGCAGGGGGGGAGCAGGAGGGGGTGGGGGCAACCACGGCGGTGCGAGCAGTGATGGGGCGGGAAGCAGCGGCTCTCCGAAGCTCCAAGACGGACCCAGGGTTGGCGGCGGAGGCGGAGGCGGCGGAGGAGGAGAGGTGGTGGAGTCGTTGGGCGGCTGGGCGGTGCAGGTGGGGTGAGGGAGGTGGGAGGTCAGACAGGTTTCGTATGTTGACCGCTTGATGTTGACCGCGGGCTACAGAAAAACATAGATATCATGATCCAAATGATCGACATACGTGCAATTGACCTGTCTGCGGTACCTCAACCTCAACCACAAACAGCAACAACAGTACCATTCAACCCCCAACCACCACCGCACCCTATGACCGCCTGCTTCAACCCCACCCAATCGTGCCTTTGTCCAGCAGGGGGACACCGCAGCAGGTCACACCTCCCCCGCCGCCCCAGTCGCCACCTCCCCCGCCGCCAGCAGCGGCACCGCTAGCCCCCTGGCGCAGTCGCTGCTTCGCTCCACGCTGAACCGCACTGCAACCCTGGTTCGAGGCCAGGAGGTAGCAGCAGCAGCAGACGGCCGAGGCCGCAGCAACAGCAACAGCAGCAGCAACTACTACAGGGATATGGTCGAGGAGGAGCTGGCGGCTTTGGAGGAGTTTGGAGGCGGTGGTGGCGCTGGTGGGAGGAACGGGTCAGCGGCGGCAATGGCGGCGCAACTTGCTGAGCTAGGACTGCCGCCTAGCAAATGGTGATCACATACCCTCGGTGGAGAAGATACCGTGAGAATGAAGAGCATGTGACTGTCACTGCAATGCATTGAGGCAGGGAGCGATCATTGTTGTGTATCAATGAAACTAGTTGTGATCCTTTTGAAGACCTTCGGGGGTTGGTTCTGCAAGGATGGTCCGGATATTCCTCTGCGTTTCCTATGACTTATCTACGCTGGGGTAGTCGCTGCTGCCGCGTGGCGCATGGGTGTATTCTTAATGCAGCAGTAGCTGCATGCAGCATGATGCATGATGCATGCATGTCCGGACTCCGGTGGCAGTCTGTTGCCAGGGTGCGCTGAAAGGCACACATATGACTGAATGACCGTTACAATGACCGTTACCTAAAAGGGAACACGGGTGATGAACCCAATCGGATACTGCGGCTGTGACCGGATACTGCTGCTGCTGGCGTGATGACATCCTCTTTCCTGTTTGCACATGCACCTTTCGTTCTCTCAAGGCTCCCGATGTCAGCAAGGCAGGATTGTTACTATCGGTGCCAGTGAGACCGGCGGCAGATGCACCATGTGCTCATGCCTGGATGTGGCGTGCTGAAAGGCACAGTTGCGGTTGTGACGCACGAGGTTATGAGGTTGCGCTCTGGAGCGCTGATGAATGGGCGCTTGGCGGGCGCTTGGTTCATCAGAACAATCAGGTGTTGAATATGTAATGGAAGTATGGAACGGACCCGCATAAGAGTGTTTTGCGCGTCAGGGCGACACGTCCTCCCTCCTGCGGCACGACTCCTCCACACGCCCTTCCCCTCCTGCTGGCGTCATGGCAACCACGATTCAACGCGCATGCTACTTTTCCATTTGCCACACACTGCCCACACGAACGCCCCCACCGACGCACCGCTCTTCACCCGACCCCAATGCGTTTGTCCGAACAAACACAACCACGTTAACAGCTCGGCGGGCAGCTGTAAGCAACTGCCAGCAGCTCAGGCGGCTGTCAGCAAAGCAGGAAGCCCTAGGGCCCCGCACGAACACCCCGGCTCCGATCATCCCTTGCATCCATGTAGCCGTTCCTCCTCCCCCTCCCCTTCCCCCTCCTCTTCCCCCTCCTCTTCCTCCTTCTCCTCCTCCTCCTCTTCCTCCTTCTCCTGCTCCTCCTCCTTCTCCATGCAGGAACAGTGCCATGACGAGCTGATGCCTTTCGGTAGTGACACGGTAGCAGCCACCTGCGTGCACAACCAACAACAGTTCAAACAAGGTACCGGTATACGGCACGTAGCGTCCATCCCACCTGTTCCTCATCCCTGGTGATGAGGCCCGCCCTGCATGCGACGCTGCGTCTCCCCAGCAACGCGCAGCGGCAAGACGTTTACATGGTGCGGTGACTTAGGTGAGCCAAACACAGCAGCGGAGTAACCAGCAGGGGAATACCGAATGCTGGGGAACCTCCTACCTGGGTGCTCGTCTGCGCGGCGGCCCGGTGCCGTACGCTCCCCCAGAGTCAGGTACGACATTCCTGTCTTCCAGGCAATTGGATGGTGCCTCATGCGGTGCCCGGAAGTTGAACAGCAAGGATCTCTGGGCGTGTTTTCCCTTGACTGTGGCCCATCCTTTATCCCGACCGACGGCAAACGTGTTCCGAACTGGCTGGCTGTTGGATGTTTAATGCAGAAATACGTGGTAATTGACGGCTGTTCTATCGTCTGCCTGTGAGCTGTCGAGCTTCAAGCTGTGATCTGGCTCGCCGGTCGTGGTCATCCTGGATGGATTCAAGAGCACGAGCCCGGCGAATGCTGACGAACATGTCCCGCTGGGAATCTGTCGCACAACAGGAAAAGGGTATGTTAGAAGGCAAAGGAGGCAGGGTGGGCAAGTCGGGCGCTTTGACGGAAGGGATGCGTGCTTGCAAAATGCCCCGTTACCGTAATTGGTCTCCAAAGATTGAGCGCGCCGACGCCGCTTGAGCCGCGCAAAGGCTAGCAACATTATGATGGCAAAGGCGATAGGTAATAGGTGGTACTTCTTTATTAGGTGCCAGAGCGTCGCGAAGAATATGTCCGACGGTCCGTCTGCCTCGTCTAGGTCATTTACGCCGCTGGTACCGGACATACGTCTTCCGTGATGGTTTGCGTGTCCTGTATTTAGCGGTTTGCTCATATCGCCTTATGGACAAGCGATTGCGGCTAGGCCTCGTCAAATTGTTCCCGAATAGAATCGGCTGCAAGCTAGCCTACGCAAGCAACTCTCACAAGCAAATGTTAAGACAGCTTTAAGCCAACTACACACACTGCCTCTTGCTTGCATTAATGATTGACCTTCCTTGATGCCGTACGAGGTTGCTGCAGCCGCTGATGAGCCTTTCCCAACAATAACGCGGTTGTAAGTCACGATAATTAGGACAGCACTTATCATCTTACCTTCCAACTTCACAAAATGTTGACATCACGGCTAGCGACACCCATCCGCGTTTCGGTCAAGGACAGTGGCTTGAGGTGCGATATACAGTTTAAAGTTGACGGTGACAAAACCATATACAACGACTGGCATTCGAACAGCGACTATCCTTAACGTGCAGGGTCATCAGTGCGTGTCCCCTACAGCGGAGCTGTGTATCACGACGAGGGCTTGCTTATAACCTGCATGGTAGGACATTGCAGTTCCTATCACAAGGTTTACTTTTCCCCTGTCGGCAAGCGTTTCGGAGCCAAGCGCTAACCTGCTTCTTGGGAAGAGCTCTCTGCGGGCCAGCGGCGAGTGCAGGAAGCGAGGGACGCACTCCGTGGGATGGCCCCCATGCATTCCCTTTGAGCCGCCCACCCTTACTACCGCCCTATGCACCTGCTCCTCACCTGTTCCTTACACTTTCCTGCTTTCCACCTTCCATTACCCGACAGGCTTGACTGCCCCAACCACACGAGGCCAGTACGCAGCCCCCGCTCGGGCAGCAGGTGGTGGTGGCGGGGGCAGCGGCGGCGCTGCCGGCGGCGGCGGAGGGGGAGCCGGGAGCAGCAGCGGCGGTGCCGGAGGCGACTCCTCCCAGCCGCACCCCATGCGGTACTTCACATTCGGTTTCGCTTTGCTGCTGGCAGGTGGGCAGAGGGTTGGCGCGGGTTAGTGGGGGCCTCCCTTTTCTCCTCTCCTCCACCTCCTCCTCCTCCCCAATACCGGTATCTTCCCTCCCACCCCCCCATCCACACGGCCACACAACACCTCCGCCCTACCTCCCTCCTCTCCCTCCTCCTCCCCACCCCCCAGCCGGCGGCGCACTTGCCTTTGCCCGCAAGCGCAGCGGCAAGAGCCTGGCGGCCGCCTCGGGCGCCGCCCTCATCCTGGGGCTGTGCGGGCGGGCCATGGTGGGGGCGGCGGCGCAGGGGCCTGCACGGGTGGCCTTTGGTGAGGGGCGGGGTGGAGGGGAGGGGAGGGGAGGGGAGGGGAGGGGAGGGGAGGGGAGGGGAGGGGAGGGGAGGGGAGGGGAGGGGAGGGGAGGGGAGGGGAGGGGAGGGGAGGGGAGGGGAGGGGAGGGGAGGGGAGGGGAGGGGAGGGGAGGGGTGGGGAGGGGAGGGGAGGGGAGGGGAGGGGTGGCCTTTGGTGAGGGGCGGGGTGGAGGGGAGGGGAGGGGTGCATTCTTCTGTGTGTAATGGGAGTAAAGAGGAAACAGCTAACTGACTGAGGGATAAGGCGTCAACATGGGTTGCAACATGTGAGCCAGCAAAAATGGGGGGGGTAGATAAAGCTGGGCCACGCAAACACTGATGTGGGGGTTGTAGGGCGCAGTCAGTGTGGTGTGCGTGGGCCGCAGTGCGGGTGGGAAGGGTTGTGGAAGAGCCTGGGTATGTGCCATGGTGCGCCATGGCGTGCCACGGGCCAGGGTCAGGGTTGCTGTAGGTGTCATCAGAAGTGGAGGATGCGTGCGCTCTCCGGTCGTCGAAGTGTGGCTGACACGCAGTTCCCTCCCCAAGCCCTACATCCAGTTTTCTTAACACACACTGTGCCAACCGGGACACATTTGAGGAGGCTCCATGGCCACTTCTAACTCCCACACACTGCTTCCCCCCTGCCCTGGTTTGGTATGGTTTTTGACCCCCCTGCCCTGCTCCTCCCCCCCCCTCTGGTATGGTCTTTGACCCCCCTCCCCCACCCTGCTCCCCCCCCATGCTCCCCAGCCATGTGCACGCTGCTGGGTGTTGTGATGGCGAGCCGCTTCAACAGCAGCAAGAAGTTCATGCCGGCGGGTCTGGTGGCGTCGCTGTCACTGTGCATGGCAGCGGGCTTCCTGTTTGTGGGGCTGTGAGGGGAGGGGGGCTCAGTGCTGTGCTGTGCGGTGTATGTGGAGGGAGGGGGAGGGGGGGGTAATAATAAGGAAACTGAAGAACTGTATGACTTGAGGCTTCACCATGGGTTGCTTGTTGATCCCGGCCCACCCCACCACCCCGCCGGTGTGGGGTGGGGGGCGGCGCTCTGCAGGGTGGGATGGAGGGGGCAGTCTTGTGCGACGGTTGCATGCAAAACATCATCAACGGTTGGTTTGGGGTGGTAGCGGGGGCGCAGGGCGGGGGCACTGTCGTCCTTCCAAGACGGGTTTGGCTTTGGTGGGGTGCGTTGTTAGTTGCGGGACTGCTTGGTTCCGCGCCTGCTTGAGCAGCAGCTGCTGATGATGAACGCGACGAGGGCCCAGCCCTGGGTGGTTGCCGTGAATTCGTGTTCCTTTGGACCCGGGGACCATTGTAACCGTACGTCATGCAATCAACCGGCAACCGGCTCGATTGATGCAAAAGCCATGCAAGTAGTTTCCGGAGCCACTCTTCGATAGGAGGCCTCCAACCCTGCCCCCCCAGAGTCACCCCTAAAGCCACCCCTGCACCCGGGTGGGGTCAGCCGCATGCAGGTGTGTTGTGCACGGAGGTCGCGGCCTATATCCGGCAGCCTGGACACTTTGCTTCCCACAGTGCCCACATCACGTCACATCATACGTCATACGCTACCGGTATTCACACGGCGCAGACAGTGTGTTGCGACAACGTCATTTGTTCGCATTGCACGCATCACTTCACGCGTTGTCAAAAGCCACCCCATCCACCAAGTACGTTGGCAGCAACACCCGTGTGCATAGCACCGGTATGCAGCACACCCATCCTGTGTTTGTTAACATGCATCATGCTCTGTCTTCGGCTGCAGCTGAGGGTAGACAGCAGGGTAGGTCCATCAGCGAATGTGACTCCAGTGCAACATGCACCACCACCCACACACACAAGACTTCATCTTTCGGCAATCACAGTACGTTTCGCCTCGCGGTCAGTTATTTTAACATAAGACTAATCGTGTCCTATTGTGCAGCCAAACGGCCTGCCATCCCCTACGTAAGCCCTTCCTAACCCCCTACCCTCCCCCCCGCCCGCTGCTGCTGTCCTACACACGCCACAGCTCCCCCCACATGGCTGCATGCGAGACACACACGGGAATCCACTGCTTGCATATCCACTGCATGCTCCCCCTTCCTAGTGCGCTACCCCATTCCCTACCTCCCTCTCCTCTCTGCGCTCCCATGCACAAGGGCCCAACCAAACGTATGTCATTTGCGCTACTCGACCGACATCCCCTCACTGAGGAGAACAACCCGCGCATTCCCCCCCTTCCTGCCTTTCCTTTCATCCTCCCTTCCCTTTCATCCCCACCCCGTTCCTTCCCCCCCTCCCCCCTACGCCAGCGTGCGGTATGCCTTGGACTCGCTCCACAGGAACGACCCGTCATCGTAGATCGCCTTCACACACAGGATGTACTCGGTGTTGGACTTGAGGCCGGTCACTCGGAAGCGGCTCTCGCGGCCCTGGTACACGTCCTTCACCACCCCCGTGCCCGTGGCTATCATGAGCTTGTAGCGCTCGATGCGGTCGGAGTTCTTGGTGGGGGGGCGCCAGCTGAGCTCCAGGGAGGACACGCCGCAAACTGGGGGAAGGGGCGGGAGGGGGGGACAAAGACCATACCGAACCATAGGAAGCCACAGGTTGGGGCAAGACAATGGGGATAGAATCGGCGGGAGGGGGGGAAGGGGAGGGGGGGGGGTAAATTTAGACCAAACCATACGAAGCTACAAAATGGCAAAGTAATTGGGCGCATGAGGGGGAGGTGGGGGGATAAATGAAAAGTAAAGCAACGGAGGGGGGAGAGGCGGGGGCTCAAAGAGGGCTCAAGTACCACACCAAACCGTAGGAAACCCAGCTAGTTAGGCCATAGCTTCTTTTTATCCCCTCATCCCCTCATCCCTCCCTCCCCCACCCCCATCCCCCTCTCACTGGCATCGTCCCCCAGCTCCAGCTTCTCGCTGAATCCCATGTCCTTGCGCCGGTTGGCGCGCAGCCGCTCGATGTCCTCGGGCAGCGACCACTCCGTGATCTGGGGGGGGGGGACAAATGCGAAGTGGGGGTGGGGCGGAGGGTGGGGTCAAAGATCACACCAAAACCACAGGTTAGGGCAAAACAATGGGGGTAGGATGGGGTGGGGTTTACACTCCCCCCCCCGGGTGGGGTATAACAATGCCAGAGGCAAAAAGACCCAGGACCCATACCCCCCCCCCGGTGTATGTCACCTTCATCTCAGTGCGCCAAGCCTACGATGCCCAATTGCAGCCTTCTCCCATGCCCCGCCCCTCCCCTCTTTCACTCCCCCCCCACTATAATGATACGCTAACCCAATTATCCAGCTTAACGCGGAATATGCATCCTTATTTACCCTCCTGCCCCCCTCCCCCCCTACCTGCAGCTCCCACAGCTTCTCGTGCATACTGGGTTTCACCGTGAACTGACGGTTGCCAAAAAAGGCAATGTAGGCGGCTCGCGGCTTGAGCCACATCACCCCCGCCGCCCAGGCCCCGTCATCCAGGCACTCCCAGCGAGGAGAGTAGAGGTCTAGCGCGCGGGTGTCGCCCAGACAGCGGCCGGCGGCGGAGCAGCCGCCCGCTATGAGGAGGTACTTGCCTGGGGGGGGGGGGAGGTTAAAAATAAAGAAACACTGACAAACTGGATGACTGGGGGGGGAGGGGAAGGTATGAAGGATGAAGCAACGGAAGGGCCAGAAAACCAAAGCGGGTCAATAGGACCGCAAGTCCGAACCGCAAGTTCGGACATGGCAGTGGGGAAAGGAAGGTGCTTGCATGGTGGGAGGTGGGGAGGTGGGATGGCGGTTAAGGTGGGATAGGATTGGGAATGGTCGCGGGGGAGGAGGCGGGGAGAAAAGAGGAATGCCCAATGAGTTGAATACGAGGGGCGGGATGCAGACGCCGCATGCCGCATGTGCGTGAGTGGGAGAGGGACGTCCAGCCCCCTCACACCCAGCCTCAGCCCCCCCCCCCCACACCCGCACGCCCCCACCTGTCACATGCGCCACGGCGCCGTCACGCGGCTCCGGAGCCTGACCCATCTGCGGAAGGGAGGAGGAGGGAGGAGCGGAGGGGGTAGGGTGAGTGCGCGACCCGAGATGGCGAGCGACAAGGTGCAGTGGTACGCGGGGGGCGACACAGGGGGCTAGCCTCCTAGCCCCTGCTGAAGCCTCGTCACGCAGCTCGTTGGTTTCCTCTTTATACCCCCCTGCCCCCCCTTTTGGACTATCTTGGCCCCCCCCTCACATGCACCGCCACCCCTCCCCCCCCCCTCACATGCACCGCCACCCCTCCCCCCCCTCACATGCACCGCCACCCCTCCCCCCCCCCCTCACATGCACCGCCACCCCTCCCCCCCCATCTCACATGCACCGCCACCCCTCCCCCCCATCTCACATGCACCGCCACCGGGCTCCACGTCAGCTTCTCCAGGTCCAGATAGTGCACGTCGTTGAGGCAGCGGCCGCCGTCGTGGCCGCCAAACACGTACAGCCGCCGGCCGTCGTCGGTGCAGGTGGCGGCGGCGCCTGGGGGGAAGGGGGGGAGGAAGGGAGGAAAGGAAGGGGGAGGGAGGGAGGCAGGGACGCAGGGAGGGAGGGGTTGAAGAAGAAGAAGAAGAGGGCCGTAAGTCTCTTAACGCCAACACCCCCCACCCCACATTTTCAATCAACACACAGGGTACCGTGCCGGTATCCTTCTTTCCTAACCCTCCCCCCCCAACCCATCCAAACCCCCCAGTCGGGATATGGGATTGGGACTCGTTGTTTCACTTATTTTACTTCATAACCCATCCAGCCCCCCCCGCCCCACCCGTCCGCGGCGCCATCCACCCCCCCCCCCGCCCCACCCGTCCGCGGTGCCGGCACGGTACCAAAGGTGCTGATGTGGCTCCAGCCGCAGCTGTCCTGGTCGTACATCCACACGTCGTTCAGCAGCACCCCGTCCGCGGTGGAGCCGCCGAACACGAACACGCGCTCGCGGATGCAGCAGGAGGAGTGGCCGGAGCGGGCCAGAGGGCGATCGGAACCCTGGGGGGGGGGGAGGGGGGGGAGAAAGGGGGAGGGGGGAGGGAGAAGGGTAAAGAGGAAACAACTGACTAAGGGATAAGGGGGAGGGGGAGGGGTAAGGGCGAGGAGGGTGACGGAAGGATATGGCATATGGGGTGTCTTTAGACGGGTGTACTTCGCCACCATTCGCCGGTGCCAGAACCCCCGTGATACTTCCTCACGGGGTACTCCCTCCCTCCTCGCGGGGCTCAGCTTGCCTCCTCTCCCATCCCATCCCACCCCGCTCTCTCTTCCCCTCCCCACCCCCACCCCCACCCCCACCCCCACCCCCACCCTCCCTTACCTTGATCTGCGGCATGAGCCACTTCATGGTGTCCGCATTCAGCACCGCCACCTCCGCCGCCGCGCTCCCGTCCCCCCGTAGCCCCCCGAACACCAGCAGCTTGGTGCGCCCCACCACCACCGCGCTGTGGCTCTGACTGGCCGCCAGCGTGCGGCTGGAGGAGGGGCGCTCCCACACGCCGCTCTCCACGTTGAGCACCGCAACCTCCCGACCCACGGTGTCGGACAGGGCGCCCGCCGCCTTGCTGGCGCCGCCGTACAGCACCAGCTGCTTGCCCACTGGGAGGGGGGTGTGGGGTGGTGGGGGGGGGAGGAGGGGTGAAAAAGTAAGGAAAACTGACGAACTGGGTGGGATGGGGTAAAAACATATAATGATAAAGTGAAGCAATCCCAAATCCCGATTCATGCAGGGAGGGAGGGAGGGTTGGGTGGGGGGTAAAGGGGCCAGGCAGCAGCAGCCGCTGCTTCTGCCCCACTGCTGCCGCACCACGCCTCCCATTGTTTTGCCCCAACCTGTGGTTTCCTATGGTTCGGGTACGGTCTTTGACTCCCCCTCCCTAAAACCCTTCCCCACCCCTCCCCACCCCTCCCACCTATCTAGCCTAATGCGGAATATGCATCCCTATACAACCCCTCCCCTACCTCCTCCCCTCTCCCTCCCCTCCCCCCCCCTCACACGCCAGCGCCGCAATGCTGCCGAACTCGCGGTCCAGCGGCACATCGCCCTTCAGCCGCCCGTACGACACCTGCACCAGCCAGGGCTCGTCGAACAGGATGCGCAGGTCGGTGGCGCTGGCGGACTTGAGGGTCAGCTCCTCGATCTGGGCGCTGGAGGGAGGGTGGGGAGGTGGGGAGGTGGGGGGAGGGGGTTGGGTGAGGGTGAGGGAGGGTGGGAGGGGGGAGGGTTTGAGGGTTTGAGCTTGGATTGGGGTTACGGCTTTGCCTACACCCCCACCCAATGGGTCTTCCTATGGTCACGGTCACCCCCCCCCCACACACACACACCCTCCCCCCCTCACTTTGCCCTCTCCAGCTGCCCGTCCCGCTCCTCCAGCTGCTTCTTGAGGCTGCGCAGCTCCTCCGTCTGCTTCTCAATCAGGTCGTGCTGCCTCCGCACCGCCTCCTCCAGGTTCTCCTTGTCCGCAAGCATCTGGGCGGCCTCGTCAAGCTTGATGGCCTGCGGGGCGCGGGGGGGGGGGGGAGGGGCGGGGGTGAGAGGGGTTAGGAGGGGGCGGAGGGGAGATGGAGGGAGTTGAGGGCAGATGAAGTGAAATAGTCCTACTCGCTCCCACCCTCCTTCCCGCATTTGTAACCGCCATGCCGTCCTGTCATGTCATGTGACGTGTCCAGTATCCAGCCCCAACACAAACCTCCCCTCCCCTCCTGTACCCCCCGCTGCCCTGCCCCTGCCTGCTGCGCATCACCCCCTTCCTCTTCGCCCTCCCCTGCCCTGCCTCTCCCATACCCCCCTGCCCCTGCCCTGCCTCACCTATACCCCCCTGCCCCCTGCCCCCCCCCCTGCCTGCTGCGCATTGGCCTCCTTGAGCACGCGGATCTCCTCCAGGTAGCGCGCGATGTCCGCCTCCAGCCTTTCCACATGGGACTACAGAAGGGGGGGGGGAGGGGGGGAGGGCAGGTTGTGGGAAAGGTGTGGGGGTGGTATGAGAGGCAGGGGCAGCCGCAACGGCTGTCCGGACACAGCCGCTAGCCTACAACAAGATCTATTCGCGGGTGCCGAGAGGGCTGGACCCCATGTGCCCCTTCTCCCTGAGGCTGCTGATGACCCCTGGGGCCTGGATGATGGGACCGCCCGAGTCACCCCTCCGCCCGGGCTGCTGCTGCTGCCGCTGCCGCTGTTGTTCTTGCTGCTGCCGCTGCCGCTGTTGTTCTTGCTGCTGCCGCTGCCGCTGTTGTTCTTGCTGCTGCCGCTGCCGCTGTTGTTCTTGCTGCTGCTGCTGCCGCTGTTGTTCTTGCTGCTGCTGCTGCCGCTGTTGTTCCTGCTGCTGCTGCTGCCGCTGTTGTTCTTGCTGCTGCTGGCACGTCAGCAGGGCCACCACCGTTCCTTCCCCGAGGGTTTTCTAACAGGTTTAACAGGTACGGGTAGGGAGGCGCGCCCTTAGGCCGAGCCAGTAAGATCTCGCTCAGCCGGAGAGCTCCCCTGCGCCCCTAACTCTTGCCTGCCGGGCGGGCAGGCAGTGGACCCAGTCCCATGCCCCATGCCCTCTCCGCTCCTCTGCGCCGCTGCTCCTCTCTGCTCCGCTGCTCCTCCCCTTTCCCAGCCCTTCTGCCCTGGTTCTGCAGCAGCAGCAGCAGCAGCAGCAGCGGCTGGGTGGGCGGGTAGGGTTCCCAGCTGCCTGCCAGGACATGAGCTCCTCCTGCTGCTGCTGCTGCGCCTGGATTGCGCCAGTGCATATACCGGTAACGGCTACTGTCGCTGCTGCTACAGCTGCTGATGTCTTCCTGCTTCCGCTGCCCCTGCGGCCGCTGCCTCAGCTCCCATCAGCCCCTCAGCACTTCCTCCCGCTGCTGCTGCTGCTACCGCCGGCCGCACCTCGTCAGCCCCCCCCCCTAACACAACCTGCTGCTACCGCCGGCCGCACCTGCAGCCCCTTGAGCTTGTTTTCCTCCGCCTTGATCTGCTCCTGGCGGTGTTCCAAGATATCAGCCTGAGGGGGGGGGGAGGAGCAGGAGGGCGGGAAGAAAGGGGGGAGGAGGAGGAGGGAGGGGGAGGGAGGGGTGGGGAGGAGGGTTGCATGGCAGCATGGCGGTGACGATAGGCCTTAGAAGGAGCCGCGGGTGGGTCAGCATCAGAGCAGCATGAGCGGTGTGGCAGCATGGGGCTTGCATGAGGGCCCCCTTGGTTGGGTACATGGGGTATGGCGTGCTAGGCCTTTGATTTGCGAGGATTGCATCCAAAGCGCGGCCCCTCAGAACCCTTCATGCCCGCCCTACATAGTCGTCAGCGGCACTTGTGAGGCGTGTCTTGAAGCCATCATTCTCTGCCCGGAGACGGTCATTTTCCGCCTTTAGCTGCCGGAACTTATCGAGGACCATCGTGTGTTCAAGCTGGAGGTCATTCTTAGCTTGTTCTAGTTGTCGGATCTCCTCCTGGTACTTGGCCCTGTGCATGCGACCGGAGGGACGGCATGTATGTGTTACCGACAGACAGCTGGAAGTCAGTATCGTTGCAGCAGTATGTGATTCAATCCGCCCCACTTACTCGACGGGGTCCACCTGCTTTTTCTCTTCCTTTTTCGGCGGCATGGCTTACTACCTTAGCCTGGCACCCCGTCAACCGCAGTAATCAATTAATCGGCTGTCAGCTCCGAGCCAAAAAGTATAAATAGTTGATAACGTATTGGAGCTAGCAGGGTGTAGCCTGCCGCGTGCTACCAGAATACATGCCAATATAGACTGAGCCGCGCCAGGTCAAGTATTAATATTTAGAATACTATATTTATTATAGACATTTGGGTTCTTGGCCAGGTAACAATACAGTTATTTCCTCGAATGCACGAGATGCAAGCATGCAACATCGCCCTTGTACAATACTAAATCACTAAGACTCCGCCTTCGCCACTGTGCAATACTAATCATCATGGCAACTTCAGCCCTGTTTCTTATAGCGTTAATATACGCTTTGCAGCTATCTGCAGGCGAAGCGGCAATTGAACCTGCTACAAAGCAGGTAGAGCTAAAGACTGGAGCTATACCTTTCTTTGACATCAAGGTAGCTTACAAACTTTACGATGTAGTGAACCCGGGACAGCCAGAAGGTATGCTGACCGTAGGGGTCTGAGACCAAGGAGCCCCTGAAAGCAACCTTGCCAGCAGAACGACTATATTCTAACGATATTCGCGTTTGCCAGCTGATCGGGGCAACCCGACGGCCATTTTCTTGCATGGCGCCAAGTACACGTCGGACTTCTGGCTCAAGCTGGGGACCCTTAAGCTGGTGGCGGAGTCTGGGGTGCGGGCGATGGCCATCGACCTGCCAGGTGAAGCGGCGGGGAGCTGCCTAAGGTGTTGTTGCTTGTCGGGGGTAGAACAAGTGGTGTGGGGACGGTAACGGTCAAGGGGTTGCTGAGGGTAGGGCACGTGGAGGGCGGACAGCGCTCGTGCATACGGGCAGGGTGTTTGAGACAGAGTGCTTTCGCTAAACCACCTTTCCTGGCACTTGGTTAATGACGGTGACCCTCTTCCCTCCCTGCCTCCCTTGGGGAACATGCCGCTTGGACTCGCTCGTGTATTACAACTGTACGGCAACTGCTATACCACCTGCCACGTCGTCAGGCTTTGGCGACACCCCGGCTCTGCCGTACAGCGACAACAACATGCGGTACGACAACCCTAGCCTGGCAGTCCAGGACTGCTCGTACATCGCTAGTCATCTGCTAACCAGCCAATAGGGAATGTGGATATCTCTCTGCATAGGGCTGTTCTGTGCCTAAGGCTTCGCCTCCACCTCTTCCCCTATAGCCTCAACCACTGCTGCCACCCCCCTGCTACCCGTGCTACTTCCGCTGCTGCTGCCACCCAGTACCACCTGTGCTTTTCATATCTCTCTGACCCCCTGCTGCCCCTGCTGCCACCCCCCTGCCTCTCCCCCTGCTGTCCCCATCAGGTCGGAGCTGCTGAAGACCGTCATCGAGGCCGCCTGGCCCAAAGTCAACTCCACGATCATCCTCATCTCACCCTCCATGAGCGGGTGCGTATGTACGACAACAACAACAGCTGCTGCTGCTGCATGTGTTGCACGTGATATGCGCAAGAGCCGCCTCGTTGTGTCATGTAAACCCGACGTCAACCCCTCAACGTCAACCCCTCCCGCCCATGCATGCCTCCGCCCACCCCCCCTGGCACACGCATTTACGGGCGGGAGGAGAGGCATGCTTGGACATGGGCATTAGGAGGGGCATGCGTGCATGTCTGTCCTCCCGCCCATGCATTGGCATGGTCCCCATCCCATGCGAGCATGCCCCTCTCCCTCCCTCCAACCCCCCACCCCCTGCTCCCTCCCTCCAACACCCCCCCCTGCTCCCTCCCTCCCCCCCCAGCCGCTACTCCCTCCCCTTCCTGGACCGTCACGGCACCATGCTGAGCTCCTTCGTGGCAGTGGCACCCATCGGGGTCACGGACTGGGGCGGACCATGGGAGGACGTGCACAGATTCGTGAGTGTGTGTGTGGGGGGGCGCGGGGGCCGAACCGTGTCGATTGTCGTACTGGGGGCTGCATGAGATAGCTGCATGGGAATATGATGGGGCTGTAAGCGGTGGTGGTACTAGTACCCGTATGTCTGCCGGTGGATTGCGCGACTTTACGCGGTGTCGTATGTGTCTCTCTCACAGCCCGCCTCACCTGCCCCCCCTGTTGTTCTTATCGCAGGTGTGCGCGCTGGGTGTGTACGGCGCCAACGACAAGCTGGTTCCCGATGCGGATCGCCTCCTGCGGCTGTTCCAGCACACCTGGAAGGTAGGGGAAGAGGGGGAGGAGGAGGAGGAGGAGGGGTAGGAGAGGAGGAGGAGGGGGAAGAGGGGTAGGAGAGGAGGAGGAGGAGCGGAGGGGAAGAACGCAATGCATGGTGGCCTGTACACGCGCGCACGCATGTAGATGGCTGCCTGTTGCGGGTTGCAGCGGGCTGGGCAAGGTGGAAGGGGGGGGGTAATGCCTGATAGCTGGTGCTATGCAAGGGGGGAGCCCCCCCTTGCGCGTCGTGCGCGCTATCAGCACGGCCGATGGGGGCTTCGCACCACGCATCCGGGCAATCTCTAGTGCGTTAAGGCGGTGTTACCAATGGGGTTGTACGGCAGCTGACCCGGTTGTTCTCTTTCCTGTGCTTCCACAGCCTCCACACTCGATTCCATTCACCAGGAGCTTCTTGTCGTCTTGTCTGCCATTCTCATTCAACGCATTGGCTCTCCTCCTCCTTCCCCTCACCTCAGGTTGTCATCCCGGGTGCCGGCCACCGCAGCTACGAGGACAAGCCAGACGTCTTCCACAATGTGAGGATGGGGAGGAGGAGGGAGAGGAGGAGGAGGGAGAGGAGGAGGAGGAGGGAGAGGAGGAGGAGGAGGGAGAGGAGGAGGAGGAGGGAACTGACGAGCTGATGAGGAGGAGGGGGAAAAGGAGAAGACCCGTTGTGTTGAAGGAGGAGGGGAAGAGGGATGTACATGCCCCCAGTCAGCTGACTGGGCTGCCAGGACTGCGTTGCGACACATGTGGCAGGGCAGCGCCGATGGGTCGGGCCTCGGACTCCCTGCGCTGCCCTGCCCACTCCCCCCCCCCTAACCTAATACACTAACCCAACCATCGGTATCCAGGCTAATGCGGGATGTATACCCTTGTTCATTCCCCTCCCTTCTCCCTGCCTGCCCCGCAGGTCCTGATCACCTTCATGCGCAAGTGCCGGCGCACCCCCAACAGCGGCCACGAGGTGATGTCGGAGCACGGTATCGAGCTGGTCAAGACGCTGCGGGATGCGGAGAAGGCTGTCACCGCCGCGTAGGAGTGAGATGGCTTGGGAAGGCAGCAGCAGCAGCAGAGAGGAAGAGGAAGAGGAAGAGGAGAAGGCGGCCGCCGCGTAGGGGTGAGGAGAGGACTCGAGGACTACGTAAGGAGGCTGCAGAAAAGCAGCAGAGAGGAGAAGGGGGACGAGATGTGGAGGGAAAGGGCGGACTGCATGCGCTTAGAGAGGAGGCAGACGGAGGAGGAGAGATGCGGAGGGTGTAGTGAGCCCTCAAGAGGAAGAGAAGGAGGAGGAGAGGTTAGGGACAGGTACGAGGTGTGGGAGGAGGCGCGCGAAGGGAAGATGCGGCGGAGGTGAATTGGGGCAGCCGTTGGCTTTACAGGCCACATGGGTTGGGTGGCGGTGGCCTCGTGCGTGCCCTGTTTGGGGTTTACCGTGATTACTGTGCCACACAACTACTGGTAAGCGGGTATCCCGGCACGGGTGGCGGGTGGGTGGGTGCACGGGCAGGGGTGGTTTGTGGGTGGCGGTACAGCGCGGTCGCTAAGGCGGTTGTAACGCATGCAACTCGCGACAGCAGGTGAGAGGCTAAGTGAGGCTGTATCCTTGGATGTAATGCTATCTGCATGTATTCCTGATATGTCTGCTGTTGCAGGACAGCACACGTCTAGTATACGTCGAAGCGGCATGGGTTTCACATGGCTGTGACCCAGGGGTCTGCAGGAGTGCAGCTACCGTCCGTTTACACACACCCACACGGACGTGTTACATGTGCTTCCATGGGCATGCAATGCTCGCTAATAGTTTTGTCCGATAGCGTCTTACATTCTAGTGCGAGTACCAACCCACGGATTATGCCGTGCATGAGCGCGCTCCTCAGGCCCACTGCCGGTATGCATGCAGCAGCACCTAAACTGCATCCCCTTTGCGCGCGGATCGGGGCTTAAGCGTGTTCTTACAAGAGCAAACGCAATGGGGGATGCGGTTGGCTTGGTCCATGGTGCGCCTAACAGCCCGGGGCGCATTAGGCCGCGGTAGCTTGACGGCTTAGGGTCGCCCCCAACCGCTCGCTAGTAGAGGATGACTACTACCACGTGTTGGGAGTGAGCAACGAAGCAATAAGCCGCGCGACATAATCCTGATAGCCTTTGTTCGAGAAGGCCGCACATGTTCGGTTCCGCCGTGCATGTACGGGCGACTGCGGTCTTCGGCAAATGAAGGCAATCCTTGCTTCCCTGAGACTGTGGCGCATAGGAGTATAGCTGCATTTGCAAGCGCCTTAGCAAAATTATAGGCAGGAAGGTTCCTTACCTCTACACAACTGTTACGATCTTGACTCTTTTTTCGCGCTCTTCGAGTCATGATTGACGATCGGGACTTGGGAAGGTTCACGGTGAGCATTTGCGATGTATCTAAGGCTCAGCTATAGGCAAGCCGTGACATTGTTCAATCCTTTGCCATTGTAGACCTGGCTGGGCATCGTTATTATGCTCCTTGTTGTGGCGTACCATTACGTCACTGCTGACCCTAAGTACGAGGCGTCTCGTCAGTAATTGGTTTCGTCTTTAGAGGTTGGACAGCATGAGCTTCGTGGGTGGCAAGCTTAAGCTGAAGGGCGGTGAGCCCTTGAAGACCGCCGGCGGCGTTAAGAAAAAGAAGAAACAGGAGGATAAGAGCCTTGCGGCTGCGTCAGCAGCGCCGGAGCCAGAGCAGAAGGACGTCGAGAAGGATGACGCTGCAGAGAAAACCCGCAAGGCCATCCACGGGTACGAGCTGCAGCCAAATGCTGTCGAGGACCGCCGGACGGAGGCTGAAAAGAAGTTTGACGCCCGCTTCCGTAAGGTAGAAGAGCAGATGTGCAAGAAAGCAGCCGTGAAGTCACACAGGGAGCGTGTGAAGGACTTCAACGAGTACCTTGCTAAGCTGTCGGAGCACCACGATATCCCGAAAGTGGGGCCGGGCTAACGTTGTCTTTTGGTTGCTACTGGTACGGGTGGGTGCGGGTTACAGAAGGATGTTGTGGCGGGTTGTGCCATGTTCATCATGTCTTCAGTGGTGTCCTACAGTGCCGCTATTGGGTGCGGCCCTTGTTACTGTTAACGGCATGGTGAAGGAAGCTGTACAGCGATGTAGCTGGTGTTGGTGGACGGATTATGGGCGCAAGAGGGCTTCCATGGTATTCGCATACATGTCAACCCGCCCTCTTCTTGTAAGAGGGCTTGCTTTGCAGTGAAGGGACCGGACTTGTACGGGAGCCCCCATGGACACAAATAACACGTTGTCAAGCACTGTAAATATTGATGATCACAAGGGACGACGTGTATTACCGGTACTTGTGTTTCTGTCCTTCTATATGGACGATGCAGCACATGCCGCAACAGTTCTGCACTCAACCACCCTGCCACGCACGGTTGCCTGTCACTTCTGCTCCGCTTGTTTTTGGAGGGGGGCAGCATGTGATGTTGGGTTCCACCAGTAAGAGTCAAACTACCATTCCAACAAACTCTTATGTGGGGTCAAAGGACATAAGCCTTCGGTCTTCAGACATGGCACATCCCCCACGGCATGTCACCGGAGCTCAGTGCAGCGGACCATGACACTGCCAGGCAGTAGTATACCCATAACGCCCGAATTGACATCCCTAGCACCCGAACCACGCCCCGATCCCAATACGCCCAGTAACTTCCAATATGCCCAGTAAAGAAAGCACACACCGCACGCCCCTCCTCCTTCCTCCTCCTCCACACCTCACAACAGCTCCCGCACCAGCAACGGCCGCTTCACAGCATTCGTGTACCCTTCATTAAACCGGTACACCACCGGAAAGCTCAATTTGCCATTCCCTCCTCCACCCCGAGCCTTCTCCTCCACAGCACCCGCCTCCGCACCGCCACCCGCCTCATTACCCCCACCCGCTGCACCCTCCTGCTCCGCCTTCCGCGCCAGCACTCCCGCGCTTGCACCGCCTCCCACCCCGCCGCGAGCCTTGACACTCGCTTGCTGCTTGAAGGCGTCCATCCATGTGCCCTTGCGCTTCGCACCTGCCCCACCGCCGGATGCCGCGGAGCCCGTACCCGTGGTGGAACCCGAACCCTTCTTGTTTGCATTGTTGCTTGGAGGTGGCATTCGGCCCGTCATCTGACGTTGCGGCGGCGCCACGGGTTGCAACGGCCCCCCGCCGACGCCGGCGGTTGGGCCGCCGGTGGGTGAGGTTGGGCCGCCGGTGGGTGAGGTTGGGCCGCCGGTGGGTGAGGTTGGGCCGCCGGTGGGTGAGGTTGGGCCGCCGGTGGGTGAGGTTGGGCCGCTGCCTGGTGGCCGCATGTTGGGGCTGACGGCGGCGGTGGTGGCCTCGGGTTGACCGCTGGTAGGTGCTGCTGCACTGCGTAACTGTGGGGGGCAAAAAAGAATTGAAAAGGTTCTTTTAGCGCACAGCGTCGCAGCGTCTCCGACACACTGTGGTCCCCGACTAACTGTGGTGGGGCCGAAGGTGCAGGTCCGCAAAAACTGGCTACGGTAAGGCGAAAGCAAACGATATGTATTTTTGGGACGAAAAAGGGACACACCTGACACGTCCGATCCGCCCGCACCGCACCGCCGCTCCCCCAACCACCTCACCGCCTCAGCTCGCCGAATGGCCTCGATCTCCGTCTGCTGCGAGATCATCTGCCGTACAACCAGTGGCACCGTCACTCGGGCGCCCGCCGCCGCTCCGCCTTCAAACGCCGTGAAGCAATGCAGAGTGTCAATGGCGGGAACCAGCGGAACCAGACGAGTCGCCGCCGCCGCCGCTTGAGGCGACTGTACGACGGCGCCGCCGCCAGGTCCCCGTCCTGCTGCTCCACCTCCGCCGCCGCGGCCTTGTCCGTACGAAGAGTTTCCGTACGGTGCCGTACGACCTCCGAAGCCGCCGCCACGGCCGCCTGGGTAGTTCCCGCCGCCGCCGCCGGGGCCGTTGCCACGTCCGCCGCCGAACCTGCCACCGCCGCCAGCCCAGCCCGGCTGCTGGTTTCGGGGCTGCCAACCGCCGCCGCCAGCAGCGGGACCGCCGCCGTTTGTCGCAGCAATGTTCTTCTGCACCTCCGCCGTTAGCCCCAGAATGATGGCGTTACCTGGTGGTTAGGATGCGGTTGATGCGGTTGTCGGCGGGGTCATCAACAGTGTCATGACGTCATGCGAAGCTGGCAGCGGCGCCTTCAGCCCATACAACTCCCATGCCGCTGTGTATGCATGAGCTTAGCAGCTAGGTACTAGTACCATGCATGCTTGCAAGAGTGCCCCTCTGCCTTCTGCCCCAAGCGCAACCCCTCCCCTTTCCCTTTCCCTCTTTGCCATTACCATCCTACAAATTGCATCTTCTCCTTTTCCCCTCCCCTCCCCTTTCCCCTCAATCCTAAATTCCAGCATGCGGACTACGTACCCCCTATAAAACCCCTTTCCCTCCCCTCCCAGCACCCACTTGGCACGGGCGCCACCACCTCGGGCAGTTGCAGCGGCAGCAGCCCCGGCGGCGCCGGCGACTCGAAGCAGTACCTCAGTCCGTAGTGCGTCATAAGCTGCGCGGTGCGGTGCAGCGCGCCCTGCTCCTCGGCGCTCATCATGTTGGGGGCGACGGCGCGGAGGGGCGGCTGGGAGACCAGGGTGCGCAGGGCGGGGGCCAACTCCTGATGGGTCGTGAGGTGGTGAGGGTGGGGGTGGGGGGAGGTCAGGGAGGTGGTGAGGGTGGGGTTGGGGGGAGGTCAGGGAGGTGGTGAGGATGGGGGTGGGGGTGTGGACGGTGTGTGTGTGGCAGCGGCTGGGTGGGGGTCCCGGTGCATGCATCATCCCAAATGCATGCACCAGGGAACACGGCACATGCTGGCATGCAATGATACGAGATATGTCCACACCTGGGTACGGTACGAGATCACCCCAACCACAATCGCTGTGTAGGCCGGTACCTACCGGTACCTTCCTCTTCCCCCGCCTTCCTTCCCAAACCCATCTCTCCCCTTCCAACGACCCACATGCAGACCCACCAACCGGCCCACCCATGGTGAGTCCTCGTCACACAGCTCCTCAGCTTCCTCTTTTCACCCACCCACCCACCCACCCACCCACCCACCAGCATCATGCTCGCGGCCCCATGCGCCGCCAGCACACCCGGGTCCGCCCCTCCTCCCCCCGCTCCTCCGCCTCCTCCTGCACTCGCCCAGCTGCGCACCAGCTGCGCAGCCGCAGAGGCCCTCCGCGCCACCTCGCCGCCCAGCCGCGGCCAGCTCAGGTGGCGGGGCCGCTCGGGCTGGGCGATGAGCGCGCGTACGGCAGCGAGACAGGGCGGCACGAAGCGCAGGCTGGAGAAGTCGCCGGTGCGGCGGCAGGACCTGGTTGGGGGAGGGGTTGGAGGAGGGGTTGGGGGAAGGGTTGGGGGTGTGGTGGGGGGTGGCGATTGGGGAGTGCCGGGAAGGTGGGAATGAGTGGGGTGGGTTGGCTAGCTTTTGAGCTTTGTTGTGAACGCATGTTGCATGTCAGGCAGTTGGGTCCACCACGCCACAGCAAACCCGCTGCTGCTGCTGCCGCTCCTATGCTGCTGCCTGAACACTGCTGCCGTTATCTGCCCTTATCCTTCCCGCCCCCCGCCCCCCACCTGAGCAGTATGTCCGCCTGCCCCAGCACCTCCGCCGCCGCGGCGGTGCGGCTGAGGTTGATGTCCATGAATCGCACCCGCGGCAGGTTCTCATGCAGCCCAGACAGCAGCTGGCAGGAGCAGGGGAAGGGTGGTAGGGGTTGGGAGCGGGGCAGGGGCGGGCGGGGGGTGGTTGCGCCGACCCACGGGACGCACGACCCCCTCCTCCTCCGACCCATAACCATCATCATGTGTAAACATTGCGAACTTGCAATCAATACCTCACAGCGCTTTCCCCACAATTTGGCAATGCTCTACCCCCCAGCCCAACCCACCAGATCGTAGTCTCCAAAATCCTGCAGCCGGTTGCACAGCTCCCCTAGCTCTCCCTGCTGCCCCACGCCTCCGCCTCCGCCCCCGCCCGCAGCAGCAGCCGGCCCCCCCCTGCGTCCGCCTGCCCCCGCCCCCGCAGCAGTGCTGAGCAGCATCCCCCACATGTCGTGCGCGGACTGGGAGGTGTCCTTGGCGGCGATGTTGAGCTCCTCAATGTCCTGATCAGGCACCATGGGGGGGGTGGGTGGGTGGGCATGGGGCGGGGAGGCGGAGGTCAGAGGAACAGTGGGGGGCGGGGTAAGTTGGAGCAAACGGGAACATGGGTGGGGGAGATCGCATGCCGGGGAAGACTGCGCGGACAACCGGTCTTGATTCAATAACAAGCCGTACTGCTGCACATGGCTAGGGCAGCACATGGTGGTTGACATCACACCTGGAGCCGCCTAGAGCAGCGAGGAGTGGTGAGGATTACTGAAGCGGACTAGAGCGAATATCCATGGTGCCACACGTGCGGTAAACGGCCACAGGGGCGGCCCCATACATCCACCTCCACCGTTGGAAACCACCGGCATGAGTATCCGAGGAGCCCCATCAGCCCCTCAAACCCTATCAAAAACACCACCCACCTTGACCTCAATGCTGCGCCGTGACCCCCCTCCCGCCCCCGCTGCTGCCTTCCTCCGCGCCAGAAACTGCAGCGTGTTCAGGCAGGACCGCACGTCCCGCTCCGTGCGCTCCACCAGCAGCCGCAGGGCGGCGGGGTCGGCGGGCAGCCGCTCCGCCTGGTGGGGGTGTGGGGGGTGGGGCGGGTTGTGGGGCGGGGTGGTGTGGGGTGTGGGACGGGAATGTGATGGGAAGGGGGTACTAAGGTGTGGGGAGGGTATAAGGTAAGGGGATTGGGTTTAGTTGAACACGCTCCACTGCCGCCCCGCTTGCACCTCTGTGTCGTGAAATCCCCTCGCACTCATCCACCCACCCACCCCCCCATTGCATGTCCCCGGCCTGCATCACCCCTCCTCACCCAACCCAGACCCCACCTCCTCCAACTCCCTCCCCGCCCCACCTTGCATATCTCCGCCAACCGTGCTGTCAGCCGCTCCGAAGCCGGAGGTGAGAAATGAAACACGCGAGCCACGTCGCGCAGCGGCCGCAGCGCCGGCGCGTACAGGTCGTTGCAGATGCAGATGATGGGACGACTCAACGGCCGCAACCGACTGCCGCGACGACCGCCGCCGCCAGAGCCGCCGCTGGGGCCGCGACGTCCCTTCGTACCGCCGCCGCCGCCGCCGGCTTTGCGGCCGTCGCCGTCAGCATCGTCATCGTCGCTTTCGCTGTCGTTGCCGCCATTGCCTGTGGTTGTCAGGGCCATGCAACACCCAGTCGGTCGAATGGGAAGGGGGGTAAAAACGTGTATTACCGGTACCATGTAGCTCAATTTGGAGGCGAAAGGAGGGCCGCACGTTCCCCTGGTTCATCATGTCATGGCGTTACTTGCACGCAATGCACGCATTAAGAACGCATCAAGGCACCAAGGCCCATCCTACCTTGTGCCTCCGCCGCCGTTTTGCCCCCAGCAGCTCCCTTACCACCCCCTCCCCCTCCCTCGCCAGCGCGAATGAGTTTCAGCAAGGCGGCAACCGCGCCCCCGGTTTCGGAGCCACCCGTAGCGCCATCAATCTCGTCCACAATGACGCAATTGGGTCGACCGCCGCCCAGTACGGCTGTCATTTGTACGGCATCTTGGATCTTGGTGGCCAGGGTGTTTGCCGTACGATCGTCCGATGCGTTGATTTCGTACGGATGATAACCGCAGTGCCGTGCGACCACATGGGCTAGGGTGGTCTTTCCGAGACCTGTGAGAACGGGGGTCAGATAGGAAGAACGTCTATAAGAACCGCATTCAAACCGCAGAACCTTTGCATGGAGAGGGCGGTGGAAGGGTGCATGAGCAAGCAAGCATGAAGCATGTGGCATGCAGGGGTTGCTAGCTAGGGCAGGGAGGCTGCTATCAGCTTCATAAGGCATAGTGGAGTTCCCAACACGTTCTCAACACATGTAAGGAAACACCCACGAACCTGGGGGTCCGCCGATGAGGAGCACTTTCTGCGCAGGCCGGCTGTCCGCCTTGCTGGCACCGCCTCCACCCCTGCCGCCGGCCTTGGATTGCACAGGGCAGGGAGGCAGGGGGAGCAGGAGGGGGCAGGGGGAGCAGGAGGGGACAGCCAACGGGTTTGAACAGGCAGGCAAGATGCAGCAGAGGACCCGAAAGGACCATGCAGATGATGCTATGTAAGAAGTTTCCACCAGGGCTACCACGCTACCGTTCAAACCCCATGCAGCCACCCCCACCCCCACCAGCCTCACCCCCGCAGCTGAGCGCCCAAACACGCACTCGTCCCAGTCCTTGACCCACAGAGCCACCTGACGGGGGGAGGGCGGCGGCAACAGCAGCACAGGGGCGCATGGGTGCACGCGGGGTGTTCAACTGCACATGCTTTGCGACGACACACACCTGTAGGCCCCCCATGGCATGTACCCACTGCCAGCTCTCCCAACCCCCACCTGCCGGTTGGTGCGCTCGTCGCTGAGCAGCGACATGAAGTGCCGCGGCGCGTACTTGTCCACCCACAGCAGCTGCGAACCCGCAGCCGCACCCGGCCCGTCCGCCTCCTGCAGCTGAACCGCCGCGGAGCCCTGGGGGGGGGGGGGGTAAAAAATATAATGAGAGGGGGGAGGAAGAAACATGGCACGGTACGAATGGCAGGGAACAAACAGGGTTATTAGGTGGGGTTAGGGTGGGTACCGATGGGTGGGGTTAATTATGTGGGTAATAGCAAGAGGAAGCAGCAGCAGCAGCGGTGGCGGGAGTGGCGTGAAGGGAATGGAGGGGACAGTCAGGGCGAGGCCCAAGGCACAGCCTGGCGCGCTTGTATGTTGCTGCCATCAAGCAACAGAGAGATACAAACTGCCGCACGTATTGCCCTTCGAACTGCCGTACGTACTGTCATTCGTACATACCCGTCGTACACGGCGCCCCATTGCCGGCATTCCTGCCGCGCTCCTGTCATCGTCACCCCGCAGGTCACGCCCATGTTGCCCCTGCGCCGCCTCCCAGTCCTCCCCGGCCTCCTCCCCAGCCGCCAGACCCGCCCCGCCAGCAAACGGCTGCTGGTGCTGCTGGTGGCGGCGGAGCTGCTCTTCGCGCTCCGAAGCCGCCACAGCCTCCCGCAGCTGACGCTCCTCCAGGATCTGCGGGTGCCGTACGGTATACGGTATAATGCGTGCCGTACGGTATACGTATTATGTGTGCCATACAACTTAGCAGCAACTATTTCGGAGGAAAAGGCGCCAAACGTGGTTAATGCAGTCCCGAAACATCAAAGAGGAGGCTCCATCCCACACCTGCCCACCACCACCACCGCCCTCTTTCCCCTCACCCCCACTCCCTCTCCACCCGCGTGCCCCCCCAACAGGCCACCACCGCACCCGGAGCATATCCGACAGGGGCACACCCAGCAAACACGGCGCTCGCCGGCCACGACGTCGACCCCCGCCTGCAGCCGCCTGGGGTGACACAGCGGCGCTGTTGCTGCGGTGCGCGCCGGAGGTGCTGGGCCCCGCAGCACCGCCCTCCTCCATCCTGGTTGGTTGCAAGGGACAACAACTCAGGGAAATCGACTTAGGGATAGGGAAAACAATCAAAACCAGGTTGGTGCGGTAACGACAGGTGCAGTCCCGTGACGGAAGCCCTCCAAAGCCCTCGACGGATGGGTGCCGCAATCAAGCGCACATGAGTAACCTGTCGAGCGCATGCTGGAGGTTAGGGAGACACATCCGGCAACGTGCCGTTATCCCATAATACGCCATATGTTATAATAAGGTCCCCCGCTTCTCTTCATCTTCACAACTTTGGCCCCACCTGCAATACACCCGCTCTCCAGAAGCCGCCGTCACCGCAATCGCAACACCTCCCTGCACGTTCGCCGCCATTCGCTGCGGTGGGAACACCTGAGGCTGCTTCAGCTCCTCCTCTTCCTCCTCCTCCTCCTCTTCCTGCCGTACACCTGCTGCGCCCCGGCTGGCTGCGGTTGCACCCTTCACTGCCTGCTTGGCGGCAGCCCTACCGCGTCCCCTTCCTCCCATGTCGTGCTCCTCATCCTCTTCCCCGTCCTCTGGACCAAACAGCTCTTCCATGGTAGGCAGGGCACTGCTGTGAGGACGCTTCGCCTGCTGCCGCTGCTGCTGCTGTTGTTGTACAGTTTCCTGGGATCTCAACGCCGCTGCTGGTATGCCTGCGCCCGCTCCTCGTCCTGCCGCTGCTGCAGCGGCAGCAGCATTGCTAGAACCCAAACCTCCCATCTGGGTCGACCGCATGACACCCCCACCGCTACTGCCACCAGCGCCGCCGGGTTGCTGTCGTACGGCAGCTGCTGCTGGCTGCATGTCGTACTCCGCTGCAACCATTTCGTCGTACTCGGGCGGCGCCGCTGCCTCTGCCGCCTGCTGCTGCGCCGCTAGGTAGTCCTCCAGATCATCCTCGAAGCCCCCTCCACCGCCGCCGTACACATCGTCGTCGTCGTACATACCGGTATTCCCCCATCCAGGAGCGCTCTGGCCCTGGCCAGAAGCGCCGTCGCCAGGTCCTCTTGTTGTCGTTGTTGTTGTGTATGTTGAAGCAGCAGCAGCAGCAGCAGTAGCGGAGGCTGTAGCCGCTGCAGGGGCATCCTCGTCAGCTTCCGGAAGGGGTGGAGGCGGGAGAAAGTCATCTTCAACCGCGCTGCCGACAGGCAGTGCTCTAAGCGCAGCATCGAGAGCCTGGGGGTCCAAGTACACGCTGCCGGGGCCGCCGATGGATTGTGATGGCGCACTGCCGTCGACTGTATCGGCCCTGGCGGATATCGGCTCCGGTGGTGGCGGCATCGCCACGGCGGCTTCATCGTATTCGGATGCTGGTAGGATTCCGTCTGTCGCTGTGCCTGGATGCGAGTGCGGGAGCTGGGGTTGGTGGTCTGTCATGTCGAAATCTGGATCCGGTGGATCCTGCGTTTCCAGCGGAAGCTCCCGCAGCTCTGCATCCAAGTCAGCAGCGTCGAAGGCTTGGGAGGCTCCGCCTGCCCAGTCGTTGCCTTGCGACTGGGGCCGCGGCTGTGAGCGATTTAGGGCGGCCTCGCTGCCTGCTTGGAGCTCGCTGCCAGGCTGGAGTTCAGTCTCCGGAAGAGGGCTGAAGCTGATAGGCATCTCGCGGAGCTCCGAGTCCAGTTCCTGGGATGTCATGAAACGCGCGGATGTTGCCGGGCCGCTGGCCCGCAGCTCTGCGACTGGAAGTCCCTGATTGTTGTATCTAGCTTCTGGTTGCGCTTCATCTTGTGAAGGCTTCTCCGCCTGTGTTGGGCCCTGCACTCCGTCAAGGGCGATGCCGAGGATGTCTTCTGTCCCGAGCGCCTGGAAGTCTGGCAATCCGGCCTCCATCCTCCTAAGAATTTTCTAAGCTCTGACTTTGTAACGATTACGCTAAGGGCAGAGGCTGAGCGGGTTCCCAGTTAGGGATTGAGGTTGCCATTGCCGCGAGCTGCAAGGAACAAGCTCAAAATTAGTGCCGCGGGTAACGATGGCAGTAAGCCTTAAACTACTGGTTATGCATGAGTATGGCTACGCTGGCTCTGATCGTTGGCTCGATGGGCTTCCGGGGGGATTTGCCGCGTGATTCCACACCGCCGTACTGTACAAGTACTGCCATGCTTTTCTTTGCACGGTGCTAATTGCACCAGTCGAAATAGTCGGCGAAACTGGCATTTAGCTTTAGCTCCAATACATCTGATCTTTCCGCGTGCTGGCTGTTGTATTGGTCTCACGTCTCTCCATCCAACCATCCATCTAGTAAACCCAACTACGCCATAAGACGCCAAAATCTGCCTCACACTTACTGCAGACGCTATTTGATTATTGGTCGCATCCCCTGTGGCGTATATAGCTTGCAAACATGCCTGCGGCATGCTAGTAGGCAAGTACAGCCTTGGCGGTATACGTGTCACGCCACAATGTTACCTGATACCTCTTGGTGTTACGGCAACGAAGTGTAGCCTGCGCAAAAATATATTGGGGGTTTGACCTTCCCAGCAACGATGTACGCCCGACTTATCCTGCTGCCATGGTTAAGTCCCAACCCTGTCGCTTGACTTCATGTTCTGGCATATATTGTATACTGTTAGTGCTTTAGCGTGCGTTCATGCGTTACGGCTTGGACTCCAAAGCTTGCATGCATGCGTACAGTAACCGTATAGCAAGGTAGGTGGAGTAACGCTACATGAGTACGGCATCACAGCCGTACTGGCGAGTACGAGATTGTAATCCGAACGGGGAGTCCGCGTCATCTAGCGGAGGAAACACTTCAACTAACCGTGACCAGTCGCGATCTGGCTTTATACCCGGCCTTGCGGCACGTGAGCCACAAGTTCACCGCACATTCCCGCCGGAAAACGGTCGCTTTTGCAGATTTCGATTATATCCAAGAAGGCAAAAGATAACCGAGCTTATTTTGTAAGAACAACGGTCGAGTCCAAACCCTCGCAGAACGGGTACCGGCAGCCACCCATACTCCCATAGTCTCTCCAACACCTCTCCTGCTCTCCTGCTGTAACTGTAAAGATGATACACCTAAAGCGTTTGCATGCGGACCCAGTCAACGTCCCGCTTCTGTGACAATGAAAGCACTTAAAACGCAGGACACACGTATCATTTATTGCAAAGCCATGCATGTCTCGTCACACGCCCATGCGCCCTGTGTGCGTGCGTGTCTATCACCTCCTGTCGTCCAGCCATGCCTCTCTACCTAGCCCATACTCCCGTCCCCTTGCACCCTAACCCGTCGAGAACCCCTGTCCCCCTATCGGCCCGATCGCTGCCGCTGCTTGCCCCTCCCCCCCCGCCTCAAACCCACGCCTCCCTCCTTTCACACGCGCCGCCCCATCTTCAAACCACCTCTTCCCGCTGCCTCTTCCCCATCTTGCCCTCTCCTCGTGCCCCTTCAAGCACCTCCCTCCCCAGCTCCACGCGCTTCAGTCCTCACCCCTCCTCACGCGTTCAGCCCCACGAGGCGCGCCGACAGCTCCCACAGCTTGGCCGCCTTGGTGTCGTCCGCCACCTCCTCGCTCACCTGGTTCTCGAAGGTGCCGGTGCTGGAGGACCAGGACCAGTAGGCGCCGCTGCGGTCCAGCGAGGGGTCGGACACAACCTGCCCCGGGGGGGGGGTGTAAAAAATAATGAGACACTGACGAAGCAACTGCCCGGGGAGAGTTGGTGTCATGAAGGTGAAGTAGAGGGCGGTGAGGGAGGCGCCAGCCAAAGCCCGGCTCACCGGGTCAAGGAGGATCGGGAGGAACAAGTACTGGCGGCAGGCTAAAGACATCACAACGTACGGACGAGCTCCCAGCATGGCTCAGCTTATCCCCAACCCCTAACCTCATGCAGCTGCTGCCTGCAATTCTCCACGTCCTCTCCTTCCCCTTTCCATCCCACCCGCACCCTCACCCCCACCTCCTCCCCCAGCTTACCTGCGCCAGGCGCTTGCCCGCCTCCTGCTCCGACACATAGCCCTTGGTGACGTACTTTTGGAAGGGCGGGAAGAGCTTCTTGAACAGCCCGTAGTGCTCGCGGAACAGACCCGTCTCCGCGATGCAACCAGGGTAGAGCGAGGCAAAGGTGATGCCGGTGGCGGCGTGGAAGCGCTGGTGCAGCTGACGCACGGTCATCATGCAGGCGACCTGGGGGGGAGAGAGAGGGGGAGGGGAACGCGGCGTGTGTGCGGTATGGTATGGATATCTGCCATTCTGCCTATGGAGCTATGGGATGAACTATCCTTGACCTCTCCCCCCCACAGCACAAACCCCTCAGTTAGGCACAGCTGAACGTAATCCCCCCGCCTCCCCACCACAAATCGTCAGTTTCCTGTCAGTTCCAGCCCCCCCACCACTCCAGAATGTGGACTATGTACCCTAGCCTCCCCCCCACCTTGGAGTCCTTGTACGCCTTGGCTCCGTTGAACTCCGCTCCGTCCATCATGGGGCTGGCGGGGCTCACTCCGCCAGCCAGGCCGGACAGATCGCCCAGGTTGGCCTTTAAGGGGGGGGAGGAGGAGGGGAAATTATATAATAAATGCAAACAACTAGAGTCCCAATCCCAGAGCCCGACTGGAGGAGGGGGGGGCACGGGTAGATTAGGAGGGGGTGTGTTTTAGGATCGCCAGAAGAACATGTTAGCAGCGAGATCTGAGCCCGTACCCGACCCGACCCGCCAGGTAGATTGGGAGGTAGGGGTGTGGGGTGACATCCGAGCGCCCCGCCCCGCCCCGCACCGCACCGCCCGAGCCCCGCCCCACTGCCGTACCTTGGGCGGCACGTTACCCGCCAGGGTGTTTGTGTTGCCGGTGATGGAGCCCACGATGACGCAGCGGGGCTGCTGGTTGGGCGCCGCCTTCAGGTCCTCCAGCAGCAGATTGGCAAGCAGGAAGTGGCCCAGGTGGTTGGTCCCAACCGACAACTCGAAACCGTCAGCAGTGAACTTGGGCTCCTTGGCGGTTGGCATGTAAATGGCGGCGTTGCAAACCAGCGCATCCAGCCGACGGCCGGTGGCCTTGAAGTTGGCAACGAACTGCCGTACAGATTCCAGGGAAGCGAGATCCAGATGCAGGATGGAGTAGGATCCAGACGGCATGCCGATGGCCTTGGCGGCTTTCTCGGCCTTGAGGAAATCGCGGCAGGCCATCACCACGTGCCAGTCGCCGGTGGCGGCGAGGGCCTTGGCAGCGTTAAGGCCGAGGCCGGAGGAGGCGCCGGTGATGATGCAGGTCTGCTTTTGCTGGGTGGGAGGAACGCGGGCGATCACGTTGGGCTTGAGGGCGTCGGCCAGGGAGGCCGAGGGCGCGGGGGCGACGGCAGCGGCAGCGGCGGTGATGGTGAGGGAGGAGCGCGAGACGGGCTTGAAGGCAAGCGGCGCAGCGCGGGCGGAGGAGGTGGCGCGGCTGGTCAGGCGAGCGACCTGCGCGGCACGAGGCGCCTTGTGGGCGGCCTGCACGCCAGCGCTGGAGAGCTTGGAGCTGGTGAGGGTCGACATCTGAGGGCAGGGGATGAGGAGGGATTTGATTTATGCCCCGGCACCTGCTCGCAAGATGAGTATAGAAGACATATAGAGTTTGAACTGAAATATATAAGAGGAGCCGGTTTAAGAATTGTGCACGTGCACGTTTAAGTTGGCAGAAAGGATTCGGTCGGTGGAATTGCCGAGGGCTGCAAGGCTAAAGTGCGCGACAAGAGCGAGTCTTAGCAAACATATAATTTGAATTTTGCTACAGAGAGGCGTCTATATGTGCTGGGTCTTGGGAACCGTCAAGAGTTGGCCGCCATGAATTCTGAACATGGCGCTGTGCTTCTGCTATCTGCCAAGCAAGGGCGCTAGGCGCAAAACCCAGAACTTCACATAAAATTGCAATTCAGCGCGACGCGTCCCCATTAAACTATGAGCGCTCAGAAAGCCACTCACCTTATGCGCTCGATACGGAGGAGGTCCGCAAGGTCTCCAAAAGGATTAGGTGCACTAAGATGTCTTAAGCCCAACCCTTCCTAAGCAAAGCGACTTAGTGAAACTGACATGCGCTAGCGGCCTTACTTCTAGATCTGTTGCATAGATCCTGCTGTACGGCGCAAGTTGCTGATGCCGTCCCGAATCCGATACCGAAGCTCTTTTCGAGCCTGGCTCCTGATTGACTGATCTCCGTAGTAACTGTTGTACGCAGTTAGCGCGTGTCTAGGCTAGATGTCTACTTGGATTAATCTCCGACAGTGTGAACTTATCTGTGCACTGTAGACGCGAGGCAACTTACTTCGCTAACGTTTGCCTATAAGTTGTTTATGAAGTCATGGACCGCTTGCACGCTCCTTCGCATAGTTAGAAGCAGGCTTGCGATTCCGGCCCTTCCGGGCGACGAGAAAGGATTAGTGCTCGCAGTCCTTACCATTAACGAACAGCCCATGTCCACTTCTGCTTGATGCACGGAATGCAAGCTGGCATGTAAACATTTTTTGCAGGAGTCAGCTTGCATTTGGCTTCATTTGGCTTCATGCAAGGAATGCACCCGCAAGAACACTACGCGTCATCTCTGGCTTAGGAGGCTAAGGGAAGATGGGAAGGCACCAAAGGGCACAAGGGGGCATTGGTGACGTTGGAGGGCATACTGGTCTGCTCCGGTCACGGCCTGACATGGCTGGAAAGTTACCGGTGTCAATGTTGGCATACTGGACGATCACATGGGAGGGCAGGGGAAGCTCATACCCCTTAGGACAAAAGCCAAGCTTCATTCTTGGATTGCCCAAGGCAACGGTCCACCCATCCAGCCGGACCATCCACCCTGACCTTGGCACCGCATACACACCGTTAGGGATGCTCAGTCTCTGACGCCTTCGGAGTCAGGTCATTGTGAGCTGCACTTTGTCTGCTGGCCGTCACGACTGCAGTACTAAAGCTTTACAGATTGCGCGCTCCGAAGCGGGTTTCGCTCCCGGGTCCGGCCCCAGGTCCCGGCAGCACGACAGTCATCCAAGTAAGATACCCTCTTAAATCAACTTGGGATGTAAAGCTGTAGTGACGACGCTGTCGTCCGCTTGCGAGCCATGGCGAATCATTTGGCGAGCGATGAAAGACAAAGTCCCAATCCTAATGCAAAGCAAGGACAGTTTGTTGTTCCATTACGTGCAAAGGTCTATTTATGTTCAAGTTATGCGCTAGCAGCCTGGGCATGGCGCAGCTGGGAATTCATCGTTGCGCTGGTGCTAATCGAGCTGTACCCGGACTCGCTGTTAGTGGTGTCAGCCTATGGCCTTTTAGATAACCTCGCACGCGTTGCGTTGGGCCCTGTGGTCGGCAGCTATGTCGACCGGTGGGTGTCATGATGGGGTCTGCAACCATCCATGTGTTAAGAGTCGCAGTAGCGGCTATGGACTACTCCATGTGGCGCCCTTCACACACACGCCTTTTTAAGTTTCGACGGTTGCGAAAGCGGGGCCACATCAAGGGCTGCCCCAAAGTCTCCAAACCCACATGAGCCCCACACCCCGCCTGCATGTCCGCCCCCGCACACGCCCCTGCCCGTCCCCAGCACCGAGCGGCTGCCCGGATCCACCGCCATGCTGCGACTGCAGAACGGCTGCATCGGCGGCAGCGCGCTGGCGGCCCTGCTGCTGCTGTGGCCGGGCTCGGCAGCGGCGAGGGTACAAGGGGTGAGAGAGTCACGCTGTCATGACACACCGCGCGTGCTTGTCGTATCGACGCTATCTGTGTGGGTAGCGGCCATGAAGGACGGTAGGTGTTGTGATGTGCATGTTGGGTACGGCAGCCTCCTATCCTCTCAACCCTGCCCTCCCTACCTACACTCGCAGCAGCCCCTCATGCCTTCCCTCCCCCCTCACACTCCCCTTCTCCTACTCCCCTTCTCCTGCCTCCCCTCCCTTCCCTTCTTCCTCCTCCCCAGCTCTACTGGCCGCTCATGTGGCTCCTCACCCTTCTCGGAGCCACCTCCTCCGCCGGATCCACCGGCGTTTCAATCGCGCTGGAACGAGAAGCCGTACGGGCCCTATGCGCCGCCGGCGACGGCGGCGACACCGACTCGGCGGCGTCGCTCGCGCGACTGAACGCCGTCATGCGCGCCATTGATCTGAGTGCGCTGCTGGCGGCGCCACTGGCGGCGGGCGGGCTGATGACGGGCGCCGGACCGTTTGTGGCGGTTGCGGCGATGGCGGTTTATTGTTGCGGGGCATACCTGCCGGAGCGGGCGCTGCTGGGGGCGGCGTTTAGGGCGGCGCCGGTGCTGGGGTGGGTGGGTGGCGGCGCGGGTGTTTGGGGTGGGAGAGGAGCATGTGGCCCGCTTGCCCTGCATGGGGTGTGTGCAAGCCGTCGTGGAGGGAAGGGTGGTGCACGGCTGGGAAGCAGGTTCCGGTGCTGTTACTGCATCTCATCCTGTTTCAACGTTTCCGGTAACCTTAATGGCTTAAATGAGTAACCGCTTCAACCGCCGCCAACCGCCTCCAACAGGCAGCCCAAGGTGCGTGGAGAAACCGCCGCCAACGCCGCCTCCGACCCTCCCGCTTCCCCACCACTGTCGCCTCAAACAGCGGCAGATGAGTGCACGGGACTGTTGAGTGAGTACCCCCCTCAGGCTCCCGACCTCAACAGCAGCAACAGCAACGGCGACGGAGGTGGGATAGGGGGCGGCGGCGGTGACAACGACATGCTTCGTACCCGTTTTTCCAAGGGTACCGGTGGTACGGCAAAGGGTGCAACAACAGCTGCTGTGGGTGCGGTTTCGGAGCCCGAAACCACCTCTGGAAGGGAGCATGGCTCGCTTGATCCGGCCGGCGACGACGATGCAACACCAGCAGCCCTCAGCAGCCCTCCCGTTGATAAGGAGACCACTAACGCCGCCGTCGTCGGTGGCAGCAGCAGCGGCGGTTTCGCCAGACAACCGCCGACGTCGCTGTCCATGGCGACGTCAGCGGTTTCGGAAACCGGCGGAGGCGCCTCTTCCAGCGCTTCCGCGCCGTTGCGTGCGCGGTGTCGCGCGCTGCTACGCTCCGCATCGCGGCACGCAGCCTTACACGCAGCCCGTTACGTCGACAGCTGGCGTGTGTATGTACGACAGCCGGTTCTGCTGCCGTGCGTGGCGCTGGCGTTGTTGTACATGACAGTTCTGAGTCTGGGATTCCTGATGACGTCGTATCTGAAGTGGAGCGGCATGAGCGAGGCGGAGGTGTCGGGCTACCGAGGAGTGGGGGCGCTAACGGGGCTGGCGGCCACAGCCATCTTTCCGCCGCTGTCGAAGCGGGCGGGGCTGGCGTTTTGCGCCGTTGCTGGGGTGACGTACCAGCTGGTGAGAGGAGCAAAGAAGGATTGAGGGAAGGGGATTGCGGAAGGGCTAAGGAAAGGATTCGAAGGAGAGCACTAAGGGAAGAGTGTGTGGGTGGCCGTGCACCGTACCGGTATCCTAGCTGGTTGTCGGCACGGTGTCCTCACGCGACCTCACGTGAAGCTCCGCAGCTCAGTCGTGTTGCTGGCTCCTTGACGCTCCTTGCTAGTTTACCATGCGGCAGGACGTTTCAAGCAAAAGGAATGTTTGGCTTGGCTTGATTCGACAAGCACATGCGGTACCTCCCGCTCCCCTCCTCTGCAGGCCTGTCTGGCTGCCGGAGTACTGCCGACGGTGGTTGCTGCTGCTGCTGCTGCTGCTGCTGCCGGGAACAGGGGTGGCGGTGAACAGGGCAATAAGCCGGCAGTGGGGCAAGTGCGTGTGCTGGTGGCGGGCCTCGTGACGTCACGCACGGGGCTGTGGCTGTACGACCTAGCGGTGACTCAGCTCATTCAGGAAGATGTACGGCAGGATCTGTTAGGTGAGTTGTACGACAGGTGCACGACGGATCTAATGACATGAGCACGGCGAGTAATGTAATCCCTTATGGACGCTACCTCCTGCCCTCCGCGCACTCAACTCCTCCCCATCCCCCTGCCCCTCCCTCCCTCCCTCCCAATCCACTGGGTGTTCTTCTTTTCCCTCCCCCCCACCCTCCCCTCCTCCCCCCCCAGGCAATGTGTACGGCGTGCAGAGCAGCCTGCAAGCGACCTTCGAGATGCTCTCCTTCGTGGCTGGGCTGGCGGTGTCGAATCCGGCTGCCTTCCACTGGCTGATGCTGGGGTCGCTGGGCAGCGTGGCGGTGGCGGCGGGGCTGGTCTGGAGCTACGTGGTGTGTGGCGGGAGGAGGGGGAGGGTGTGTGGTGGGGGGAGGAGGAGTGGGCGGGCAATGCAGGGAGGGGAGGCGGCGGGGAGTGGGGCTGCTGGTGGGGTGTAACGTGTAAGGGAACTTGGGGCGTGAGGAGGTGGTGGGGTGTTGGGAGAGAAGTGGTTGAGAAGTTGTTGCAGGTTACGTGCGTGCGCGCGTGGGTGGTTGAATTGAGTTGGTTGATTGGCGACGGTTAAATGAGGCATATCGGACCGAGGTTGGGTGGGGGGCGTTGACATTGTGAATTGGGGTGCTAGCAGCTGCAGGCCCTACAAGTACGCGAGCATGGGTGGTGAGGGAGAGCAAGGTGAGCAGGTCTGGGGATGCAAGCTGCTGCGGGAGCAAAGACTGTTGCTATTCAGAGAAAGGAGTCAGAAGAGGGAACATTGCTGCTAGTGTTACTGGACGCGAACTTCGCGCCATTTACGTACTTTTGGTCGTACACCGCGGCTGCCTCCTGGATCACGGTGCTGTCGGTCCTGGCTGCTCCGGGAAGCATTCAACGCTGGCTGTTTAGGCTGTAAGATAGTATATAAATTGTCAACCATAGCATACGCCTCTTACCTTATTCCTTGAGACTTTTGACGCTGCTCGTTTATATTTTTTCCGAGCAAGGCCTACACACTCACCATTTCGATAAGACTCTAACACTAATTAGCACAAGTTAGCACATCAACATACAGCCGCGTGACAACAAGTTAACCACAATGGAGGCTGGCGACCTGGCCATCGCATACCGGCTTGGCAAGCGGCCAGCTTCGCCGACCAGCGGTGTCTCCGATGGCAAGCCGGTTAAGCGTACCAAGGATACTTCCGGCGATCCGCCCCTCCAACACCAGCCGCAGCAGCCACTGGCACATGGAGCATACTCAAGAGCAAAGCGGCCATTCAGCGACGACGCAATGCACGGAGCGCCTCCGGCAAGTCACCTCTGCTTCTGCACCCTCCCTACAACAAGCAGCTTGGCCTGTCCTTGTCGCGCGTGATGTTCGCTATCCCGCCGACCCCAGATGCATCTGCCCAATTGCAGACCAAGGGCTCCGAAGGAGTGAACGGGGCCTCTGGGCGCGTTCAGGAAGCCCAGCACCAACATGTACTGCAAGCGTCTGACGTGGAAAACAGCTTGGCCAGCATGTCGGCTGCCCTCCGGTAAGGAAGGCACTTGCCGCATCACAGGCTGGGTTGTGTGGTTCATGTAGCGGCCTGCGAGGCTTCAGTCTAGCGTCACATGCTTGGGACACCGGACGTCTTTCCCCACCCATCTCTCAGTCTCTCCCACACGATCCTTACCCCTCTGGCCACCATGCAGCCACCCTGCAGCTATACCCGTATCACACCCATGCGCTAGACCGCCCGCATGTAGATCGTGTGCTATACACACACTCGCATGGTACAGCCTAGCCTAGTCACCCGCCTAGTCCCCTATTCCTGTGTATGCATTCAGCACATGCGGTCTTCTCCTTCCCTCCCCCTATTCGTAAGTCTCCGTACATTTCCCCCACTGCGCGTGTGCAACTGTTGCAGCTGGCGCAGCCCCGTCAAGCCGCACAAGCTGCCTCGTCTGCACGGGCCCGACCAGCTGCCGGGCCGTCCCACCGCCGTACGGGGTATCGTGGACGTTGGGCGTGATGCCGCAAAAGCGGATGCGGATGTTGGTGATGATGACGATGCCAGCCCGCAGCGGGGCAACCGCAAGCAACACAGCAAAGCCCAGGAGAAGCATCAGCAACAGCAGGAGGCCAGGACGACGCAGCAGCAGCAGCCACAGCAGCAGCGGGGACAACACGAAGGGGCGGCGTTGGGAGGGCCCTCTGCAGCTGCAGCTATCCCCCAGCAGCAGCCACAGCCACAGCAGCAAGAATGGGGGCGCTTGTTCAGCGCTTTGAGCCTGGGTGGAAGGGGCGGCCGCAGCAGTCAGCGATCGGACCCTGTGTGGGGGGCTGCAAGCAGTAACCGAACGGCGGCGGGGAGCTCGGCACCCGCGTGCGGGCGTGCCGGCATCATGATGCCAGGTAGGCGGGCTTCTGGACATGGCTGCTTGCTCCGCAAGTTTGTAACTTGCGGAGGAGGGGCTTCTTGGGTGGGCTGCTGGGTTCATTCTGGTCGTGCTTTGCTTCGTAGCTGTCGCAAAACGCGGCTTCGCGAAAGCGCTTTGGGGTTCAGGGTTGTTCAGTACATCAGTAGTAGAAGCGGTGGACCTAGCTGTATCACTGGTGGAGAGGCGGCCTTGCGCAAGCAGCAACAGCAGCTCTAGGTGGCAGCTGCGCTACGCGGCCTTACCTTACCCCCCAAGCGCGCTTTGACCAACGAAGCTTATGGCCACACCCTAAACATGAAGACCGTTACCGATGTTTTATGCCGTACAGCACAGTAAGATGTACACGACATAGACACGATACGGGCGCTGTCACCGGTGTTGATCAGACAAGCAAACAAGGGTATACCAAGGATGTACACGGAATTACGGAGCCATGCCCCTGCGCCTGCGCAGGTCCCGAGCTGCAACCCAAGACCGGTGGGTCGCCTCCTGCGCAGGCACCGGGGGGCAGTGGCTGTTGCTTCCGGGCTGCGGCCCCGCTGCAGCAGCAGCAGCAGCCCTGCACTGGCCCTCCTGACGCCCACCCAGCCCTTTCCGTGTCAGTAGATCGCCCTCACCCAGCGGTGGTTTGCTCAGCGGCTTGCAGCGAAGCCATGGATGCAAGTCCAGCTAAGAGGGCTGTGGGGGTGTGTGCCCAGGAAGAGGTGGAGGTGCAGAAGGCGCCGGAGGGAAGGCGGGTTACCCGGTCTTCCGGCGGGGGTGGCGGGTTCTTTGCTCAGGAGTACAGCCGCGTGCTTGGGATCATGGCAGGAAAGGGGCATGCGTAGGGCGGGAGAAGAGCGGGGTTACATGTAGTGATGTAGAAGTGCGGGTTACATGTAGGGTTGAGGGTCACCGGGGGGCCCTTTCTTCGGGTTGTCCGGGTTATTGCCTGTATTCTGCCGCTATCGTTTGAACAATTGTTTGTACGCCATTGCGTGTGGACTTATAGTGAAGATGTGTATCGCAAGCTACTAGGTCCTTGGGTTTGTTTCATGGCTGTTGTTTGATGGTTTGGAACTGTTTCCGTCCTGGCGCTCCGTGCGGACCTCAACAGGCGATGTGCGATGCCATCATCCAGCCTGAAGAAGTACCCGCTCCATTTCCGGGAATACGTGGAACGTGTATCGTGAATGCGGGCATATCGTTCACTTCACTTCGCACAATGCGTGATCGCAAGTACCAATCGTACCGACAATTCAATCCCGTTCGATTCTGGGGTGGTGCAAATTGCCAGCGAATGCACGCCGCTTACCGGGGCATACAACCCATGACGAACATGCCGCCAATGTGGCCCGTTGATTACGTTGCGACTCTCTTTTGTTGACCGTTGATAATGTTTCGGTCCTCTTCGTACTATTGGGTTGCGCATTTCGTGACCCAAATCAGCTTGTCGTCAGTAACTACGGTTCCAACTGTGTTGTATTTAACCTTTGATATCTACTTTGTATTTTTGTCAACTAAGTTATGGGCAATACGGTATCGAAGACTGCCTCCGGTGTCTCACGGCGCCGGTTCCTTGATTGTATGTGCAACGTGCTGACCGGTGTGCAATGGTAGTACTATGAATCTATCTATGATGCAGATGATGATTCACCACGTCCCTGCCCTCATGGACATGCACCTAGGCCCTCGCTTGTCCTCACACAAGACGAAAGTCACAGGATAGCACTTGTGTAACATTCCACAATTCCACTGTGCTTCCGCCCTTGCCCTCACGTCTCAAAACTTACTCTGCTAACCTGCCGGTGTCTGTGTACTGCGTGTTCGTTCCGCAGATCTCCGCTCGCTGTTCCGCCCCCTCCCTGGCGCGCCAAAGCCCTACGTCCAACCCCCACTGCCGCCGCCGCCGCCGCCCGATAACAGCATGCATCAGCATCGTCCTGCTGCCTCTCTTGATGTCCCAACAACCAACAACACATCAACATCCGACCAATCCATGCATGGTATGGCCCAGGTGACCCATGGGTCTTCCGCCCAGCTCCCGAAGCAAAGCGAAAGGCCACTCCAACGGCCAACGGCCAGCCACGCGCATCCATCTGTACGACACGACGAACCCGAACAGCCACGCCAGCCCCATGCCGTACCAGCTAGTACGGCACCCCTTTCATCGAGCCCGTCTCACCCCACCAGCTCCTTGCAAACGGCGCCCGGCAATGCCCCACAGCCCCATAACAACACGACAGAACACACATCCTTTCAAGGCTCGTCACGACTTACTGGGCTGTATGGTGCTGCTGCGTCTGCAAGTCAAGCCACGGGCTGTGCAGGTCAACAGCAGCAACAGCCGCTGCAGCAGCCGCAGCCGGCCTTGGTACAACATGCGGCTCCGCAGGGCAGCGCAGGAGCCATTGGGGGTCTTGCTGGCTGGGGTTCTGGGGCTGGGAGGAGCTGGCAGGCCGGTGGCGGTGTAGATCGCGGGGTGGCCGGGTGTTTGGAGGCTGCGGGGGGAAGCTCCTCCAGCGGTGGTGCAGCGGTAGCTGTACGGCATGAACGACAACAGCAGCAGCAGCATGTGGAGCAGCAGGAACAGCTGCGCCGTCAACACTCAATGCAACAGCCACAGTCACAGCAGCAGCAACAGCAACCGAACGTACGACACCAACAACAGCACCGATACCAGGAGCAGCAGCAACAACAGCAACAAATACATATTCAGCAGCACCAACAGCAACAAACATGCTACGGCCAGCAGCAGCAGCAACCTCAGCAGCAGCCGCAGCGACACCACCTGCAACAGCCGCAAGCATGGCCGGGTCAACATGGTCAGCAGCAACAACATCAACAGCTGCAAAACCAGACCCAGCAGCAGCAGCAGCAGCGGTTGTTACAGCCGGAGAACCCAGGCAACCTAGCAGGTTCCCCCGGACCCGCCTCCCTGCGCTCGGCCCCTGTTGCCGCTCCGCAGCCCTGGTGGCAGCAGCAGCAGCAGCAGCCGTCCAACCAACAGCTGCGTCAGACCCAACAGCCCCAACCAGGGCCGTTGCCCAGTCGGGCAGCTGAGCCAACCCCAGCACCCCCAGCACGAAACCGTTTGCGGGGGAAGGGCAGCACGCCTAGCCGTCAGCGGGGTGGAGCCAGCGGCAGCCGCAATGCCGCCTCCTCCTCGCAAGGGGCCTCTCCAGTGGTGGGGGCGGCAGCGGGAGCGGAGGCAACGAGACGGCATGCGCCCCCAGCGGCGCCCACCGTAGCTCCGGCTATGGCTCGCGATGCCAAGTGCCCGATATGCTGCATGCCGTTCCCCGCCCGCATGAGTAATGCAGAGCTGAACGCGCATTTGGACGCGTGCATGCGTGAGTTACAAGGTTGATGAAACAAGGGTAGCGTGAGTGATTTATGCGTGAGGGGTTTTGAGGTTTAGGAGAGGCATGTTTGTAGGTGTTCTGGTCCGGCAGGAGGCGCTTGCATGTGTGCGTTGCTCAGCGTGGCGCAGTTGGCTTGTTGCTGAACGGGGCCGCGGCGGCAGACGTTGCTCTCTTTATGGCAAAAGGCCCTCAGGGCGTTCCTATAACAGTCGGCAACGTACAAACAAACCAATACGTGCACTTTAGGTACGTGTGTCAACTGTCAAGTCGGCCTAACTTGTACGTATTTCGACACAGGAGATAAACTTACAAACATATTGTTACTTTTAATCGCTTATACATTTTTTCCTTGTCACCTCGCTGTTTGTGGAGGTACTGAAGCGCATAATGCATCAGGCTTGGAGTCACATCTATCCGCCATATGCCCCTCTGCTCTCATCGATAATAATGTTATCATTCGTTGTTATGTCATCGAGCCGCAAGAACAGGTTTATCGCCGAACACCGATTTCTTTCTACCTGTTCCCCATATGCTCGAACTTTTTCCCTGTAATAATCCCGAAGTCGCCAGTTCGAATGACCTGGGATCCTACTTTTCCGCGTCCTACCTTTCCCCTCGCACCACCCTTGCCTTGCTCTCCATTCCTCTGTTCAGATTTACACCTTGGCAACCGTGCGAAGCAAAAGGCCCGGCCTGCCGCCCCGTCCCCCGTATTCCCGCCTCCCCATTATTGTGTTCTTCTTCTTCGCCTCCTGCCCACTTCTCCTCCTCCCCCCCACCTGGCATGCCGCGGGCAGGGGTGCCTTGCTTCATGAAGCGGGCCGAGCCGTCGAGTGGAGTGCGGCCGGTGCACGGGCCGTGGAGGGCACTGCGGGACTGCTAGTTGCATGCACGGCATTGATTGGTCCGGCTTAGATACGTCAAGGCGGCGGCATGATAGGAGCCAGCGAACTGCGCTGAAACAAGATGTGCATGGGAATGGGGCAAAGGATTGTCACCAGAGAGGTCCTTTCAACCTGGCAGTGTAACGCGGGTATTGTAGGGGTATTCACTCGCTGGACCTCATCTTGAACACATCTGGTTTTCAGGGATAGATGCCGTCTAGGGTGGATTTGCTAGGCTGGGTCACGCATGCTTCGAAAGAATCGAAACGAACACTGTAACAGATTAGACGTCTAATGTTGCGACGAGCACGCACTTTGTCTACCGGTAACCGACTATTCCCACCGTTACACCCTGTCTCGGCAACTACCACCACCGTAACACCACAAAGCCCACGGCCGGCTAACGCGTACGGCACGTCTCAAAACCACAAACTCGTCACCCAAGCTATGGTAACACTCCCAACCTCACGGTCTTACTGACAGCCAATGGAAGTATAAGACTGCGCAAACGAGGCTGTGTCGCAAAGAATATCGAGAGGATAAACCTACCCGCATCAATATGTCTTTGTATCTTTTGATGCTAGGTACGGGACAACGCGGACCGACGAACACGACAAAATACGACGGCAACCCTCCTAGGCATGTGCGTAACCTGGGAGGTGCCCTAATACTAGTCTACGAGGCACTACTATTCAACCCGACAAAACCACGTCAACACGTCTACTCCAAGGGCTAATTCGGCAAGTGAACAGTACACGAAACATACAAGCAAAGACCTCCTGGCCAACCGAGCCACTAACACGAAATGACACGGTACTAACAACGAAAGAAGATGGACGCCAAAGATAAAACGGAAATTACACGCATGTGCCGTAAGCCTGCACACACATGCGCGTCCAAGCTTGTGTCCCGGGTCTTTGTTAATTTCACCCAGGCCAAACAGCATACATCCGTCGCTATGCGCCATGCACGGCAAGTGCACAACACATGGTTTTGGAGCCCGGGCATGGCAGTGCGTCATTATGTGAGCTTGAGCTTGGTGCATCCATCGCATAGGGTACTTAATTCTCACTCGCGGCAGAGGCAGGAAAGAGCAATCACGCCACATGACATCCGATGATCTGCAAAGCCCTCCACCTCGCACGTCCTCTCAGCATCATGACATAGAATGCCCAGCCTCTTTACAGGATGCCTCTTGTTTAAGAATACAACGAGGCCCAAACGGGAGGCGCCACGGGCAGCATCAAAGCAGGTTCCCAACGCAACCATTCCCAACCATCCTTATCTCACCCCACACCACCCCAGTTGCCGTCGTTTACACCACACCAACGCATTCCCTCCCCTTACACCTTGCGCCAGTCAAACGCAATGGGCGCCTGCAGCAGGTGATCCGGGATGCCAAACGCGTCGCACAGCTGTACGGCGGCGCAGCGCGGGCCGCCCGCCGTGAGGCTGCCGTACAGGTTGGCCGTGGCGGCGCGGAGGGCCACCGCGTCGTCGCGGTTAAGCGCCCCGGTGGTGAGGTAGAATGCGAGCGAGCGCTGAATGCGACTGAGGGCGTAGAGCTGAGCCAGAGAGGCGAGAGCGGGGCGCAGCGAGACGGGGGCACGCTCCACCTCCTGCGCAATGGAAGCAACAAGGCAGGAGGGAAGAGGCATGAGAGAGTGACCGACAAGTCCGCGTCTAGAGGTAAAGTTGGGTGGGAAAAGTGAAGGACGTGGAATAACAATTGTCAACAGTCTCTCTTGACCCACGGGTCACCCAGGTCAGCCAATCCCCATCACCACAGCCAACAACATCAGCTCTTCATCAACAGTTGTTCGAGCATACTGCTTTTAAAAACTGCCCTTGAGGATTAATATAGAGATCTTTGCCCACCTTCAGGAAGTTCTCGTGGCAGAAGCGCTCCACCGAGGCCCAGCCAATCGACACCACCACATCCAGTTGCCGGTCAAACGCGGCAGCCGAGGCTGTGGCCTTGGCTGCGGCTCCCTCGGCGCGCGCCGCCGCCGCCGCCATCTCTCCCGCCACCTGCGCCGTGAGGGCACTCTCGCGGAAGCCCAGCAGCGACTGCAGGGTGCGCGAGCAGGTGGCGCGGCCGGCTGCGAGGGCGCCCGGGGCCGGCACTGCGGGGGCGCCGCGAGCCAGCATCGACTTGTCCTCGAGCAGCGAGCGGGCGACCTAGAGGAAGAAGAACCGCGACACAAGGCGGGGGAGGGAGGGAAGTAGTCTCAGGGACATCGTGCAACGAAGCCACACAAGCATCCCCGGGGCACCAAAGGCATGGTAGGAAACTCGGTATGGTTTCTTACCATGCCAACTCGGTATGGTAAGAAACGGCCATCAACCACAGCCCTGCAATTCCTCTGCAGCCGCACCCTCCTCCAGCTCGCACCCGCCCGCAATCCACCCCACCTGCTGCATCATGACCGTGTTGTCGCCCTCAAACGTCACGTCCACGTTCATGTCCGTCATCAGCGGCCCAATCTTGTTGGCGGACAGGAAGCCCATGCCGCCGCAGCACTCCCGGCAGTCCTGCATGGCCTCCACGCGGCCCCACGTGGCGGCAGCCTTGAGCCCCGAGGACAGCACGTGGATGGCCTTGGCGTCGGCGGGGCGCTTGGCCGCCATAAGGCCCTTCAGGTGGCCCAACGCAAGGTGCAGTGCGTAGGTCTGAGCCAGCGGGGGCAGCAGCCGGGCCTGCATGCAAGACGGGGGAATCCGATTGGGCGGGGTCTGACGGTAAGGGTAATGGTAAGAAATACATGACAATACCAGGTGTTTAGACGTCACCCAGCCTGATGAAACCAGTGTTGTTGAAGGGCTTTTGTCACATTGTGGCGTTTACTCTGTACCCAGGGTCTGGATCTACGCCCGACCCAAATCAATCTGCTGGACCCGTGCTTGACCCAAATCAACACGCACCTGGTGAGTCACGTAGTCCATGATGGGCCGGTCCCCGAACTGCGTCCGCGAGCAGCCGTAGCGGATGGCGATGGTGAGTGCAACCTTGGCCGCGTCCACTCCGCCCGCCGCAATCAGCACACGGCCTGACGGGCGGCCAAAAGCAGGGGAGGTTAGGCATGGTTGGCGCAGTCGTCGTAAACGCGGCTCTGGAGCTACAGCCACACCGTGCCCATTCCCGGCGTCCTGAGCAATACCACATCCCGCCCATGACATCCACCCAAACGCAAGCATGGTAGCACCCGCCCAACCAGCCACCCATAACGCCTCCACAGGGACACGCACCCGTCGTGAGGCCGCCCACCACCGTGCCGAAGCGCTGCGAGACGCTGGGAATGGAGGACGAGTAGGTTCCGTCGGGCGACACGCTCGCAAAGGCGTCCAACATGTCCTCACGAGCCACCCGCACGCTATCAAACCAGATGCGGCCGTTATCCACTCCGTTGAGGCCCATCTTAGGGCCCTGGTCGGCGATGCGCACGCCCGGCATCAGGCGGCCGGAGTCATCACGGATGCGGACGACGAATACGTGGGGGCCCTGAAGGAGGAAAACAAGAATGGAGATTGAAGGGAGGAGGGAGGAGGGAGAATGAGCGTAGCACCGTGGGTGCTGCGGAGTGTCGCGGCCTGAAGAGGCCCTCGAAAAGGCTCAAGCTGAAGGAGTATGTCACAGCTTAGGTGGCCTCTGCGGTTAGCGTCACTGTGGCCCGTGTTGCATTCCACAGCCCTAGACCTAGTACCACCCCACCCCCCCTAGCCCACATTGTAACTTTGTTGTAAGCCACGACTGAGTCTCCGCTTCACAACCCGCCCCATCCTCAGCCCATTCCCTCACCTGCCACTGCCCGTTGACGGTGAGCTGCGCAAACACGGCGCACACTTTGCCGTGCTGCCCCGAGCCGCCGATCCAGTACTTGCTGGCCTCGTCGTTGGGTGTGTTGATGACAAACTGCTGCGCGGCCTTGTCGTACACGGCGGTTGTCTCGATGCCCATAACGTTGGAGCCGTGACCCAGCTCCGTCATGCCGAAGCAGCCGGGCAGCGTCAGGTCGTCAATGCCGGGCAGGTACCTGAGAAGAAGGTAATCGGCGGGGTATCAGCAATACGGACAGGATGGAGTTGGTTTCGCTTGCATGTATACATGCATGCTTGCATTGAATACTGCATGCATCGCATGTGGACGTAGTGAATTGTGCCGTCAGGCTGAGTGGGTTGAATTGGGTCGAAGCTGGCTGCGCTTGCTGAAAGCACATGCTAAACTTTGATGCAACCGACGCCGAACTATACAATTGCTTCAGCTGTTCAGCAAGCACCGACAGCTCCGACCCAAATCAACCCACTCAGCCTGACGAGGGTGACGACCCCGCCCGCTGCCGTACAAGTGGTGCTTTTTTCTGCAAAACGCTGATAGGTAACCAGCCTGGCACCCGGGCCCTAAACTGCCGCTTGTAGCGACTTACTTGGCGTGGTGGTAGGCGGTTCCCAGCTTGGCAATGGTCCCTCCACACAGCGTGAAGTGCACTCCGGCCTTGATGGCGAGCGAATAATCAGCGTACATGAGGCACTCGAGCGCCGCGATGAAGCGGCGGGGATCTGCGTGTTTGAGGACAAGGGGGCAAAGGATAGGTACGGAAAATGAGGAGGGTAAGGAGGGCACAGAAGGGCTCAAGAAGAAAGAGAGGCATGATGGTTGGCCCCAGAAAAGCATGTGGTCATGTGATGAATGGGATATGCAACAAAGAAGGCAAGGAATGGGTTGAAGCGATGTCAGCAGCGCATCGTGTAGGCCGAACGCACCGTTTGTGTAGTCACGAACCGAGAAGAACTTCTGCACGACAAACTTCTTGAGGCGCTGCAGAGTTTGCTCCCTGAACTCCATGAGCCCTTGGTAGTGGTTGGGCTTGTAGAGATCGTCCTGGAACATGCAGAAAGGAATTCGCAGGGTTAACCGAGAAGCCTCCACGTCAGCGCATGGCAACTACCAGACGCTGGGACTTAGCGCGTCAGGTCTCTCGGGTAAAACCATCTGGTGCACAGTGTAAGCGTCCCGCTGGACAATAGCTGCGGCTAATCTGATAACAGCGTGCTTAACAGAAAGGGAGCGAGAACCCTCGGTCCAACATCCCAACACCTGCACGCCAATTCCCTTACTTTAAGAAAGTCGAAGATGGCCTCACGCATTTCCTTGTTGTCGTGGATCAGAAAGTTGCGGAGCTCGACAACGTTGACCGGCAAGTTAGTAGGCGTCGCAATTCCTGCGGTAAGTTGCCGCGAGAGCACCTGCAGGCGCTCCGACGCCACGCCCGCCGACGCCATTTTGTACAAGCGTAGTGGTTTACGCAGCCGGTTTCTGAGGCCCCCGGTTTCGCGGCTGTTGATGACAGAGAAATATGAGCTTAAAGGCAAAGCAACACCTACGAAGTGAAAATGCTATGCGATGTATGCTAAAGGCACTGACCCAACATTAAATACCAGCTGTCGTTGGTACGCCTGATGCTGATGCTCTCGTTTTCCACGCCAGCCCCTGCCGTACGACATAACCGCTCTGCTGTGCTCGCCATGCAGCATGCGCCAGTGCACACGCTCGTTGCAACCACGAATCTGCAATATCAAACGCATTCCTTCTTCTGTTGAGAAGTCTGTGATCCAGACTTTCTACTCTTGAAACATGGCGCTTGCGCTCCACCGATCTTCACAGGTGCGCTGTTTGGGTATTACCTCATTATGGGAAATGCGACAGCTTTAATGCAGCGCGCTGTGGGATCTATCGACGGGGAACACGAAGCGGAACTTTGTGCCGAGCAACATGCCCTCAAGTGAAATTCGCTCAGAAGGTTTTTGTTTATAACTTGTAGGCGTCTTGCAGCATGTCGACAGCGGCTTCCCGTGGTGCCTGGACAGGTGTGAATGCCATGCTGCAACCTCCTCGGACCTCTTTTTCCTTTCAATTCAGCAACATACATTTCTTGCATGCAGTTTGTCGATCACGCTTAAGTGTAGCCTGCAAGGCTTCACTGCAGGTGGGCATTTTCATGTAGCTTACAACCCTGGTACACACGATTACGTCGCTTCCTCGCTCACCCACCTTGTGGGCACGGCAGCCAACGTTTTTCAACCTATTTCCAGCCCATTTACACAATTTTCACTGACGCGGATTTCAGGGACCGTGTGTACCGCCTCCCATACCTCAACCACACAAACGAACCGCGCCACCATTCAACCGCACGCTCCAACAACTTTACCCCTCTTGCCAATCCCTTTTCCTTCCTTCCAATCCCCACACAAAAACGGGATCAGCCTCATTCCGAACAGCAGCAGCCCCTGCGCGGGCGGGCGGCTGCTGCTGCCGCCGGTCTACTGGCGGTCACCTCTGCGGCTGCTCTGGCACTTACCGCTGCTCCGTTTGCCGCGTTGGCGGTGTCGGGCGGGGGCGGCGTGTCGGAGTCCCTAGCGGGTGGGTGGGCGGGCTATTTGGGGACCCCCTGGGGGGCGGTGGCGGGCAGGGCTGGTGGGCCCTTTGGGGGACGACGCAGCAGCAGCCCCCCAGCTCAACCTGGGATAAAAGCTAGAGCGGGGTAAGGGCTGCCTGCAGCAAGGGCAACCCACCATCCTGTCCTGTCCTACCCCCTACCCGAGTCCTCTTCTTTTCCCACTTGTCGTCCAGGCAAGGACCTCTCGGGTCAAGACCTGCGTAAGTTGAAGCTCACCAAGGCCAACCTCCGGCAGGTGCGGGATGTGCTGGGGAGGCGTTCGGGGGTTGGTTGCATGGCAGATCGGGGGTTACGTGGGGGCGGCCGGGGTAGAGTGGGAGCAGCCCAGGCGTGGGGGATTGGGTGGCAGCGGAGCAGCCCCGACCCACATCACGACGCCTGCATGTCGCCCCTGACCCACCTTGCATGCAAGCTGGGGCCTGCCAATCTTCCTGACCCAGATCGCGATGTATACCCATTCCTCCTACCCCCAACCCCCTTCCTTCATAACTAGAACTTCTTCCTACCTCCCAAGCCTGATCACACGGTTAGCTCTTCCCCTTTCACAAGTAAGACTTGTTAACACAAAGCGCCTTGGCCCTGCCTCCGCCCCTGCCCGCCTGCCTGACCCACATCGCACCACCAACCACAGACCAACCTGAGCAACACCAATCTGGAGGGCGTGTCGCTGTTCGGAAGTCTGAGTGGTGGGTGGTAACGGTTGGGGTACGGAATACGATTGCCGTACCACGTGGCATTGCCGTACCACCAAGCAACTAGTTCGGGTCCGCTAGCTGACTCGAGGAAGATGCAGATGCATAACCAGTTACCCACGAATGCCGTACGAGCCAAGTGCCGTACGCCCACTCCTCCTGTCCCACAACCCACAACCTGTCGTACATCGACCCCCCGCCTCCCCGCCGCATGTTGCAAAACCATGATGACGCCTTATCACGCGGTTCGTTAGTCGTTTCCCCGTTACCCCGCCGCATGCAGAGGGCACTGTGTTTCGGGGCGCCAACCTGCGCAATGCGGACCTGGAGGGCGGGAACTACGAGCTGGCTGACTTCACGGATGCGGTGCTGGAGGGCGCGTTCGTGAACGGCGCGCGATTCGAAAAGGTGGGGAGCATGGGGCCATGTTGGGGTTGGAAGCATGGGGCATATGGGGGTGGGGAGCATGGGGCATGAGGTTCAGAAACAGGAACGTGAACATGGGCCGAGAGGTCCACTGCGCTCACCTCATCAACACGACAGCGGTGTTGGGGTCGCTGTGGCTCCCTCCTCCTCCCCTTCACAATCTCATCGCAGCTCGCCGCACCGTTGCCTTAGCACCACGTTGACCTCCTCAACCGCTCCTTCTCCCCCTCTCCTCAGCCAAACGCGGAATTTGCCCCCCCCTATTAATCCCCTCTCCTCAGGTGACCATTACCGGCTCTGACTGGACGGATGTGGTGCTGCGGAAGGACGTTCAAAAGGAGCTCTGCGCCATTGCAGACGGGGTAAACCCCACCACCGGCGTCAGCACTCGAGACAGCCTGTTCTGCCCTTGAGAGGGCAGGGAGAAGCAACAGCGGCCTGGAGGAGGGGTTCGAGGGGGGGAGCAGAGAGAAGCGGAGAGTGGCGGGCCTGCTGGTGGTGACGGGGTGTACCTGAGGGGGGAGAGGGCAGCATACCCGGGGGTATATATGGTATGTCAGTGCGGTGTGGTGTTGCGTTGATGAGAGGCAGGGAGAGCCATACATAAGTGTTCCTGTTGTTCTCAACCGTTGGGAATGGCTGGCTGGTGGGCGCAGTTGGCCGGTTAGAGGAAAGATGAACAAGAATGAAGAGCGCTGGGGTGCAGGATCTCAGCCGGTAACGCAATTTTGCGCATTCGTTGAACAATGGACCTGTGTCCAGCGACGGCTGCAGTGACAGTTGGAACACCCTTAGGTGAGGCCTGTTCGGTGAGCCCTGTTTCAGAAGCCTGCCTGTCAGGAGAGTACCGTTATAATCTTATAAAGAAGCAGTAGGGAGAGAGCAGTTGGGAGAGAGCTGTTGGCATCTTGGGAGGCATCCCGCGTATGACGAGATCTAGATGGGGTTGTGTGACCGAGCGGTGGTGCCCCGTTCCGAGCCTTCTCGGCCTCGTTGCTTGAATAAGGATATGTGGCACATGCGGGAAACAATTGCTTCGACCAAGTTTGCATGACCACAAGCAATGATAAGAAGAGCGTTGGCAACCAATGAATACAAAACCGCAGAACACAAATGGTCGGGGCATCCGAGGTCACCCGACCTCACGGTGTTGCAACACAAATCAGTCGACTCGCCAGCCTAGCCCCACGCGCCAAACAAGGCCAGCAGCCTGTCAGGCCAACAAGCCAGCCACAGCCCAACGCACACACGCAGGCAACAACGGACGCAGGCAGCACCCAGAAGCGACCTAGTAAAGCCCCCTAGTCGTGTGCACATCGGGGCTTGCATAGGAGCTTTCCCACGGGAACGGCGGCGGTTGTGGCGCAGTACGGATGTACGGCACTGAGACGTACGAACCGCATCCCGACTCCTGCGGAACCGCCTCTTTAACGACCTAACAAGCAATGAGACATTTGAAGGGGCGCAGTGTTGCAACAGTAGTAGCCATACCGCGAACTACATGACAGTCCAAAAATGCCGATTGAATGTGAGTAACACTGATTGTATGAAACAGAAACGCCATGTCAAGTGCATGGGCACGTGTGAGCGAGAAAACAATTAGCAGTCGAAAATACAAGCACAAAACTGCCGCAGCGGTCGCGCGAGCCATGAAACGGCTCCCACATGGCCTCCAACATACACTCTGCTTTGCCTTTTCGAAACCTGCTACAACCCGTTGTCGTACATACTAACAGACAGCTGCAAAAACAAGGACCGTCAAGCCCAAGTGAAAAATAGCCAACACTGAAGGGCTCCTACCGAGGCTGAAATGCCCAAGCAGCCGACAGCCCCATCCCACAATCCTGTAGCACCAAGGGCTGGTGTAGTCCTGCGCCCAATGTCCGCAAGCAGGTCTCCCGCACGCCTGGGCCTCTCTAGACTTGCTTGCAGTGCCCGACCCAAATCGCATCTCTGCAACCTTTCACCTACAGCCCACACCGCTGCAACCTACAGCCCCACAGCACCACATCAGAAGCATGGGGCCCATGAGGGTATTGAGGACACAGGCAGAAACACAAAAAGCAGATACAAAGAAACAGTCATAGACTCCCTCCAGCAGCAACAGCCGCCTCCAAGGAGTAAAACGACGTCGTGCAGGGGTTGAGCCAGCAAACACAACCCAACCTATACTTTGTACATATGCCTATCGCACGAAGCATGGAATATAAAGCCTCTGCTCTACCGCAATGCTGCCCTGTTGCTCCTGCTGTAGAGCAAGTCCCAACCCTACCGCTCCCCATACCGCTGCTGCTACTGCGGCTCAACTGTAAGATCCAGGGAAAAGCTATTTGCCGGCGCCAACCCATCCAAAACACGGGACACCGGAGCAACGCAGACGCCTTCCGGCGTAGCAGCTGCAGCGCCGGATCCGCCCTCGGATGTTGCCATCAAGTCTGATACCGCGCTATCAGACCCACACAACCCCGCTGCCGCTGCGGCCGCTGCTGCTGCTGCTGCTGCTACCGCTGCTGCCGCGGCCGCGGCGGAGGCGGTGCAGGCCGCACTGCCGCGGCCACCCCCGCAACCTCCAACAGCAGCAGCAGCAACAGGAGGAGGAAACGGAATGGCCGCGATCGGTGCCCTAACGCCAACCCCGCTACCGCTACCGCTGCTTCCAGCTGCAACTCCACGCCCGCCACATGCGCCGCCTCCCTCTGGCGAAGTGCTGGCAGGTTCCTCCGTGCGACGAGAGATGGAGCGCAGCAGGGCCGTCTTGCGCAGGTCTAGACCACTCAGCCGCGAGTCGCTGGGCGACGTGGGCACGACCTCTGAGGGGGCTTGCGGCGCCCCTCGGGGCAGCGGCAGCAGACCGCCATGCAAACCCACCCGCAGCGGTGGGTACATCGGGTGCTGCTGCTGCAACGGCTGGTGGTGGTGGTGGTGATATTGAGGCCAGCCAGTGGCAATTGCTACGGTTGCAAACGGTGAGCAGCTTTGGCCGTTGCCGTTGCCTGGGCTATAGCACCCGCCAAGCCTTTCGCTTCCGCTGGCTCCGCCGACGGCTGCCGCAGTTTGGTGAGGAGTCGGTACGCCGCCGCTACATGCCCACTGCTGCCCGCTTTGTTGCCCATGTCCCTGCCCCAGCGCGACTGACTCGAGCCCCCACACCATGCGAGGCTCCAAGCTCTGACCCAGATCATTGCTGACACGGTTGCGTTGACCGGTTTGACCAGCCATAGCTTGACCATGCTGCTCGCGTCCCCGCTCCTCCTCCTCTTCAAGCAGTAACAGCGGCTCCGAATCCGCAGTGGCGGTGCTCTCACTGGTAGAGTCCGCCATTGTAACGGTATTCGAGGTGGTTGTGGTGCTTGTAACGGTGCCGTACGAGGGCTTACGGAACGGCTGCAAAAATGGAACGAAGGGAGATGATGGCAGGTGCTGCATGGTAACCTCTGCCTCGTCCCGGCCATGGCTGCGGGGCCTTTGACGTTGGCAAGCACGGTTGGGGCTTATGTCGGGCGACGGAGCTGTTTGATGGGGGCCGCAGCCCCCAGGCAACGGGGTGGGAGGCGGCGGTGGCAAGGAGAAGAGGGCCAGGTGCTGGGGCGCGTGCTGTTGAAGGAGAGGTAGGGGCTGGAGCTGCTGGCTGGCGGCAGCGGTTAGTGACGAAGACGTCCGGATGTGCATATGGCGGCTGAGGGTGTTGGCCATGACCTGCGAGGTCAGATGAGGGGATGGCGGAGGTAAGCGTGCGAAGGGGCTCGCCGGCAACGGCACGCCGGTAATGACCAATATCGACCAACCTCTGAAAGGTATCGTTTAGAAGTATGTGCATTGTAGTCAATGTCCGGGTCGCTGACAGGGGACATGCTTGGCGAGTATCGCCAAGGGCCAGCACCAAGCCGGTCGTCAAGGCTAGAACCCTCCGGCCCAGAAGAGCTGCGCGGACGTTTCCTCGTCTCTTGCGAGATAACATCGCTGAGGCCAGCACTGCGTCTCTCCATAGCGATGCGTAACAGCGACTTGCCAAAAACCTATAAGCTGCTTACTAGCTAGGTATTACAGTTTAACCTCATGCAAAGGTGGATTAACATTGTGGGTGACCAAGGACCCCGCTTAGGTGAGGGGTACAGTGGGGTAATATTGTAGCTCACAGGAGGTATCCGAACTTTTCTTCATAGGCATCCCTGAGTATAAGCATCCCTGAGTATAAGCATCCCTATTCAGCCCTATAAGAATGTAAAAAATGAGAGACAAGCCATGACGTTACGGAGAGCAGACATCGTCGTGATGATCATATTGATGCATGGGATTCAGGATAGGCGCAGGTCTTCCTATGCGTCTTAAAACTCGTCTGTACTATACTATTGCTATAATTAATATTCATAGTGTAAAGGACGACTTTCTGTCTTTCAGCACAACAATGAACATGCAGGCAAGGAAGTAGGCAGTCAATTATTAAGCTCTCACCCTAACTCCCAAAGGGAAAGGCAGTTGGACGCTGAACCTGCATCCTTGTCGCAGGTCTCCCGTGTCCCCACAACTTGCGCAACACCTCATCGGCCAAGGTAAGGTTTCAAGCCTTAGCCTTCGCGGCGTGCTTGCGTTCTTGCACGCTCACACTATTGTATGGCCTCTACCCTTGCAGGAGCTGGCAATCATGCCCACTGCAAACTCCTCGACTCGCACGGCAACGTGGCATGGTTCATACCCATGCCACCAAGGACGACAACAACGACGTCGTTGCTGGTGGGTTAACCGGACGCTGCAAATGCATCATATAGCCGGGGGGCTACAGAAGTTGACGCGGCTGGCGCAAAGCTTTCTTATCAAACTTTAGGCTTGACTGCACCACAAGCCACGCTGGCACACGATCCTGGGATCTCGTCTACCCTGCACACGGCCCCGGCACATATCTCATGCTCCCAGAACAACTACTTCACCTGACCCACATCCCCTAACACCCTTCCGCACACGTAGACACCCTTCCTTTTACGGTAGTCGTCCTTTCACCCTTTGTACGGCACCTGATCCACTTTCTATGCGGCACTGTCCTGCAGGCGCTATCAAGGCCGCTAGCGGGCTGGTGGACAAGGCGACTGAGCTGGTTCCGGAGAGCGTTCCGCGACCCGCCGCCAAGGCGGGCGTTACCATCGCTGGCGTCATGTTTGTGTTCTGGTTGCTACAAAAGGCAAGTACAGGTAGCAAGCAACTGTTAACAACTTAACTGGTGTGCACGTACGTTGTGGGTTTGAAGGTAGCGGCTTTCTGTTACTACGGTAGTACCGTAGTAAAGGCGAGGGTAGGGATGAGGGGGGTGTGGGCGGACGTGCCGGGGTACGCATGTTTCGCGGGTCATGCAGCGTGTTGGCAGGGAAGGCGATTGGAGGGAAGAAGTACGGTCCGTGCGAGCGGCCCAGATGCCACCAAGCTCCCGAAACCCGTATTATGGGCTTGGTGGTACGACTTACATGCCGTGGCCATGCAACTTCCCTCATTATCCCCTGTCCTACTCCAGTGACCTTCTCCTACAATCCCCTCCGCTGCCTCCTAACGACAGACCGCCCACGGTCCCTGGCCCCTGCCTGCACTCCTCCTCACGCACTTTCACGCCCTCCTCCCCACGCTCCTCCTCACGCACTTTCACGCCCTGTGATCCCTCGCCCGCCTCGTAGGTCATCTCTGGCGTGCTCACCCTGGCCCTGTTCGCTGGGCTTGGCTACTACTTCCTCTCCAAGCAGTCCGGAGACGGCGACGACGATGCAATCGATGTGACCCCCGGCAGCAGCGGCAGCGGCAGCGGCAAGGGCAGGGGCAAGTCGGGGGACAACCTGGACGATCCGCTGGCGGAGGCTCGGCGCATCATGGATAAGTATAAGTGATGAGGGGGTAGCAATGAGGGAGAGATTGGAGATCTTTTCCGTACTGGGCTGGTAATCTGGAACGGATGGGGAGGGGAAGGAGGTGCAGGATGGGGCGGTTAATGGCAGGGATTGCGTAGCTCATTCGTCGCCGATGTTATGGACGGTAGGGGGCTTTAGGGAGTGAGCGTTGGCATGGGAGTGATGTGTTGGCGCGTTTGTGGTAGGGTGAGTGTTGTGTGGTAGCTGGAGTGGTGTGCCTTGCTTCACCGGTGCATGACAATATAATGCATCAAGCACCGTTTGCCTGTGATGATGCTTCGTATTTGTGGTATTTGCGGATAGTGCAAGGGAGGTTTCGGACTGATACAAGGGGGCATGCAGGCCCCTTTGGTTCTAAGCTGCAATCGAGCACGGGCAGACACGGGCGGGGCTCTACCGGCTGATGTGAGTTAATGTGTCTCCGCATCAAACCAGTGTACAGCAGCCTAAATGCAAAGAGACTAGGGACAGTGTGGGAGCGCCATGTAAAGTGCTTACTGCACATACCCCGCGGCGGTTTGCTACCCCCCAGCAATCAAGTGCACCGCTGCACTGCACCCCCCTGCCCCAAGCCCCATCAAACAACTACCGGTACACCGATGGTAAGCCACCATAAGAATATTGCAATTAGCAATATACGTAGATGGTGTCATCGAAGGCCCTTTTTTATGTTTTGATCCATAACCCTCACTTCATGCCTACGTAGGCGCCCGTACGGCCGTGCAAGTATGTTGTTGCGGAAAGAAGAGTTATAATTGACGGCACCCTCCCTTTATGATGTTTAAGTTTAGCGATATGCGTTGCCGATGTCGCGACGGACTTTGCCGGCTTCCCTACCGCTGACATTGTCGCAGACAGCGCAATTGTAAACCATGAGCGGCAAACCACAATCTTCTAGTCGGCTACAAAAGCTGCTGAATCTCCTTGAGAGTGAGTTCGTGCATGGCAGGGTCAGCGGTCCCAGGCGATCGGCTGACGCTCTTTGTATTGCTTTGTATGCAGCCGGCACCTCTGAAGCAACTAGGAAGGCCGCAGCGAAACAGCTTTCTGAAATAGCCAGGGCCCACCCTGATCAGGTGCTCTCTACGGTGCAGAAGGTGCGTCTTGGCGCGCAAGTGCCGCCGACATAACCGCCGTGTTTCCCTCGTTTTTATGTGTATTTACGTTTGAAATTAACAGTAGCAACTTATGGGAGTCGACGCCTACGTTCCTTCTTATCCTAAGTTCCCCGACACACCCCCAACCGCGAATCTGCTTCGGCAAGCAGGTTCACGCTTATCTCTACCACAAGAGCTGGGAGACCAGGGTAGCAGCCGGTGAAGCGCTTGCGTATTTGGCGGACATCTTCGTGCACCATACTCCCGATGACTTGCATCGACATGCGCTTGCTTGTGGTGAGGATGCGGAGGCGCTCACTCAGGCGATGGGGCCGGACGCGCCCCTCGCGTTCAGCAACTTCAGCCTCCAGCATGTCCTCGAAAGGGGCACACCACTGGGAGCCTCGGGAGGCCAGGTGCGCGGGCAACCATCCAGTCAATCCACACCATCCCTCCTCTCAAGTTCCTGACCTCCACCGTTTCCCCCTGCCTACCACCCCCCTCGCAGGAGTTTGACCTAGTATTAGACCCGGGGCTGCCGCCCAAGGCGCGGCTGGCAGCCCAGCGAGAAGTCCTCAAAAAGCGGCTCGGACTGGATCGCGACATGGGACTGGACGCAGATGCGCTGTTTGGTGACGAGGACTTGGAGGCAGCTGAGGAGCTGTACGGAGGAGCAGGGGGAGGAGGAGGGCGCGGAGGAGCCGGGGCAGGAGCAGCAGGGGTTCAGCGCAGCGGCGGCAGCATGTCTGGCAAGCAGCAGCAGCAGCAGCAGGTGGCAGCACAGGAGCTGCTGCGGAGTATGGACATGGAGAAGCTTTCGGCTAGGGAGCGCAACAGGCTGAAGCGGAAGGCGAAGGCGCTGGGGCGAGGGGAAGGGGCAGGGGGAGGAGCGGCAGGGGGGAACGGAACAGGGCCGGCGAGGAGCAAGGTGGGGAGGGTGGGACAGGGCGAACATGGTGGAGCCTGGGTGCAGCAGTGCAGCTGGGGCGAAGGCGGCTTGGGGCTACAAATCAAGTGCCCTTTCCTTTTCAAGATGGAAAGGAGCAAAGCACCCAGCAGCGGGTTCAGGATGCAACCTACTTGCGAAGCTGCTGGGCTCCCAGCTTAGCACGGCACAATTACTACCAAAGTATGCACACGCCCCCGTACCCAACGCTGGCTGCATACTGCTTCCACATTCCCTTGCATTGTATTTAACGCAGTCTTTCTCGGACGCGGAGGGCGGCGGCGCTCCTGGCGGGGAGGAGGCGGGCGGCAGCGGAGCGGGGTCAGGGCCGGCGGGCACGTCAGCCGCGGCATCAGCTGCGGCGGTGGAGGTCGGGGACGACGAGGTAGGAGGCAGGGAAGGGGGCTTGGAGAAGGCTGGAGGTTGCAGCATTGTCCCCGAAATGCGGTATCCGCATGGCTTGGAGGCTGTAGGCCTCGTTTGCATCTCTACTCATCTCTACTCATCCCAACCAACCTGTTTTTCTTCCCCCTTCCCTTCACCCACCTCTTCTGCATTTCATTACCTGCCTCATTACCCACCTCATTACCCGCCTCACTACCCGCCCACCTCATTACCCGCCCCGTTACCCGCCTGCCACATGACCACCCATGATTCACCCCACCAGGTCCAGCACGTATCCGAGGGCGGGTGGCCCTTCCAGCGCCTGGCCGACCAGCTCGTCCTGGATCTGCTGGATCCAGTTTGGGAAGTACGGCACGGTGCCGCGCTGGCGTTACGGGAGCTCCTGCGGGGCCATGCGGGGGCGGCGGGGGTGGAGGCGCCGCTGCAGGGCAGTGTGCCCTCGGGCTGGGCGGTGCCGGGGGGGCAGGGCAAGCGCGGCCTGGGCGGCGGCGTGACGGCGGCGCATGTGGCTGCGGCGAGGGCGGGCAACAGGCGGTGGCTGGAGGAGTGTATTGTGCACCTGCTGTGTGTGCTGGCGCTGGATAGGTTCGGGGACTACGGGTCGGATCAGGTGGGGGTCAAAGATACCAAAACCACAGGATAGGCCAAAGCAATGGGGATAGAGGGAAACAGTTTGGGGGAGATCATGTGGGAGGGAGGTGGAGGAGGAGGGCTGGGGATGGGGGGCTTGGGGAAGGGAGAGGGGAAAAGAGGGAAGGGCTGGGTTGGGAATAGGTTGCCTGAGAGGGAATGGGCTACAGGGCTGCCTTGACCTTATCCCCTCACGACGCCCTGTTCGTATCTCCTCAACGTTGCCCTGTCCCGCCACTCCCCTTTTCCCTCCTCCCTCGCCCCGTCCCCAGGTGACCGCCCCTGTGCGCGAGACCGCCTCCCAGGCCCTGGGCATGGCCCTGCAGGCGCTTGACGCGGGGTCGGTGGGGTCGGTGGCGGGGATGCTTCGGGAGCTGCAGGTGCAGGGTGACTGGCGGGTCAGATACGGTGAGGGAGGGGCGGGGGGGTGGGGGGGGCGCATGTGAGGGACGAGGGAGGGGAGGTCACCATGTGGAAGGGTTGGGGAGGGAATGCCCTGTGCCGACTCACCCTGCGCCGCTGCGTCTGGGAGGGCCTCGATCACCATGACGACATTGTTGTCTTCCCTGCCCACCCCCCACCTCCCACCCCACGCACCCCTCCCCAGGCGGCTTCTGCGGCCTCAAGTACACCCTTGCTGCCCGGTTGGACCTGGCTCCGCAGCTGCTGCCTGCCGCGCTGCCGCTGCTGCGGCGGGGCCTGGCGGACCCGGATGACGACGTGCGGGCCGCGTGTGCGGACGCGCTGGTGCCGGTGGCGGGGGCGCTGCGGGTGGTGGGGCCACAGGTGGGTGGCGGGGGCGCTGTAAGGTCACTGCCAAGCCACGTTTCAGTCCTCCTCCCGTCTAAACAAGTTCACTGTGCCTTCACAGTGCCTGCCCCGCTAAGCAAGTTACCCTTCCCATCTCGCTCCTCCCTTCTCGTCATTGCTTTGCCCTAACCCCCATCTTTGACCCTCACACGCTGTGTTCAGGCGGTATCCGAGCTCCGAGCGCAGCTGTGGGACCTGCTGCCGCAACTCTCCGACCTGTCCGCAGCAACCAATAGCGTCATGTCCTTGTTGGCTCATCTGTACGGCAGCGGTGCCAGCAGCAGCAGTAGCAGCAACGCTAGCGGCGGCGGTGGAGGCGTTGGCGGCGCTAGCGAGGAGCTAACGTTGCTGGTACCGCGGTTGTGGCCGTTTGTACGGCACACGCTGAGCACCGTACGCGCAAGCGTGATGCAGTGCCTGGAACGCATGCTTTCCACCGCCGCAGCTGCTGGTTCAGGAGGAGCATCTTCTGCAGCAGCAGCACCCACGCGATGCATGGCAGCAGACGCCCAACACGGCGTAAGCGATGCAGCCGACGCTCCAGCCACAGCAGCAGCCGACACTGCCGACGCTCCCTTGCAGTGCTATCCAGCCTGGCTACAGCCGCTGCTCCCCGCGTTGCTACAGCTGGTCTTCCAAAACGTCATGGTGGAAAGCGAGACGCGCGTGTTGGACGCCTCTGTCCGCGTCTGGCGGCTGTTGGTGCGCTGCGCCGCCCCCGCGGCACTGCAGGACTCCCTTTCCCCGGAGCAGCTGGCGGGGCTGCTTGCCATGGGGGCTACGCAGGTGGGTCGGCCGCTGGATCCACAGATCTTTATGGTGCCGTACAGCGCGGATCCGAGCAGGCTACTGCCGCTGGCGGTGCTGAGGCAGCTGGCGGGGCCGGCGGCGGCGCCGGCAGCTGCAGCTGCCGCCTCCACGGCGGCTGCGGGGGATGCCGGGGGGCTGCGTAGCCCCAAGCGTGCTCGGACGTCGTCAAAGCAGAAGCAAAACGCCGCCGCGGCAGCGGCGGCGGAGGCTGCGGCGGCTGCCGCCGCCGCCGCAGCGGCGGGACCAGGGCTTCCTAACGACTTCATCGTTGGGACGCTGGGGGAGGAGGCGGTGGCCAGGATGCGTACGACGGCTGCGAGCTGCCTGGGGGCGCTGTTCGCATGCGCCCATGCAAACGGTGCCGTAGCCCCGGCACCCGTGCTGCTCGCGGGGCTGTCCTCGTCCTCCGCCACAGCCCGGCAGTTCTCCGCCCTCACCGCCCGCGCATGGTTGCAATACGCCAAGCAACAACTGCTACTGCTTCAACCACCCAACACCGACCCATATCAAGCGCAGCAGCAACTACAGCTCCTGCTACAACAGCAACCGCAGATCCTGATCCCGCAACCGCTGCTACAGCAGATCTTCCGGGCGCTTTCCGCAAACTCCTGTACGGCACCGCTAGCGCCAGCATCCCTGGAGCCGTACTCGGAAGTAGCGCCGTACTATGCCCAGATGCGGCGGGAGGTTTTAGCGCTTGTGTCAGCGGCTCTGGAGGTGAATGTGCTGCTGCCGCTGCCTGCGGGTGTGGCGGTGGATCATGTGGGAGCGGAGCATGCGGCCGCGTTGGTGGCGGCGGCGGCGGCAGCGGGGCCGGCGGAGGGGACTCCGCTGGCGCTGGCATGCTCCCGTCTTCGAGGCGCGCTTGCTTCTCTACAGGTGGGCGTGATACTGTGATGAGGACCAACCCCAAACAAGTGGGGCCCTTGTGCACTTGTGAATGCGGAATACTACCATACTACACCAGACGTGTGGATACCATAGTCATACAGAAGGTGGGGCATGTGTGTGTCGCAGGCCCTGGAGCAGTACCTGCACGTCACCGCCCTCGCCTCGCTGGCAGCTGCCTGCGTGCACAGCGGCGCGCTGCCGGACAAGTTCAACACCGTCATTCAGCCGCTCATGAACTGCTTGCGGAGGGAGCCGCAACTCAAACTGCAGGTGGGCTGGACTGGGAAGGCGGGACATTGCTGGAGTGCTGAAGAATGCGGACTTCGCCGTAGTTGGCCTGCCTTTGTTCCTAGCTTCTTAACTTCTTAGCTTCCCTAGCGCTGGGTGTGTGTGTCATGCAGTCGTGTGTCATCCTTCCCTTACCACTCTCCATCGGCCCTTACCACGCCCCCCTTGTGTATGTCGTACGTAACCGCCTCTCTCGTACTCATGTACTCGTGCATGTGCCGTACACAGGAGGTGTGCGCGGACGGTCTAGCTGAACTGCTGGCGCTGTGCTGCGGCCGTACTCCCAGCCCCAACGACAAACTGGTTCGCAACATCGCCGCTATGGCTACTGCTGACCTCCTCGCCACACCGGGCTCCGGAGCGCCCGGCACAGCAACAGCAGCAGCAGCAGGACCCCTTGCTGGACTGCAGCAGCAGCAGCAACAGCAGCCTGGTGCAGCTGGACCGGATGGCAACGGGGATCCCGCTGCCTCGCAACAGCTGACTCGGATCAGCCGTCGCGGCGGCGAGGCGGCCCTGGTGGCCATGGCGCGGCGTTTCGAGGCGGGGCTGTGGCAGCAACTGCCCACCCTGTGGACCCTGGTAGCTGGGCCGCTGGCGACGTCAGTAGCAGCAGCGGGCGGAGGAGGAGGAGGAGGAGACGCAGTTACAACTGCCGCGGTGGGCGGTCTTCACATCCTCCGTGTGTTGGGCCCTGCTTTGGCGGCTCCGTTGTTGCCCAGCGTGGTGCCGCTGCTGGGTGATGTGTGCCGCTGGGTGCGTGCGAGTGACCCACGGGTCAGGCAGGCGGCTGCTCGGTGCGCCTCCACGCTGGCGAGGTGCTGGACGGCGGAGCTGATGCCGGAGCTGTTGAAGCAGGTGGGGGCGGCGTCGCGCAGGGGTGGTGCATGCGTGATTGTGCAGCATGGCCGTGAGCCGTAGTGATGTGGTCTGAATAGAGGGCAAGACTAAAGCCCTTTACGTGGGCACTGTGTATGGCACCTGGGAGCTTTGTTACTAAAGTCCAGCAAATCATGCCACACTTGCTCGGACCATCATCCTAAACACCGGGCACATCATTCCTTCCATGCAATGCGCTCCATGTGTGTCTCATGCCGCAGGTGGTCCCCATGCTGTCCTCCCCGGACGATGGCGTCCGGCTGGGCGGTGTGGAGGTGGTTTCGGCGCTGTGCGGCGAGCTGGGCGCCGCGCTGGTGCCGTACGTTGTGTTGCTGCTGGTGCCGCTGCTGCGGCGCATGAGTGACCCGCATGCGGAGGTGCGGGCGGCCGCCAGCAGCTGCTTCGGAGCGCTCATGACGCTGCTGCCGCTGGCGCAGGTGGGTTGAGAAAGAGAAAACCGACCGCGGGGAGGAGCGTGCTGTGATTGCCGGAAGATGGTGTGTGTGTAGCTGTGGATACTGTGTACCTTGTTTCGGAACGGGTTGTAGATGTTGTGCGTCAGATAGGGGGCGTAAACTCCTGCAATTCAGGGTAATATTCCAACTGAGCCGCGGTGAAACTAAATAACCGCTAGCCTAGCAAGGCTAGGGGCGCTAGGTCGCCTCTGGTCTTACATCCTGGCCCCTACCGAACCGTTCCCTTTCCCTTCCCTTCCCTCTCCGCAGGGCGTGCCCACGCCTCCAGGCCTGGACGGCTCCCAGCTCGCCACCGTGCAGCAGGACAGCGCCTTCCTGCTGCAGCTGCTGGACAACCGCCACGTGGCGTCGTACGACCTGCCCTTCCAACTGCCGTACACGCTGCGGCCGTACCAGCAGGACGGCATCAACTGGCTGGCCTTCCTGCGGCGCTTTGGGCTGCATGGGGTTCTCGCGGACGATATGGGCTTGGGGAAGACGCTGCAGGTGGGCTGTTGTGGGTGGGGTGCATGAAACGTAACAGGGACAGAGTAACTAGAATGCACAATAATCGGTGGGTTATGGGCGGGCAGGGGCATGTTACTCGGGCTTGTAAAGGCTTGTAAAGGCTCGATGTGGTTGTGTGCCGAGACGTCGTGAGGCTACCGGAAACCCGTCGCGTCACCCTTCTCTCGCCGCTTGCTCCTCAACCCCCAACCTCCGCCATGTACCCCGCCTTCCCCACATAATCCTCATCCCCTGCTCCCCCTCCTCCTCCACCTCCTCAGGCCTCATGTATCATGGCCGCAGCCAGTCTTGAAGCTGAAGCGGCCTTCGCAGCCGCCGCCTCCACACCTCCACCCGCTTCAGACCCTCCTGCTACGGGACCCTCTTCCAGCCTCTCCTCCGCCCCTCATGCGCAGCTGCAGCTGCTACCCTGCCTGGTCGTCTGCCCGGCCACCCTGGTCGGCCACTGGGTGCATGAAGTCAACTCCACCATCGGACCCATGGGTCTGCGACCCCTCGCGTACGGGGGACTTCCCAGTGAGCGCGCGGCGGCGCAGTCGGCGTTCGACAAGTCGCTGCGGTCAGTGAGCGCCGCCTCGCCTCGCCTGCCGTACAACATGCTGGTGATGAGTTACGAGTCGCTGCGGGCGGACATTGACTGGGTGGCGTCGCGCAATTGGTTGTATTGCGTGCTGGATGAAGGGCATGCGATCCGAAACCCGCGAAGCAGGTAAGGTGGTTGCAAGTTGGTTGTAAGGTTGCTATTTAGATGAGGTGGGCGGGGTGATGTGGGTCGCAATGTTGGTAGTTGGTTGCCTGATGTGACTGGGTAACTCGTCGTCAGGTTTGCGCCCGTCTGTACACCGAAGCCGTTCGAAGCACGTGTTAAGCGCATGCTTGAACTGATTCGTCATTGTTCGGTCGTGGCTCTGCAGGGTAACGGTGGCGTGCAAGCGCATCGTGGCCCAGCACCGACTGCTGCTGAGCGGCACGCCCATCCAGAACGACGTGTTGGAGATGTGGTCGCTGTTCGACTTCCTCATGCCGGGCTTCCTGGGGCCGGAGAGGGCGTTCAGGGCCAAGTTCGGCAAGGCGCTGCAGGTGAGGGGGCGGTGGTGGTTGAAGTCCCTTGTGTTGGATGGGAGCGTTGCGTATGGTATATGTGGTGGAATCAATCTTTGTCTCCTGGTCTCTCTTCCTTAGGTGGGAGCTTTAAGATGCGATGAATTGGAGTTTACGCATGATCACCACCTCTTCCAACCCGCGCTCCACTACCGCAGGAGGCCCGCGTGAGCAAGCGCGGCAGTCGAGAGGCCGAGGCAGGTCTCCTAGCGCTGGAGGGCCTCCACCGCTCCCTGCTCCCCTTCGTGCTACGGCGCAGCAAGGGCCAAGTGCTCGCGGACCTGCCGCCCAAGATCGTCACTGACATCTACTGCGACATGAGCGAGCTGCAGGCGCGACTGTACGAGGATTTCAGGAAGTCCAAGGCGAGTGCGGAGGCCATTGAGGCGTTACGGTCGGGCGACGCGCGTCGTGCGGCGGCCGCCGGCAGCGACGACACGGGCGGTGGTGGTGGCGGCGGCGGCTCCGCCGCCGCCGAAGGCGACGGAGCCATTGCCGGCGCGTCTCCGCATGTCTTTGCGTCGTTGCAGTACTTACGGAAGCTGTGCAGTCATCCGGCGATGGTCATGGATTTGGCATTGCCGGCGCATCGCGCCGCTGCCGCTTCTGTACTGCACACGAGCGAGGCCGCCGCCGTCGAGTCGGCGTTACGGCGACTGCGTCACTCGCCCAAGTTGGCCGCGTTACGCGACATCCTAACTACCTGCGGCGTCATTACGGCGTCGACGGCGGATAGTGACGAGGACGGCGGCGGTGGAGCCGCCGCCGCCGCTAGCGGCGGTGACGACAGTGGCGCAGAGGAAGGCGGCGGCGGCGGCAGCAGCGGTCACCGTCTGCTGGTATTCGCTCAGCATAAGGCCCTGCTGGATATCGTGGAACGGGATCTGCTGACGCCGTACGGCGTGTCGTACTTGCGGTTAGACGGCAGCGTGGAGGCGGGTGCTCGGTTCGGCATCGTGCAGCGCTTCAACAGCGACCCCACCATTGACGTGCTGCTGCTGACGACGGGGGTGGGCGGTGTGGGCCTGAACCTCACCTCCGCGGATACGGTGGTGTTCTTGGAGCATGACTGGAACCCCATGAAGGACATGCAGGTGGGTCTGGGTCGGGTCATTTGGGTGGGTCTGGGTCGGGTCATTTGGGTGGGTCTGGGTCGGGAACTGGAAAGGTGTGGGGTTTACGAGGTGCATGCAGGTGTGGGGCAGGACATGTCGTCGCATCTTACCATCACCGCATCTTACCACCTCCCTCTTCAACTCCCTCTTCAATCCTAAACTCCTACAACTGCACTCGCCTCCTCTTCCTGAAGGCCATGGACCGCGCGCACCGGCTGGGTCAGCGCCGTACCGTCAACGTGTACCGCATCCTGACCCGTGGCACACTCGAGGAGCGCGTCATGGGGCTGCAGCAGTTCAAGATGGACGTGGCGGCCGCCGTCGTCAACGCGGACAACGTATCCATGGACAATATGGACACGTCCTCGCTGCTCGACGTGTTCGGCGCGACGGGACCGCCGGGAGGCAGCGGCGCCGCAGGCGCCGCTGCCGGCGGCGGCGGCGGCTCCGCCGGTTCGCTGCTTCCGTCGGAGGTTGAGATGGCGGAGGCTGAGGCGCTGGCGGCGGCGGCGGGCGACGGAGGTCGGAAGGGCGGCAAGCCCGCGCCGAAGAGCGGTCTGGCGGCGGCACTGGCGGCGATGGGAGAGCTGTGGGATGAGTCGCAGTACAGCAGTGAGTTTAGCATGGATACGTTTATGAAGAAGATTGGGGGCGGAGGTGCTGGAGGTGCGAAGCAGTAGTAGAGAGGTGGGTGTGCCGGTAAAAGGGTATGACAAGATCGGCACAGGAGGATGAGGGGCGGAGGTGTTTCGGCTGTTACCGGTGATGGGGTTTGGTTCTTGGGTTGTTGTCGGAGGTAGTAGCAGTAATGGAGTTGGGTTACCTCGGTTTAAACATGCGAATGCTCAGCCCTTGCTATATTGTAGACGTGTCAAGCGCATGCTTGGTACGACGGGTCCTGACGGGCCCGAACATTTATGTGTTAGTCAGGCTAGTTGCTTGGCGTCCACTCTCGCTATGCTTGTAGTGTTCCGTAGCCAGTAGCGGTAGCATCAGCTATGTTCTACGTTGGAAATTCGGTTGCCTAAGCAGGCAACCCGTGCCTTTAGCGTACAGATAAGCTAGCCTAGGCCAGCACTGGCAGTTACAGGGCCGGGTCGGTCATACAGAAGTCAGTGCAGACTAGGTACGCGTGACAGTACAGCTTGTAGCGTCGCTCAGGAGGCTAGGCGATGAAGATGCGAAAGCGTTGATGATGATGAGTGAACTGAGGTTGTGCAGTGACTACTCGATCTATCTTGCTTACTCGTTACATCATAACTTCATAAGGCTTGGGCCGACGGCCCTTTCGTGCAGTCGGCGGCGGCCATGCTTAGTTGCATGGGTTCACACGGCCTTCAAGGTTTAGGAGCTTGGGGGCCTTAGGGGAGCTTAAGAGGCCTCAAGGGGCAGACAGTTACCGTGGTGCGTGTCGTTGGCTAACGGCGTCATTGTGCTAATATTCGGAGTTTTCAGGTGCGCACAGATGTCAGGGTAGGAAGGTGTGGGGGTGCTAGAGGCAGCCTTCCATGCAGAAGGACATTAAGGGGGGGGGCTCAGGCTCTGGATTGTGTTTCTGAGAACGCACAGCGCCGGACGGCACCCCTGGCAAGCCGGCCTTGGAGGTTGTTGCTTTGATGGGGGAGGTCGGATGCAGCAGGATTGCAGGAGATGTCGTGAACGATACCCTGGTAGGAGGTTGAGCGCTCGGGACTCCTTAGACTCCCATAGTTCGCCGACCTACAATACCCTCGCCCCGCCCCCACCTACAATACTAACCAACACTTTGTCTTGTGGCGCCCTGCCAACTCCTATCCCCATTGCTTTGCCTTTGTGGTCTCCTATAGTTTGTTATGGTCTTTGACCCCACCTACAATACCCTCCCCCTGCCACCTACAATACCCTCCCCCTGCCACCTACAATACCCTCGCCCCTGCCACCTACAATACCCTCCCCCCTGCCGTCTACAATGCTCTCCCCCCTGCCACCTCAATACCCTTCACCCTGCCGCTTGAATACCCTCCCCCTGCCACCTACAATTCCCTCACCCCTGCCACCTACATTACCCTCGCCCCTGCCACCTACAATACCCTCGCCCCTACCATCGACCTAGCACCCGCCGACCTAGCACCCGCCGACCTAGCGCCCACCGACCTAGCACCCGCCGACCTAGCACCCGCCGACCTAGCACCCGCCGACCTAGCACCCGCCGACCTAGCGCCCGCTGACCTAGCGCCCGCCGACCTAGCACCCGCCGACCTAGCCCCCACCGACCTAGCCCCGGCCTACCTAGCCCCGGCCTACCTAGCGCCCGCCGAACCACCGACCTAGCGCCCGCCGACCTAGCACCCACCGACCTAGCACCCGCCGACCTGGTACGCACCGACCTAGCACCCACCGACCTAGCACCCGCCGACCTAGCACCCGCCGACCTAGCACCCGCCGACCTAGCACCCACCGACCTAGCACCCACCGACCTAGCACCCGCCGACCTAGCATCCGCCGACCTAGCATCCGCCGACCTAGCACGCGCCGACCTAGCGCCCGCCGACCTAGCACCCACCGACCTAGCACCCGCCGACCTAGCACCCGCCGACCTAGTACCTAGCACCCACCGACCTAGCACCTAGCACCCACCGACCTAGCATTCGCCGACCTGGCACCCGCCGACCTAGCACCCGCCGACCTGGTACGCACCGACCTAGCAACCACCGACCTAGCACCCGCCGACCTGGCACCCACCGACCTAGCACCCACCGACCTAGCAACTACCACCCACCGACCTAGCACCCACCGACCTAGCACCCACCGACCTAGCACCTAGCACCCACCGACCTAGCACCCGCCGACCTGGCACGCACCGACCTGGCACCCGCCGACCTAGCACCCGCCGACCTAGCACGACCGACCTAGCACCCACCGACCTAGCACCCGCCGACCTAGCACCCACCGACCTAGCATCCGCCGACCTAGCACGCGCCGACCTAGCGCCCGCCGACCTAGCGCCCACCGACCTAGCACCCGCCAACCTAGCACGCGCCGACCAAGCACCCGCCGACCTAGCACCCACCGACCTAGCACCCACCGACCTGGCACCCACCGACCTGGCACCCACCGACCTAGCTCCCACCGACCTAGCACCCACCGCCCTGGCACCCACCAACCTAGCACCCAGTGACCTAGCGCATAGCGCATAGCGTGTGAGACGTACAGCGGCTTGCAAGGCTGCAGCTGAAGACGTGCCCGTGCCGAGAGTGCATGTCAGCGTGGAGACGTTTCCGTAGACACGTATACATGTTACAAATGGAGAAGCCCACACTCCGCCTTTGCAAAGCAGAAGCAAAGCAACCCCCTCTTTTAGCGCCTGCCCTTTCACTGCGCCCCTGCCGTAGCCTGCCCACCCAGTACTCATCTGCACGCGCCCCACTCCCCATCAGACGAAACAAGCGCAACCATGCCACCAAAAGGACGCAAGACAACGAGCAGACAAGGCAATTGGACGGACCCAAACAACCGTTATCACAACCAACGACGAAAAACGGAAACCACAATGCGCACAGGGTCAAGGAAGTAGCCGTAGGGTAATACCTGAAGAGCCGAATACTGCGCTGTCCAACCCTGTCAGGGTACGCGTTAGGGCTCCCCGCACCGCATGCACGCCGGCAGGAGAAAGCCAGGCAAAACAGCGCAGCCCCATTCTCCAAAGGCAACAAAAGCCGTTCAGCCAAGAATACATAAAACCGTGCAAAAGTTGCAACGTATTCGGACGCCAGCATGTAGGGTTGGTTCCATGCACACACGCGCAGGGGGCTGACGCCAAATGTCACGATGATTCTACGGTTGCGCAGAAGGCGTGCTGAAACACACCGGGACGGGGGTAGGACTGGCGGCCCTCCGCGGTGTCCTGTCGTACCTCCTCTGCGTATACTCCGCAAGGCTTCGTAAAGGATACCGGCAGCCAAGATAGGCCAAGACCCAACCTCAGCATGGATATAACGGTACCTTGAAAGCCCTGCTAGCAACCCAAATTGGCAAATTCGACAGTACTATGCAGCCGGCACAAAGCGGCGTACGTGTTACGTGGGAGATTATTGGTTCAGCATCAGCATTAGCTGAGGAGAGACCTGAGGCGTCATCACAGCAAGCTATTACTGCAACCTTTTTCACCGTTATCTACACCACAATACTACTACCGGTAATACCAGCCGCAAAAAGCCGAGACCCAAAGAGAGCCCTCAAACCGCCGCCACCGCCTAGGATTTCCGGCAACAAACCCATCCGCTACTCGCGCTAGCTCAACGCAACCGGCGCCGCCGACGCGTTTGTCTGGGAGGCACCCACCCACTAGCAAAAGCTCCTTCCACCATTTCCGACGACACCAAAAGCACCCACCAACAACATGTAACCAACACCTGTATTTCCCGGAAACCAGGGCACCTTACAAGATCATCGTTAGGCCCCAGATTGCCTTTATTCCTCACCACCTCACCGGCCCTTCTCAACCAACGCGTTTCGAAAAAACGCATTCTCATCAGCCCGCCACCACCCAAGTCCCTCCCTGCTCCCACGGAGGGCACTTGCGGGCTCGTTTCTTCACAACCCGCCTACCAACAACAATCAAACATTTAAACGGCAGTGTATTGTCAACGGTCGTTCCATAGCCATCCAAGCAGCAGCAACAGCAAGAAGAGTCCAAAGGACGCCGCTTCAAGACAGCCCTCGAGGCCAAGACGGCCCCGTAACAGAACCGCGTGTCTGACGGTGCCATCACTAAAAGCTGCATTCTTCCTAGAAACTCTCCTTTGCTGCTGACCCACATGCCTTTCGACCTGGATTCATTCTTCGCCTCACCGCAGGCACAACCGGGCTAGGGGCGCAATCAAGAAGCAGCAGGCGACGCTCTCCCACCACAATCCCATCAGACAGCAGCAAGAGACAAAGCCAAAACCTCCCGCACCAGCAGAAAACACCAGCCACAGCACCGCCGATGATCTTGCAGACCATGCCACCCAACATGCCCTGAAAATGCACCTACCAAGACCACCTCCTCCAAACTCCTCCAAAACACCACCGTTCGTTTGACGCTGTGAGGCCAGCAAAGCCCGTATGGAAAGCGCTGTTCCCATACTCCGTCCCTGCTCCTGCAACTGCACCCCACCCTAAACGGCGGTGTGAAGAGACGCCAGGAAGCGGGAAGGGAGCGCTTCAGAACCCCTTTGAAAGGGGTTCAGAACCCCCTTTCAAGGGGGTGAGAAACAGACATCTACCACGGAGGGCGCTGACCCGCACCGCGACCGCTGGTAGCCCCCATGTTGCGAATGGTCGTGGAGCCGTCGTCCGAGTCGTTGGGGTCAATGTTGGTCACGGAGGGCTTGGCCCACTTGTGGAACGTCTCCACGAAGCGGACTGCAAGGGTGGGGTGCGGCGGAGGGGAGAGACAGCGAGGTCAGAGGACGTCTGGTGAGGAAAGAGATACGGATTGAGTTTCTGGATAAGACCTGCCCGTAATGGAAACTAGACCAGCACCAGGCCACTCCGAGTAGCTATACTTCACACAACACTAGTTCACACGGTGATAACCCCAAACCCAGATTACAGCGTATACGCATCGCGGCCAGTTATTTTAACGCACCGGACCCGCACCCGCACCCGCCCCACCACACTCACCCGTGCCACTCTTGCAACGCAGAACCATCGAGTTGGTGGAGGCGCCGCCCGAGTGGTACCGCACGCCCTTGAGCAGGTCGCCGTCGCTGACGCCGGTGGCCGCGAAGAAGACGTCATCGCCCTTGACCAGGTCGTCCAGGTGCAGGATCTTGTCCAGATCGTAGCCGCGCTCAATGGCCTGCTTGCGCTCGTCCTCGGTGCGAGGCCACAGACGGCCCTGGATGGTCCCGCCCATGCACTTCAGGGCGCAGGCTGGGGGGGGGCGAGGAGGGTAAGGAAGGGTGAGGAAGGATGGTGGAGAAAGGGAGTGGAGAGGGGGTCCGAGGGAAGCCAAACCAGGGAATTCCGCAGCTGGGAGTCACCTCTTTACCCTCATCCTTCATTCCAAACCGTGCTATCAGTCAGCGCGGTGGTAAGAAGTGACAACGCAGCAGGTCCCAACACACACAAGACGAGCAAGTACGACACATACCGGTACGACACACCCAAACACACACCCTACCCGCAATGACGCCCTCGGGGGTGCCGCCAATGCCCATCATCATGTCCACGGGGCTGCCGGCCTTGGCCACCTCGATGGCACCCGCCACGTCACCGTCGCTGATCAGACGGATGCGGGCACCCGCGTCACGGCACTGCAGGGGGAGGAGGCAAGTTGAGGAGGAGGAAGGAATGAGCAGGGAACGGAGATTACAAAGCAAAACGAGGACGAAAGCAAAACGGCATGGCATGATGACAACAGTGATGCCCTCACCCTTGCACCTACCCCCAACCCACCTGGCGGATCAGGTCGGCGTGGCGCGGGCGGTCCAGCATCAGCACCGTCACGTCGCTCACGGGCTTGTCCAGTGCGCGCGCGACCCACTTGATGTTGTGGCGCACTGAGTAGTCCAGCGAGACGGACTCGGGGTCCACCTGGGGGCCAACCGCCAGCTTCTCCATGTACATGCACGGGCCGGGGTCGAACAGGGCGCCGCGCTCAGCCACCGCGATGACCGAGATGGCGCCGCTGCGGCCCTGGGCGGTCAGGGTGGTGCCGTCGAGCGGGTCCACGGCGATGTCCACCTTGGGGAAGAGGCTGCCGTCGCCGATGCGCTCACCGCAGTACAGCATGGGAGCCTGCATGAAGGCAACAGAGGGAGGCGGGGGTTGGAAGGATGAGCTTGGTTGTGATGCTAAACATGACGAGAGCCATAGTCGCGTGACCACGAACAAAGTGACGTAATGGACTGTCCAGACGCTTACCTCGTCCTTCTCGCCCTCGCCAATGACAACGACGCCGTCCATGGCGACGCTGTTGAGCACCTTGCGCATCATGTCCACAGCGGCCTGAGGCGCGCGGAGGAGAACAGGATAGCGAGCAGAGGGGGAGGGCAGGATCTCAGCTGCCATGTCGGTTGGGGATGGTGCGGAAGGATAACCCAGAAGGGAAACGCGGGCGTGGCAATAGGTAGAATGCACATTCCCATAAACGACAATGGTAAGACTCGTGCGCTAGTGCTGAACAGGACGTGTCGACGTCTGATGGCAAAACCGAAGGTCGCGACATCCATCGAAGGTAAAACCAGGCCCCAAAAGCTCGGGGCGAAGCAAACGTTTCCCCGTCTGCTGGGAGATGAAGGGAATCAGCGATTCGTCGCAAGCACCCCTTGGCCTACCTGGTCGGCGGCATTCTTGTCGCCCTTGCCAAACCATTTACCGGCAGCAAGCGCGGCAGCCTCCGTCACACGGACAAGCTCAAGAGCCAAGTTGCGCTGCACGACGGTGTAGTCAGGGCCCTCATCCTGGGCCTTGGAATCTGCAGGTATGCCATCGCAACGGACCGTCAGAAGAAAGCGTCGAGGAATAAAGGCAAGAAGACGGCCTTTGCGGAAGCAGCATTAGGATAGACCTTCATTGCTACGAGAGTTATGAAACCCCAGAGGCCACCACGATGGCCCCTAGGAAGGCCGTTACAGTTCGTTCCGGGACCAGGAACCGAGACAGAAGCACCGAACATTTTTCTAAAGCTGATAAAGGCTTGACAGCAACTTACCCCTCATCATGTTAATGGCTGCAGCCAACTCATCCTGGCTTTTCTGCACAACCCGCATCGGCGCGGGGACGTTCCGAACGGTTGCGACGCGGTGAGGCGCCAGCGCCCGCGAGGAGCGCTGGGAAACCTTCACGGAGTGCATCTTAGCTGACCCGGCGAGGGCCATGGTGACAAGCCGGCTCAGGGCCCGGCAATGACCACCTCGATCCTCAAACTGTTTCGGAAGCCCGCAGTGTGCGAGCTGGGGATTCTTCCCCTATCCTCAGAGACAATACGTTATAAACTGCAAACTATACTTTGACTTACTAGTGTCGATTTCTTAATGATTGGCGAGACCGACAGGTTTCGGAGACAGAAGATACAAATCTTCGCGCTCACACTGAAGACGTCTTGGAGTCCATGACTGGGACGGCGCAGCACCAGTCCACTGTAAGCACTGTATATAGCGCGTCCTAGCAGGCTTTTAGGCTTTGTTTCAGTTGTCCGTCAGCCATCCACGTCACATGTAACCGTACAGGACACGTTCTTCCTTGCATCCTTTAGCGTACAGTGAAGTTCGGATGGCGCTGTAGCGATCTATCGCTCCCCATTCCATCTGTGCAACGTAACAATGTGGGTCATCTAAGCTTTGTCTGCTTGCGCGACCTTTCGCTTCCAGACGTCGGTCATTGCGAACTGAGCTACTCACTATTCCAAAGATGACAGATTTTGCAACTGAAGGGTTTTTCCGTTTGCCTACGTGCTGGTAGCCCGGGCTAATTGGAAACCTGCATGCCTTTTGCCTTAAACCTGTTCGACACCGCTGCACGCTGCGATAAACTACGAACACCACGCTGGCCACATCGACTAGGAATTAGGCCTTCGCATGCATGTCAATAAGGCCAGCCTCTCAACGATCAATTATCGGGACTTCCCATATACACGAGGCCCGAAAGGTTTCGAAGCCTACTGAAGACGGAATATTGGTCGCACCGCCCGAAACCAATAGCGTTCATGGCATGTACGAGGCTATCTACTTATAAACGCACCTTTTCGGATGTCCCGCTAGCTTTGCACAAGTGGCCAAGCGCAGAGCAACGCTATGCGCCAGAGCGCATAACGGTGTCCGGAGCTTTAAAGAGAAGCTCCATCTGCGCAGCTTGGGCTCGAGCCAACCGCAGCCCACCTGCCCACATCCTCAATCCCCCGTCCCCTCAACTCCTCGCTCCATCCTGCCGAACCACGCAGCTGCAACCGCTCTTCCTTCCTCTCCCTTCTTTCTATCCTCACCCCCACCTCCTCCCCTCAGCGCTGCAAACCACACTCCTGCCGTACTCAACGCCCCACGTGGCTATCTGGGCCGTACACAGCAACCCCGCCCCCCTCACACACTGCTCGCTTAGGGCGCCCTCACCGCGAAATGGCATTTCAAGGCACTTCATTCCTCGGGCTGGCTCACATGATGCAACCCCCATGATGACGCCTTATCACACGGTCAGTCAATTGTGCTTCCCCTTTCCTCTTTACTCTTTACCCCCACCCTCACACCGTCCCCAGCGCCGCCACCACCACGAACGCCCGCCCCTCCGCCGCATCCCGGTAGTAACCCCCCCGCAGCGGATCCAACACCGCCAGTCTGCCGTACAGCTGCCGAGCCTCCTCCGCCAGCTGGGCGGCCGCCTCGGGGGAGGCCGCTAGACCCAACCGCGCCTTATGGGAGGGGGGGAGAGGGGGGGCAAGGAGAGGGGGAGGGGTGGGGGCAAAGAGCATACCAAACCAAAACATAGGGGGCTAAAAAAAAAATAAAACATAGGGGGTTGGGGGGCGTGGGTGGGACGTGGGAGGGCGGGAAACAGTAAGAAGAAGGACAAGATCACAGAACCGAGTTGGTTCCGCGAGTGTCGCAAGCCCGTGATGAAGAGTCGTGTAACGCATATACGCATTCCTTGCATTCACCAGGCTTCACCATACGTGATACATCGGACTATCATTCCCAGCTCATACTGCAAGAGCCCAAGGTACTTCCTTCTTCTCCTTCCACTCCCGCCGCCCACTCGCATCCCCACCCCACCACCTGCGCCTCATTATATTTTTACCCCCACCTGTGCCTCCCTCAGTCGTGCCAGTGTTAGCAGCGGCCACCTCGCATCCGGCTCCGCCGCCAGGTGCTCCTCCTGCAGCCGCCGAGCCTCACGATCCAACACGGCAGCCACGATGGCGCGGTTGGCCTCGGCAGCGGCAGCAGCAGCAGCAGCCTCGGAAGCCTCGTGACCCGTGGGTCGTTGTGACGCCGACGAGTCGGCGGCAGCAGCATCAGCAGCATCGGTGCCAGCAGCGTTCGTCGGGGCCTTGTGTGCTGCTGCTGCTGATGCACTGCTGCGGCTGTCCTCGGCTGCGGCTTCGGGGGCGGCGGTGGGCTGGTTTTGTCCACCTGAAGAGGAGGTGGTTGCGGTTGTGGTGGTTTCAGTTGCGCAGGAGTTGGTTGCCTCCGCCGCCTGTTGCCCCCCCAGGTGCGCCAGTGTGTTGCCCACCAGCCAGCGGTAGTACATCCAGGGGGACTCGTCGCGAGCGTCAGTGGCGAAGGCCTGGGGAGGGTGGGGCGGAGTGGGGGGTGAGGGGTGGCATGTGGGGTGAGGGGTGGGGTGAGGGATGGCACGGGGTGGTCTGGTCTGGTGTGCGATGCTCGGCTGTCATTCGGTACGTATTGTGCAACGATGAGGGACACGCGCCTAACATGCCCAGCCCCCTCCCCCAGCCCCACCCAGACCAGCCCTACCCCCCCCCAACCCCTCACCCGCCCCCCCGCCCCACCTGGTGCACCATGTCGTACTCCTGGTCCAGCACCTCATGCGGGATGGGGGTGCGCTGGCTGGCCGACCCACGGGTCACTCCAGCAGCTCCTGCGGCTGTGGTGGAAGCCGCTGTTGCAGCTGGTGTTGCTGTTGTTGTTGAAGGGTGTGCGGACCCTGCTGCTGCTGCTCCCCCTCCAATCCCTGCTGCTCCTCCCCCTCCTCCACAGTACAGCTGGTGCAGCAGGATGGTACGGAAGTGCCAGGCGCTGTAGTTGCTGAAGTTCTGAACGATCTTCTCCTCCACGTAACCCAGCTCCTCCTGAGGGCGGGGCGGGGGGCGCAGGGGGCCGGACGTATTGCAGCATGCAGGCGAGGGGTTTTCCTGCCTCCCCCCCAGGAGTCCCAACCTGGTTCCCTTTCCCTTACCAGCCCCCACCTCGCGGCCCAGTTTATCTATTCCCCACCTCCTCATGGTGAAACTTCGCCATACAGCTCGTCAGTATCCTCCTTTTTGCCGCCCCCCCCCCCCCACCTGCGCGCTGCGCCCCATCCTGCCGCAAATGAACTGCCGGTAGTTCCAGGCGTGGAAGTTGCGCTGGTCCTCATCCAGCGCCCTGGCAGGCGCGGGGGGCAGGCAGGAAGGGGGGCAGGCAGGGAAAGAATAAATGAGAAGTGCGGCAACTGCAGTCCCAAGCCCATATCCCAAAGAGAGACGGGGAGACGGGGGTGCTGGATGCCCGGATGTGGATGAGCAGCACATGCGAGCTGGCCTCGCTGCCCCTCCTGCCGCCCCCAGACCTGCCCTCTCACCCCCCATGGTGAAGCCTCGTCATACAGCTCGTTTCCTCTTCCCTCCCGCCCGGCCCCCCCCACCTGCTCCCCCACCCACCTGGCCACCAGGCCCAGCTCGCGCTCCAGGGGCGCCAGGCCGCGCGCCACCACCCACTTGCGGTGGTGCCAGGTGGAGTAGGACTTGGGGTTCTCAGTTAGGCAGGCCTGGGGGGGCAGGGCAGGTCAGGGCGGGGCTCAAACATCATACCAGACAATAGGAAGCCATAGATTAGGGCAAAGCAAGATGGGGATGGGAGACGAGAGGGTGCCACAAGGAAAAGTGAGGGCTTGGGGGGAGAGAAGGGCAGGTCGGGGACATCCGAGTGGGGACATCCGGGCAGAGGGAGGAAAGGCTTGGCGCCCCCGCTGGCCTACACTGCCCCCGCCCCCCGTTCCCTCTGCCAGTCAGTTATTTGTTTCCTCTTTGCCCCCTCCGCCTGCCTACACCTCGCCCCCGCCCCCTCCCCCCCGCCCCCCGCCCCCCACCTGCGTGAGCGCCAGCTCCCCCTCGCTGGCCCGCTGCGCCTCCTGCCCCCCCGCTTGGAACACCGGCAGCAGCGCCTCGCGCCGGAAGTTCCACAACGTGTAGATCTGAGGAGGGAGGGAGGGAGGGCGGGAGGGAGGGAGGGAGGGAGGGAGGGGGGATGAGGTGGAATGAGGAAGGATGGAGAGAAGGAGTGGAGGGAAGGCAGGCATAGAGGTAAAAGGTAGTTGCGCAGCCTCCAGCAGTGGCATGGGCGATATGCCCACCACACGCGCACCTCTGGGACCACCTTTAGCAGCTTAGCTGACGCATCCAGAACTGCAGGGTCATATTTCCGCTGCTTGCGGTACTCCAGCACAAGCGCAGTGCCATTGCGGATCGCATCAACCTACAATCACAACACAGCGCAAGGGATCAGTGGCCCGATGAAGAGAACCTCTTAATATCAGCTACAACTACCCTACACGCGCCTTTTTCTTATATGACTCTTGCAACTTGGGGTCAGATTTAAGCTTGTTTTTATACTCGCGCGGACGCCCGTGCATTTTGACGGCCTATTCAGCAAGTCGTAGGAACAGTTGCAACTTACAAAGGCTTGGGCCTTCAAGGTCGGTGGCTTTCGGTTGGGCCCGGCCTAACCGCTGGATTTAGGGCTTTGTCACGTACGCGCTGCAACCCTGAATAGAGCTTTCCAAAGTTCTTCCGAGACACATAACTTAAGGTTTGTTGTCCACTTCCAAGCAGAAGCGAAAGCTTGCTATTCGCGACCTGCTCGACATTACTGCTTCCTTCGGCTCGTTACTTCTCGGCCGCAGTGAATAATGCTGTTGAAAACGCTGAATCCTGGTCCCCGAAGCTTGGGTCGGCGTGCTGTCCTAGTTAGCGCCTGTGCCTCGCCTTCGACGAGCGGGCATCGCGAGCCTGTTCGTCCTGTGGCTTTGCCTTCCGGGACGCTCTGGCTCCTGGATGCTTTGCAGGTGAGTTAAGTTCCATCTGGACATATAGCCTTTTATGAGTCCATTTTCCGAAGGGTTTGTTGACTCAAAGCGGCAATCCCTTTCCCCGCCCAGGACCAGTACTATAACGTGCGCGGTCCTGCTTTTGTCATCCCACGTGTTGAGGAGCGTGAGGCCGCACAGGATTCTGTGCGTCCCTTCCGCGCTAAGTACCTACGAAACAAACCCCTACCGGCGCATCGGCCGCGGCCCTCAGATGGCGGTCCCACAGCACTCAGCCTGATCAACCAGGCAATTGCGGAGCACCCAACTGCTCTGACCCTCATCAGCCATGGTCCGCTGCTAGATGTGGATGTTGAGGTGGCCCAGGCGCCATCTGTCGGGGCAGCTGCTGATGGCGAGATGGCTGCATTGGGAGCAGCAGCAGCAGCGACAATGCAGGCCAGCCGCTGCACGGGCATTGTACACGTGCCCAGCATCGACGGGGACGAGGAGGTGAGCCAAAGAAACAGGATCCATGGATCCAAGCATGCTGCTGCCGCTGCTATGGAGCGGTTTGGGCCGTTTTTGGCGTAGGTGGATGGTAGCGGTGTGAATCCGCATGGGGGAAATGAAGGCCGAGCATGCCTAAGGCGAAGGAAGTGGGACACGCACAGCGACACACACACAGGGCACGGCTGGTTGCCACCTTGCCACACACACTCACACCGCCTTTCGCATGGTGTCCCGTCTTACTTCCCCCCGCCCCTCCTCTCCATGTCCCGCCTCTCCCCTCCATGTCCCGCCCAGGCCGCTGCTGGTGGGGCCGAGGGCGAGCTGTACCGCACCTCCAGCACCTCCCCGCGCAGGACCAAGATGGTGGGTCCGGTGATTGGGTCCTAGCTGCTGGGTGGGTGGGTGTAAAGCAGGGAATCCATTAAAGAGTACCGGTAAACAAACCACTCATTACATCGACGCGCCGAACCCAGTGCTTCTGCCTTCCCCACCCTTTCATCCATCCATCATACCTCCCTTCCTCGCTCGCCGCTATCAATCAACGCATGTTTTTCCCTCTTTCCCTATCCCTTCCCTCCCCTCCCCTTCCCTCCCCTCCCCTCCCCTTCCCTCCCCTCCCCTCCCCTTCCCTCCCCTCCCTCCCTCGGGATATGGGATTGGGATTCGTTGTTTCACTTATATAATTTTTCCCCCTCCCTCCCTCCGCCCCGCCCAGCTGCGCTTCACCTGCCTGGCTAACGGCTGCCGCGCCGTCAACATCAAGCCCGTCAGCCCCGCCTCCTTCACCGCCGGCACCGTGTGTGCCCAGTGCGCCCGCTGCTCCGCCTGGCACCTCATCCGGGACCACCTGGGACTGTGGGACCCCTCGCGCCGCCGTACGACACGCCACCGGCATGGCGGCAGCAGCGGCACCCGGCACCGGGATGCTGGGGGTACGGATGGTGGGGCTGCTGCTGACCCAGATGGGGTGGCGGATGAGGTGGCGGGCTCGCTGGCAGCGGGTGAGGTTCCGGAGCCGCTGCGGCTGTCGGCGGAGGAGGTGGAGTTTTTCAGTGGTTGGGGCGGCAGGGTGGGCGGGTGGAGGCGGGAGATGGGAGGCGGGTGGGAGCAGCAGGGAGGGGAGGAGGAGCAGGCGGAGGGGCAGTAGAGGGTGGGAGAGATTGGAGTGGTTTGGAGAGGTAAAAATAAGGAAACTGACGAACTGAAAGACGGGGTTATTAGGTTGTGTGTCGGAAGCGAGGCATGGTAGGGGGCACACGGCTAACCGGTTTGGAAGATGTGGTAGCATGAAAACGGACAGCGATGGGATAGGCGTTGTAGGGCCTTTGAGCCCGGTTTCATCATTATGGTTGTTCCATTTCATACATGTGTATAGTTGAGTAGGAGTTGAGTAGTTGTGTAGTTGGTTAAGAAAGCTTCCGGCAGCTTTCGGAAGTTGTTTTCTGTGCCGTTCATTTATTGTGGGAACTGTATGTTGTGTTGCTTGCTCGTTGGAGACCGTCGCGCATACCGTCACAGCCCCGGCATGGAGAAGATATGCCGTGCGCGGTAGGCATGTGGACCTTCTCTTGTGGAGGATGTATATTACATGTCTTCTGGCTGCTTCAGGGTGTGGTGTTAAGTGAAAGACCTGGAGTTTTCAGTTGGGTCAGGGTGATGGAGCGATGGAGGAAGTTGCTGGGCTTGTTGCAAGGCCTCCAACCCTGCACGTACGGCGTCGGTCAAAGTCAACGCTGCCCCGGTCACTTCGCAAAATGTCTGAGCTTATGTTGCACAGCTTTGCATAATGCTTACTATTCTGTATATTCCTACCTGTAAAGAAGTGCTTGTATCTTTGTAGTTCCCAACTTCGTAATAAGATTGGGCGGCCTCCTGGAAAGAGGTTTCTCCCTTGTCAATACAACTGAAGGCATAGATCTTAGGTGAACTGCTTAATTCCTATTAAGGTTGCTAGCCATGGCGCAGGTTGTGAATCCAGGCGTGGTCTCCACAGATGTGTTAGCCACGCTCAAACGCTTTGATGCCGATGTTGAGGAAGTTCTTGCCAGCTCAGGCCATGTTTCTTTGTACACCATGGCCGTGGAGTCGCAGCAGTGGATGCGCAAGGACGTTGAAGGATCTCTCTTCCTGCTGAAACGGCGCAGCGCTCCTCGCTTCCAGATGATGGTCCTCAACAAGATGTCTACCGAGAACTATGTAGAGGATATCCACGCCGGGCTTGACTTCGAGCTGAACTCACCCTACCTAATGTACACGCACGGGAATTCCGAGATCATTGGCGTCTGGTTCTATGAGCCAGATGACCTCGTCAAGGTGGAGGCTGTCCTGAGACGTATTAAGCAAGCTAGCCAGGCACCTCAGCCTGCGCCGGCAGCGCGTTCGCAGACGGCACCCCGCCCAGCGGGCGCCAGGCAGGCCGACGACGACAGCTTCTGGGACAAGCCCAACAGCAACGCGGCATCGGCAACCACCCCGCAACAGCAGACCGCTGCCAAGCTCCCCGTGTCAACGGCAACCAGCGCTGCAGCTGACAGCAGCAACAACCTGGCAAACCTTCTCCGCAACGCTCAGCTCAAGCAACAGCAGCAGCAACAACAACAGCAGCAGCCGCAGGCTGCGGCTACCAGCGCGGGACCTCCCCAGCTCCTCCCCCCGAGCTTCTTCGCACAGCAGCAGCGCTCGCAGCCATCCGCGCCGCCGCCTCTTTCCACACCGGCCGTGGCACCCCAGGCGGCAGCGCCGGTGCTTTCCCCCACCGGGGCACCTTCCCAGCCCACCCCCGTCGCCCTCCCTCCAACCCAACGTACGGCTCAGACGCCTCCAGCTCCCGCGCCCCCAGCGGTGGCCGCTCCCGATCAGGCCGCGCAACAGCCCTCCGGCTCCCAAATGGGTGGCGCACTCGCCAAGCTCTTTGCCAACGCCCACAAGGCTGCACCCGCCGCGCCCGCCGCAGCACCCGCCGCCCAGTCCCCTGCACCCGCTGTGCCCAGTCCCATGCCTCAGCAGCAGCACCCGCAGCCTCAGTCTCAGCAGCGGCTGGCTCCTGCCGCCGCCTCAGGCGCGCTCAGCCCGGGGGCGGCTGCTGCTGCTGCTGCTGCTGCTGCTCCCAGCGGCAGCAGCGGCGGTTTGTCAGATGAGGAGAAGGTACGGCGGCTGCTGGCGCGTGTCGCGACCAACGAGGGGCTGCTGAAGATGTTGGCGGCGGAGATGCGGGCGGTGGGGCTATTGTGATGGGGGTGTTGTGATGGGGGTGTTGCAGCGGAGAGGCGGGATGGCGTGCATCGGGAAGATGGGAGGAGTGGATAGGGCGGGCGGTAGGCTTACAGGCTCCCTGCACATGGAGTGGTTTGAGCGGTTATGTGACGCCGGAGAGGCTGAGGTGGGCTGCATGAGGGATGGCGGGTGGAAAGGGGTTCTCATGGTGGGCGATAGCTGGATGCAATAGTTGTGCGCGAGCATGGTAGGGCGGTGCAGTGGTGGCGGTATGCACGGACGGCTGCAGCAGAGGAGGGAAGGCAGGACGCGGTACAGAGCAGCAGCGGTGGCAGCGGTAGCGGTGGCATATGGACGCAGGCACCGAAGAAGGTCCAGTACATGTAGCGTGATGGGACGGGGATGATTGCATGCGTGCGAGCCGGCCGTGGGCACCAGTAGGCACACCGGCCGTAGACACAGCGGCGATAATGATGATGGGTTATATTTCCGCGATGGCTTTAAGCGCTTGCAAAAGAAACATCACTGCACGGTTATGAGCGTCCTCTTGTTGTTGCTGATGCATGCGCTTGTGATGGAGTCGGCAATTGGCTGTGTGCTCGCATCCCGTGCTTAGGGTTGAGGGTCGGGTAGCCTGGTAATACGGCAGTTCTCAAGGAAGTTTCTGCTTACATGGATATTAACGACATATACCGATACAGTCCTCCCTCCTCCTTATTCTTCATCGCCAGAATCATGAGCGGTCGGCCAACGGCCCCTTGGCCTTTGCATGGGCTTGCCGACGTTATGGTGGTGATGTGTCTGGCGACGGGGAGGGGGACTTCAGATTGCGGATGAGCTGAGGTTGTTGGGCCGAGACGGGGACGGTCGAGGGGGTTGCTGCTGCTGTCAATGTGCAGCAGTACGATACAGACCATGATGACTACCCCAGGATGTGGAGTGTGGAAGGAGTGCGTGTGTATGCAGTCACGACACACATGGCGCCGGGCGTGAACGTCTCGTTGCTGCGGGGTGTCAAGACACGTTGCCATGTTCCGCAATTCATTCCAGTCTGCTGTCTGCAGGAGTCCGTTGTTGGGGCTGTAAGTCTACTTGCTAAGTAGCAACGGAGGAGCAGGCTGCGACTTGTGTGTTAAGAGAGCCGTGCAAGATAGGGCGGGCTAGGGCTGGGCGGTTAGGTTCTCATCTGGCGCTTTTCGGTGTTGTTTCTCTCTCCGTGGCTGTTCCCTCATCCTGTGCATGCACCTTTCATGTTGCGCTTGCTGCTAATAAACGCGTGTGCGGGCGGGTGTGGTTTGGTGTGGGTGGAACGGGTCGCCTCCGGTTTGACATTGGGACTCGCATCCGGGCACTGGTTGCCCTGTCCGGCGCTGCTCGCCATGTTTCCATGTTTGCGACGTCTGCCATCTCCAGTGGTTGTTGCCCTTCTGCGGCCATGTTGCCTTTCTTTTGGAGTGGCCATATGTCGTATGCAGGACAGGGAGGAATGAGGCACACGCCTGCCGCCTGTCCGTTGGTTGGCTGCTTACGTGGGAGATGGCGATCGCCAGCGTCTTGCGCCTGTCTGTTTGCCTGCGTTACCTGGGCTTTTCCGTTGAGGTTGGTTGCCCTTTTCAGGTTTGCTTGCTGGGTGGCTTCTCTTTGTTCAAGCGTAAGATGCTTTCGGTTGGCCATGTTGGCATATCTTTGTTTGGATAAGTACCGGAACCCAGTCTGAAGCGTCCCTGTGTTGCTGTTGCACGTTACGCATTACCACATAATGTACTGTTTGTTGTGTAGTGAGGCATCGGTACGACGTTGTAAGGCGGATTTCGGCGGCAGGGCCCTCCAATAAGGTATCTCCACCCATGTACGGATGTGCCGTGTTGGGCAGCTTTGCTACCAGTCCAGGATTCTTCCGAGCCAAACCGCCCTCGGGGTTACTGCACTCTTGTTCATCCGGCCAGTGCTTCACACCGTACGTCACGATACGGGTAGCAGGACGAACTCTCTCAATACCGTTTGTAGGTAAGCGCCGGCAGCATATCACAACCGTAAGCGTTCCCCTAACCCGCGCAGAGGGTGGCTGGAGACCTGCTTACTTACTCGATGGCCGTAGTGAGGGCCATAAGAAATCAATGGAATCGGGCGCGAACTAGTTACCACACAGCTGCGTCCCCCACATGTGCGGTCTCCCCGTCTTCCTTCGCTCTGCAGTTAGTTCAATCTCTCCGTCTTCCTGCGTCCTTCTACGCTGCATGTGTGCTTCCCACAAGTGATCGCAACCCGCATATATCGCACCCGCAATGTCCGGGTCAGGCGCCCCGGCGTCGCCGACGTTCATGAGCGCTGCCGTACATTCGCGGTATTCCCACTAACCGACTCTCGGCCTTGTGCACGGCGTGCCCCTGGGGTAGGCCAGTCGACACCCTGCTAGAAAGCTTGCTACACTAGTCCGCATGCAGCTTAACGAAGCTGCCGTAGTGTTAACACACACCCTACTGCCTCGTTCCCTCCTCCGCAGAAGCTGTGTGTCACGTGAACATGCCGTACATCATGCGCCACCCGCCACACTCCCCAGCCACCTCGGATCACAACCAAACACGAGCATGCATGCACACTGGTCAGCCCTAAACACGTGTTAAGCACACGTACCGTTCCAAATGCACGTATCAAGAGAATACGAAGGGGTTGACGTTGGCCTCAAATCTAATCCCAATCTACGAAACAAGCTACAGCCATGCCGCGATACCCAATTCGCTTTACCGGTATCGATCTACACCCGCCCACACCCATCTCCCGTCACACCCGCTGGGCTTCCCTCGCCCCCAACTGCCGCTGCTACCAACCCCCAACCCCTACTGAATCTGCGGCCGCAGCCTCTGCTGCTGCTGCTGCTGCCGTCCCGTGCCTCCAGCAGCAGGCGCCTTCGCAACCACAGACGACCCTGACCCATTTGGCCGCGATGACCCATGGGTCTGTGAGGCGGCGGAGGGGGGCACTTCGCTGCGAGCCTGCTGCTGCGGCTGGGGTCGCTGTTGCTGCTGTTGCTGCTGGTGGGAGGAAGGTGGAGCCGGGCTGGGCCCCGCAGCGGTGGCCGCTGACGCACCCTGGGAGGAGGGGGAGGGGCGGGCCAAGGTGTGGACGTCGCCGGCGGGAGAGGCGGGGTCGGGGGCGAAGCGAGCCGTGGTGTGCCGCACGTAGCCTGGCGGTGCGGGGGTCAAAGAGAAACGAGGGGAAAAAAGCGGTGATGATTCTTCTCTCAAGGTGTATACCGGACTGGGTAGCAGCCAAAAGAGCTACATGCAATAGACCACCATGTGCAATAAAGCGACTCTTCGCTCCCTCTCCCTGCCATACACCTCCCTGCCCTCGCCTGTTGTTTCCCGTCTTGCACCCCTCCCACGCTGCACCTTCCCCTCCCCCCTGCCCCTGCCCTCCAGCTCACCCAGTCCATGGCACAGCAGGCAGGTGCACAGCCCGCCTCGCCGCCCGCCGCCCCGCTGCTGCTGCCGCCGAACGGAGCCGCTGCCGCTGCACCCAACGCAGCGGGCCTCGTAGGTGAAGATGGGCGTCTGGCCAGCGGCGGCGGAGCAGCAGCGGGTGAGGAGGAGGAGGGGTGGGAAATGAGGAGGATGAGGAGGAGGGCAGGTGCGTCAAGATGAGGACAGCAAGCATGGGGCTGCGGAATCAGCGGGAATCGAGCCGCTGGAGGGTGAGCGACACGAGCGACCCGTGGGTCAGGCGTCATCAGCATATGGGGCGTGTGCTTCTTGAATGATCTTGCTGAAGCGAAGAGCGTACGGTGGAGTCACTGGTGTGTAGTGTTGTGGCCCGGCGCATACCTTGCACTGTTGGAGGTCGGGGTCGCAGGCCACATCTGCCGGGGGCACGACCTGTGCGGTGCAAAGCGGTTCCAGGGGGGGAAGGAAACAACTAACCGAACCGACTGTGTGATGAGGCGTCATCATGGTTTGCAACATGTGGTTCCAGGGGGAAGGAGCGATCGACGAGGTCGGAGATAACAATAAGCAAAATGCGGCAGTAGGGAGCGGCGGTAGCCATGGTCCGACCGCGGTTTGTAACACGGACAAAGACCGAGCATGTTACCCGTAATCCTAGGTAATTACAAGGGCATGTAAGATCCTGGGGGATTGAGACGGGAGATGGACTGTCCGCGGGCTCGGCACACAGCTTTCGCAGCTTGCGACAGCTTTCGCGCGCTAGCTCGGCAACTGCGCTAAAGTTGCCGAAAGTTCCAAAGTTTTGGCACCTTGCTGCCGCAATATTAACCACCGTTACCTCGCCATCTGGAGGAAGATTCTTGTAGGGTGTGAACAACGAGAGTGGAAACCAGGTATGCCTGCAAAGCAGCCAGCAAGCAAGAGCGTGAGCGAAACGTGGCGTAAGACAAGTGCTTTGCGCTTCCGAGGACCGCACCTTTTGGGCTTTCGAGCTTCTTCCTCGTTTCCACTGCTGTCAAGGGATGTTGAAGGTGCTGCTCTCAGGACTGGTAGCCGGCTGGGCGCTAACCGCCGCAGGCAGCAGGGTCGCACCGGCACTGCTGGGGATCTGATGACTGCGGAGCCCATTTGGCCATACCGGTACGTTCCTTGGGATAGCAGCATAACTAGCAGGCTTATTATAACGATGTGAATATTATTATGTGGGTTCACGGTGGTCGGAGGCCCGACGCAAGGGCAAAGAAAGCGTCTTTCACAGCCTGGGTAAAATGGCACCTCCAGCAGCCCCAAACAACATCCCAGCTTATTCAATGCTTTCCATATTGCCGCCAGAAGAGCATATAAGTCCTCATGGGTCATCGGATGGGAATCTAGCGAAAGCAATCTACGGCAAGACGTTGCATGGTGACCAGAAATGCGGGAACCCCAGCTTCCAGCTGTCGGCCACGCCATTTTCCCTTAAAAACGACCCGTGGTTCCGCGCCCAAGTAGCCTCCGTAACCACAATACAGGTATCTGTGTTTGGGTGAGTAGCCGGGCACGGGAAGCGGTCTATCTACATGCTGGTGCCGTTGCGCGCAAACCTAAACTGCTTGCTTGCTGCCCGCAGCACGCAGCGACCCATCCACCTCCTAGCAGGCCGTCAGCAATGCGGTGGCAAAAGTGAACCAGCTCAACAATGGCATCTTCATAGCTATGGACCGATACTTGCTCACCAAAAAATGTTTGTCCTTACTTTATAGAATCTCAAAAGCACATTGAGCAAACGACCCAAGCCTGGCCTGCTTCAACTGCTGCCGTGCGTTTGCCGTGCAGTCCCTTGGCCGGCGGCTGCTTTAAATTCCGAGCCGCGCCCAGCGGGTATCCTGCTCCCACAGTTGTAACATTTGACTACCTACTTGCCAAGCAGTGGCACTCAGCCCTGTTGCTCATCAGTCTGCAGCGCTAAACAGCTTGTAGAGATGCCGACAAAGTGTCTGCAAAGCGCCGTGCTCCAGAGCTGCCCGAGGAGCAGCTTGATGAGCAGTAAACTACCGGTATGCCTCAGAGTGCCATGACCTGCGTTTTGTAAATGACAGCTTGTCGCCGTCGTTCTGCAGCGCAGCTCGCAGCACCAGCACAACACTTGGGTGCATGCCTGCTTTTTGTTCGCTCGTCGCGCCGCCTTCTTGTGTCTCTGGACGCCTTCGGTTTGCCTTAAATAATTACCTGGTTCGCCTTCACCCTTGCTACGCAGCAGCAGCAGCGAGGGTGGGAGCAGCGACGGCGGCGTCCGCAGCTGGTCTCCTTCCACACCGCTTCGCCCACCGTCGACCCACTGCCGCCGTCGCTGTTCCCACCCTCGCTGCTGCGGCACCGGCTGAGGAGGAGGGGGGCGAGGTCGGCACCATGGCGCCTGCGGACGTGATTCGGGACCCCGCCGTCGCTCTGGAGGAGGTTAGCGTTGAGGGGATGCTGGCGTACCGATGCTGGCGTTGGTGTTGGATGCTGAGGAGGATGAGGAGGGGTCGGTTATGGGGGAGAACTAGAGGGTGGTCGGAGGGTAGGGGGAAGAGGTAGGAGGTTGGAGGCAGGATGGGAAGACGACGGCTGGCGCTTGCTTCGTGTCCGGAAGCTTTGGATCGGGAAGGAAGGGGCTGGCAGGTTTTTTTTTTTTTTCCGATGGCAGGTGACCCATGGCTCGTGGTATAGCTGGTCTTCTGGGGGGTTTTGGCGGCTCGTGCGACACCTTCGCGCTTCTTGGGGAAGTTTAATGCTTTGTGGTCGTCGTTTGGTGGTTTGGGATCGTGGCCGGTTGGTGTTAGGCTGTTTTGCGCGTGATGTCGCGCTTGCTCGCTGTGTCTGGATGTAAGTCGGGTAGGGTCCAGTTGCCTGCTTGTGTTTCATTACCGATACAGCGACCATGCGTTCGCGTGTACGCATGCAGGCAGCGTTACACGCGGCATGCATGTTCGGAAGTCGAAACGACGAAGGGCAACGTTACTGCGAAGAACAAACTTGCTTCAGGCAGCATACTCGTGTAATGAAGCACGTGTGTCTAATAAGCGGAACATAAGTCCGGCGCAAATAGCAACGACGTATCTCCAGGCATTGCAAAAGCACGTCCTTCATGGCTTGGTTCAAGTACACCAAAATGATCACATGCGACGGCATGATGTGTTATACCCGTGGGATGCTGGGATGTTGGTGAATTGACCAGAAGGCAGCAGCGAAGTGTTTGGAAGGTGTGCCACCCTGGAGCTCTGGAGCCTCGCGAAATTTCATCCCGCGGTGGACTTACCCCTCACCCTCGACGGAACCGTTACACTTTTGCTTTTGGACGTGCGGCCTTCTGCTATTTTCATATAAAACCTGCAGCTATGGCGGGCACCCAGATGAGGTGCGTTGCTCGCGCCGACGCTTGCGGTCTATGGTGCCTTAAGCTGTTATTGCCACAAAAAGCTAGCTTCCGCCGATCGATTAGCGTTATATAGATCTGATATGTTGATGCAGGTCGTTTGTTGGCAGCCAGGCCAAGGCGACGGCGCCTCGTGGCACCGTCCGTGGCAGGTAATTGCGATGATATCCGATGTGACCCCTAGCATTTGGCCCACAAAGCTGCAGATGAATACAATTTCCATCATAAAACGCATTTAATTGCTCAGTTAGGCCTACCGTGGTGCCTGTGCCGCCGCACCAGCAAGCGACATGACTCGGGGACCGTGTCGCTCTTACAAGTCAACCCCTGGCATCCTTACTGTCCATTCCAAATCCCAATCCTCGCTCAATCCAATCTTTGACGCGCTGTTTCAGCGCATTTTTGCCACAAATGTCCCGTCGTGTCGCCCGCAATGCACCTTTGTTTGTCCCCTGCTCTCGACCCGCTCTCAACCTGTTCCTCACCTGCTGTATCCCACTCACACCCCCACCCCCACACCCACACCTCCCTCAGGCGCAGTGTGGTGGTGCAGGCCGCCAAGGAGCTGCACTTCAACAAGAACATGGAGGCGCTGAAGCGCATGCAGGCGGGTGTGGACAAGCTGGCCACCGTGGTGGGGGTCACCATTGGACCCAAGGTGCGCTGGGGGGGGTTGGCTGGGGGGGGGGGGCTTTGGGAGCTGGGGGGGCTTGGGGGCTTGGGAGCTTGGGGACGAGAAGAAAATACCATGCTGAGGCATGAGAGGGAGGGGCTGGGGGAGAGGTGGCATAGCGGGGGCTTGGGGAATGTTGGGGACGGGGTTGGAAGAGGGAGGGGTTTGGGAGATGGCAGCAGCAGCAGCAAGTGTGTGTGTCAAAGGAAACTGGCCGCGAGTGGGAACATACTAGCCCGTGTGTGTGTTAAAACAACTGGCCGCGAGGCGAAACGTACTGTGATTGCCGAAAGATACTACATACTAACCCGTGTGTGTGTGTGTGCGAGTACGGAAGGTGCGTACGGAGGGGGAAAGGGCAGCATTGATGAAGGCGGGGATTAGGCCGCGCCGCACCGCACCGCACCTGACCCCACCAGCCTCTCACTCCAACCGACCCACGGGTCCTCACCCCCACCTCACCACCCCCACCCCCCACCTCAACCGACCCCAGGGTCGCAACGTGGTGCTGGAGTCCAAGTTCGGGTCGCCCAAGATCGTGAACGACGGCGTCACCATCGCTCGCGAGGTGGAGCTGGAGGACCCGGTGGAGAACATCGGAGCCAAGCTGGTACGGCAGGCGGCTGCTCGTACCAACGACACGGCGGGTGACGGCACCACCACCGCCACCGTGCTGAGTGCGGCGTTCATTGCGGAGGGCATGAAGGTGGTGGCGGCGGGAACCAACCCCGTGCAGGTGAGGGGGCTGGGTGGGGGGTGGCTGGGTGGGTTCAAAACTGTATAAAAAATATGGATGCAGCAACTGGAATCCCAATGCCATATCCCGAATGGAGGAAGGGGGGTGGGGAAAGAAGGGTGGGAAAAGAAGAGGACGAGGAAGAAGCGGGGCAGTGGGGTGTAAACCCCGACCAAAGCCGTTACTGACCTCCCCTCCTGCCCGCTATTTCCCCCCCCCTGCCCCCCTCCCCAATACACACACACGCATACACACACGCAACTTTGTTTTGCCTGTACTCGCGGTTCACATGCGAACCTCTCCCCATTGCTTGCTCCTGTCCTACTCAACTACACGCATACACACACGCTTGCAGCTGACCCGCGGCATGGAGAAGACGGTGTCAGCGCTGGTGTCGGAGCTGCGGTCCGCCTCCAGCCAGGTGCACAGCGACAAGGACCTGGCCAACGTGGCGGCTGTGAGTGCGGGTAACAATCCGGAGATCGGCAAGCTGATTGCGGATGCCATGGCCAAGGTAAGGGGGTGGGGGGGAGGTGTGAAGAGGAGACAACTAACTGGCTGAGTGAGGAGAGGGGTGGTGGTGGTACGGAGGGAAGTAGGGCCTACAGGAGTGGTGCGGGAAGCTGCTCAAGGAGTGGGGGCTTCCCGCACCTTCCTCAGCCACATGGGAGGGCATGTCCCGTGGAGGGCAGCTGGCGTGGCAAGGCGGGAAGGCGCACGTCGGCATTGGGGCATGTGTGTGGGGGAGGGGGAGGGGGGAAACAGGACCTGCTAGGCCTGCGAATGGGAACTGGCGCGCCCCACCAACGCCCTCCCCCTTCTCATCCCTCCTTCCTTCCCCACCTCCTCCTCCCCCCCAGGTGGGCCGGCAGGGCGTGGTGACCATGGAGGAGTCCAAGACCGCGGAGGACTCCCTGGTGTTCGTGGAGGGCATGCAGTTCGACCGGGGCTACTACTCGCCGTACTTTGTGACGGACCCGGAGCGCATGGTGAGGGGGGTTGGGGGGTCATGGGTAGAGAGGAGGGTAAAGAGGAAACAACTAACTGACCGTGTCATAAGGCATCATCAGGGAGGGAAACGAGGGGTGGGCCACATCCCAGTGTCAACCAGTGGGGTAGCTCGAAACGGGGGTAATGGACCCCCATGGAACCCCGGCTGCCACCGTCCCTAAACCCGCCCTTCATCATCCTTCATTTTACCCCCTCCCCCCTAACCTCCCCCCCCCCAGCTGTCCGAGTACGAGAACTGCCGCGTGCTGCTGGTTGACAAGAAGATCAGCACCGCTCGCGACATCATCGGCATCCTGGAGGCCGCCATCCGCGGCAACTACCCGCTGCTGATCATGGCGGAGGATGTGGAGCAGGAGGCGCTGGCAACACTGGTGGTCAACAAGCTGAGGGGCACGTTGAAGGTAGGTGGAGGTGGCGGGGAGGTAAAAGGAGGAAACTGACGAGACACTCACCCCTCACCCCCCACCCACCCCCCCTTTCCCGCCCAGTCCAGTTGCTTCACTTGCCACTTGATGTTTTACCCCTCCCCCTCCGCATTGGGAACCCCCCCATCCCCCCCCCTTCCAGGTTGTCGCCGTGAAGGCCCCCGGGTTCGGCGAGCGCAAGAGCAGCTACCTAGAGGACATCGCCATCCTGACTGGCGGCACGGTGGTGAAGGAGGAGCTGGGTATCAGCCTGGACAAGGTTGGAGAGGAGGTGCTGGGGCTGGCGGCGAAGGTAGGGGGGGGAGGGAGGGGGGAAAAAAGAAATTCCAAAGTGTGGTATGATAATGATACAAGTTGCTGACAATCCCTGCTGACAAGGGGAGGGGGGAGGGAGGGGGAGGGATGGTGGGAGGGAGGAAAAGAGCAACTGAAGTCCCGACGCATGCAGCGAGTGCATACGGAGGCAGAGAGAGAGGGAGAGGGGAAAGGGAAGGGCGGGGGTGGAGGGGTGAAAGAGGGAAAGGAGAAGCGTGTGTGGCTGACATGTCGCCTCACACACCTGGAACCGGATGAGGGGGCTGCTGTACCCGCACTCTCCCGCAGTTCTCATCCAACCACCCATCTCCCCCCCCCCCCGGACCGGCTACCATGTTTGCACCCCCCATGGTGAAGCCTACATGTCATACAGCTCGTCAGTTGCATCGTCAGTGTCTCATTATTTTTTACCCCTCCCCCCTTTCCCCTCCCCCCCCAGGTCTCCATTTCCAAGGAGCACTGCACCATTGTGGGTGACGGCCGCACGCAGCGCGAGGTGGAGGCCCGCGTGAAGCAGATCCGCAACCTGGCCGCGGACACGGAGCAGGAGTACGAGCGGGAGAAGCTGAACGAGCGCATCGCGCGGTTGAGCGGCGGCGTGGCGATCATTCAGGTGGGGGTGGGGAGGGGGTGGGAGGGAGAGGAGGTGCTGGGGCTGGCAGGAGAGGTGGGAGAGGAGAGGAGAGGGAGGGAGCGGCAGGGTGGCGATTATCCAGCTGGCAGACATGATGGGAATATGACATGATGCGTTGTGGGTGTGAAGCGGGAGGAGTGGAGGATGTTAGAAAACACACTGCAAGAGACCCGTCATGCGGCATCCCCCGGCACCTGCTGACCATAACAGCTTCCAACTCTTAACACCCATTTTCTTTTTTACCCCACCCACCCCTTCCCTATCCCCGCCCCCCCCCCCCAGGTTGGTGCCCAGACGGAGACGGAGCTGAAGGAGAAGAAGCTGCGTGTGGAGGACGCGCTGAACGCCACCAAGGCGGCGGTGGAGGAGGGGGTGGTGATCGGCGGCGGCTGCACGCTGCTGCGACTCATCCAGAAGGTGGACGCCATTCGGGACAGCCTGGCCAACGAGGAGCAGAAGGTGGGGGGAGGGGGGGAAGGGGGAGGAGGGGGAAGGGGTAAAAACTGCATTTGAGGCACTGACGGGGCAACTAACGAGCTGTGCGACAAGATGCATGGTAGCCTACCCAGAAGGTGGTGGGAGGGGAGAGAAGGAGACACCCCGGCTCCCACTGTCCCGAATGGGGCAGGCTGGGCGTTGTGATGGGGTGGAGGCGGCTCATGCTGGGAGTGAGGGAAGGGGGAGAAAAAATTATATAAGTGAAACAACGGAGGGAAGGGGGAGAGGGCAGGTGGGCACAGGGCAAGCAGGGAGACAGAAGTGAAGCAGCACCTGTGTTTGTCGTACACTACCTCTCTCCTGATGTTTTCTCTAAACCCAACCCCTCCCCCTCCTTCCCCCCTCCCTCCCCCTTCCTCTCCCCCCCAGATGGGTGCTGACATCATCAAGCGCGCGCTCTCCTACCCCATCAAGCTCATCGCCAACAACGCGGGAGTGAACGGCAGTGTGGTCATGCAACGTGTGATGGACAACATCGAGCAGCCGTACTTTGGCTACAACGCCGCCACGGACAAGTACGAGGACCTGATGGAGGCGGGCATCATCGACCCGACCAAGGTGGTCAGGTGAGCAACAGGGGGAGGAGGGGAGAGGGCGGGGGAGGCAGGAGAGGAGGGGGAGGAGGAGGGGAGGGGGCGGGGGAGGCAGGAGAGGAGGGGGAGGAGGGGAGGGGGAAGGGGGAGGCAGGAGAGGAGGGGGAGGAAGAGGGGCAGAAGGGGTAAGTTTGACAGGGGATAGGCAGGATCAGCTGTAGGGTATAGGCAGGGGTCAGGGTAAGATAGTTGGGATCTATTACGGTAGCGCAAGCGGGCTGATGTGCCGCCCATCCGACCACAGCCCTTCTGAACGACCCCCCCTCTCTACATCTGAACGGACACCCTGACACCTCCTCCCCCCTCAGTTTATCTAACCCCCACACACCTCCCCACCTCCCCCCTCCCCCCCACACCCCTCCCTCCCCCCTCCCTCCCCCCCTCCCTCCCCCCTCCCAGGTGCTCACTTGAGAACGCGGTGTCGGTGGCCAAGACCTTCCTGCTGGCGGACGTGGTGGTGACGGAGATCCCCGAGAGGGCAGCGGCGCCGGCGGGGCCCGCGGGAGGTGACTACGACTACTAAGACAACACCCGCAGCCGCAGCCGCAGGGGCAGGGGGGGCAGCAGAGTAGATTGCTTTGAAGCCTACTCTGCTCCAAAGTAGTCTGCTCTTTACTACTGCGCTGGATGTATAGCTTCGTTTAGCCTGAGGAGCGGAATGCTTAGGCCATCCTCTGCCGTGTTCTTGAGAAGCGGCGGGGGCGTTGTTCTGTAGCGTGGGTGGCTTTTGAGGTGGCTTGCGAGGCGGCTGCCTAGGGCGGCGGTGGGCGGCGATTGTTGGCCTAACTGGCTGGTGCGTAGCGGTCAGGGGCCATTACTGTTGGAGGATAGGGTATAGGGTTTTTGTGGTTTGTAGGAGCTCGCTGTCTCAGGGTATAGGAGCAGGGAGAGCGCCTGCCCACGCATGCGGCACGCGACGCGCAATTTTGGGACCGGGGGCGCCTGCATGCGTGCATGCATGCAGAGCGCACTTGGGATGAGCGCGCGCGTGCGGTGTAGCGTGTAGGTATTTGCGTTGGATGGGGTATGGGGATGCGGTTGCATGCAGGTTGCAAAAGGAGGTGAGGTGAGGTGAGGTGGCTTTGTTGTACGGCATGGAGTCAGGGTGCTGGGTGGTGGGCGGTACGACACTCTCACTCTTGACTTTCTTGGCAGTCATGGGGCCCCTTGTGCGGGTGTCAAGTTGGCATGGAAAGCCCCCGTTGGTAGCAAACGCCGCTTTTGGGGGCAGGCGGGGCATTGCTGCCTAAGACGGGCGGTGGCGGCAGGATTTCGGTGTACCTGCTGTAATGAACGGACAGTCCGGTGCTGTGCGCGTGTGTGTTAAGAAAGGACCCCACCTTGGGGTTCTGTCGAGAAAACAGCTGTAAAAGCTTTCGTCTACAGTATCATCCGTTTACTGCTTTCTGCCCCCAACATAGACCCCTCATCACGCTTCGTCCTTCGCTTCGTCCTACCTATCCCTTCTCATCACGCCCAGATATCAACGAGCTTGTACGACAGCAGCTAGCAGCTTGTTGTAAACACAGAGATTGCTGACGTCACAAAAGACAAGACGGGACGAGTCCAACCCGCAGTGTAAGGCTGCGGTGCCGTTTACTAAATGGTGTTTGTATAACGACGATTCGGTGTCATCATGCATCAGAGATCGTGCCCCAACCCGGCCACAACTCCAGCGCACTTCCATTCATAACAACTGCAATCCCAATCCTGCAGCAAGCCCCAACCCGCTCACCACTCCACCTCAATACGGCGCAACTCAACAGGGGCCCCCCGTCCTTCCCTTTCTCAGCCGCCCCTCTAGCGCACGATAATTCCCACAAGCAGCTGCATGCTATAATGGCCTTATACTACCACCCGCTATGCCCTCACTTTCCCTTGTCACACACTTCCTCATCCAGCCGCTCCGCTGCAAGAACAGCTGCCACCACCCCGGCATCCCTCCCAACAGCAGCACTGACAACCACATGCGCGCCAACATCCCTCCCAACAGCAGGCGCACCACCACTAGCAGTCGGGGTTACACCGGGGTCCTCGGATGCGGATGCGGAGGCAGCAGCAGCCGCGGCGGCGGAGGCGACGGAGGCGGCGGAGGCGGCGGTAGTAGCCGCCCCTGCGCCCCCATCCTCCCCCTCCCCCTCCTCCTCCCGCCGCCGCAGCAACAGCTCCTCCGACTGCCGAGCCACGTCATGCCGGCGCCGGCGGCTGTAGCGCTCCGCCACCCAGGGCGCTAGCTGCAGGTCGGCGGGGGTGCGGGGGTGCTTCCGGTAGTGGGCGGACCACAGGGCCTGAGGCGGAGGGATTGGCGAAGGGGTGGGAAAGGAAGGAAACAATGCCATGCATTGAGTGATACGCGGGGGGAGGGAGGAGAGTGGCGGGAGTGAAGGGAGGTTGCCCGGGGGTGACCTGGTGCGGGATAGGACGCCGTGCCTGCGAGGGGGTTTGCGGTTCCTTTGCTAGAGGGTGGTGGGCAACTGCGTTTCGGCAGGTGCCGGCGCACGCAGGATACATACATTCCAGTCAGTCATACCGGTACCCGCCTCGCCACCCTACTCACCGCCTGCGGGGGACACCACTGGGATCGCCACTCGCCCACCTCCACCTGGACAGACGGTTGGGGCTGAGGTGGAACACGCCCGCCTGTGCCGCATGACTCCTCCTCCTCCTGTTGCCCCAGCAGCAGTAGCAGCCTGGCAACCGGGATACCTAGACCCGCGTCCCCGCCGCCACCACCCCTGCTGGCCCCTCCCTCCCCGCCACCACTATCGCTGCTGCCGCTGCTGCCGCTGCTGCCGCTGCTGCCGCTGCTGTCAGTCGGTTTGCGCCTCACCCTGAGTTTATACTCGGCTCGATACACGCACAGCGGCAACCAGCCGGCATCCCCTGGCTGGGAGTTGCAGGGCCAGGGGGCCGACAGTCCCGGGCCGTGTCCCTGAGACAGCCCCCGGGGCTCATGCTGCTGCTGCTGTGGCGGTGGGTGTGGCTGTGGGTGCTGCTGCTGCTGCTGCTGCTGCTGCTGCTGCTGTGGTTGGCTCGGATGCTGGTGCTGCGGGTGCTGCTCGGGTTGTTCGCGGAGGTGAGGCTCATCTTGCTGCTCATTGTGGGCACCACGGTGGTGGTGGTGCTGGTGGTGTGAATGGGCAGCAGCGCCGGCATCTGACCCATGGGTCGTCCCGGATGCGGTCGCCGTCGTTGATGTCGACTGGGGCGGGTTTAAAGGCGCTCGGTCGGCGCGTTCCTCCTCTACAGCAGCAGCAGTTGCAGCAGTTGTAGTAGCAGCGGTGGCGGGTTCAGCGGCTGCTGCTGTCATGAGGAGAGATCGCAGCCTGAAGCGGCGCTCTGAGGGGTAGGCGAGCGGCGCCTGCATGTAGCGGATGCCTGCGTGTGCGTGAGGGCGAGAGGGTGAGGGTATATGTTGAGGCGGCCGAGGGTACGGTACTGAACCAGTTTACCGGGTTGCAAAGTCACGCAAGCTGGTGCAGAAGACGCGTCATGCAAACAGTGTACCGGACACAGGTCAAGCTTAACTCCAGTAGTACACCTAGAGGCAGCTAGAGGCAGCTGAAGGCAGTGCAAGTCCCCCCTGTAGCAACCCTGAAGGGGGCGGGCCTTGAACACCGCAACACTCCACGACCCCGGGTAGGCACAACCCAACACACTCACCCTCGTGCTCTGCGTCCCATGCGAAGTGCGAGTGCCCGAAGATGTGCAGCTGCGGTCGCAGCCGCTGCAGCCGCTCACCCAGGTAGGTGGAGCCCACGGCCTTGGCCTGGCGGGGTGAGGGGGGGGGGGTAAATGGCAAGTGCAGCTGGGCGAGGGGGGGCTGGGGCGGGCACGGCCCCGATTGCAAACGTCATGCTACCGACGCCTCCTCCCGCGTCACGTCCCCCCCTGCCTTCCCTCTGTGCCTCCACTGTCTCCTGCGGGTCCTCCCCTTCCCTCCCCTCCCCTGCCCTGCCCTCCCCTGCCCTACCAGGTTGGGGAAGGTGAGGTATCGCTTCTCCGGCAGCAGCTCCTGCAGCGGCAGGAAGTGGGAGAAGCTGAGCAGGTCGACGTCACCGTCCGCCATGCAGGGATCACCACCACCACCGCTGTTGTTGCTGTTGCCATCCCTGCCACCGCCGCTGCCGCCACCACCACCTCCACATGCTGCTAGGGATGAGAGTGAAGATGGTACATGTTGTTCGCAAGGGTTGATGGTTGCTGCTGGTTGCTGAGACGGCGTTGCGGGTACCGCTACTGGCGGAGCTGCACCCCTCCGCCTCCCGCTCCTCCTCCTCCGCATGTGCTCATCGGTCCCCAGCTCCCGCGGTTCACCCTCGCTGCCACTGCTGCTGCTGCCACTCCCCCTCCCACTGCTGTCACTACTGCCATTACTGCCGCTGCCACTGCCACTATCAACCGCACCAGCAGCAGCGAGGCAAGCAGCCTGCCAGGCAGCCGCGGTGGGGGTGTCGTTCAACCAGTCGAACCACGCCGCCACCGCACAGCTGCCGTGGCCGCCTGACGCCAGCCCCTGCTGCCGCCCCGGCGGCGGACCCGGCGGGTGCGCAGAACTGCGCTCCCGGCCTTCTTGGTCGTGCTGCTGCTGCTGCTGCTGCTGCTGCTGCTGCTGCTGCTGCTGCTGCGGGGAGTGCGGGGGTTGCGGGGGTTGCCCCTCGCGCCGCCGCGGGTGCTCTCGCACGTGCTGCGGCCAGACGCAGCGGGCGTAGTCCTGGCGGGGAAAGGGGGGAGTAGGGCGCAGCGCAGGTTTGTCAGGGGCAGGGAAGCCGCGGCGAGAGGAGGAGGGAGAACAGATGGCAACGTACGATGGTCGTCACCAGGGGTCTGCATGCGTGTGTGTATGCCCCAGGGGGCTGCCATACCCCCCCACCCCCCCGCCCGCCCACCCACCCACCCACCCACCGAGATGGTTAGCGCACTGGCCCGGGGTATGCCCGGGATGTCGGGCTCCCGGTCGAAGGCCTGGAGGAGGGAGGGAGGTACAGCGAAGGAGGGTTCAAGTGTCGAGAAGGTTAGAAACTCGCCACAAGAGGAGCTGCAATACCGTACCGGTACAGCAGCCAAGTACGGTACCAGGGCGCATCACCAACATGACATGAAAAGGATTAGCGCAACGGTGCGGCTCACCAACCTCCCTCATTACCCCTCCCCTCGTTGTTTCACTTATTTTTTTTCTCCCCTCGCTCCCCGCTCCCCACCCCCAGGCCCCCCCCGCCACCCCCACCTGGTGGTGCCAGGCCAGCAGCGGCACCACCCGCAGCCGCCCCAGCCGCGCAGGCGCCACCGCCACCCCCAGCTCCCCGCACAACCCCAGCACCGCAGCTAGCTTGGATACGCTGTCGGCAGGAGGGGGAGGGGGAGGAGCAGGAGGCTGCAAGGCTGATAGAGGCTGGGGTTGCTTGGTTGGCGTGGAGGGGTCCGTGGCTGGGTGCTGCTGCTGCGGTTCAGGTGGTTGATGGTGGTGGTGGTGGTTGTGGCGGTTGCGCTGGTGGTTGTGTACCTGCGGGCGCCATGACACGCACATGGTACGGCAGTGGAGCGGTGTGGGACCGCTTGAAAAGTACCGGTACTCTTGCGGTCTTGCTTCGGGAGCGCTGTCAGTACCATAGCAAAGACGCTAGAGGCGAACGAAGACATGCAGGGCATGGCTAAGGAGGAGGCCTCCTGTGCTGTACGGCAGGACGGCAGCGCTTCTCACCCAGAGCTCATGATTGCCCGGGCAGAAGAACACCACGGCGAAGCGCTGCTGCAGGGCCGCGAGTGTGGACCTGGGAGGGGTGAGCGGGACAGCGGGAGGGAAAGGGCTTTGTGATGGGAGAGCTCCCAAGGGCATTGCATTAAGGGTGTGCCGTAGTGGTTGTACGGCACTACCTGGAGTTGCTGGTTGCAACCGGGGTCGCAGCTTCGTACGAGGCTTCAGGATCACGCACCTGAGCTCCTGGAGGTCGTCGCTGACGTCCCCTGCCACGATTAGCACGTCCTGAAGGTAGTCGCAAGTGGAGAGCTGCTGCACCCATTTGAAGTTCTCCCGATGATGGGTGTGCAGGTCGCTGACCGCGAACACACGCAGAGTGCCCTGAAAGACAATAATACATTGTATTTATGTACGACGCGCTGGTAGAAAGGCATTCGTTCGTTGCGGAAGGGCGTGTGATGAATAATGGTGACAAAGCCTGTCTGCCAGTCGTTGGTGACCGCAACACACCTCGACGGTCTGGTAAATTTCCGCAGATCTTTGCGCACATCGTGTGGTTATACTGCACTGCTTTGTGCAACGGGAGGGCACGGCTAAGGTGCTGCTATAAGGAGCTCGCTGTTGAAATGAACCTGCGCGGCTCGGGCCGCAGCAAAAACGCATGCGCGATGTAGTGGCTAGCCTTATTTTTGTATTAAGTTAGTAAAGCGAAGACAAAGCCTACAGTTATATCGTCGCGATATAGAGTGCGGAGCCCGACCGTCGCGACAAACAAGTTGCTGACCTTAGGGCTTACTCAGAATACTCACATTCTGTGCCTCTTCGGTCTCTGCAGACCAAACCAGCCCACATGTGCTATGTCCGCACCCCTGCCTGTGCTAATTCTTGTTTTGCATCTAACATAGGACAACAGCCAGGACTTCGAAGCAGAGGCAATGAAGCCTTCGGAAAGAGGGTTCGATGCCACTTGACCAGTGCCGACTGCTCACGCGCTGTGTTGTAGCCATGCATGACCTGGGCTGGCTGGAAGGGAGTGGCCAAACGGCTTTGGAGCCGTTACAACATGGACTTGGGAACGAAGCACACGCATGTGTTTCAAGCTCAGATTGTCAAGCCATTGTTTTGTTAGACGGGTCCGCCTGCCAACGCGCGCAACGAAGGTCCCAAGACACGCCCGCGGCGTTGCAGTCACTAAAAGGAATGCACCAACACGCAGCCGCCTCTGAACTGCCGGAGGTTCGCCGTGAGCGCGTACACCGCTCACTCACTGCAGCCCCCCGTTCGTTCCCTCCCGCTTGGCCCTAATACTCCTCGTCTACAATGAAGGTCCGACCCGAAACCCGCATTTAGCCTATAGGCCACTCCCCTTTCACCGCAAACACCCGATACGGTAACCGAGCAGAACTGCAAACACCTCCCTCTGCCCCGCAGCAACCTCTGCCCATACAGGACATCAACCACCGCCTGGATGGTCAACACGCCGTGCAAACGAGTTCGTCAGCGCGAGCCACTGGACGACCAGCCACGTAAGCAGCTGCCACCCTCAGGGGAGCCACAAGCAAGAGCTGCAGCTCCGTCCAGGCCACACAGCCGCCACGCAGCCTCGCTACGCTGCACTCCGTGCGTGCTTCGCCGGCGGAGACACCACCACCACCACTACCCACAATCCGAAGACTCCCAAACTGCGGCGCGCAACGGTGCTGCGCACCCGGTCTTCCCCGTCGCGCATACACCGCCGCTTCGGAGCAGCGGCGACGGACGACCGGCTGTCGCCAGCCAGCCTGCCGCCACCGCCACCCTTCCTCACGCTGCAGCTGGCGCTTACGCGCTGCGGCTGGCAACCAGCTCGGCCTCGAAGCGGCCGACCTGCTTGCGGGCCTTCTCGCGGCGGTAGCGGATGAGCGGCAGGAAGTGGTGCGAGAGGTTCTCCATGCCCCACTGCTCCTTGGCCGCCTCGGCGCCCATGTCGTCCAGGGTGATGTCCCAGTCCTCCAGGCCGTTGGTGGTCTCCCAGTCGATCTTCTTGACCAGCACCGGGTCCATGTAGGCCAGCACGCTGTGCGGCAGGTCCACACCGAAGTGCTTCTGGATGTGGCGGAACTGAGCCGACAGGGTGAGCATCCACAGCTCCTCCTCCTCGGCGTCGTCGACCTTCATCTCCTCCTCCTTGAGCTCCGCCAGCTCGATGTCCATCAGCTCCTCCACCAGACCCGGGTACAGCACCTCGTCGAAGGCGATGTTGGTGGGGTCGGTCAGGACTGCGCAAGAGGGGAGGGAGGGGGGGTACAAAACTTCAGCAACGGGCAAGAGGAAAAACAGGAGTATGTCAAGAGCAGTCATATATAATTCGCACACATGACACCTGGCAGTGTGGTTATTCCGCTGTGCGATTCATGCAGACAACGCCCCCCCAGCCTCACCCTGCTGCTTCTTGGCGGCGGCGTAGCGCAGGTAGGCGTTGTCGGCGGCCTCCAGCTCCGCCTTGAACTCGGCGGCGCGCGCCTCCAGCTCCTTCAGGCGGTCCACCACCTGCTGAGCGGGGGTGCGCGGCTGGGCCTGGTAGCGAGCAACGTCCACGTCCTCGCCGTACACAGCCTGCGCGGAAGATGTAGAAGCACAGGAAGTTGTTAGGAAAGAATAATTAGGTTCACAAAGGTTAAGGCATTTACACATTTTCATAGGCTGACAAGAAGCGGCCCGCACCACCATCCGAATCCCCCCGGTCTCCACGCCCTCCAGCAACTTGCCTTGAGCTCGCCCTTGAGGGCGTCCTCCTCGGCCTTGTAGCGGGCAGCCAGCTTCATGCCCTCGCGGTACATGTAGCGGTCGGACGAGTACTTGTGCGCCGTCACGGCGGCCACCACCTCGCTGAGGGGCTTGCCAGCCAGCGGGCCCGACTGCAGCTCGGGGCCCAGCAGGCGCTCCAGGGCGGCGGACGGGTCGGCCTCGAGCTCCTTGGCCAGCGCGGCGCCGGCGGCCTCCAGCTCAGAGACGGGGAAGTCCTCCTTGATGGCCTCCTTCTCGCGCTTGAGCAGGAAGCTGTCCAGGGCGGGGTGGTGCGACATGCGCTCCGCCAGGGTCTTGGAGCCCGAGGTGGCGGCCTGCAGCAGGTCGGCGTACTGGGGCGCCAGCAGCTGCGGAGGAGAGGGGAGAGGGAAGGAGAGGAGTGTGAGAGGAATCGCTAGATAGAACGGTAAGGGGATTGCCAAGATGGCATGGAGGAGTTCGCACAGTGCGCCTACAATGTAGTGCTAGGGATGACTCCTAAGCATTACCGCTTCTAACATACGCTAACCATATTTTCAAAAACCCCATACGCTAATTATTCGGCAGAGCTCTTCCCCCTACAGGTCCTACTTATCTACACTTCGCACACTCATGCGCATGCGGGCTTTTCGCGTGATCCGGTCCATGTTTGTGCTTACCACTAATTGCTACTCAAAACATGACAACTTTCTAGCTGCTCCCCGTCACACCACCACGTTTTGTTGCCCAACCCTCTCCCACAACCCTCTCCCCCAACATCACAGGCCGACACACCTCGAACTTCGAGGCCAGCTGGCCGTCAATGTCCTTGAGCGGCACGGCCGCCAGCTCGGGGGACACCAGCACCTTCTTGGCCCACATCTTCACGTACCGCTCGTGCACCTCAGCGCGGCGAGCAGCCAGCACCTTGGCAGCCACGGCCTTGCTCACGAACTGGGTTAACATGGGGGGCGACAACAGCGGCAGCGACAACGCAGCGTTAGAGTAAGCCAAGCAGTCCGAAGCTGCTTCACATTGCCCTCAGTTATTGGCATCCGATTCAACATGCAGGATTCAGTCAAATCTTCCTCCCTCCCCACATAGGCCGCACCTGGAAGCCCTGCACCGGCTTGCCGTTCTCGGTGACGGTGACCTTGTCGGCAATCGCCTTGGTGAGCGCCTCCACGGCATCAGCGGGCAGGCTGTCCTTCACGGAGGCGGGCACCGCGGGGATGGACAGCTTGCGAGCCGGCTCCAGGGACTTCAGGTAGGCATCAGCCACCTGGTTCACGGCCTCCAGCGACAGGGGCTTGCCCAGCTGCCAGGCGGGCACGGGCAGGGTGCCGAAGGACTGCAAGGGGGGAAAGCATGTCACCGTGGTTTACTTGTAGTCGTAATGGTATGGGTTGTAACTGGGTAAGGAAGACGGGTGGGGACTCAGCAGGTAAAAAGCCAAACACACGCCTCCCCTTCGCTCACCCCCAGGTCCTTGCTGGCAGCGGCAGCCTCAGCCTCCGACTTGCGCTGCGACCACCACTTGCCCTTCTGTAGAGGGGAACGCGGAACGAGCACATGGGGGAATGCCAAAGTAAGAATTGCAGCTATATATGAGCAAGACGGACACTCAATGAATAGGATGTAGGACACCCAAAACAGTAAGGCGCATACTTACAGCATCAACGGCCTCGCCAGCGCGCTTCTGCAGCACGTTGTCGAAGAACTTGCCGACCTCGCCGGGCTTCAGGTTCTGGGCCCGGAAGTTCGGCACCGCCGCGTTCATGTCCTCGAACGAGCGCGGGTTGTGGAACTTCAGCAGAGGCTGCGAATAATAAAATTATACAATTAAGTAAACGATACCGGCGGCGGAAGTTGCGGCGGAAAGTCGGCTCCAATCATCTCACCTCGCTCTTGTTGTCGCCCACGTCCTTGTAAGCCTGCATGAGCTTCAGGGCACCCTCAGTGGCCTCCTTCTTGCCCTTCCACTCCTCCAGCAGGGAGCTGGACTCCTTGTTCTGTGGCGGTAAAGAAGTCATTTAGAAGCGTTCCGGGAGACGGTGGCTTACACCGCACCAAACGCCAATAACACCAACCTTAGGAGTGGCCACACCCTCGCTGAACTCCACACGAAGAGGAGTCACATACTGGCGCGCCTGAGCCAGCAGGAGCGACGGCAGCTCCTGCGGAAGATGCACGCCGACACAACGAGTTCAGCGCCCTGCCTAAATGTCCGGCGGCCGAGACTGCTTGTGAAAGCAGACGTAAAGTGGCCATTCCGTGCGCTGCTGCATGCACCCCATTCGTAACCTCGACGCCCACATCGTCCGGAAGCAATCAGCAAGATGTGCCCCAGCTGTGAGCAAGCCCAATGCCCCGGAACACCAGTCCAGCTACCTGCTTGCGAGAGGCGGCCCGCAGGCTCATCATCTTGTCTTATAAAGCGTCAGACAACACACGGAAGCGCAGCCGGTTCCTAGTTCATGCGGCTGCTGGCCCGTGCCAGCCCTACGCTATTAGAAAGATGGACCGCGCGGTGAAAGACTTTAAGCCCCTGCTTTTCTAAATGAGCATGAGCTCGGCCGCGATGCCGTACAGCCAGAGTGGGTCGTTCATTGCCGTTTCCTTCCGCATGCTGATCGGTTTTTTTCGGTAAAAAGGAGTACAATATTGTTAATAGAACCGTGTACTGAACGATTTCCGGTGTTTTTACTTCACCTTCAGCACTAACACGTCAGATCAGCGGGGTTTGCGATATAAGTACAGAACTATGTACTTATGCGAAAATATGCGTGCGGGTTTGACCACGGGAAACGAAGGGTAAATAAGGTGGCCGCTCGCTGGCCTATGTTGTCCATGTGGGTGCCCCACATGTGCCGACAGGTGCCGGGCATTTTTTGCTTAGTGGCCACATGGGATAAAAGGGAGGTGGAAAACGGGTTTCACCTGAATGCAAGTTGCATCTTCCGGAACAGCCCAACCATTAGGGTATGGTACTCCAAAGCGTAGCCCGCCCCCCCAATCCCAACAACAACCCTGCTCCTCCCGAGGCTCTGGCTAGCTACCTGCTCCGCGTATGGGAAACCCGCATATGTCAGAAACCACCTGCGCAGAGCCCCTGAACGGAGGCCTGCAGGGGACCCTGACTCAGACTAACTTTGGTTCTTATAGTGTCCTTGGCCCCCCTGGCTCGTACGGACACACTGTACACGCGTATAGACTATAACTGTAACAACAATCCTGCGGAGTTGCTGTCAGCCACTTCGGTTGCTTGGGTTAATTTGCCACGATTTGTTATCCTTGCCAGAAGGGGTCGTTGTCGCAATGCTGGTGCATACCATGGCGGGGGGCTTGTCCACCAGGCCACTGTGTGCCTACGTATAACCATGTCGCATGGTACCAGATTGCGCCCTGACAGCCATGAAATGGCACTTACGGAGCAAGGGAGCTGCTGCTGTGGATGTGCTTCTACCGGTTAACCCGCATCACACCCGCCTGTTGCTCCCCCTGGCGCTTCTTATGATGCCAGCCTCTACATGTAGCAATTAGACCGCTCGTGCTCTTTGTATCTTCCTTGATATGACAGCAGCAACGTATGTGCTTGTGGCTACCAGCAGTAGGGGTGTAGACATCTACGGTGGTTATGGTACGACCATAACCAGCAGTATGTCAGAACCAGCAGTACGCGGCTGCCAGATCAGTAGGGAGGACTATAGGGCACACACATCAGTGAGGCGCAAGAGATGATGCGGGGAAGAGGAAGGTATGAAGGGGAGGCTTAGCATGCAACTCGGGCACCACGTTACTCAAACGTCCATACCCAAATGCCAAACAGTGCATCGCCCCGACGTTCTGGAATCCGAATGGCAGCCTCATACGCTAGGCACGCATGCGCCTAATAGTATATAGCTCTTGAGAAGTCATGTCTTGACGGTCAGGCGTGCTAAAATGTAGGCCGCCGCCAGTTAAGATGCAAAGCCGCAATACAAGTAGTCAAAAGCGAAAACCTCAGGAGGTTTGCAGCAAAATACATGCAAATCTCTGGGCACCCATCCTCAGCTCCGAGACCGCCTTTTTCACAAAGTTGTAGGCTTTTTCGTTGCTCCCACCTGTTAGGAAGCCAAGCACGATAGCGCGTTCTTAGGCGAACTTAAGCCGCTGGGCATTGTCTACAACAATTTAGGACCAGTCAGTCGCTATCTCGCCATGCAAGTCACAATGTTGCGCCACTCCGCGCACGCGGGCTGCGTTCGCCCTCTATGTTCCTCTAGGCTAGCCATGCCGCGACCAGCCTGCAAGGCGTTCGGGTCGCGCAAGCTGATGCAGCTCCGCGCCTCCAACAATAGCGATGGCAACTTCTCAGACGACGAGGGCGTATATAACGTCGCTGCTGAGTACTGCGCTTTGGATGAGAAGGGCAAGAAGGCATCTAAGCGCTCGCTCGGAGAGATGGAGCAAGACTTCCTGGCTGCGCTGACCGCGTGGTATTATGAGGGCAAGCCAATTATGTCAGATGAGGAGTTTAACCTGCTTAAGGAGGAGCTCATTTGGTCGGGCAGCACCGTCGCCGTGCTCAGCAGCGCCGAGCAGCGCTTCCTTGAAGCATCCATGGCATATGCAAAGGGTAAACCAATCCTGTCAGACGACGAATACGACCTGCTGAAGGCGGAGCTCCGCAACAAGAGCAGCATCGTCACGGCGCAGGGCCCGCGCTGCAGCATCCGCAGCAAGAAGATGTACGCGGATGCCGAGCCGGACTATCTTCGCATGACCTTGCTAAACGTTCCCGGCGTCATGTTTGTGCTGGGCCTGGTCTTCGCAGTTGACTTCTCCACCGGCTTCGGGATAACCGAGCTCATCGAGCTGCCCGCGCCGTACGGTGTGGTGCTGCTGTGGGGCCTGCTGCTGCCCTCGCTCTTCGTGGTTGCGTACGCGCTGACCCAGATCGGCTTCAAGGACAACCTCATCCTCAAGGCGCCCTGCCCCAGCTGCGGCTCCGAGAACTTCACCTACTTTGGCGATGTGTTCACGGTGCACGGCGCGCGCGGGCAGAACATCGTGGAGTGCTACAACTGCAAGGCCGACCTGACGTTTGACGAGTACAAGCGCATCGTGGTGGTGGCGGAGACGGCGGAGGTCAAGCAGGAGAAGGCGGCAGCGGTGCGTGGGAAGGATGGGGCCGTGGTTGCGGGTTGTGGGTAGCTGCTGGATCAGGGTGGATCAGGGCTACAGCGGCGTGCTTTGTAAGGCAGCCTTGGCAGGAGGGTGAGGGGTGCGATCTGCACCGGGCATGTGTATCCAAGATGCCGCGTTTCACTGGCTGTAAGCTAGATGATGAGCATATGTTTTGGGGCGTAGTCCGTGTGTGGACTTGTACGGTTGCACGATGTATTTTCAGTGTTGGCTGCTGACATCCCCGTTGCCCCTTTTCCCTCGGTGTCTCCCTTTCCCTTGTCCTCTTGCAGGCTGCTGCCAAGAAGGCCGCGGTTAGTCGGTTGGAGAGGGGTTGGGGAGGCCTCTGCGGGGGGGTCTCGGCACGCATTCGGCTTGCTGCTTGTGAAATGATGGTTGATGGCCGCCCTGGTAACGCTTGTTGCATGGATAAGCCTACAATGGTGGTTAGGCATGCAGGCGCCTACACGATACCGGTATTGACCGGTGCATGTTGCAGCACTCCTCTGAACCTACCCATACCGGCACTTATCAAAGTCGCAGGAGCTGTCATGCACCGGCAACGCTCATGCGTTTACCCGGACTCGCTACCCGGTGGCTTATTTTTCCCCCCTTTCCTGCCCACTCCTCTCCCACTTAACAGGCGGCTGCTAAGAAGAAGCAGCGGGCTATGGCTGTGGCGGAGCGTGAAGTGGCCTGAGGGGCGTTAGGAGCGGGGCGCTTGGTAGCCCCCAACTACCCAGCCGGCTGGTGGTTGGAAGCTGCGCACCAGGAGGTTGTGTGGTCACCGCCTGCCCCTGAGAATAGCGTCGTTGCTTGCTTGCTGTTTTTGTTCCCGTGCGGCATTGCAATGCCCCCCAACCCTTCTATAAGTGAGGAAAGGCGAGTGGTCAAGTAGAGCTGCAGGAGGGGTTTGTTACGAGGTAGCGGCAGAGGTGTGAACGCGGCGAGAAGCGAAGTATCTATAACAAGAGACATGCATGATAAGAGAATCCAGCGGTAGTGAACTGAGGAGGTGTGACGACGGCGGTGCTGATGAGGATGGCGCTGCGTGTGGGTGTCCCTGCTTTCCCTAGCGGAGTGCGTCAAGTGGCCTTGAGAGCGCGTGTGTCAGAGCAGCGTGTGAACCAAGGTGGGTAGGTTTCATTATTGCACCTTTTGGGGGAGCTATCAAGATGAATATCATTTCAACGGGTGTGGCAGTGGCGGAGGCCACCTAGAGGTCCCCTCTGTTGGCTCTCCGAGGCCGTAGCCAGGCTACGATGCGTCTAGGAGGATGAGGCCACGGTGGGTGTGACGATGAGTGCATTCTATCTGCAGAGCTGCTCAGATTCCCCGGCCCCCGGCCCGAAAACTGGCTATGAGCGGTAGTGAACAAAGAATAACACTTACAGGGTAATAAGGTGCGAAGCGCAGACCTGGTATGAGCGGCGTTGTCGCGTTGTGGTTGCAGTTGTTGCAGGCCCGTGAGACATTTTGTATTGAAGAAGGAACACTGCTTGCAACGGGGCATTCCCGTGTCTGTCATGTATGCATGTGCGTATGTAACATGGACCGCATAAGAAGATCCGCAGCAGCAGCACTCCTGCTCCTGCAGCACCCATCCCTCCCATCTTTTTGCATGAAACCCCCCGCATTACAACGGAGCGACGTCCTGCACCTTCTTCAGTGCCTCAACCGGCACACCGTGCACAGCTGTACACACCCGCTCGGCCAACTCACCGCTCCCCCCCTCTCCCCGTCCCACACCCCGCTGCCTTCTCCTCCTCACGCCGCCCCCATCTCTTGTCCCCCCAGCCCCTGCTGCTGCTGCTGCTGCATGGTCCCCGCATACAGGTACTTGTTCACAATGTCCGGCAGCGGTCCCAGCTTGTATCCCATGCTGTTCAGCAGCACACGGTACACGACGTGCACCAGGAAGCAGTATATGAGGCCGTTGACAAGCAGCAGCGAAAACACCAGGCTGGACACCACCAGCGGCGAGGGAGCGCCGGTAATGCCCATGGCAGCCGTTACGTTGTCCTGTGAGGAGGAAGAAGGGCACAGGAGGGAGGGAAGGAAGGAGAAGGGAAGCACGGTCCTTCACAGGATGGAAAAAGAGGAAGGAGGGATAATTATTAGGAAGGGCAGCAATTCACGAGAGTGCAGGAGAGAGAAAGGAAAAAAGGGGAGGGCAAGGACAGGTAGCAACTCGCAAACACAGAGACTTCCCCATGTCATGCCCCCCAAGCATCTTGGTTGTGCTTGTTGTGGGATAGACCAGTACGCAACAGGTACACCACGCCAGCACCCAATACAGGTCCCTTACCAAAAGGTTGTACACGTTGCTCAGCAGCAGCGCAAACATGTTTTCGTTCATGGTCACCGAAGACATGACCAGGTACGACAGCTGCCCGCCCATCCGTACAACCGCCCCCAGCACGATGCCCAGCCAGAAGTTGGCGCCCAGCTTCCACATGGCGCCCAGCGAGGCCGCCAGCAGCCCGTGTAGGAAGAAGTAGCTCAGCGCGCGCAGCGGACCCAGCAGCACTGCGGGGCGGAGCAAGAGGAGGAGGATAATGGAATGGAAAGTGAAGCAACGGAGTCCCAATCCTTTATCCCTACGTATGCAGTAAGCACGGAGGACAGCCAGCAGCTGCAGCAGCTGGATCGAGCCAGTTCAAGTAGAAACCGTGAAAAGTAAAGCGGTGGGTGTCAACAAGGAAAGAGAAGGATGTCTGCGGGGAGGAGTGTCAAGCAACGCGGTGGGTGTGAATATGGAGGATGAGGGGGAGGGATGCACCCGGCTGGCGTCATTTAGTATTTCAACCCCATGGGGATTAGGTAAACTGAGCCGCGAAAAAAAAGCACCATGGGGATGTGCGCAGGCGCACGTACCCACTAGCAGGAAGCAGGTGGCGCCCATGGTCCGCCAGCCCGCCCCCGCGCCGCCCCGCAGCGCCGCCAGCACCACCGGCAGCGGCAGGAAGTAGCCCAGGCTGTTCTCCAGCTTGAGGATGGTGGACAGCAGGTAGGCCAGGCCCGACACGGCAGCCAGCATGGCGGTCTCGACTAGCGTCTGTGCGGGGAAAAGAAGAATGCCCAATGTGTCGGATGAAAATGGTTAATTAAAAGACAAGCAACCTGGTGAGTGGAATCGAGTTGGGTGGAGGGGGGCAGGTGGGGAGAAGGCGGAGGAGGGGTGCCAAGAGCAACTAGATGAGCTGTATGATGACGGGGCTTCACCAAGAGGTGTGTGGGGTGGGTGAGGATGATGGCAAATCTGACAGAGGTGGGAACACGTGGGGAGATGCGAGTCATGCTGTGAACTTTGAACGGCTGCTCATGGGAGGTGAGGGAACTGGGCACACCGTGGGTACGTCGTACTTCCCCTCCCAGCGTTGTGAAACCCACGTGCGTGGCCGTAGCCATGCAACCTGGGCCCTCTGTTCCTATCCGCAGTAGTCCCGCTTACCCGCGTGTCCTCCAATGTGTAACCTGGCCGCTGCGCGCTGGCATCGTAGGAGCTAGATGGGGCATCCTCGTCCTTATCAGGACGCGGCGGTGAGTCGCCGGGGCACTTGGCCGACGAAGCGCGGGAGACAAACCGCCTTCGTCGACCACCGCGTTTATGAGCGGCCTTGAATGGACTTAAAGTGCTTGCTGTCGCTGGGCAACTCGGTGCCGCCACCGGCAACGCTGTTCCGTCGTCGTCATTGCCAGGCCTTAACGCTTGGAGCGTCCTAAGCAACGGCGGATGTTGCGAGCGCCTTACAGGTAGGTAAATACAGCATAATCGAGCGGGTTGCACTGAGCATTGCGCCAAGTGGCTTGCGCTTGACGACGTGACGCTGCACATTGGTTCCAAAATAGTACAGCGCTAGGAGTATCGGTGTTTAGTATTACAGAAGGTATATTTGTATAAACCTTTGCGTTGTAATATGTGGGCCTATGGTACTGCGACGAAGCGCAGGAGGGGCTGACCCGCCCCTCGCTGGGTCGTTTTCTTGCGGAACTACACTGAATCTCCGGGACTAGTGCATGTAACATATAACATACTCTGTCGCAAAGTACGCGAGTACTAGGTCATATTCAATCACACTTCTCTTCAAACAGACATACGCCATTGAAGTGTGCACCTTGAGTTGCCCTCTAGTTGATCTCCAGTAGGAATGTCCACCTGTATCACAACTGATGCCGCGAACTAAAAGAGACGCCGTTCACTAGCCAACTGATCGACCACACCATCCCGACCATTGAAGATGCCGCGCGGTAGAAAAAAGAAGGAGGAACTGCTGGTGGATATACAAATACACGAGGATGTCTGGGCTCAGTGCGACAGCTGTCAGAAATGGCGCAGACTGCCGCCTGGGACAGTCCTGGACGAAAGCAAGCCCTGGTGCGTGTCCAGTGGGAGTAACAGTGCCATAAGACCTTCAGCAGTGTATCCTTTTCCGGGATACTGACGCGTCGGCATAGGTGGATGGCAGCAGCTTGCATGCACTCAGTCGAAACCCATGCGACTTGCGCGCTCGCCCGCTATTCCCTTCAACATTTCCAATGTTGATTGCAGGTATTGCAACCTCAATCCGGACCCAAACTACAATAACTGTTCCCGGCCAGAGGAGGTGGGTTGGTTAACGCGACGAAAGCATGTGGTCTTGCTCGTGCAAGATGGATTACCAAAGTGCATGCAATTTCATGGCATGCGCGTTAAGGGTATGCCAACCTCACCGGCGCGGAGCATAAGAGGTGGTGGTCTTCATCGGTGCAGCCGTTAGCAGTTAGCGGGGCCTGTTCCGTCGCTACTTCTTTGCCGCAAGCCCTCCTTGCCCTCAATCCCTACCACAGGATTGGCAGAACTCGGGCGATAAGGAGCTTGATCCCGGCGTGAAGGCCGAATTGAAGGCGTAAGTTAGTTCGCGGTTGGGGGTGAGGGCACGCCAGGCATTTGCACTTCGGGGCCTCACCACATCATGGCCACGTCGATCGGATTTCAACAACGGAACGCCTCTTCATTCCAACCTTTAATTCCGTTCCACAGAGTGGCGGCCAAGAACGCTCTGAAGAAGCTAGCGGGACACGATTTGGCCGCTGGTAGCAGTGGAACCACGGGTCGGGGCAGGAAGCGCCAAACCGGTGAGTCGGGGCTCAGGAATGTACAAGGGGTTTGCCGATAGGCCAAGAGGATAGGCCTGGCAAAACAATTGGCAAGCCAATACCGACTTGGATGTGCTTCATCCACGCTTTACTGCCTGTGGGACGGGACGATGCCGTGTTGCCCGCCTGCAGTAGAAGCTTTTCCGTACAGAGGAATGCCTGCCTGACGTCCCGAACAATGCCTGCCTGACCTCCCGAACAATGCCTCTTAATGTGTCGCAGAAAGCGACGCGGGCTGGGGCGTCCTGCCGAAGAAGAGCAAGAGCCTGGCAGGTGGGGGGCTGGGGTAGGGCAGGGGCCTGCGGGGAAGGAAAGGGCACGTGCGGTCTGCTTGCTGTCCGGTCGATGTCTTTGCGATATGAGGGCTAGCATATAAGGGTTGACAGGCGATGGGTGCTCGCGTCCTCTTGCATACCGTAGCCTGCCTTGAGCCTTTCCTTGTTCTCTCTCACACACACACACCACATCCGCCACATGTTTCCTTTCATGCGCCGCGTGCAGAGGCGACTCCGCCCCCCGGGCCGGTGGTCACCGCTGCTGTGGCCCCGCATGCCGCCGCTGCAGCCGCCCCCCCTGCTGCTGCCCCCGCCCCCAACATGCTCTTCCCCTCCCTGCACGAGGAGCTCAAGGCGCTGTCCAACGGCTGCTCGCGCATCCTGGTGGGTCCACTGACGGGAAGTGGGTCTGCCGTACTTACTAATCCAGGGCCAAAACCAGAACATAGAGCACGCTCTGAGATACCGGTCGATAGGCTTGTTAGGGACGTCCACGGGCTCTTAAGGCGTTGGGGGTGCTAACAACGCCCTAGCTGAAGCTCTCGGCCATCTGCCCTGCCTGATCCCTGCCTGCGCCTTGCCGCGCTCGCTGCCCCACCCCCCTCCTCCTCCTCCTCCTCCTCCTCCTCCTCCCCAACAGAACAACGGTGGCACCTGGGAGCCCACGCAGCCCTCCCAGCACCTCTGCCAGGAGCACATCAACATGCCGCGCTGGTTCTGGGACGGCATGCAGCACCTGCTGCCGCAAGCCGCCTGCCTGGCAGCATGCGCGGCGGACGTCCTCACCGCACTGCAGTACGGCATGTCCGTACATCAGCAGCCGCAGCCGGCTGCTGCGCCGCAGTCCGCCTTGGCACACATGCTGCCGAAAGCGCCGGGCGCTGCGGGGGCAGGGGCTGGCGGCGGAGGCGGTTCCGGGAGCAGCAGCAGCAGTGCTGCTGCGATGCAGCAGGCGGAGGTGTTTGTACGACTGTCGTTCATGAGTGCTGCCAGCATGCTGCAGCCGGTGGTGAAGCTGGCCATGCAGGGTGGGGACATCCAGGCGGCGGTGGCGGCGGCAACGAAGCCGGCCTTCTCGCCGCCGCCGGCCCCGGTCGTGGCAGCGCCGGTGGCGTCGCCGACTGTAGCTGCGCTCCCCCCACCGCCGGTGCCTCAGTCCGCACCAGCACCGGTACCAGTACCGCTACCATCCGCTACGCCTTCCGCGGCTCCCGCCGCACTTGTTGCACATGCAGCACCTGCTACCTCGGGTGATGAGGGCGAGGTGTCGGAGCCCTCTCCCACGCCCAGTGCGCACGCCTCACCACCGCCGCCACCACCGCCGCCCCCGCCAGCGCCGGCGGTGCAGCCTGCACACACCTCCCCGCCTGCATCCGTCTCCGCTCCTCCGCCTCCGCCGCCGCCTACAACGGCACCTCCGCCGGCGCCCCCTTCTGCTCCGTCGTCCTCCTCGCCCGCTGCTGGCGGTGGCTCAGCCGCGCCCAGCAGCACCACCGGCGGAGGTGGCGGAGGCGGCGGTGGCGGTGGCGGCTCCTCTCAGCGGCCCGGCGGCAGCCGCGCCTCCAGTCCCGGAACCACCAGCATGGGTCCTGCGGGCGACGCGGCGCCTAGCAGCAGCGGCGGCGGCAGCCGGCGGGAGTCCCGTGGGCCGCGGGAGCCACCCCGCGGCCCTCGAGAGCGGCAGCGGGACCCCGCCTACGAGCGTCACCTGCAGCCGCATTCGTCCTTGCAGCCGGCAGCACTGCCGGGTGTGCTGGGCCGCCCTGGGTCTGAGAAGGAACGTGAGCGGGACATGTCTCGGGAGCGGGACAGCGGGAGGCGTGAGGGAGACCGGGGGGAGCGGGAGTACTACCAACAGCAGCAGCAGCAGCACTCGCGTGCATCCTCGCGTGAAAGGGAGCGTGGGGAGGCCGGCCGGGAGTACCATGCAGGTGCGCTCCCTCCCAGCCGGGAGGTTTCCCGCGAGCGCGACCCACGGGCCATCAGCCGGGAGCGCCACTGGGGTCCGGAGTCGCCGCGCCATCACAGCGGCTTCAGCACAGGCAGCGAGGCAGCAGCAGCCGGCGGCGGCGGCGGTCGGGAGTGGCACGAGGGACGTGAGCGACGCGACAGTCGGGAGCGAGATCGCGAGCGCTCGTACGACCGTCCGCCGCAGCACCATGGGGGGCACGGGTACGCCGGGGGCAGCGGGTACGGCGGCGGCGGCGGTCGTGAGTATAGGGACGGGCATCACGGTCACGGAGGGGGCGGGCGGGACTACCGCGGGGATCGGGGAGACCGTGGGGACGGCGGGTACTCGTACGACAGCCACGGGCGGGGAGAGCGCGATGGGTACTACCGTGGCGGCAGCGGAGGGCATTACGGCGGCGGCGGTGGAGGCGGAGGCTATCCGCAGGAGCGTGGTGGCGGGGGCCGCGGCAGAGCAGCAGGGCCACAGGATTGGAGCGGCCGTGCAGAGGGCGAATGTGAGCCGGGATATGAAGGTGGTTCGTACGGGTACGAGGGCGGTGGCGGCGGCCGACATGCGGCTCAGGGACCGTACGGGTCAGGGCGGCCGGGAGCCCCGCCGCCTCCGCCACCACCCAGGCAGCCGGGGCACTACGGGGAGCCCTACGCAGCGCCGTCGCAGCCTGGGGGGGCCCCGCAGCCGCCGCATTACCACCCGCACTCCTCCTCGCAGCACCCTCCGCAGCTCGGCTACCCGCCTGCAGGGGGGCACCTGGCTTCGCCCCGTCGCGGCGACCGTTCCTACAGCCTTCCGCCTTCGTCTCGTCCACCGCCGCCTCCACATGGGTCGCCGCCGCCGCCACACCACCCACCTCATCACCCCCATGCAGGGCCGCCGCCGCCGCCGCCAGCAGGGCAGTCCGCGACCGCCGCGGCGGCAGCCGTAGCAGCGGCTGCGGCCTCGTCCCCGGCAGGCGCCTCGGGACCGCGTCCGGTGCCGCTGCCGCCGTCGTTATCCAACATGCCGCCTGAGGCCGTGGCGAAGCTCTTGAAGGACCAAGGCATGAATGTTCAGGTTGTGAGCCCGTACGGACAGGGTACGGCAGCAGCGGCCAGGCCGGGTGGGCCGCCGCCGCCTCCGCCTCCCGGGGGACCGGGCGGTCCGCCGTACCAACCGCCGCATCGGGGGTATGGTTCGGGCTCGGGTTCGAGTGCGGGGGGTCCAGCGACGGTAGCTCAGCTTCGTGCGGCCGCAGCTGCGCAACAACAGCAGCAGAAGCCTCAGCCCGGGCAGTACACGTACGGTTCAGGTAGTGCGCGGACATAGGCAGGGCTGTGATGTGGGGGCACGCGTTTATAGGTTGTGTAGGTTAGGTACCCAGGTCAGTTTCCGATGCTGTAGGCTGTAGGTGAAGTTAGCAGTGGAGTTGTTTGCTGATGCGAGGATGCAGTTTGTGGACAAGATCCAAATGTGGGATGCACAAGTGCTTGGCAGGAATACTTGTGCGTACCAAACACATGCGTGCGACCTTGCGCCCTGTAAGATTTGCCTACGTGCCTAATTCTCGAGTCCAAGGCAGAGCGGTCTTCTTGCGGTAACACGGCTTAGCAGCATTCTCTCCTTTGCCGTTGTGCAGCACGTATGCTTCAGTTTCCTTGCATGTAAAACGGTGAGGAAGGTTCCATGCAGGCAACCTAGGTAACCTACCTCGGTTGATGGTGCAACTCACGACAAAAAGGGTCCGTACACCACCGACAGATCTTGAATAGCCATGGCATGCACGTTTTGTTTTGATGTGCGGATGCGACCGCACTTCTGGGACGTCTGGGACTTGGTGCGATCAGAGGTGATCTACGTCCTCTCAAGGTTGCAATTTTCTTTGAGTTTGGGAGCCAATAAGTACTTAGGTACGTCACGATTCTTGGAACTTACGTTGCATGGTATTGGCTAAGTATATTAACTTAGTTTCCTTCGCCCCTCCTCCCCCTTTCCCCCCACCTTGTATGGTAACTAGCAAGGAACAGGCTGCGATGTTCTGACCTCGAAAGGAGTTACATCAGCAGCAAGACGCAATTGTCTGCTGTATGGGTAGGTCGACTTCGACCAATGGGTCTTAACCATTCTCATCAACATGACATGACGTTGTGAGCGTGGCGACAAAAGGAAAGAGCAGTGCTTGGAAAGAATAGAAATGCATATCATAAACCTCTCAACCCTCGTCACAAGATACGAAACATAACAATGCAGATGTTGCTTAGTTAATTTCCCCTGCCTGCATGCACACTTAGGCTATACAGCGTGCTAGGTAGGTCTGTCATTATGTTTCGATCACCAACACAGGTCAAAACCAAAACGTCAACACCACGACGAAGAATATTGTACAAAGTACCGGGCAGCAAGCCAACATAGCCCCGGGCATGCAGGCAGCGCCGGTGCATGGGTATTACACTACTCCAAGGTCTTGAACTGCTGCTTAGCAGTGCCCTTGGCTTGCTTGCCGGTAGCTTTGCCCTTTCCAGTCGCCACAACAGTGGGTCCGTCTTGGCTCCCGCTCCCCTTCTTGCCCTTCTTGCTCTTGGAAGCCTTGCTCGACCCAGCAGGCGCCGCTTCTCCACCCTGCAAAAGTCAATGCACGGAGCACACATTGTTAGTTCAGCACCCTGCTGTAATGGAATGGATCCGGTCGTTGTAGGGTATTGCATGGTACCTAGGAAGGAGCTCAGATTGTGAGTGGTGATATATAATTTTTGTCGGCATGGCTTTGTTGGAATTCGCCAATACACCGAACGAGACATAACCATCATAGCTCCAGACCCCAGGTGCATGCAGGACGAGAAGCCGGCTAAACCTTTGTTCAACCCCAACCTCACCTGCATGCAAGCCAGCACGGCCTCCCAAGACAGGCCGCCGTCACCGTAGCCGTCGCTGTCATTACCGTCCTCCTCCTCAGCAGCAGCAGACCGCTTGCGCTTGCCGCCCTTGGCCTTCGCGGGCCCGGCAGCAGCTCTCGCGTCTTCTTCTTCTTCTTCCTCGCCATCCGACACGACCGGCTCACTAGACGCTTCCTCCTCGTCACTGCTGCCGCCCTCCTCGTCCTCGTCAGGTTCTTGGCTCTCATCGTCGCTCTCCTCCTCGCCCTCACCGGAAGAGATGGCGTCAGGGTCGGCGCAGTCAACGGGCTCGCTGTCGCGGCGCTCATCCTCCGGCATGTAGTAGTCCTGCATAACCGGGATGGCCGAGCGAGCCTGTGCCGCCGTCGCGCTGAGCAGCACTTCACGTACAGCTCGGGCAGCTACGGGAGGGAGGGACGGGAAGGAAATAAAATGTCTTAGCACGATAATGGCTCAGGAGTACTGCGTATTCCAATACAAACTGGTGGATGGAACCAGGATTGTTCCCGCAATTTATTCATCAGCGCCAAGTTATTGTGCTAGGGCTATAATGCAGACACGGCTCAGCCACAGCGCGATTCCGGTACAGCGGTAGCTGGGATCAGGAATATCCCCGCGCAAATACGTCATCAATGCCACACAACGACACGCCGTACATAAAAGGCTCAGAAAAAGCGCACCATTCCCGCATTTGCGGGAAGCTGGGGGCAGGAAGCCCCATGCGCATATCATCAACGCCATGCAACACAGCACGAGATAACATTCGGGGTACGCGGCTCAGGCACAGCGCAATTCCGACAATTGGAACGGTAGTTAGGATCAGGAATATCCCCGCGCACGAATATCCATCAATGCCGCAGTAACAAGTCAACCAGGACGGCTCAGAAACAGCGCATGCATCCCACAAGTGTAGGAAACAGGGGACAGGAAGCCCCATGCGCAAATCATCAACGCCAGACAACAATCAGGGTTCACGGCTCAGGCACAGCGCGATTCCGATAAGACGGTAGTTGGGATCAGGAATACCCCCGCGCATCAATCATCAATGCCGCAATAACAATCGAGACAACCAGGACGGCTCAGAAACAGCGCATGCATCCCACAAGTGTAGGAAACAGGGGGCAGGAAGCCCCATGCGCAAATCATCAACGCCAGACAACAATCAGGGTTCACGGCTCAGGCACAGCGCGATTCCGATAAAACGGTAGTTGGGATCAGGAATGTCCCCGCGCACCAATCATCAATGCCGCAATAATAATCGAGTCAACCAGGACGGCTCAGACACAGCGCATGCATCCCACAAGCGTGGGAAACTGGGGGCAGGAAGCCCCATGCGCAAATCATCAACGCCAGCCAGAAACCTCCGCCCGACCCGACCCGTCCCGACCCAAATGAACAATGCCAAGCGTACATGGATGCCATCCTCACCTGCAGCAGCCACCTCGGGTTTCGCTCCCGCCTCCTTCGCAGCATCCTCCTCCGTCACGAGCTCCCTAGGTACCGGCAGCTCAGCCTCAACAGCCGCAGCCACCTCGGCAGGCGCCGCGGCCCCCGCCTCAGCCGCCTCCTCAGTCTTGGCCGGCGCCTCATCGGTGTGGTCCGGCGGCAGGGTGAAGAAGGGCACCTTGCCTCGCTGCCAGTCGTACAGGACCATGCGGGCCGCGGTGTTGAGGTCGGGTTCGCCGCCCTTGAGAAGCTTGCCCGACAGGCGAGCCAGCTGCGCGAGGAAGTCCTCCGTGTCCTTCCACTCCTTGATCTTGTAGGCGCGTTTCTGTGGAAAGAGTAAGGGAGAAGTGGCGAGTGGAGATGTGAGATGGAGTAGCATACGGCAAGCGGTAGTAAACCAAGAGGTGGCAAGTCGCAACAACAATGCGTGCATGCATGCAAATGGTGTGGGGTAGCATCCGGGGCACGGCTCAGGGAGATTCCCACGAAAAAGCGTCCTCACAGCGGACCTCAGATGTCACTATCTACTTTTTTGGGTTTACATCACCGCCGGCCCGGATGCCATAGCCACGTACGTTACATATGTGATATTCTCAGTTCCAACATACATGAACATGCGCCCATTTATAGTGTCTCCAACACCCGCAGCCCAAGCTTACCAGGTACTCGGGTTTGACCCTCTTGAGCACGGGGTCCACGTGGTGCGTGGCGTCCTCCAGGTTCTCCACTCGCACCACGCCCTTGAGCACCAGGTCCGTGGGCGTGTCGTTGGTGCGGTTGTACACCACACCCGGGCAGTCGATGCAAAAGATGCGCTTCATGAGCGTGATGTACTGCCAGACCTTGGTCTCGCCGGGAATGGGCGCCGCCTTGCAGACCTGAAGATCAACAGCAGCGGCAGCAAATGGGCAGCAGTTGTGTTAGCTTGACAGGCGCGAAATCAAGTAAAATCGGCGGTAATGGCAAACGACATTGTCGTTACACGTGCAAAAGAATCAATGGCTCAGACAAACGCGTATTTCTCACGAGGTGGTGAGGTTGTGGGTACAGGAAGCCCCCAAGCGTCAGTTCATCAACGCCACAAGGAAACAGCAAGATCAAGACGCTACGCCTACGCAACTAGGATTCCGGAGTCATGTGCCCAGCTTACCTTCTTGGTTCGTAGCGTGTTGATCACAGAGGACTTGCCCACGTTGGGGTAGCCCACAAAGCCGACCGAGATGGCCTGCTTGTCCGAGCGGAGGCGAGCGAGCTGACGCAGCAGCGACAGCAGCGCTCCCTTGCCAAAGGGGTTGGTGATGGACGCGTGGAAGGCGAGCACGGGGAACTCCCGAGACAGGTAGTGCAGCCAGCGCTTGGTGACCCAGGAAGGCACCTGCGGAGAAAGTGGCGGTGTGGCGTGGGTAAGATGTAAAAAGTGTTGCGAATGTGGGCCGAGGCAGTAAACGGCATGTGTTCATGGTGCATCAGGCTGATCAGGAAATGTTGGCTACATGGTGTGGTGTACAATCTGCCACGTTCAGAGTATATTTAAGTTGATACCATCACTTCAGCCTTTTGGAGGAAGCGTGGAAGGCGAGGTGCATGCGAGAGGTGAGTGCGGGAATGCAAAATGCAACAATGGCAGCAACCAGGATGCACGAGGTGGGCTGCATAGAGTCCGTCAGACATCCAAGGAAGAATCAAGCCGCATCAGCTCTCAAGCCCGGCGAAGGCGAAAGCTCTAGACGGGCCCTGCGAATGGTTTCTGAGAGAAGCCCTGTTTGGAAAGATCATCATCGGACGCAGCCCATGTGCCTGGTTGTGCCAATGTGCGCCAATGAATGCGATCAATGAAGGGTGCATGGATGCAATCGAAACACGCCTCTTTTAGTCTCAGTCTAACGAGATTCCACTGATAAGTATCTCATCATAGATAAGACTCGGCCACAAAATGTCATCATCGACAACTGAGGCGTCATTCCATTCACGCAATCCCGCATGCGTCCGCCCACCCCCGTGCATGCATGCACTGTTAACTCACCAGATCGCACTTGTTGAGCAGCAAGATGATGTGTTTGTGGCGCAGGTGTTTGCGGATGTGCTGCTCCAAAAAGGTGCAGCGGGTGCCGTTGGGGTCACGGGCGTCCAGGACCTGCAGGAGGAAAGTGCATAAGACGTGTCAGAAAACAAGGGAACCAAAGAGGACATGAAGTGCTGGCTAACTGGCAGAAGAAGGGCAAGAAGTGGCACACAGAGTGTAAAGAGATGTCACGTGCTGGGTAGGACCCAAGAGGTAACTGCCCCGACGGGGCTCCCCAAGGCGATGGAATCAGCAGTTGAGCCTAAGCAGCAGCACAGCTCAACCCGTAGGGAACTCGCTGCTACTCGGCAGTCAGTCTATGGTGTTGCCGCGGACTATACACCCACGGAGGGCCCCGAGGGGCGGGTGCTCCAGGGGCAATCTGAGGATGTTGGCACATCGACCCAGATCCACCAATGCATGCATGATGGAAATGCACTTAAAAATTGGAACCAAACCGAACCTGGGTGCTTACCTGGACGATGACATCCGAGGAGTCGAGCACCTTATAGAGCTCGCCCCAAATGCGCTTCGATTGGCCTTTCTCGTACGCACGCTCCAGCAACTGGGGTGGGGTTGGAGAGGGGAAGGCAAGGCAGGTCAGCGGGCAAGTCGAAGAGAGGCAGCGCAAGCTCGGAAAAACAGTGCGGGAAGAGGGAACAGCCGGAAGGGCATGTGCTAGCGGACTTACCGAGTCTTTGAGCCCTTGAAGCTCACTGCCCGGACCGATGGATGGTTGCCCCTCCTCATACCTACACGGAAATAAGAAGAGAAAAACGAAAGTTAAAGAGCCACTGCTACGTAATACGAAAGTGCGTAGCGACTGCAATGTAACGGGCGGGTATGCGGCGGCGCCGTCAGCGAGGACATGAATCGGTACTAGGAGACCTACCTATCCACAACGTCGCCGACGTTCTGCGCCAAATCCTCCAGGCTCTCAACAGCCAGCTTGGGCCGCTTGCGCTGCTTCTTGGGGCCGAAGGTGTCCGAAAAGGGCTGTGTCGCAAGCAGGCTAGCACGTGCCTGCTTGCCGCCAAGCTTCTTCTCGGGATCCTCAAGCAGCTGCAGAGGCAGCTTCTTCTCGCGAAGCAAGACGGTGTAGGCGTCGTTGACCTTGCTGGACATTTCGGTCCGGAACTGATCAAGCTGCTTCTGACCGATTACGCGGGTGTTGCCGAACCATCGGCGATCGGGCTGGATGCGGGTCGTAGGCAGCTCCTTCGATTGCAGCTCCTGTGGAGATAACGGGTCAAGGGGCATGAACGTCAGAGATGGTCGCACGCCAAGAGTAGGGCGCACACGCCAAGGTGTAAATTCAGCCATCCGCCGCACCTGGTACAACAGTCGGCCCTTCTTGTCGCGGACGGGCCGCTGCTTGTACATCTTGAGGCGACGGACCTGAAGTAGAGGTAAGTGGGTAATGATATGAGTTATGAACTGTCTCTTGCCCGCGGCGGCGGACTGGCGGCGACCGAAATGACTACCGCAGCCATCCCTTGCTTACCGTGGCAGCATCGCGCATGCCTCCCTTTCCAGAGCTAGGGCGGTTGACATCGAGGCTGTGCTTGGGCTTGCGGTTGTCCTCCACACCGCCCACCTTCGCCTTGCCCTTGCCCTTGCCCTTGCCGGCCTTCGTCATTGTGGCGTGCTGTTATAACAGCAAGCTCAGCAACTCTCTCACATGTGAGAAGTCAAGAGAGTGCAATGATGTTAAACATCTGGAGGATAAGGAAACGAGAAGGATGGCGGCCTTAAATGGTAACGAAGGCTCCAGGGAGAGCTTCCAGGCTTGTCCTGCCTCTCTGCCCTCAGTGGAAGCATCTCGACTTGCCCTTTTTCCTTTTGCGTGTCGCTATATAACAGCGTGTGTGCTACCAGGAAGGATTTCGCATTAGTTTGCCTTGTATGCCGTTGGAATTGCCTTCTTGCGCCGTCCAATCCCATGCTGGGCAATCTCCTCTTTCCCTTCTACACAGGAAGAGAATGACAAGTTATCATTCGTGTGATACAATGATCGCGCGTTTCTGGCATTAACGGAAAACTGTTTGCGTTGCGCATGGGCATCTGTACACCTTTAGTTCATTGCAGTTTCCCCGCACGTTTAGCTTCTAACAGTGCAATGAAATTATCTTTCGGCCGAATTGAGATGGGTGTTCTTTGGAATTGGCCGATCCTAGTCTCCGTGAGAAGGCGCCGTCTTGCGGGAAGGGGAATTGTCGTGGTGATGTGGGTCAGGAACATCAGAAAAGATCGGTAAAGCCACAGGACTGATGTTGCCTGGGTCATTGAAGGGGTGTGTAAGCTGGAACACAACTCTGGGTGCCTAGGCATGGTTACATGCCCTGAGCTTGGGGCCTGGACACGTCGGGACGGCTGAGACTCTTAAAAGCATCAAGGCAGGCGGCCAACGGATGGTGGGGAAGCGCAGGAATGTGGAGTGTGGTATGTGTGGTACAAGCATGGTGCCTGGGACCAGTGCTTTGGCATGTGTTTTGCGTCACGGAGCGCTGGACCTCAGGTGAAGAAGAGTAGTAGCGCCCATTTGAATTTTTATCAGGGGTGGTCCACATCCTGCCGCGTTTACCGGTACGTTGCGTGACCGTCATGCGTCATGAAGGCCAGACCTGGCGCAGTTGAGACGACGCCTGGGTTCGTGAAGAAGAGGTATGAAAGCATGCATACCTGTGCGGCCACTGCCGTAGCGAATGTGACTCGCAGCCTCGCCTCACAGCCTCGAGTCAGCTCACCGCGGTATGCTTTGTGCATGCTATCTCCCATGCCCTTCCGCCATCTACCAACCCTTTCCTCTCGCATGCCCTATCCGCTGTCAGCACCAACGCCGCATCCTATCAGTTCTCGGCAGGTCACAGCAACGAGGTGCCGTTATTAGCACTGTCACGTGGCCAGACGTGGCCGTAAGGAAGGAGGGTCGATGTCACCTAGGCCCGCGGGTCAGGCAGGTCAGCTGACAGTCCTTTCTAATCTGTGTAGGTTCAGTTGTGCATCCCCGTGTACGTCGTGCAAACATCAGCAAATCAGGGCTCGTTAAGCGTCTACGGCTGACGCCCTGACCTTCGACGGTACTTCTTGGTAGCCGTGGCCATACAGCGGTTAGTCAATTTACAGCATGTAACACAATACCACAATTCGGGTTCCCATGTAACAGCTGCTATAGCCCTTGACATGGCTTGACGGACCATGTCATGGACTCATGGTGTGACGGGCAAGCGTCAAGTACCGGGATGCGTTGCCCGTACCTGACTTTGCTTTGCTGAGGCTGCAATCACGAATCTCGTGTAATTACATATCCTCCATCAAATTCTATTGATTACAGTTGTTTGGCTGCTCTCTAGCGTCAACTGCTTTTCCACGAACCCTGCCTGCTTTCCTACGAAGTTGGGGTATGCGACATCGTTCGCGTCGGTTAACCTACTCTTAACTCTTCTTCATATACGTTATGCTGGAACCTCAGTTAATTAAGGAGCAATCCTATGTGTAGAAGCGACTGATGTGCAAGCTTTAGGCGAGCCAGTTTCATGGACGCTCAACTGTAGACAGGAAACTAAGAAGGGCACCTTTTTCTTGGGCTACGAGTTACGCAATTAATTAATTGCTTCAGGCGAGTCCGTCCCATACGGCACACCATGTCAGGCAGTTGGGGCGTTGCGCTCACATGGAGCTCAAATTTGGCATGCAGCTCTCCTTAGACGAAGGGGTTCTACCGGTGCTATAGCGCATCAAACATGGGCTGTGCGCCTAGTTCGCAACAGCCCATCGACACGCTCCCAATCAGCCCGGCCTGCCGGGCAGCCTTTTCCCGGTGCTCTACTGCGGACAGCGGCAACGGAAATGGCACGATGCCAGCCGAGCAGCAAGGCCAGGCGCAGGACCCCGATGGCCACGATGTTGTGCTATGCTACCCTCTAGGCGGTACGTACGATGAACCGGCATCAGTAACCGGCATCAGCAAGCTGGGCTTCCCACGTGACGGGCTTGCGAGGAGCAAGCGTTGCTTCCGCTAGCCGCTGTGCCCATCTTCCTCCATATCTGGGTCACTACCCCCCTCTCCTCTCTCTCCATGCAAGCTCAGCACCATGGCTCCTGCGCAAGCCTCTCTTGCGGCCTATCGTCCAATCCACTGCTCATTAAACGGTTTGCTCAGTCGTACTTGAGAGTGATGTAGCTCGATGGCCCTGCTGCCATGCCCGCCCGCTGCTCCTGCAGGCACTGTGTTCGGGCTGGAGGTGCAGGCGCGGCTCGAGAAGCTGCTGCCGGACCGCTGCGGCTCCGTTTGGACGCTGGACCAGCTCCTGTCGCTGCCGGGATCACCCGCGGCGAGCGCCAAGTGGGTGCAGAGGACACGGGGCGGGGCGGAGCGGATTCCAGGGGCAACTTATGCGCCATGTTTGGCCAGACTGCAGACTCTGGGTACGGTATTTTGATGTGGCATAATCTCATAAACGCATCCAACACGCGTTGATTGTTGCGGGAAAAGAGCAGCAGTTGACGGACGACCTGGCATCTCCTCTCCTCTCCCGGCTGTTCCTGTGCCCTCCCCCCATCCATCCGTCAGATCCATGTCGTGGCGAGCGGCTCCGCGACCGGAGATCAAGCCGGCGCCCGAGGTGGGTGACCTGCTGCCGCCCAGCCTGCAGCTGTCGCAGGAGGTACGGCGCTGCCGCCGGGGCGTGGTGGTGCTGGTCGCTGCAGGTGCGTCCAGGGGTAGCGGGGCAGCGGATCCAGGGAGGGGAGGGGGTTGCGGATCCTGTGGAACCCAGGGTACTGCAAAGCCACAGCACACAGCGGAATGAGCTATGGGCTGTCTTAAGGAGAGGCTCATGCATGGGCATATACTGTTACCTGCAGTACATACCGGTATTGGAGAGTGTGGTCGAACAGCACATCTTGCCCCCTCCATGCCGCCGCTTGCAGGCTGCACCTGGGACGACGGCGTACTCAGCTGCCTGCGCCTGGCGCGCAAGCACCTGCGTCCGCTGGTGCTGCTGCATGCCGTACAGAGCTGCCCGCTGCCGGCGCTGGAGGCCTGGCCGCCGGATGTGCAGCCGCTCATCGCCGCCTGCGGCCGCCCCGTCAAGTACCTGTCGCAGCATGCGTCGGAGGCGCTGCGGGAGGTGCAGCGGCGGCTGGAGGAGGGGGCCGCGACGGCGACGGTGACGGTGGGATTGCCAGCAGCAGCAGCAGCTGTGGCGCCGGCTGCGACGCGTCCGGCGAAGGGGCCCTCCCCTGGCGGTGGAGTAGGAGGGGAAGGAGGTGGAGGAGGGGGGCAACGCACTGGGCAGCAGCAAACCTTAGCTGTAAAACTCAAGCTGTCGCAACCGCAGCAGCCGCAGCAAGGGTGTTGTCAGCGGCGATGTGAGGGTGAGGACGGTAAGGGAGCAGCGCCCGAAGGGGCGGGTGTACAACCGCCGGCGGCGGCGGCTCAGCAGCAGCAGCAGCAGCACCCAGAAGGGCTGCTCTCCTTGGCGGCGGTGCAGGCGGCGGTGGGCTCGGCCCTTTGCTGCCGTGCGGCGCAGCTCATGGGTCCCTGGGTGTGCGAGCAACAGCCGCAACCGCAACAGCCGCAACCGCAACAGCAGCAACCGCAACAGCAGCAGCAGCAGCAGCAGCAGCAGCAACTGTCGTGTGGGAAACCAGGGACATCATCCAACGTCACGGGGCGGAGCCAGTCGCCCGGGCCTATCACCTCAACCCCGGTGGAGGCACTCACGGGGGGGTCGGGGGGGCTGCGGCTGGGAACCCCTGCTGGAGGTGCGGCCGCCAGCATGCCTGGAGCGACATGTGGCTGTACGGCAGCACCCACCCAGCAGCCGTACAACCGCGGTAGTTGCAGCAGCCGTAACAGTCGCGTGGCAGTGCTGGCGCCGGGAGCTCCTCCTGGAGAGGGCCGGCAGGCGCAGCGGTGCGGGAGTGAAGGAGACAGGGAGGGGAGGGCCAGTGGGGGCCAAGGGGGGTGCAGTAATAGCAGTAATAGTCGCCGTGGTGGCACCAGCAACGGCACCAGCGGTACCACCAGCAGCAGCAGATGTAGGTGCGTGCTGAGGTGCCGAGACGCCCGGTGGACGACGCCGGTGGCCTTCATATGCGCACAGCTCGAGCAAGACCTCGGCCGGAGCAACGTAAGCTTGCAGGCGGCGGGGGTACCCTGTCCTGGGTCGCTGGCGTCATGCAAGGCAGCCGCCGAGGCAACCGCGTTGACCCCCCATACATCGCCGGCCTGCGTTCACCAGAGCGCACTGCAGCAGGTCTACGAAACCGGGCCGAAGAGTACGGCAGCTACGGCCTTTCCCTCGCCTCTAACGGTCCGTCCGCGCCCGGGTTCCTGCGGCGCTAGCGAGTACGGCAGCTGCAGCATCTCCCTATCACCCTCGCCTGTCAGCACCGCCGGCGTGAACCCGCACATGGTACGACAGAGCGTCCCATGCGTCGACGTCTTCGCGTCCCTCACCGCCCTATCTGCGGAAGTGGAGCGGCCCTTGAGCCCCGGGGTCGTGCCGCCCGGCTCTCAGGACGATAACGGCGATGGGCCCAGCGAACCGCAGGACTGCCGAGCTGCGGGTTGTTCCTGGGCGCCCGGTTGTGCCCGGTTGTGTCAGGAGGATGCCGCAGCGGCCGCCGGCGTCACGGTCGTCGTACATTTCGTATCGCCGGGTCTGACGGCGTCGCATGCGTGTTTGTCGGAGGTGGCGGCTGAGCTGGTGGCTGGGGGGCGGCGTGTGGTGCTGGTGGCGGATGGGCAGTGCTGCCAGCAGCTGCCGGGGTGCGGACCCAGCGACATGCGGCCTGACGTGTGGAAGGTGAGTTGGTTGGGCGGGTGGGGGTCTCGTTGGTGGCAGCAGTAACAGTAGCAGAGAAGGGGTTGATGTTGGGCTGTTGGCTGTGGCTGCTTGTGGAGGGCCGGATGCTCCATGGGACACATGGGATGGCTACGCTTGTGCTTTGGAGCTTAGGAGCGAGCTTGCCAAAGCGCATTCCGTGTTTATGCAAGACTCGATTCGACTCACCAACCGGTAACAAACAACGCTAACGAAATCGCCTTAAAACCGCCCGCCTGCCGAAACCACCGCGCCCCCAGGCCATCAAGAAGCTCTGGCGGGAGCGGCTGCTGTACGTTTCCGACTACCACTCGTCCTTCTGTGCTCTGCTGGCGCAGTCAGTGACCACGACGCCTGGTACAACAACGCATCAACCATGAGAACAACTGGACACCTGCAACGTCATCAGCACCATCATACTCAGCATTCAGCAGCCTCCAATCCAGTATCGGATATTGGATGACCGAGTGTGGCTTTCGACCCACATGAGCATACATGACGTCTTGGACCGAATTGACAGGAACAGCGCAGCTAATGGTGGTTTGGTGTATAGCGTTAGGGTGGTTACGCATGCGACAAGAAGGACGAACAAGAGACTGCTCTGCATGAGTGCACACCCGCACAGTACTATATGCCGTACCGCAGGAATCCGGAGGAGAAGCAAGTCAGACAGCCTCACAGCCGCGGGAGACGACGGATGCCAGGACGCTTTGTCACCGTCACCGTCGCCTGCACCGCCGGGTGTTTAAAAAACACCAAGGACATCCAGCATACAGGCAAACAACCGCCATGATAGATAGGGGAAACGTCCAGCTGTTTCCTTGTTTTGGTGTAACGTTCAGATGTTTCCTTTACTACCTAACTCTGCCCGAGAAGACCTGTGCCTCTTCATCGGGACAAACCACAAACCAATCCACCAAAGTCCACCAAACCAACCAACATACCGTTAGCAAGGCAGCCAAGCCACAACATAGCAGCGAATACTATCTAATGCAGGAAGCCGCTGCTTCTTGAGTGGCCGTGGCCCGCGCCCAACAAAACTCTATTAAACAAGCTCTCAAAACGAATCGTATACACGTACTCCTCACGCTCACTCCTCAAGACCACACGCTCACTCTCTCGTCCCTCGCTCAAACACCCCATGACAAAGAGACTGCCGTATCGACGGCAGCGCTGCAACACACGAGCGCGCAGGGGGGACGCAGCGATTACCGCTGCAGAGGACAGCGACGGACAGAACGACATCAGGCCGCAGGTGTGCAAACATAGACACACTTGTGTTTCAGTCAGCCAGCCGACAAACACGCCAGCTAGCTAGCGTTCCCAGGTTAGTAATGCAACACTCCGAAACCAAAAACCCAGCCGAATACGTGTGTGTGGCAACCAGCGGCATCAGTTTCTTGGCGACAGCCGCACCGCGCTAAGCGCAACAGGACCCTCGCATTCCTCCCTAGCCGCTTCCCGACCCACCTCAAACGCCACGCAGCTGCCACCGCCCGCGTATAGCAGGCGCACACCCCAACCCACAGACACATCATCTGCCAGCCATGCAATGCGCGGTGTACGACCACCCGTGTAAGTGTCATCATCCAAACACCCAACTAGCCGCGGCATTCCCCCGGAGGAGGAGGACTCAACAGCCCCCCGCCACCTCGCCTCCTCCTTCCATCTTCTTGCCACCCCCTTCCCCAGCCAACCAAACCGCACCCTTCCCACCCTCTTCATTCCCCTAAGAACACCCCTTTTCACTCGACCCAGATCAGGTTCTTAAGAATGGACTGCCCGCTCGACGCCTCCAGCGCCAGAATGACAATGATCGCCAGCATCGCGATGCGCCCGTTCCACGTCTCCGCGCTCTTGGTCCACCCCCACTCCCACATCTCCACCGGCGAGGGCAGCGCGCGGCGCTCCCGATCGTATGCCTGCAGCAGCACCTCCAGGTCGCCTGCGGGGGTGGTGCAGGAGGCGGGGGTGGGGGTGGTGCAGGAGGCGGGGGTGGAGACGAGGGTGGCGAGGGTGGGAGCGGGAGTGGGGGTGGAGCAGGTGGGGCTCCGGCCAGGGGTGCAGGGCTGCTGCGGTCATCAGGGAGAGGAAGGAAGGATGGGTAGATGGGAAGATCACGCAGGCCGTCTGGGCCGTTGGGGGAGTATGGATCCAGGCCGTGGAGGAAACATGGAATAGGAGCAGCATGCCACTTCCCACCCAACCTCCCGCTTCCCTCCTTCCCTCCCTGCTGCTAACAACGACCTTCCCCAGCCCGTATTAACCACCTTCCCGTGCCCACATCCTTCCCCACTCGCCCCCTCCCTGCCCGCATCTCCCCTCCCGCCCCACCCACCCAGCGGCACCAGCGAGTCGGTCGGCCCCGCCAGGCACCCCACGTACGGCAGCGCCTCCAGCACCGCCTCCGCCAGGTCCTCGATGAACGCCGCGTTGGTGTTGAGCGCCGGCACGCGGCCCCAGTGGCGGATGCCGCTCTCGTGCGCCAGCTCTCGGTACTCCATGTCGATCTCCTCCAGCGTCTCAATGTGCTCCGACACAAAGGAAATGGGGACCGCCAGCATGCTCTTGACGCCCGTGCGACCCAGCATCCTGGTGGGATGGGGCGGGTACAGCAAGCGGGATGGAGGTTGAGGGGAGAAGGGGAATCGTTTTGGGTTGCTTCCTTCATGCACATGTGCCTGCTGATTACGAAGCGTACGGCCGCATGGGAAGGGCCCGTGTAGGGCTAAGGGTGGGTTGGATGAGCTGGGAGTGCGGCGGCTAGGTGTGTGCTGGCAGCTGGCTGCTCAGCGAAGCCAACCAGGTCGCCCACTCCACTGCACGTCAGCACTGCACTGCACAGCACACCAGTAGCGCGCAGGACAACAGAGACCGTAGAGGCTGCTGCCGCTGCTGCTCTCCTCGCTTGCTGCACTCTTCACCCCGCACCCAGACTGATTCCAGGTCGCTGCCGCCTCCAGCTGGTGCTGCTGGTGAGCTGCTTCCACTGCCTCCGGCTGCTGGAAGCCGCCTGGCTTCCCACCCCCATGCAGCATACCGGTATGCACACCTCTCACGTGCCTACCTGCCCATACCTTCCTGTCCCGCTGCCCTCAGCTCCCCGGTTCAGCCTTCGGCCCACCCCACCTCCCTCCCTCCCCTTCCACACCTTACTCCGCTAGATTAACTCACTGCCAAATTGCGAAAACATCCACCCTCCCTTCCTCCCTCCTCCCGCCCCGCCCTCCCATCCCTCAGTTTATCCAATTCCACCCCTCCCTCCCCTCCTCCACCCCTCCCCTCCTCGACCCCTCCCCCCTTCCCGCCCCTCCCCACCCCCACCTGATGGAGTCGTCCGTGTAGGGTTTGAGCCACTCCGCCGGCCCCACGCGGCTCTGGTAGGCCAGCGTGTGCGAGTTCTGGTAGCCCCGCTGCCGTACCTCCTGCATGATCAGCCGTACACACTCCTCCATCTCCTCCTTGTACGGGTCGCCCGCCTCCTCCACGTACGACTTGGGCACCCCGTGCGCGGAGAAGAACACCTCCACCCCCGCCACGTCATCGAACTTGACCAGCTCCTGAGGGGGAGGGAGGCGGGGTCAGGGAAGGAATGAAATAACAGTGTGAGGTGCAGGACGTCGGGAGCAGCTCCGAGGGGCGTGCGGGCGCGCCGAGGGCAGTGCAGGTGCTTGGGAGCTTGGGAGCAGCAGTGCCGGTGTGGGCAGGAGGAGGAGGAGGATGGGTGGGCAGGCATTGGTGGGCAGGCAGCTAGGGGCCGATAACACCAGCATACCGCACACAAGGTACGCACTGTACAAAGAGCAGGTGGCACGACACGCAGGACCGGCAAGAGCGCCAAAACACGCGCACGGACGGGGCCACGAAAAAATATGGACGCAGACAGAGAGGCAGAACGCCACTGCCTGTCTGCCTCCGGTGTCTTGGGTCCCCACCACACCAGCTGGTCTCCTCCTCACCACCAACCTCACCCCAGACCGCACCCCAGGCCCGCACCGCTCACCTGCACTATGAGGTCAGCCATGGCGCACACGTAGCCTCGCCGCTGGTACCAGGAGGGGATGACGGTGTGTCGGAGCTGCTTCAGCGCGCGGTCGCTTTTGAACAGCGACTCTAACAGCCGCAGGCTGGAGCCGCTGGTGCTGATTGAAAACTGCGGGTAGAGCGGCAGAATGACGAGACGCGTAACCCCATCGCGCTTAATCTGCGCCAGCGCCTCCTCCGTGTATGGGTGCCAATAGCGCATTCCAACGTAAACGTTGGCGGCCTGGCCCTTTGCTGCAAGGGCTACTGAGAGGGCCTCCGCTTGTTCGTCGGTAATTTTGCGTAGAGGACTGCCACCACCAATTGCCTTGTAGCCCTCAGCGCTTTTTGGCGCTCGGAGAGTTGAGATGACCATTGCCAGGACCGGCTGAAGGAATTGAACGACTTGTGGTAGCCGAATAATATCCGGGTCCGCGAATAGGTTGTATAAAAACGGCTTAACATCGCTGAGAGTTTCCGGTCCACCAAGATTGAGCAACAACACGCCGACCTTATCTACTGCAGGCCCTGCAGCCGCTTTTCGGCTGCCTCTAGTATTATTTGGCTCTTCAAAGCGAACCATATCGGTGGAGGCCGCTTGACGAGGTTGCTGGGACCCACGTCGTCGTTCGGTGGTGGTAAGCCCGCCACACGCCCCCCGCCTGTGCCGGACGACACTGCGACGTTCAATTAACAAAACATCACAGGCATAACAAGACAGACAAACCCCACCTGTATCGATGAACCACAGGAACACATCTACCAGAGCAACCTGGCCGCTCTTCTACAAGGGGGAGCTGCGCCGTCCGCTGGAGTAGACCGAACGATGCCATATTCGGCGGTGCAATGTGCTAATAATGTCAAGTGTCAAAAGTTATCCCTTACTCGGGCTAAGAGAGTGTATGTTGAGTCGGCCTTACACAGACAGTCATGTCGTGAAGTGGGTTACAGCTAAAAAAACTAAAAAAGCATTCACAGTTAAGTGCAGGGGAAGTGAGATTTTTCACCTGGAGTGCGCGTGGACGGGTAGGTGCCTCAAGCAGTTAACGGCAGCGCAATATACGGCGCCGTACAGCACCCATGACATGCTTGTTACCTTCGCTTACGCAGTGCAGTTCACGGTGGGGTCTTCATTAGGCCGTCTAGGATAGGTCTGACAGAATTAACGCAAAGACTGCACAGCTGCACAAAGCATGAATCCGAAATTGCTTTGGTCTGGATGGGCAAAAGTAATATAAACCCATGCGGGATATCTATCAGGCTTGTAGACATCGCGGTACCGTTGTTTCGCAAGCGCTCTATTCCGGTTTGGCACATTACCTCACCTCGTCCCTTTTTGCCCAATCGGCTTCCCCTCCCAGTCTCCCGTGCACGCGCTGCCCCCGTGCCTGCTGCATCGCTGCCGCAATTAAGCGGGGGCAAGGTCATGCCTGTAGTACCGGTATAGCATTTACATGTGCGCAGCTGCCGCGACGTGACCAATGCACCATGCCGCTTGGTTTCCACCCACTTCTAACCTGCAAATTCTCCTTTACATCCAGCTAGAATTGCAAAAAGAAAGTATTGGTACAAGCGGCATCCCTGCGCCAAACCCAGCCACCAGACCCTCCCCGCAACACTCCTAGCTCTCGTACCTCTTTCCAGAGACGTACAAATTGCATTCCCGCTCATTCTTCATTCCTTGTGCCGCCCGCCGTACCCAGCAATATCCTTACGTCCTCAGTGCCTGCCCTCGCTCTGCCTGACACCGCCCACCCATCAACAACACCAACACCCGAGCCCTAGCAGATGAACGCACAACGCGCTCTGCCCGATGCTCTCCTCCCAACCTCAGGGGGGACCAGCCGCTTGTCTCTCCAGCCGTCCTCCCCTTCCCAATTTCCTCCCCACATCCCCAACACACCTCACCCCTTTAGCACGGCATGCCCCGACACGCATAGCCATCCCACAAGCACCCTGACCCCACCCCACGCCGCCATGTACGCCATATACGCCACCCCGCTACGCCACGGTTCTAGTGGCCCCCCTTCCAGCGTTCATCCAACCGAACTCCAGCCGGGTCTCCCTGCCTCCCGCATCACATCACTCCTTCACCCCTCGTGCTGGCGACCGTGCGCCCCCCAACAATGCTGAAGCATCGTCATGCAGCTCGTCAGTTTCCTCTTTGAACCCCTCCTGTCTTTACCCGTCGCTGGCCTCGCTGCCGTCGCTGAGTGTGGCGTACCCCCCCGCCTCCAGCTGGTCCACCAGACCCATGTCGCCCGTCTTGACGATCTCACCCGACTGGGGGGGAGAGGGGGGGGGGGAGAGGGGGGGAGAGGGATAGGCAGCAGCAGGTCAGGCAGGGAAGGGAAGCGAATTAGGAAGGCGGCTGGGGGGTCTCTGGGGGTCTCTGGGTGGCAGCAACCGACAGCGGTGCCGGGTGACAACCCACCTGCCGCTGTAGCCCCTTGCCTCGACCCCAGCTGCATGCCCATGCCCTTACGCCCCCTGTACGCCTTCCATGCCCTGTTGCCTCCTGTACGCTTTCCATGCCCTGTGTACGACCCCATGCGATCCCTAGCACCCTACACCTCACGGCGTGTCCCCCTGGTCCCGCCGGCACCCCCTCCTGCCCGCCGGGACCCCACCCCGCTCCCACACCCACCCCGCCCCGTTCTTCCTGTTTACCCCACCGCGCTGCCCTCCCCACCCTACCCCGCCCCGTTGCCTACCCCGCCCCTACCTGCATGATGTGCACGAAGTCGGGCTGGATGTAGTCCAACAACCGCTGCGGTTGGGGTTGGGGTTGGGGTTGCAGAGGAAACCGGGGGGTTGGGGGTTGGGGTTGGTGGGGAGGGAGGGCGGCGAAGGAGGTGAGGAGGGAGGCGGAATGGATGAGGAGGTATGGGGGGAGGCGCATGCTGGAGGGTGGGCTTGAGAGGCCTCCTCGCACGCTAACACCGTGCAGCAGCACTGCAGCACTGCACAGTCAGCGTGTCGTACAATCCTGGTCCCCTGCCGTACGTACCTTGTAGTGGGTCACCATGAGCACACCCGTCTCCTCGTTCTTCAGCTGGTTGACCGCGCGCGACACGTCACGCAGCGCGTCGATGTCCAGCCCACTGTCGATTTCGTCCAGAATCGCCATATCGGCCTGGGTGTGTGGGGTGGGGCGAAAGGGGTGAAAAGCGAAGAGTGGAAACCGAAGCTGATGGCATGAAGGAGCGGGAGACCCACATCGACAGCTGCGAAGCTGCTACCCCATGCCCCAACCCGAATCGGCGTCGTACCTCGAGCACCGCGAGCTGAAGAATTTCGTTTCGCTTCTTCTCGCCTCCTGAGAAGCCCTCGTTCACGTTCCGGTTGAGGAACGTCGGGTCCATGTTCAGCATCTCCAGCTGCAACAACAGTACGCAGTCGTTAAGCGGACAACAGAAAGGTGAGATGCCTAATCTGCCAGCGCACACCTTTGGCATGATGTAGGCATAGAATTCAAGCGGATCCAGCTCCGATTGCCCAAGCGCTTTCCGGCGCGCATTGCACGCCATCCGCAAGAAGTCCACGTTGCTGACGCCCGGCACTTCGATCGGGGTTTGGAAGCTAAGGAACAATCCGGCATGAGAACGCTCCTCCGGCTCCATTTCGAATAGATTTTTCCCTTTGAAGACGGCGGTTCCGCCGGTCACCTCGTAGTCGGGATGGCCCACAAGCACTTTGCTGAGCGTGCTCTTTCCTGATCCATTCTTGCCCATAATCGCATGCACCTCTCCATTACGCACGGTGAGGTTGACGCCCTTCAGAATCGGCTGACCGGTCGCTGCAATTTTAGCCTCGAGGTTCTTAACCTCCAGCATAACATCGCCGGCTGCAGCCACGCATCGCAATGGCTGTAATGATCTACGGCCCCTGAAGATCCCTACCCGTGGGCATGACCTAGACAACGGCTGGTGAGATATGGTGTGTTGTGCCATGATGCCTTGGTGGATAGTAGGCTTATTTCTAGCCCAACAAAAGGTTTACCTATGCTTTACACCATCGAAGTTGTCAAGAATTGCCTCTGGATCTACCGGTATTGCCATTCCCAAATTGTGATGCCGAACCGTCGGCTAACCAATCCTAAACATCCGTACGCTGAGCAACCTCACGACGCACAGGACGGCAAAGTTACTTATGACTAAGCTTTAATACCACATACCCTCCGCTCAGTTTGCCAGCGCCCCCTAGCAGTGCTCATATTGCACCCTTACTTGCGTACTGTACCAGCCACGAGTTCCTTGTGCGGACAGCGAAAGACGCAGCCCTAAACCGTTCTGATTACTAGCACCGCATAAGTCAGCAGCATCCTTCGATCGTTCGATGGCGTCTTGTGCCCGTACCGTCCCCTGGGCCACCATCCGATACATCAACTCGGCAACACTTCGCGACGCACCTGCAGGCCCGCATGTGCATGCATGGCTCGGCACCATGCATGTACTCAATAACCTGCGACCCGACCAACAGATTTGCCTTGCCCAGACAACTCAACACATCACAACAATGGCACCATGTACTTACATCTACGCACCATCAACATCGCTACCCCGTGGCTAGAGTAACCACTGTTATCCACCACTATTACCCTTGCCTAACAACCTGAACCAGCAACAATTATCCTGAACTAGCAACATGCGCATGCCGCATGCGATCTACTTCACCACCTGCACACAAATGCTAATGCCGCCTCATCCAAATGCTCCACCATGTGCTGCCGGGCCACAACCGCTTCAACCTAAAATTCAACCTAACACGGGTTCCACGGTTCCAATGCCGCACCTGCATGCTCGCATCTCCTGCAGTCCACGTCTTTCCAGCGTCCGTGTGCAGCTCATCATTCCAGCAGCCTACCGCTAGTCCCCCCACCTCGCAACCCTTCACCACCTGTACGGTACTACTACCCCCGAGGTACCCCCGGGGATGCTACCGGTGCTGTGCCGCTCTGCTGCTGCCGCTGCGGCTGCCCCCGCGGCTGCTGAGGCTGCGGCTGCGGCTGTAGCGCCGCCTTCACCTGCTTGCGCTGCTCTGGTGACAGGGTGCGCGGGAAGTCCAGCTTGTACTGCACCACCTGCGGTACGACACGGCCGACAACAAAGACGACGGTACGACAGCAGCCATGGATGGTTGTATTGGTTGGGTGGGCGGCTGCCTACCCACACCTACAGGGAGGACGGCCCCGGATGGCCTTCCTTTCCCCTCCCTTCCCCAGCTGCCCCTGCCTCCCTCCCTATACCTCTTGCACCCCCACCATGCCCCCCTTTCCATTCATTTTCCCCCACCCACCATGTTGGTATTGGGACTCCGTTGATGCATTTATCTATGCTATTTCCCCCACCCACCATGTTTCCGTGCTCCTCCGGCTGCTCGGGCAGCGGCATGCCCTCCCCGATCAGGATGGTCTCACTGTCGGGGGTGACCACCTCTGTGAGGGACAGCGGCACCTGGGTGCAGCCAGGAGGGGAGGAGGGGTGGGGGGTTGGGCTCGGGAGTACAGAAAGCCTTCGGGAGATAAGATAGAAGCGGTGCAAGTCCTCATGGTAGCGCAGCAACGCTTCGTCACAGCAAGGAAGGACAGTTACCATCACAAGCTAACCCAGCACGCATAGGATGGACAAAAAGGTAGAGTCCTTCCCGTCCCGCGTATCCTTCTCCCCCACGCACAGCCTCCCCCCTCCCGCTTGCTCCCTCCCATCCCACGCGTGCCTTGCTGCCGTCCAGCCGCCGCAGGTGCACCGTACCGCCCCCCAGAGCGGTAGCTAGCGGGATAATGGCCTGCGGGGGTGCCGCATAGTAGCCGTAATGTTGCACACCTGATTTGGACTTGCCGCGCAATGCAGGGACTGGAACGGCGACGTGAGTACCGACCTTGAACGTAGGAAATTTCATGTGAACATAAGATGTATGCCGCACGTACCGCAAGCATGTACGGTGCATGAAGAAAGAAAGACGGGAACGACGGGCACATCAGTTTCAGCGGCAAGGGTTCGGACCTCGGAGGCGCTTCTGCCTTACCGTCTGCCCGCCTGTCGTACCTTTGTTACCAGATCATCCCCGCGCCGTACATATCGCGCATTGGGCGCCTCCCGCAGCACCAGCACCAGATCTCGACTGCCGCCGGAGACGGGGGCGGAGGCGGGGCCGCCAGGACTGCCGGCAGACCTGCCACCGCCACCGCTACCGCTGCTTGTGCTGCTGCTGGTGGTGGTGCTGGTGGCGGCTGCGGTGTTGCTGCGGGGCGGAGGCAGGTCGTCACCCATGCCTGCGCGAGAGGGGAAGCCCGAGGAGGGGGGCCATGCATGTGCCGAGGGAGGAAGCATGTTCAGTGGAAAGAAGCGGGAGGGTCTTTCGCAGATGGAAAAGCATGCTGTCCTATATACCGGTAAGCTAGAACCATGCCTTGCCCCTGCCTGCCAGCCTGCCCCTGCCTGCCTGCCTTGCCCCTGCCTGCCAGCCTGCCCCTGCCTGCCGTACGTCCCTGCCCGCGCAAGGTCCCCGGCAGCGGCGACGGCGGCGGCGGCGGGTGCAGCTGCGTACGTATGTGAGCGATGCGATACGTCCCGCACCTGGGAAGGTCAGGCGGGTGCCGGCTCGCGCCCCCCGCGGGATCTTGACGTCCAGCAAGCAGTCCTGAGGCGCCCAGCGGCCGTTGACGGTATCCCTGGGGCGGGGAGGGAGATGGAGGAGAGATAGGGGAAAGGTATGGTGAGCAATGAGCACGAGAGGCCGTGAAGGTAAGGACTCCCTAGTCTTACCCTAAGGGGGCACAGAGCCGCAGAGCGCCTAGGCAGTGCATGTGTTGGGACTAGGGAGAGCAGCTTGCCACCCACAGCACTGCCACCCACAGCACCGCCACCCACCAGACAGCTCGCCGTAGCTTGATTTGCTTAGCGTTGCCGCTGCCGGGTTAATAGGGAAGGAGGTGAAGGAAGAGGTGGGTGAGGAAGAGGATCGGTACACAGGAGCGATCCATGAAGGGGTTTGGGCAGTCAAGGGAGGGTAGCGACGCAGGTTGGGTTTAGGGTGCGCAGGAGTGAGCGAGCGGCGAGAGAGGCCAGTATCACTTCACATCACGGCCCCACTAGCTGCGCCATCAGGGAGGCGAAACACACTCCACCAGTGCCGTACACACACAGGGCAGTTCCATGGGGGCGCTTCCAACCGCTTCCCCTGCGGTCCCGGGCCGGCTGCCCCTCACCAGTAGATGTCCTCCAGCGTCACCTCCAAGTCAAGCTCAGTGGGCGCAGCACCCGCCGCCACCGGCGGCGTCGGCCCAGCTGCCGTACCAGCGCCCGCTGCTGTCGTACCCGCCGGCGTCCTGAGGGGTGACCTCACCGCCGCCGCGGCGGGTGCAGCTGTAGGTGACCCCGGCGCTGACGCTCCCTCCGCCGCCGCCGTGTGACGCCTCGGATCCGCCGCCGTCGGGGCCGTCGCCGTCGTACGTTCCGTCGGCAAACCTGCCCCTGGCGGCATCGCCGCCGCAGCTGCACCCGTCGCCGCCTTAGCCGCTGCCGGGGACCTTGCGCGGGCCGCCTCCGCCGACTGACCACCAGCAGAAGCAGCAGGAGCCGCCGCCGCCGCCGCTGCGGCATTAGGCGACCTAGTCCCGCCCACCGGTGAGCCCCTTGGGCCCCCCTTACTAGCCCCGCCACTGCCGCCGCCGCCGCTGCCAGCACCGCTCCTGCTCCTTCCGCCTGTACTGACGCCATTCTCGCTGCTATTGCCGCTACGATCCACCCTGTCGCCGCCACCGCCGCCGGCGCTGTCAACGTCCATGGGCTCGACGCCGCCGTTAGCCTCGCCTGGACTTGTGGTGGCGGCGGCAGCGGGAGTACGGCCAAACGGAGCACCTCCGCCACCGCCTCCGCCGCCGGTGTAGTAGTACTGAGCGCCGCTGGGCTCCGCAGCGGCCCCGCGGCTCCGCAAGGGGGAAGATGCGGGAGCCGCCGCCGCCGCCCCCGCTGCTGCTGGTGCTGGTACGGCAGTCTTCTTCCCTGCCGCCGCCGCACCCCCTGGAGCCGTACCAGCTGCAGGTGCTGGAGCAGCAGTGGGAGCAGCAGACGGCGTGGCAGCGCTGGGCTTTGCCGTATCTGTCGCTGCTGCTGTTGGTGCTGCTGCTGCTGCTGTCTCGGTTGCAAAGCGTACGGGGATGACCCGAGGCCTGAGCGGTACCTGCGGCTGGTGCGTGTGGTGAGGCGGGTGGGGATGAGGGCGAGGCGGATGCACGTGCGTCCGGTGGCGCGGGGGCGACGTCGCCTGCTGCGGCTGCTGCGGCCTCCCTGCCTGCGGCTGCGGGGTTTGTGGCTGTGCCTGCCGCGGTGGCGGCACGGGAGCCGCACCCGCACCGCCTCCGCCAGCGGCACCCATGCCCATCGGCCCCGCCGGCGCTCCGGCGGCCCCTCGGAAGCCGCCGCTGTAGGAGTTGTTTGCGCCGGCGGCGGGCCTTGCCGCCCCCGCTCCCATAGGGCCGCTGAAGATGCCGTTGGGTCCCAGACCTGCCCCCATAGGGCCCAGACCCGCGCCCATAGGGCCCATGCCGCCTAGCCCACTAAAGGGCCCTGCATTGCCGAAGACGGACTGGAAGATACGGTCAGCAAGCGGGTTACCGCTGGAGCCTGCGAACACGCCGCTGAAGGCGCCGCCGCCGCCGCCGCCGCCGCCAAAGGGGTTACCGCCGCCAAAGTCACTTCGGCCGAAGCCGCCGCCTCCGCCAAAGCCGCCAAAGTCAAAGGCGTCGTCGAATGTGGCTCCAGCGGGGGCATGGTAGCGGGAGTTGCCGGCGGTTGACCGTTGCCGTGCTTCCCGGTCGTACGAGGCCCGCTTGTCGGGGTCCCCCAGAACGTCAAAGGCCTCGCTCACCTGGAAAGGGGGCGGCAGTTGTGGAGGAGGAGGGAAGCAACGGTAGGCAGCGGGAGGCAGCGGGGGCTGCGCATGTGGGTGGTTTGTGCTGTTTTGAGGGACTGTCCCCCTGCCCCAAGTCCCCCATGTTCCCCATCTCCCCCAAGCAAGCAAGAAAGCAAGCAAGCACCCCAATCACCTTTTTGAAGCGCTCCGCGGCCTGGTGCTGCTCGGGACCTAGGTTCTTGTCCGGGTGGTGCTGCCGGGCGCATCTGGGTGGGGGGGGGTGGTGAAAGAACATACCAGACCATAGGAAACCGCAGGTTAGGCAGCGGGGGAGCGGGGGAGCGGGGGCGGGGGAAGGCAAAAAAGGTGCTGGCAACTGTTTTGGAAGGTGCGGCATTAACAAGGGGAGGGGCTGGAAGGGGAGTAAAGGCAATGATGGAGTCGAGGAGGTAGGCGCGGTTTAGGAACCGCTAGCATTGCGCTAGTGGTGCTGCCGCGCGCGCGGTAACGTGCTGCGAAAGCGTCCGGTGGGGAACGAAGCATTGCGTGCAACGGCACTAGCAGCTGGAAGTCATGCAGCTCTGGTAAGGGACGGGAATGTCCGTGTTGCGCGGATCGAATCGCTCTGTTGTCGAATCGCTCTGTTGTCGAATCGCTCTGCCTATCGCAAGCTCGCAACATCTTTCCTTCCCGTGCTAGCCACATCAATCAATCACTAGTACGCGATCGTAGCAAGTCATCATCATTAACATAGCCGGCTAGCAGGAAAGCAGCCAGGGATTGCGGCACCTAGCCGCCAAGCTGCGCATCTCTCACCCTAGCACTTGCTGGCGCAGCCCGAGCCGTGCGGCCCTGCTGATCTCGCGCACCTGAGATACGCTCGCCGTATATCTTCGTCCGTTGCATTCGGTTGCACTCCCAGCACGGAGTAGTGGTCCTGCGGTTGCGATCCGCCGCGGGCCGACATCCCGGCATTCGCGGCCCTTCTTCACTTCCCGCACTGTAGAAGAAGCCCAACTGGGCTGAGAACAGTGAGCCTGGCCGAAGTGAGTCAAACCGCCTATAGACTTGGTAAGAGCCTGGTCTGGTACCAGGCAACTTCTTTTTGCAAAGGTTGCAGTTTGGGTCTTTGGATCGAAAACAAATTCTGCTATGCTGCTTATGGCGGATATCTTTGTGAGTTAGTGTTTAGCCTCATCGTAGTTTGCGAGCCTGCTCTCCGCCTTACAGTAGAATTTTACGCCGTGTAGTTAAGAGGACCCCGGGCCCACGGGTCGTTTGGCTCGACGTCATCAGTCTCGCACTGGCAGCGAAGTACAACGCCCAGTATGCCAGTAGGTGTCCGATTTCGGTGCGTTCCTTTATTCTTCAGGGCCGTGTGGCTATGGCTTGCACTGAACCGGCTTTGTTCCAGCTAAACGCGCAACGCCAAAATGTAACAAACGGGTTTGCTGCAGGGCGACATGGATGGTCATCGCAGTATAGGGCCACAATGCCGCACCAGGCCAGCAATCGGTTACAGGACGGTGCCACCTAGACAGGTAGCTTTCCCCTTCCCGACAGCTTAACACTCAATGCTTCACCGCAGCTATTCTACTGACCTGCCCGGCAATGCGCTTGCTGGGAAAGCACCTAGACACCTAACAAGACCGAGCTAACAAGATAGGTAGGAGGCTATAAGCGGGAGTGGGCAAGAGAGTATCTAAGGTGCGCTCCCTAGCGTGAACTCACCCACATGACATGGAAAATAACACCACCTAGCGTGCGGGAGCCCCTCAAGGGGCTAGCACGAAACACGGTTAGCCGGACAAGGAACCCATTCTGGCGTACCAAGACCTCGTAACCGCCACCATCAACACCACCACCATTGTTGAATGCAAATCAATTATCTTGGCCGTACAGGATATGCTGAAAAAAATACCGGTAAAGCAAACAGCACGCAGCCTTTATAAACCAAGAAGCTGGCCCCATCCGGGAAAAGGCAGTGCAACAACCGGGGTAAAAGGCACACAACGCAGCGTAGTCAACTGCAAACACCACGGAGGGCTAGTTGTGGAGACGGGCCAAGGGACCGCACCTGATGTGGAAAATCTAAAAACTACATCTGAATCTCTACAAGCTACAAGCCTCTCCTGCCGCAGGCCCCTCTTCTGCAGCAATCGACAGCACCGATACAATGCCAGGGAGGTTATGGCACCCCGTTCGTTCCATCACTCCCCATCCGGCTCACCAATGCGTGACCACGAAAACCCCATGTCGCCGTCAAACGCTGTGGTTTCTATGTACCGTAGGCATGATCACGACACCCCTTTCCGCTGGGCTGTACACCGTCTAACTAATAAACTACATGTCTTAGGCACGTACCGGTATGCTCTTGGGCAGCCCCAACGTTAATGCGCCTGGCGTTTTCCTCCCTACACACACCCTTCTTAACCGAAACCCTGTGGCCTACCTTGTAACGAAATGCAAGACGCGCAAGAATGGTGATACCTCCATTACCTAATCCTAGCCCGCAACAGCACCTGCGCTCGACCGCACCTTGAGAAACAACACCGCCACTCTAGCCTCACGATAACACTCGCGTCCGCTCCACTTCCCGGCCCTAATGCAGCGCCTGCTGCTCCCACCCAAGGCAATGCCTCCAAGGCCCCAGCGCAAGAGCCTACAGCGCAGCTGCCTTAGTCCATCTTGCCGCCCTGCTTAGCCCGACTGGCACCCCCCGCCGACGTTGGCGTGCCATGCAACCCAGCCGAGGCGATTGCGCCCTCAAACGGAGCCCGACCCAGCAACGCACCCGTCGCTTTTCGCCGAGAAGCCACGATCGCGTCCGCAGCCGCGGCGCCAAACCCTCCCCCTGCGACCGGGCTCGGTCGTGCTAGGGCCGGCTGGCTAGCTGCTTCTTTTACCTTGGCTACTGTGCTAGAGACGCCCTCCCCGATAGCCTTCCCAAGTTCAGAGAACCAGCTCGCGAATCGGCCGTTATCCGAGGAACCCCCGGTCGCTTTGCCCCCGGCCTCGCTGCAGGAGTTTTGCCGCTGGGCTCCCCAGCCGTAGCTGTTGGCAGAGTCGGAACAAGAGCCCGCGTCGTCGTTTTGGTTGCGACGGCGGCGAACGGCAGCGGCGTCTTGCCGTGTAGGCCCTGTGGGAGGGAGGCGGAACATGGCCCGCGGGTTGTTGCGTGTGCTGTACTTATGCTGATGGGCCCGAGCGGCTGCGTTTACTTGTGCATGGGTGCTGGAAACGCCTGCCGTTACGCAAAGACCTAGGAATGGGTTTGCGTGTGTAGGAACAAAGTGTGCGGGACAGGCGGCTGAGCAGGCCACATATGACACATGGCAGCACACACGGCATGCGTGTTCCAAACTTCCGACCCTCCATTGCAGCCCCCATCCCACCTGCGCTGGTGGGTGGCAGGTATGTCCCTTCCGAGGATGAGCGGTCCGTGAGCTCCACCTCCACCGGCTGCAGGCTCCGCAAGTAGAACCCAGAGGGGTCCATTGGACCTGGAGACGGGAGGGGTGCTGGGTAAGTATGTGAAGGTGCCTAGGGAGCGGAAAGCATGGCACTGCACGGCATGGCGTTTCTGTCAACTCACCGCAGCCTCCGCACTGGCCCATTGCAATCCAAGCGCATTCTGAGACGGGCAAGTCCTCTGGATATGACTCCCCGTTTATGACGTTTAACGTCGTGGCTATACGGGCAACGGCTGCGGAAGCTGGTTGCGACTGAGCATCCGCATGCAAGACTGGGTCGCGACTGACTCCGGTTAACACCTTTGCACATATTCTTTGGAGCTCTTCCCTGCAGAACAAGCAATAGGGATTGGTGCGATGGAACGGACCCTCGGACGCCCCGAGGAAGTAAGGCCGTTGCGCCCTCGTTGCTCACCCTATCGGCAAGCGCCCCCTTGGGACGAGTATTGTGCTGCGTGCGTATAACGCGTTGTCCGATAGCAATCCGTTTGCCCGCTTTATGTCTCCAACCTGCGAGCGAACGAGTAGGAAGGCGGGCGCTATTCGTCTCCTTCGAAGTCATTACCAACACACTAGGTTTGCTGCTCTTACCGAGACGTTATATCTTATTGCTAGGCCCGCCAGGGTGTCTAGCTTGGAAACCTGCAAGAAGAAGGGCAGGGCAGTCAGCCCGATGCCCTTCTTAACCGTCCGGCTATGTCATTGACTTGCCTGATGCTTAATAAACATTGACTCTACTTCAGTGTCATCTACACTGCTTGTGCTAGGCTCCATCGACGCGACTGGCAACGCAATTCCAGCTGGACCGCGGTATGCAGCAGATGAAGACACCATAGAAGACTCCATCCTTCTAGGTTTGTCCTTCAGAGGACTAGACGTGGCTTGCTTAACGTTTGCTACCTAGGCGGAAGTAGGTCAAGGAAAGGGCTAGGTGTGCATCCACAGTTACAACAGCTACAGTGTGGCGAAGGCTCTATCTGAACTCAAAATGGCTTGATAAACCGGTTCACCTAAAACTAATGGTGATAAGCGAGCAACGGGCGGATTCTTGGTATGCTCGTAGCCCGTCGTACTATACATAAGTCTCCAATGGAGCATAGCAGCCTCGACCATATCGCCATAGTGTTGAAAACAGGAATACTTACACAGTATTGTGCCAAACGTGCAGTAGGTTATGGGCCGAGACGTACTAGGCACCATCCGTGAAGTGAAGTTGTTTCGCTGAAAACGCGCATCAATGCAGCCCAATTAACATACAGCTATCGCGGCATAACAGGCAAATACAGCTGCTTCGCGCCCTCTCGTCTGACGTGCCTCTCAACCAACCATCCCTTACATCCCCCCATCAAGCTCTCTGGTCAACAGCCACAGCACAAAAGCTCCAACCACGCCCATACCAAAACATACAGAAGCACCGCACTTCCCTACCTCTCAATGCACACCCTGCACGCCCCTCTCTTCACATCACTCCTGCCTCTTTCTCTCCCCCACCGCCCGCTGCTCCGCCCCTCCTGCTCCCGCTCCTCCTGCACGCCAGCTAGCCAGCGGCTCCGCCATCAGCCGCCGTACAAACCGCGGATACACAACCGCCAGCCCCAGCCCCACCACCAGCGACGCCCCCGAAACCAGGTAATACCCGTCCGCCGCCAGCTCGCACACGCCGCCGCCCGCCGCACACTCACTCTCCCCCCGTGCCATATCCGCCAACTTCTTCGGACAGCTCAGCCCCAACACCTCCCTCCCGCCCGCCTCCTCCGCACCACCACCACCACCACCCACCGCAACGCAGCGCGGCACCGTGAGCACGTCCATCATCCAAAACAGCGGCGTGCGCGGCAGCATGTAGCCCATGTTGGCAATGGTGTTGAGCAGCGTGAGGTAGGCGCCGCCCATAGAGGGGTCACTCACAGTGTTGAAGAACGACCCAAGGGCCGTGAAGCTGAGGTACGACACGAAGGAGGTGGCCAGCGACACGCCCGCCAGTGCGCTGAACGCGGCGCCGTGCTGCGCCAGGGAGGAGGCGCCGGGCGGGAAGGCGGCGGTGAGCGCGACGGTGGCTGCGGCAGTGGCGAGGCGCAGGCAGTAGCCGGTGATGAAGGGCGGGTAGGGGGAGTGGCTGGCGGCCCAGCGGCCCGCCACCACGGCGGAGAGCAGCTCCACGGGGAACTGCGGGAGGGAGGGAGGGAGGGAGGGTGGGAGGGAATGGATGTTTCGCCAGGGAGGGAGGGAGTGGCCGCAGGGTGGGGGCAGGAGGAAGGAGGAGCAGTCACGGGGGCGCTACTCCCAGGTCCCACAATCAACTAGACCACTTGTGCTCTCACTCCCCGGTGGCAAAGCGGTTAACATCCCATCACATTCAGGTCCCTTGTGCCGCACATGACATGTCGCTGCGATTCCCGTGTCCTCCACCTGCTACTCCACGAGCACCCGAAGGACCCTCCTGGAACAACCCACCCCCCACAACAAGCACTCGTCTCCCCTCCCCTCCCCTCCCCGCACCTGGAACAGCACCAGGAAGGCCAGCGCCTCCTTGGCCACCCCCTTGTCGATCAGCTTGAGTGACGCCGCCCCCTCCGCCGCCAGCACCCCCACCCGGTAGCTCAGCAGCAGCGCACTCAGCCGCCACACCGCCGGCAGCCGCACCACCCGCCACAAACCCAGGTACGCCCCCACCAGCTCCGACCACACACCGCTAGGGCTGCTAGAGCTCCCCTTGCCGCTGCCGCTGTCGCCGCTAGCATTGAGCTGCCCCGCTCCCTGTTCCTGCGCCTGCTCCTCACCCCAGCCCAGCAGTCGCCGCTCCTCCGCTGTCAGCGGTGCGGTGGCCGCCTGCTCGCCCGCGCGGTCGTCCTCGGGGCTCTCCCGCACCACCAGCGCGATGAAGGCCGTGACGGCGGCGAACACCCAGCCCCAGAAGCGCATGTAGCCGGCCAGGGAGACCAGGCCGGAGGAGGAGGGCTGCGAGCCCAGCAGCCTGGGGGTTGGGGGCGGAAGACACGCATGCAGGAGGGGGGAAGGGCGAAGGGTCGCAGAGGGCGCCGCAGGGTCGCCCGGGGCAGGGCAGGCAGGGAGAAGGCAGGCAAAGCAACGAGGTGCGTCTAGCCCCTTACTGAACGCACGAGCCACGCACGCAGCCAAGAAGGGCGTGGAGGGTATCCTATGGTTTGGTATGGTCTTTGACCCCAACCCCCCTCACTACTCCTCACCCTCCCAGCAGGCGGCTGCCGCGGATGAACCTGTTGCAGAACGCCGCGTCCTGCAGCGCCAGGAAGACGGTGAAGGAGGTGAAGATGCCGCTGGTCTGCCCCACCGTCTGGCAGGTGGACGCGTACGACACGTTGCGCGGCGACAGCAGCGTCAGCGCCCAGCCGTCCACCGCAATGTCCTGGGGGGGGGCGCGTGGCGCGGGTTAGTTTGGGTTCGGGGAAAGCGGGTTTGGGTTTGGGAATAGCCCAGGGGTATGGACGCCCAGGCGTTCGCTCTCGACTGGTAAAGAAACATGCGGTAGGATGATCAATTCGGCAATCGGGGCGGTTCTCGGATTAACTTGACCAGCCTACAAATGGCTTCCCCTGCGTAGCCTCATCCCACCCCACATGGTATGGTCTTTGACCCCACCCCACCTGCGTCGCCATGAGGAACACAAACACCAGGAACAGCCACGTCAGCGCCCACACGTCCGCCGCCTCGTACAGCTGCTGCACCCACTCCGCGCAGCCCAGCAGCAGGCCCGCCGTGAGCAGCTGGATGGGCACGATCCAGCTCTTGCGGCGGCCCAGGCGGCGCACGTGCAGGCAGTCCACCAGCGGGCTCCACAGCAGCTTGAGCGAGTAGGGGTAGGCGGCGAGGGAGAAGATGCCCATCTGGGTGTACGACAGCTTGGAGGAGAGCATGAAGGGGCTGCGGGGTGAGAGGGGAGGAGGGTTGGGGTAGAGGGGAAGGGAGGAAAGGTTGAGTGGATTGGGACTGGGTGGTAGGTGGGAGGGAGGTGGGAAGCGCGTGAGGAGGGACAACATTGATCCGGGGAGACACACATCGTGTTGTGCAAAAGACTGTCAACGCGGTGTGTAGTCGCATTCCTCCCTCGCTCCCTCCACCCCCCTTCCACTCACAGCGCCCCCGTGGTGAGCCCCAGCGGCACCCCCTGCACCATGTACAGCAGCGTCAGCAGCGCCATGCTGCCGAACTCGCTGCGGGCAGGGGCAGCAACGGCAGGCCCGCCGCTACCGCCACCCCTGCAGCCGCCGCCGCCGCTGCCGGAGGGGTCGCGGCGAGTATAAAGCCCGTCTTGCCGATCACCGGCCGCATCGGCGCTGTACTGCTGCTTCGTGTGACAAGCAGCGCCGTCGCAGGCTGCGCTAGATGCCTCGACGCCGGCGCCGCCGTCAGCGACCGGGGAGGCCTGCTTGGGCCGCCGCTTGGCTTGGCTTCTGGCTTCGACCATGGAGACTGAAGCGGAAGGGGAGGCGGCGGAGGCCGGAGCTCCGGAATCTGCTGCTGCGCCGGCGGGCGCCAAGCTGTCTGCAGCAGTCACCCTGGAGCGGCTGCGTGTCACAGGGGCCATGTGTGGTACCGGCTGTGCGTGCAACGGGCGCAGCGGACTGAACTGGTCTGCTGCTGTGCTGCTGTCTGCTGTGCAGAGCAGAGGATGTTCGGGCCTAGCAAGCAGGCAACCTGGTTTGGGGTTGCTAGGCTCGAGGCTCCCCGGAATCCTGCTGCTTCACCTCTGCCTGCTTCCGGCCCTTGCTGGGGCACTCGTTTGTCCGACGCTCCGCTGCTAAGCGATATCCCTCGATGCAACCCGCCAGCAATTGCGCTCTAGGTTCGCACCTCGGTGGGTAGTACGCCCCAATTCGGGTGGCGTTTGTTGTCCCCACGCAATCCTCAAGATCGGCCACTGCGCATTCGCCCAGGAGGTCCGTCACTAAACATCAAGGTGAGGCCCATCAAATTAACGTACCTTCTTTAGGACAGATACCAGAAAATAAGCACCAGCCTGCCTTGCTTGTTAGGTGTTGACAAACAAGCTGAAAAGCAGCGAATATTAAGTAAGGTATAACCTCGTTTCGATCATGCAGTCACACATCCACACACCTCGTGATCACGAGGGTGCTTGCGCTGGCAATCTGACAGCGCTCGGAAAATCTTCTTGCAAGACATCAACGGCTTAAGCCAGAAAACCAGCGACTATTGGCGAAGACAGCTGTCTGTGGTAGATGCTTGGTTTGTCGATCCGTCAAGTCATGTTACGAAAACATCTCAATGCCGACAGCCACTTGCCAACCTGCAGTTAAGCCGCATCGGCTGGCTGGAGTGCCAACTGGAGAGTTGTACGACACAAAGGTATGGTGGCTGCAGCAACAGCCACGCAACACCCTGCCTCCCCCTGCGGCAGTCCGTACCAGCACAGGCACCTAAGGAGGTCCATGCTCGTTCATCCATGTCGCACTGAAGCGGCTCGGGCTATGGTCCCCGGCAGCTTTTGGAGATGCGGTGCCGGTTAGTGACGTGCAGATACTTCCAGATCTGTGAAAAGCTGGTACAGATCGGCGGTTAACAGGCAAGCTGGTGCACAGATAGGCTAACGAGCCCCAGGAGCCTTAACCCCGGAAGACATTGCCACCCATACCGCCAACCATACTTTGCAATCGCTTGCGCCAACCCAGCACCACAGAAGTGCATTTTCCCCAAGCTTCGCCAACGGTTCACACCCAACAATGATGCCTTCCAGATACTCAGCACGTCTTACTGGCGTAGAGTGTGGCATCAGAGTAACCTCCTGACACCACCCGGGGCCCACGGAGCTTACAGCTAGGCACATGCTCGTCCGCAGGGGTCACGAAAGAACATAATGCCCCGAGCCTCCTTGCCTTAGGAGGGGCTTGCTGACATCGTTCAAGCACGTCCATTTACCGAAACACGAACAACACCTCCCGACCCCGTCCCCACCTCGCCACTTGGCAAACTCCCATCACTTCGCCAACCCTCTCACCCGCAGAGGACCATCAATCCGAGACCTGGCTTGCAAGCCCCACCACCACCAACACGACGATTAAACCTTCCAACCTTCCCCAAGGCCAACCCATCCGATGCATCCTTCAAACGCGGCGACCAACCCAACCTCCCGCCTCCTCTACCCCAGCACACACCCTCCACCTGCCCAGCTCCCCACCGGTCTACCGGTCCCGCAGCCTCGCCGCTCCCTGCTGCCGGCCGCCCTCCACCTGCGCCTGCCCGCCCTGCCCCTGCCGCATCTGCTCCTGGAGCTCCTTGTAGTCCTCCGGGTCCATCTTCATGCGCGGGAACACCACGATGGCGAAGACGGAGATGACCATCATCAGGCCGTACGGGCTCTTCACAAAGCTCCACACGTCGAAGGGCTTGCGTTTCTCGTAGTACTGCGTCTCCGCGGCGGGCCGGATCACCAGCGGGCTCTGGAGCACCTGGGAGCAGGAAGACAGGCAGGCAGCAGGGTGGGATGGGCGGGGGCGAAGGAGGCGAGGCGGCATGAGGCGGTTGCAGGAGGAGCGCGAGGGCGCAAGCGTCTTGGGGTGAGCCTTCCTGCTGCCCTGGTTGGCTTGGCCCCGAGATGGGAACGTTCCCGCTCAGTACCGCGCGCATGCATCTGCTCCCGCACCCGTGTAAACCCCTAAGAAAACCGCAGTGTCAGGCTTCAGGCGGCCTGCACGCTGCCCCTCCCTGCTTCACGTGCTAGTCCACGCATGCTGCCCATCATGTACGGCAGCTGTCACTGGGCTCGGCACCCAGCCACCCACCATGTTGCGGTTGTGGCTGAGGGAGGCGCGCGTCAGCAGCCCCTTGCGGTTCACATCCAATCGGATCTGGGGGTGGGAGGGGGTGCGGGAGGGGAGGGAGGGAGGGAGTGGGAGGGGAGAGAGTGGGAGGGGAGAGAGTGGGCGGGGAGGGAGGGAGAGCGGCAGCACATACAGTGTGTGGTATGTAGCAGCGAGGCTATAGCACTGTGGACAGCACGCTACAATTGCAGCAGCGGCCTCCAGGACGGAGCTGCCTCCTCCAGCTGCTGGCTAAGGGGCCAGGCTGGCCGTCGGTGACCTCCATTGCGTCACTAGACATGCGGTGCACTCATGGGGCGCATAGGCAGGCAGCCTAGGTATGAAGGAACCGCGGGCACCTTGAGGTGCTTCCACGGAAAAGTGACGGCCCTCGCAAGTTCACTGTTGTCGCGTGCTTGACCAAGAGGCACATTTGTAATCCGGGAAAATACTAATGTGCTAACGACTCGAGCCCTTCATACCTCGGGGAAGAGCAGGTTGACGTGGAAAGGCTGCAGCAGGTGCACGCCTTGTGGCACGCCATGGAAGGCAAACGAGCCATCGCTGTCTACGAAAGTCTTAATCTCCTCCCCGAGGGAGGTATGCAGGATAACCGTTGCGCTCGAGGGGTTCAGGACCGCTGCAATCCATACGATGGGCAGGGGTTAGCAACACGACGGCCTCGCCCATCACATGATCGCAGGGCCTGAGCTTACGCGGTATAAGAATTTTCCCCTTGATTACTCCTGTTCTGTCCGCGAAAGCAAGCCTGCGCACGCGGACGGCGCGAAATGGTAAGATATCAGATTGGACGCGCTTCTGACTGCATGGGTACACAATCCGCGTTTGGAAAAGCGAGCAACAGATCGCATACCCTAAGAAGCTTATGAAGAGAAAAGCGACGAGCTGCATTTTCTCGGCGAGACTTTCCTAACTAAAAGTCGACTGCTTTAATTTGTAACGTAACATTAAGCACTTAATCAATGGGTATGACCTACGCAACCAGGAATGGTCACACCCAGTAAGCAAAGATTGCTCTTTGCGCTTCGGAGCGCAACGTTGCCGATGACTGATGACGGTGCTTGTGCCAGTGCAGAGTCATAAGGCATACAGTCAGAGTGACACACGGATGTTAAGCCTTCAGTGTTGAAAGCCAGCCTACAGCAGAAACACTACGCACAGGGATGCAATGGGCGTTTTCACAGAGACCGTGGTGCCCATTTTTGGCAACATATTGGCGACAGCCATGTTGCTGTCACCAGTTCCGGCAGTTTTGCGGTTGCGTCGGACGGGCAAACTCGGTGTAAGCGAAAGTGCATTTTGGGGTTGGAGGCCAACCCTTGGCCCGTCAAACCCCCGCCCTGCCCCTTAATCACCGCAGGACATCAACCCGCTACCCTATCCAATGACTTCGGTGAACTGCGCGGGTTGGATAGCGTACGGCTTCGCCACAGCCAATCCGTACATCTTCCCTGCCAACGTGGCCGGCTTCCTAGCGGGGTTGTTCTTCAGCCTAACCGCCTTTCCCTGCTCCAACCAGAAGGTACATGCATGTTACGAACATCCTCGGCGTTTCCATACTAACTCCATGATTTGCTTAAAGGCATCTGCCTCGGTGTCTGAAACACGTCTCTCTCTGTGACAATGCCACGTCTTTCCCACGTCTCACCCATCACAACCCCACCCACCCATCCACGTGTCTGCGCCCCCCCCACCCTCGCGATTGATTCCACCAGGGATTGTCAGCAACTTGTATCATTATCACACCACACTTTGGAATTTCTTTTTCCCCACCCTTTTCCCCACGCAGCTCCAAGACCGCATCACGGCAATTCTGGTGACCGCTTCCGGCTACTTCATCCTGCTGGGCCTGATAGCCTGCTTCGGCTTGACCGACAAGGAAACCCTGCGCATGTGGTGAGGTTGCGCAAGGAAACCCTTTTCCTCACACGTCGGGACCCGGGTCAGCATGCACGCATGGACACAGGGGGGCCAGCAGCTCACCTGGCTTACCATGCTTCCTGCCCGGTCTCCCTATCCGCCTCTTGCTTTACCCACCGATTATGTGTTACCACCATACCCTCCTCCTCCTCCTCTTCTCCCCCCCCCATCCCAGGGGCACCAGCGCCGTGGCAATCCTGGCGCTCTACTACCTGGTGCCGTTGAGCACCCTGGTAGCCATCGTGCGCAGTCGCAACGCGGCATCCATCTACCCGCCACTGGCAGCAACCGCCATCGCCAACGGAACCATGTGGGCGGTGTACGGACTGGCGATCAGGGTAGGCAGCTGGGGGGGCGGTGTACGGACTGGCAATCAGCTGGGGGCTAAGCTGGGGGAAAGCGTGCGTGTTGAGCATGCTAGGTAGCTAGTTAACTGCTAGCTGCGGTGCTGCATCATCTGACGGAATCAGGCCCGCACATGTTTCCCTTGTGCTGTGCCGCTGCTGGCCTCGCCCCCGCCCCCCCCCCCACCTGCCGTGTGCTATCATAGCTTGTTTGCTATCATCATTCAACACCTTGGGATTCCTCTTTTCCCCACACATATATGTCCTGCCTCAGGACATCAACCTCTGGCTGCCCAACTCCTTCGGTGCAATCCTGGGGGCGGTGCAGCTCCTGCTGCGGTTCAAGTACGGCGCTAAACCCGCCCCAGCAGCAGCGGTGGCGGGGGTAGCAGGCGCAGCAGGCGGGGAGGCGGCAGGCGGAGGCAGCGGCGTTAAGGGGACGGCGGCAGACGGGGACGAGGAGCTTGCGATTGGGAGGTCCGGAGATAGGTGCGGAGAAGAGATAGGGGCAATAGGGAGTCGGTGAGCGAGGTGGCGATCGCCCGCGAATCGAGATTCGCTACATTGGGCAGCGATCTTGGCTCGGCTGTAGTGACACACGCACGCTGCTTCGTTGCCTGCGTCGGCAAAAAGACGCTCTGAAACAGCAGCTACGCCAAACGACTGCCAATCGCATGCATGCCCTTGTGCCGTAATCACCGCCACTCCTGACTCGAGCCATCAGCACTCTGCGCTTCCGCATACCACGCATGCCGACACCGCCACCACCGCCCGTCTCCGCCTGCTGACGCCGCCATGCCGCAGTGACACTCCCCGTGCGGAGGGGCGACAGGGCTCCGAGATACACCTGCTGGCGCCCAGACCTTGGGAATCATCGGGCGGGGCGGCGGGCGGCAGCAGCAGCAGGGCAACGCCGCAGCAGCTGGCTCCCGCGGGCGCAAGGGAGGCAGCAGGAGAGTCGACAACAGGTCCCGCGATTGGACGACCATCGTAGAACGGATCATGGAAAAGATGACATGAGGCACCCGCGACTCGAAGTGGGGTTGTGCTGCGCTGCGATGTGACCGGCGGGGTCGGAAGGCGTTGCGCCTGGCAGCTGGGTGGGACTGCGTGCAGGGTGCTGGTAAAGGCAAAAATATGATACAACTAAGTGACGGCGTGCACACGTCATGCCCTGCAGCGGCGTGCTTGGTGGTTCCATGTGGCTGCAGCAGCGGCCGCCTAACGATGCAGCAGATGCTGCTGCGGTAGCTAGGGCTAGAGCTAAGTTGGTGGTTGCACGGAGCTGAGTTGGCGGGAGGGAAGGGTACAGGTTACGTGAGTAGTGATGCTGCCGGCTTTCGTTTTGATGCGGCGATTAACGAGCATGTGCGTGAGTAGTTTTGAATGGAGGGTTTTGAGCGTAAGGTTGTTGAGTTGAGTTTGGTTGAGTTTGCATTAATCATTTGAGTTGGGCCAGGTTGGGCTGGAATGAAGTGGCGGCATGAACTTGCAAGGGTGTGCAGAGTTTGACATGGCTTGGGGTAAAGCGATTCGTCGTACATACGTCATGTCTGTATGTTGCTGGGATGTACATGTTTAATTTGGGCCTTCGTTTTTCTGGTGACATCCTCCAGGGGAGGAATGATGAAGGATTCTATCGACATGTAGCATGTGCTTATGCGCTGCGACCTGCAGTTGGTGTTACCGCATCCCTCCTGCGTGTAAGACACACAATAGCCGGGCATGTACGAGGGTGAAATGTATCACCGGTAGGCTCTACGTTTTTCACAACGTCCTTTGCACACTCTGCTCTCAGCAACACCGGGCCAGATATGGTGCCCCGGCTGGCACGTACACTGGCTGCACTCTGTTGACGCTTCCAGTTACGCCAGGAAGATGGCTGCCTAAGCGAGCATGCAACCATAGGCGCCCTCCATAACCACCACGGATGGCGCCAGGTAGCGCTTCATAGGTGCACGGACGGGCAACATTAATTAAGAATGAACGAAGGCACCTTGAAGGTCCCTGGCACCTCAAGAGTGCTGCCTCAACCCCGTTCTCATGGATCCATGCGGCCCAGCACCAAACCTACACATGCATCTTCGCAGAGACTGAGATACCAGATTGGATAAACGACTGCTTAATAACACTATTGCCTATACGAAGTCGGAATGGTACCGATAGCTGCCTTGAGATGCTTGGCGGATGCTGCGGATGCACGAAGCTAGGCCCACTGCCTGGAGTAGTTACCTATGGGAGGAACATGGGCTCAGAAGGACCCTACGTATGTTTAGGTCCTCAGCGGCTTTGCGCATGCCCTTCACTGGCGGTGGTCAACTAACCTGCTTCGGTAACTGTCTATCTCGGTTTGCCACAGCGCTCCGCGCATGGAATGAAAACATTATGGTGAACATGACATTTATAATAGCGTGTAGACAAATGGGAAGCTGTGGCGTCGATCGCGCAGATAACTGCTCTATACGAACAGCGACCCAGCTAACCGCCGACAAGTATACGGATTGACTTTTTGTACGATTCGGAGGACGGACGGGACGCGCTACGGACTGCTCAGGTTACCATATAAAGGTTATACTTACTTGTTGTTGCATCGTTCGTCCGCAAACATCAACCCTTGAGGTTTCGAGGCCTAACCGCCGAGCGACTGACCTAGTCACCATCAGGTTAATTTGTTTTAGGAACATTGCAGCAACTAACATACTTTGTCTTATAGCGTAAACGCAACATGGCGCGGCCTATAGTCTTCTTACTGCTGGTGCTGGCGGTCGCATGCCATGCGACAGGTATGCAAGCCATCTCCCTTGTGCATCGCTGACCCTTCTTCGTAGACCTTGCGTTTAGGCGTATCCTTTGAAACACTGAATAATCGCAATTGCATACCTTGCATTATATTGTGTACGTCTTCCGTCCAGAAGCTCCTTAGCAGCTTGCTACCTGTCCCGCTTGTTGGCTTATCCTGCCGCAGGTTCAGCCGCTACTACCAAGTCCAAGAGCCCGGAGCCCGCTAAGAGCCCCATGCCCGCCAAGAGTCCCGAGCCACCTAAGCCCGTCGAAAGCCCCATGCCGCCCAAGACAGACAAGATACACCACAGCCCCAGCCCCGGAACTGCCGGCCGCCATCTATGTGAGTGTGTAGCGGTTTCTCAAGGACGATCAGGGGCAGGTTGGGAATTGGCGAGTGTAAGCCACGATCTGCAGTGACACAACGCGCTTTCCCCTGTCCCTGCTTTTGCAGTGACCACCAAGTCCAAGCCCGAGCCGGCCAAGAGTCCCGAGCCGGCCAAGAGCCCCATGCCCGCAAGGAGCCCCGAGCCCCCGAAGAGCCCCAAGCCCGCAGAGAGCCCCATGCCCCCCAAGAGCGACAAGAAGCACGCTAGCCCTAGCCCCGAGACTGCCGGCCGCCACCTCTGTAGGTTCACATAGGATAGGAGAGCGGCGGGCGGAATGGTGCAGGCATTGCCCATGGTTACAGGGTCTGTCACGACGCACAAGAGTCCATCAGTCACGGTCATTGCGGCTTGCGGTTCTAATTACCGATAGTACAATCTCAGGCCTCACCGCACCTCCTCCCATGCGCATTCCTGCTTGCAGTGGGCGCCATGGCTAAGGCCAACAGGAGCCCCGAGCCCCCGAAGAGCCCCAAGCTGGCCAAGACCGGCAAGAAGAACGCCAGCCAGGAGCCCAGCCCCAGCCCCAGCCCCGCACGCCGTCATCTGTGTAAGTTGGCGCGCCAGTGCGTATTGTGTGTTCTGTGTTGTACATAATGGGCATGTCGAGCACACGATAGCCCTTCCGTCACTCCCGAAATCAGCGTTGACTTATGCGGCCCCTGCCTGTTTTTAACGTTGCAGTGACCACCAAGTCAAAGAGCCCTGAGCCCGCCAAGAGCCCGGAGCCTGCCAAGAGTCCCAAGCCCGCTGAGAGCCACATGCCTCCCAAGAGCGACAAGCCCGCCAAGAGCCCGGAGCCTGCCAAGCGCGGCTGAGCGGTAGCTTGTAAGGTTGCCCTGTTGAGAGTCGTGATAGGTTACCTTCGTACCTGTACATGCCGTGTACCAGCGTGTTTTGCTGCCTGGGAGACTAGAAGAGGGTTCAATTATTTAGACAGTAATAAGCCCCCCGTGTGCTGCGGTTGCCGTGGCGAGCCGCGGGGGATACGCGATGCGCGCATTACAATTCATGAATCTTGTACATATTATGGTGATATGTGCCCGCCAATTTATCGGCTCATGCTCACCCTTAGTGCCTTGAGGGCAGGTTCTTTTTCCTTATTTGCCTCTTGCCTCTTGAGAAGGAAGCTGTGCACAAGAATGATGTGCTGTCACGTGCTGTGGAGCATGTGTTGACAAGGACGTACGGAACACATCGCCGTTAGAAGCGCCGTGGTGTACAAGGGCTGTGGGCTATAAGTCCCACGAGGCTGGCGCAATGTAAGCACCCCCCGGTTACCATGCGGCCCCGCAATGACTCTTTAAGGTACCCGTAAGTCCTGCTAGTGCAACCACAAAGCATTCCGCCCCAGTCGCAAACCATGAGTCCCGTCAACGAATGGTCTGTGGTTGGTTAGAAGCAACATCAGCATACGTCGTTTTACAAAACCATAACCTTGTAAGGAAACTCCTTACAAGGAGTTTCCTTAACTTATTTGCCTGCCGAAGTACAGTGATGACGAGCTAGTACACGTGTTATGGAAGCCTCATTCCGACAGCAGTATGCCCATAAGCCTCATACCCAGGAGGTCAGCAGCTCAGCTCAGCTGCCTAGCCCGTTGTAGCCTGCCTGCTGCTGCTGCAGTCCGTAGTTCCAGGCCCCGACAGTGCATCCTACCAGCTGCTGCTGCTGCTGCTGTAACTGCAGATGTTGCTGGTCATAAAGCCAGCCCGCGGACCCGCTGTATGCATTATGTGCAGCTTGCTGCTGCAACAGCTGCTGCTGTTGCTGCTGCTGGTTGGACCAGCTGTCAGGCCAACCGCACCCTGCCTGTTGCTGTTGCAGCTGCTGTTGCTGATGCACCGGCAGCTGCTGCGTGCTGGACCAGTCGCCTGCTGCTGCGCTGCTGCTGGCATGCGGCTGCTCATGAGAAGTCGGTGCCCTTGCGTCCTGCCCTTGCGGCAGCAGCTGCCCTTGCAAAAGCTGTGTCGGCGGCGGCGGTGGCGGCTGCTCCTGCAAATGAGGTTGCACGGTAACAGCCTGCTGCAGGCCTTGCTGCTGCAGGCCCTGCTGCTGCTGTCGCCGCTGCGCAGCTTCTTTAGCAGCATGCACAAGCGCCGCCACACGCTTTGCATCGCTGAGCGCCCTGCTCCACCGCTCGCTGCAGGCGGCTTGCGGCACAGACGCGTTGACGCCTGGGTACGACACGTGTTTGGGCGCACTAGGCAGCAGCAGGTCCTGCGGCGCCCCAACCTGAGACACTTCATCTCCCGAAGCCATAATCGACGGACCTTCCTGTGTCACATCCATCTCCGCTGCCCCCAGTGCTGGTGCAGGCGCTGCAAATGTACCTGCATCCTCAAGCCTCATGTCTTCAGCACGGTGATCTTCGTGTCGTTCCGCGCATATCGAGTTTGTCGACGCCGAGGAAAGCTCATCCACGCTTGCGCCGTCCTCGCCGGCTGCATGCCCGTCCTCACCTTCCGACGGCAGCGGCAACGGCTCGCCATCAGCGCCGTACACCCTGATAACGGGCAAGCCTGACGGCGCCGCCGGCTGCGGCGGCAGCGGCGCCGGCAACGGCGGCAGCTCCGCAACGCAGCCTTCGCGGCAGTACGCCGGCGGCATGCCGTACAACGCCATCTGGGTCAGCCAGGGCGGAGGATCCAGCGGGGACTCCATGCCCAGTGCGGTCGCTAGAGACTTGGAGAGGACGCCAGGTCGAGCCCAGGCCGGGGCAACCGTTAAGGGTCCGTCTCGAAGGGCGGAGAGGAAGGTGGCGGCAATAGCGCTAATGTTGGCGCCGTTGGAGCCGTCAGCGGATGGTAAGGGAGCCTCCTCGCCGTCATTGGCCGGGGCTGCGGTGCTGAAGTACCTGGCGTTGGTGGCAAGCGCGGGGACGTGTACGGCACGGCAGATGGGAGCTAAGGTGGAGTGCCCTCTGGTGAAATGCTGAGCACGACACATTGCGGGCGCCCTTTCCGAGCTTTCTTTCCTTTGTAAAAGCATATTCACGCTCGCATGTCCACAACCTGTGCCGCTCCGAAGCCCAACGGTACCCTTGGGGCTAGTGTATAGTAACCCAACCGGCTGAGCTTTTGTCCGGCAGCCCCGCTCCCTGACATCCTCGTCACATGACACCCGCCTGCACCCGCCGCTTCCCACCTGCCCTCAGAAGGCCCCATACGCCTGGCGCGAAGCCGCCCGCCGGCTGCCTGCCGCGCCGCCCGCAGTGCCGCCGTGGCTGCGCGGCTCTCCGTGAAGGCCCGCCGATGAGTGTCTATCGCCGCCTGGTCGCGCGGGCGGGGGCAGGCGGCAATTTCATGACCGTAGGAGCCGCAGTTCCAGCACCTGCAGCAGCGGGGGCAGAGCAGCAAGCACGTGGCTCACCAGGGATACGGTTGCTGGGTGGGAGGAGGTTGCCATGCAAGCGCTACAATAGCAACAAAGCCCGCAACTACTCCTTTCACGTCGGCTCATCCAACCGTTTCACTGGCCCCATGTCCCTATCCTCTGAACTTGTAGCCAGTATGCGCCCGACCCACATCCGCGCATGGCTTCGCCGCCTCACCGGTTCAGCACAAATGAGAACTGCCCCAGTCCGCCCCCGCCCCCGCCTCCGCCTCCGCCGCCTGACCCCTCGGCTTCGGTGCGCCGGCGCTTCCGCGGGCGTTGGTTGGCGCCGTTGTCATCAGCTGCACCAGCCTTTGCCGCGGGACTCCCGATGAGCGCAGTCACAAGCGCTGAAGGCGCCTCTTGTGACCCATGGGTCGCAGCCCCAGACGCTGCTGGCGGTGGTGCCGTCATGGGCGTCACAGCGCTAGCTGCCAGCCCGACACCCAGCAGTAGCGGCGCTATACGTAGCCGGTCGTAGGCCGGGGTGTTGTTCTCCTGGTCAAAGGCGACGTTGAATGCGACTGCGGCGCTGGTCGCCTGCGGCTTGTGGAGGTGCCGCATGGTGACGGTGGCGGCGGCGGCGGCAGCGTTGATGTTGACCTGCGGGGCCGACTGCGGCGCAGACGCAGCAGTGGCGACGCAACTGCCGCTGCTGCTACCATTGGTTGACGCATGGTTATCGCCTGCAAGGGGCAAGGAAAATAAGCAAAAAGGCTGAAGGAGTATCGTGGAACGGCCGGGACCCAAGGAGGGCTCAACGCCCAGCAATAGCGAGATGGTCTAATATTTCTTAACATCCACCACGCATGGGACCCGGTCGTGACATCCCATGGCGCCTTCGCTGTACATGGTAGTAACCCTCCGCAAGCGTGTATCCCAGCCTCAAAAACCCATCCAGCAGCATGCCAAGCTGCTCAACTCTTCTGCCTGAAACCCTGCCGCTTCCGCACCTGCTTGCCCACCATCCGCCGCCGCTGACTTCGCCTCTCCGCCCAAGGCCATCCCAGTATCACCATTGCCGTGCTCTCGGCTCTTCCGCTGCAAGCCACAGCCGACCCGTGGTTCACTGTGCGGCCGCAAGCGGTCCTCCCAAACATACTCCAAATGTCCGCACGCCTCCGCACTACTCCGCCCTCGCCCCTGTTGGCTCTCTAGAGTGGCTGCTTGCGTCTGGCCCTGGACCTGTAGAGGCAGCGTGAGGGACAGCGCCCCCGACCAGTACCGCAGAGGAGCGCTGGGGGCTGCTGCGGGGCGGCTGCCGGCTGCTGTGTCCTCCCTCACGGGTGCCGCCGGGCCCCAGCGTGCCGCCCCTCGTGCGCGCCCTGCCTCCCTGCGCCCTTGGGACTCCTCCGGCTGGTCCGGGGGCTGCTGAGCCTGGGGCTGGGGCTCTCCTCGCTCATCTGGCTGGTGCTGGTGTTGCTGCTGGCTGTCGCCCGGGGCTGGCCGTACGTGCCGCTGGCACCACTCCAGCAGGAAGGCTTCAAGCTCCCGCTTGGCAACGCTAGAACGCAGGAAGGGAAAGAAGGACGTATGAGGGAGGGGGTGGATTAGATACAGTTGGCCTTCAGGGATTAGCGCGGCCGGACCGCTGGTGGCAGTAACCCAGGTGCGCGGGATAAGCACGACCCGAAATGTAAAAGGGCGTGGTTCTGTTCAACTTTTCGCGTAGGCGTCCCTCCTTACTCTGGTACGTTTGAGCAGGTGATGGCGAGGGTTGGCGCTAGGGACTGCCGAGGCACAGAGATGTCTTCGCCAATAGTGTGACCACGGTCTAGCACACCTTGCCCCTTGTCATGGGGCAGAACTGCCGGCGGACACTCCGTAACTAAGTGCAGGGAAGTCAGCGTGCTATCGTTGCTGTCCATATGTCTTCCGGCGGATGGTCCGCGTCACTCCACATCCGACGACAAACGCCGTGCTTCCAGCAGACTAAGCAATGGGTGTAAAAAGAGCAGTCGGATAACCGCTCTTGTAGCAATTCAATGCCCTTGTAGCATCTATGGAAGAGTGGAACCCTTACATCTAACCTCAACTTGAGCAACTCCAACACAGTATGTACTTGAGCCTAAGAAGATATTAAACTGGTCTGCAGATCCTGAACTACCCTGTGGCAGAGGATCGCGACAGTTGACGCACGTACCGTACACTGACGCGTACACTGGGCCGCTTCAACAGGATGGCCAGCATGCAGTCACGCATGACAGTTCATCTGAGAAGTCCTTCTTAAGCTTTTTATCCACTCCCCTTGTATCCGCGATGGGTGGATTTTGCACCAGGGCTCGTTGAAATGGTTCCACGCCTTATCCAGTGTCGGCCTTGCGCACCTCGTCCTTGGCCGTGACCAATTCAAGTTGCAACTGTGTGGCACATAGGCTAAACGCACAAGATTCCCGTCCCCTTTGGAGTAGCCCCGATGACTATGAATCCCCTCGGCACTAGCCTGAGAAAGCTTGGCATCACCAAAAAGCACAAGGTGGTAGCTACAGCAGCGGCCGTTGGCACAGGCTTGGCTGTGTGCGCTTGGAGAGCTGGTGAGCATGGCGAAACAAGCAGAACGAAGGACGGCATCCGACGCCCTGCGAAGCTTCCGGCACCCCTAATCGATGCATTAGCTGGTGCTCTCGGCGAGGTGTCCCAGATCCTCGTGTTATACCCTCTTGACACCGTCAAGGTGCGACAGAGTCAATCTCTTTCACACTGTATGGCCACAGTATGGCCACGGTACGTGTATTGAGGTTTGCATGCGCTGTCCCCTTCCACCCAGAATCCGCCTCTTATCACCCGTCACCAGCCTTCACTAGTCAGGGCATCTCGTTACACGCATATTTACCCGGACGCCATCTCTGGCACAGGTGCGATGCCAGGCCTCTGGCGAGACTGCTGCCGTGGTGGTTCAGCGCCTGCTGCGGCGAGGCGTCAACCTGAAGCTCCTCGCCAAGCTATACGCAGGAGCGCTGGGCGCAGCAGCGTGCGCGATCCTGGTAGGCGCGGTACACTTGGCAAGCTACGAGGGATCACGGAAGGTGCTGCTGAAGCTAACGGTTACACGTGGTTCGACCGGCGCAACTCCCACAGCGTCAGCAGCAGGAGCAGCAACGACAACAAACAGCAGCGAAGCGGCTTCTGTCGGCGAACCAAACTCCACCAGCGGTACGTCGCCACCACTTGCTTCCGTCTCTGCAGCTGCTCGTGGCTTCATAGCCGACGACGACGGCCAGCTTGGCCGCGCGGCGGTAACCTTTGCCGCCGCTGCCTTCGCTGCTGCTGCCACCGCCCTCGTGGAATCCCCCGTGGAGCTCTTCCGCCACAACGCCCAGGCGGGACTGGTGTCCCCAAATTTCTTGCGGGAGATGGCGGCCACCGTCCGCAAGGAGGGCGTTGGGGGCTTGTACTGGGGCTTCCTGCCGCATTGCTTTGAGGCCTGGCCGCACGACATCTCTGAACTCGCCACGTACGGGTTCATGCGGGAGTTCCGCGAGGCCGCGCTGCGCCCCGGCTCGCAGCACCACGCGTGGATGTCCAACCTGTCCAACCAGGTTTGGGACCTAGCCACCGGCGCCGCCTCGGGCGCTGCCGCAGTGGTGGTGTCCATGCCGTTCGACACCGTGAAGACCTACCTGCAAACGCATGGCACGGACTTATCCGGACGCGGCCTGCTAGGCAGTGCGCGGCTGTTTGTGCAGTCGGGTCAGCGCATCGTGTGCCGCAAGGGGCTGTCTGGACTGTATGTGGGCGTCACTCCGCGGCTGCTGCAGCAGGTGCCCTCAGCGATGGTGTGTTGGTGGTCAATTGCGGCCTTCAAGCGCTTCATGCAGCCTCACACCATGCCGGAGGAGTGGCCTGGAGGAGCAGCGCACGTCGTGGCTGGGGCTGGGCAGGGGAACGGGTAATTTTATGACGCGGTGTTGGCGCAGGGCTTCGCTTTGGGCGCTTGTAGAATGAGTGTGCAGCGGAGGGGAAGCAGAGAGTAGAAGGTGTGGGGTGTGCGGAGTGCATGCGCTTGACGAGTGTTTAGGAAGAGTGTATTATATTGTGTGAACGTAGTGTTTGTGGCATGTTCCATCGTGCGAGTGAGTGGTTTATTGCGTTAAGTAATCCGTTGTACGATATTGGGAGCTGTGCAATGCCTCCCCAACAGTTATGTTACGGGTGCGGTTTGCTCCGCAAGTCCCTAATGACAAGTGATACGCGAAGAGGACAAAGTAGCAGGAGAGCCAGGCTGCTAGGGAATGTAGCTGTGTTAGCTTACAGAGGAGTCCACATCGGAAAAAAAAAAGAGGAGGGTAGGGGCTTCTAGTGTGGAGGCGGAGTGCAGTTTAGTTTTCATGGTTTACCCATGCGGCTCCATGTGTCTTACTTCTTTGCTGCTGCCTAGAAGTTTTATGCAGCTGCCTAAATGACGCCGGAAACTGTGGTGCCTTGTTGTCTGCCTGTGATTTTAGCTCTTGTCGCGTCTGTTGCATTCTTAGTTGCTGTGGGCAATACAGCTACTGGAAGGTTGCGCACTGCGACAGCGGCCGAAACGCTAAGCTAGGCTCGAAGCGTTTTTTGCGTGGGTGCTGGAGCGGCTTTCATTTCCTTGGCTATGGGTCCTGCGTTTGTACGAGGAGTGTACGAAAATGTTATGCGTTTTCCCCGCCCCTACTGGCCATGCCTATGGGAGCGCTTGCTACGCTATTACCTCATGCCTTCACTCCGGATTACGCTGTCCTACGTAGCTTACCGAGTGCCTGTTTGCAAGATTGCTGACAGGCTTTTGGGATGGACTGCCTGCGTGCGTGGTATTAGCACGGTTGGGATTTTGAGATATGTGTGGCTGTGTTTGTCGCATGCGGTTGTAAGATGAGTATCTTCAGGGGTGGCATTGTATGTGCCGCATGGCCTATCGTGGCATCTGGGCCGGCTTCTGCCCTGGAAACGGTGGTCGGCAACAGTTCGGGCAGGTTGGCTTTTTGTAGCGTGGGGGTGCCAGGTGCAAGCGCACCTGTATGTATCGGTCAGGACCGCGTGCCTTTGCACTGCAAGACCCATGGCGTAATTCTAAGGCTTCATGCCATGATGGGAGCTTGGTCCTACTATCAGTATAACAATTAAGAGTTGAGGCAGTTCTCTATCCAGCTCCGGCTTTACCATTAGCCCGAAATTGTCAATAGCAAAAGCCAACGAATGCTCAAACTGGGGCGCAGGAAACAACCCAATTCATAGCTGTTATGCCATCAAAATCAGATGGATGCAATATGTTTACCTTGCATGACGCGTTCCTCGATGGAAGCCCTGCTGGCAACGTTAGTTCTTGACGACGGTTGACCGTCGCGATCCTCCTCTCCGGCCTTTTTCGACCCGGAAAACTCTCCATGGATAAACTGAAGGTGTTTCGTGAAGCAAGCTGTGGGGGATCAGGCCTTCAGCTAGGCCACCAATTCCATTTCCTACCTCCCGGACGTCAGCCAGTCGGTTAGGGATGTCTTCCTGCTGTTTTCCATTACCAAGCCTGAGAAGTAAACCTTTGTGCTAATGACTATATTCTGATATAATTATTAAAGGCAGATCTTTAAGCTTGGAAAAACCAACATATAAGAGGCGTCGGTACCGACCCATACTGATCGGCTTGCACCAGAAAGAAATACGCAGTATATACAAAGGGAACAATAGGCCAACTTTACCTCTCTGCAAGTAACTGTTGGATAGGCGGAAATGCTATAATCTCAGCAAGCAAAGAGGAGACTGCGCATCTTAATGTGTTTGTGACCAGGCATCATTATAGCTGTCCATAACTAAAATGGAAGCCGCTGCGGAAGATGCATCCAAGGCCCGACAAGGCAACCCCAAGGGACCCTACGGCACGTTCAGGCCTGCGACGGCTCCACCCGCTCGTGGAAAGGTATGCAGAATGTATGAGAACTCGCTGTAAATTGATGTCATGATCAACGTCAGGCGGTATGACGTCGTTCGCATCCCGCAACTTTGTTCAGCCTGAAGCACCTATTGACGATCCGCGACATGCCGAGGACTCCCCCATGCCATGGCTTCGGTACTTCTTTCCAAAGGTGCGCCTGCAAGGTTGCTTCGACCAGTTGCGCCTAAGGTGTTGTCGCTAAGGACCTACATGCTGCTCTGCGCAGGATTTTAATCTGCGAGAAGGTCAACCAGTGGAACCGTACTACCAATTCTTTGACGTAGTTGTCCAGCCGCTGCAGGTGGGTTGGATGGGAGCAGCACCAGTTGGGGGTGGGTGGGTGCTGGATGGCAACTACCACCCCGCCCCCACATGAGTGGCCTTGCTGAGAGGCCATGGACCTCGCTTCGGCCCATAGCGCTCCCTTCACAGCACGAGACAGCATTCTGGAAACTCTCCTGACAGCCATCTTCATCGGGGTGTCGACACACCTCGATGATCACAGTCTCATGCGGGCCACCACACCGTTGTTCCAGTACTTTTGCCTTGCTTATACTGGAATTCGGGTTGTTGCCTACCCCGACCCAAAAGGACGTAGTGAAGGGAGGCAAATGATACAGAGCGCATATGTACTGGCGGATCCTGTGGCATACCCTGGGTCCTGTACGGCTCCAATCCATGGTTCCTAGTTGCGTATGCGTGCGTGCATCTATCTCGGCCCTCCAACCTCGCTCTCGTGCACAGGGACTGCATTGCACAGTGCTGCTTCATTGTGAGAGTTGGTGCGTATTACTCCGTCCGAATTACAGGCCATGGTACCCAATAGGGCTCCTGCTGGCTGCGGCGGTCACATTTACCTGCACCCAATTCATCTGCCGCTGTTCCCTGTTCGCTCGCTGTCCTGTTGGGGCTGCAGGAGGATACTGCCATTCCGCCCCCGGAATGGGCCCCCAATGCCTACTTCCAGCTCAGCTTCACTCAGATGCACATGCCGCCTGACATGGTGCTCGCAACCCGCATCCCCAAGCCCTCACCACCTCCTGGGGGAGCCATTGACCTCACCAAGGACAACGCCCTGCTGCTGAAGCCAGGCAACGAGCGCATCATGGCGGAGATTCTGGTAGGTTGCTCGACCCAGATGAGAGACATGCGCTGCGTTCTAACCAATGCATATCCAATGCTGGGTAACCAATGGTACTCGACAAGGCAGCACGAGGCGCACGGTTTATACCATAGAACAATGGGTCACACAGCAGTTGAAGTAAATCGTCTTAGGGGGTTTGGCCTTGGCCAACGAGCCGTTCGGCTTTGCACTGGCTTCTCTCTCGCAAATTTTGGCTTCCGGCTTGTATTGTATAATTGCTTGTGCAGGACTTCTGCCGCAGCATTGCCACGTTCCGTGCGCGCACCTGGAAGGATGCCATGCCGCTGGTGGACCTGCTGCGCGGAGTCCTCATGCACTTGCTCAACCACTACACCTTCGGCGCGGCACTGCTGAAAGAGCAGGCCAAGAAGGACGTAAGTCGCAATAGGAGCATTGAGACCTTCATTAGTACCCTGACGAGTGCTCGCCTTGGCTATTCGCACATCGTACGTTGCCCATGCTTTCTATGCCGTCTGCTGTCTGGCGGCTGGTTTGATCTTGGCTTGGGCCCATTGCAGGCGGAGGCCGCCCTAGCGGCTGAGAAACTAGCCCTGAAGGACTGGTACGCGCAGCAAATTGAGGAGAACATGGTCAAGGCGCGGGCTGAGTACGACCAGAAGCTTGAGGCGCTGAAAGAGGAGATGCGCATGACGCTGGTGAGTGCGTGCGTGTTGGTGGCTGTGGTGGAGGGGCGTGGACGATTCCACATGCGGATTGTGGTCAGCATGGGATGCTTTCCTCGCCTGCAAAAAGGACATGGAGCCGTCAGGTCGGAGCATTCCGCCTTGTAACGGGGTCTGGGTTAGACTGTGTTGTGGGGTGTTGTTGTAGCGGGACCTCAACCGTTATCGCAACGTTGAATGCCTCGCAGGCTGAGGATCTGACGCTGCAACTACGATCGGAACGTGAAGAGAAAAACCAGCTACGGCTACAGGTGAGCGTCACAGTGTACCGCCCTCAGATGGTCCTCCAGTCGCTTCTGTTTTCGCCCATTACCGGTAAAAAACCTAGGATTAGCATGCCGTTCATCAATCCAGTCTGTGCCTTTGTACCATTAACGCCATGTAAAGGGAACAGTAAACAACTTCAACTCCGCATTGCATGTAATCCATGCACTTCGGCACAACTTGAACAGGCACAACAGCTGGAGGTACAGCTACGCAAGGCCCAGGAGGCGTCCGCTACACTACAACGGCAGATAGAGCACGGACACCAGCAGCTCGAGTTGGAAGCGCGGCGACGCCAGGAGGTCCTGGCCGCCCGCGACGCCCAAATCTCAGCGCTGCACGAGCAGCAAGAAGGGCTGCGGCGACGGTTGGTGGCCGCGCAAAACGCTGTGATTGATGCGCTAAACGCGAAAACCAAGGAGGACGCGATGAACGTTGCCTTAACGGCGTTGGCAGGCGCGCTGCCAGTAGGCACTGCCGCGTACGTGGCAGAGTTGCGGACCGCAGCAGATGTGGATAACGACGACCCAGCTGCTGCGCTCGTGGCGGAGGCCGAAGCCGCTGCGGCGGCTGCGGCAGCAGCGGCAGCTGCTGCCGACGCCGATGGGGAAGGAGGCGCTGTCACCCTGCCGCCGGCGCTAGCTGCGATGCGTGGCGTGACGCCAGGGTTCATGAGCAGTCCGCTAGCGGCGGTGGTAGGCGGTGCAGTCCAGGCCGCCGGTGTCAGCGCCGGCGGCGATGCACGCCCACCCTCGGCAATCTTGACGTCGGCGCTATCGGAGATCAAGGAGACGCTCGTCTTTAAGTACATTAAAGCTTCGGCTGGGCAGGAGTTCATGCTGGGGCAAAAGTTGGCATACGGGACCGGCGTATCCTGGCGACTGGTGGAACGCGGTATGGAGATGCACGTCCCGGACGTGTCAGGGCAGGTAAGCGTTCTACTTGCGGGCAATACATGTAATGGAGCGGGCGCTTGTCTGCAACCAAATGGCTGGACGTATGCACGCAATTCCTTTAGACGGTGGCGTCTTATAGTCAATGAGGGCCCGGGACAATTTTCACGTGGCCTGTCTGCTTTACCTCTACCCTTTGCAGCCGGGCATGTGGTTCTTCCGTACAACGGAGAAGCCACGAGCGGGCGCATACTTTGCGGCGCCCATCCTGGGCAGCAGTGGTGAGGTGGTCGGCATGCTCTGCGCTGACACCATTGCAGCAGTGGCCGCGGAGGCGGCGGCTGCCGCCGGAGCTGCCGGTGCCCCCATCGGCACTCTGGCAGGCGACGCCGCCGTGGCTGCGGCGGCGTCCGCCTCCGCAGCTACAGACATGGCCTTCGTGCGGGGCCTAGCAAACGCCATCGGAGTACGTGCTCGGGCGGATGCAGACGCTTTCGCTGAGGCCATGCTTGCGAAGGCGTTGGAAGAGCCGGAGGAGCCCCCTGAGTCGCCGGCCGCGCCATTGGACCCTGAGCAGTTCGTACCAGGCGGTGAGGGCGTCACTGGCGGCCTTAAGCTGTTCTCCGAGGCGCTCAGCATGCTGCGTGGGCTTACCAACGAGGAGCTCGAGGCGTTGTGCAATCTGGATTCGCCCGACGATGTGGGTCGGGCTGTGAGCGTGCCCGTGTGCCTTTGCTGCGACTGGGATTCTTAGGAATTTCTTTGACTCAACTCAGCAAGAGATCATAGGAGGGTCACATATGTTAAGCCCATGGTCAGGCAAGCCATAGGGATTCTAGTCCTGCATCCTAGCAAGCCTACAATCTGTTGTCATCCAGACTGCCAACTACTTGCCCCGTTGCCGTACCTTACCTTTCTCTTCTAGGTCACCCTGGCCGTCATCAAGTCCATTCTGGCGGCGGTGGGCGAGGTGGGCGCCGACGACTGGACGCACGCCCGGCAGCACATTAACCGCGAGCTGCTGGAGCGGCTGGTGTCCCTGGACCCGCACCAGGCGTGGGCGGAGTGGCAGGCGCTTTGCAAGTAAGAGGTCGTTTGGGTAGAATGACGGGTGGTACTCGGGAAGGGGTAAGGTGCACCTCCACGGAACGTACAACAACTTGTATTGTAGCGACTGGAAACAACACTCATAGCATGGACCACCAACACTATTCCTTGCCTCAGGGTGTTCCGACCGCTCAACGAGTTATCGGCGTCTTCACTAGACGCCGTATCGACAGCCGGGGAGGAGCCGCCTGCCCAGCCCTTCGCGCGTGCAAGCCTGGCTCTGGCGCGCTGGGCAGCTAGTGTCCGTATCATCTCTGCGGCGCGCGCAATGCAGGTAAGTGTAGCCGTTGGACGCGCTGACTATCGTTGCAATTTGGATGACAAGCAGTTCCTTGGGATGATTGCATTGGCCAGGTAATGCATGTCTGGCCATCTATACCAGACGCATTGTACCCGGGCTGTCCTCTGCGTCCTGCCTTGCGCTTGCTGCACCACTCCTTCATGCGATGCTTTTGCTGGGGCAGTAGGACATCTTACAATGTTTTATGCGATGCTTTTGCTGGGGCAGTAGGACATCTTACAATGTTTTATCCAACGCATCCTACCGCCTTCCGCAGGCGTTGCTCGAGGCCAAGCTCAAGCAGGCAAATGCGGCGCTCATGAAGACGTTCAGCGGCGACAGCTGCAATGCTCTCACGGAGCTGCGGTCGTACCGTGTGCCGCCGCCCTTGACGTTCGGCGTGCTGCAGTGCGTGCTAATGTTGTCCGGGAACGACGAGGAGGACTGCCGTAACTGGGCGCGCATGCGCACGCTCTGCAACCACCGGCTAATCAAGCGGCTGGTGACCCTGCGGCCAGCGCAGGTGCGACTGACCGCATGTTAGCCATGCTCAGTTGGGATATCGGTTTGGGGTGCTGAGGGGCTGCTAGTTTGCAGGGACAAGCGCATTGCTTTCGGCATGCCGTGAATGGTTCCCTTCAACCATACGCCCCGCAGGTGCCACGCCGGGTATTCAAGGCGGTTAAGCGGCTTGTGGGCGACCTCGTGGAGGGGGACGTGAAGCAGGAGAGCGTCGCTACGCTCAGCCTGTACCGCTGGCTGTCAGAGTTCACCCGGCTGGCATCGGTTGCCTGATCCTTTGGCGTGCGGCCGCACTGTGGTGTCGCATTCTTGCATGTCGGAGTACCTGCATCGTCGCTGAAAAGGCAGGGGGTTGTGCTTGCGTGAACGGTTGTTGCGCTGCGCAGTCGTGGCGACTGACGAGGCAATGTTTACCTAATCGATATTTAGGAAGAGCTCCGCCTCACTAGCGGAAGCCAGTTTTGCTTACAGTACCTAGTGGAATATGGGTTGCAGCATAGGTTAAGCGGAATTCGCATGCTTGCGCTAACGTCGTACTGTCACCTGCAAGCAAGGTTGGGGCCACTTGGCCAGTTCGTCATACATAGCAACATAGGGCTTGTGGGTCAGAAGACTGGGCTCAAATGGGGCATGAATGCCGTTGTGGTAATGCCATGGTAGGTTGCTGCGCTGCTAGTGTACCGGTACTTGGGTGTTAGGATACTGACGACGCTTGCTAGAAGGATAGGGAGTGGTGTACTAGAAGGCAAATGCGGACCACGTCCCAAGCAGTTCCGTGCGTGCAGGTCTTGGTGCAGAAGTGCATTTGAACACAACAGTGCATGGTGCCCTGGTACAGCTGACTGTTGTGGAAGACCTTAGTATATATCGGCCTACAATTGCGATCGAGTACTGTGCCAGGGTGAAGGGTGGTAATGTAGGCAAGCAAGCTCCAGTTGAGGGACAGTTTAACGTGACGAAGGCAGATTGGAGCTGGAGCCAATGGAAGGTTTGCCATGGAGGTTGCCCTGAAGGAGTTTTGCTTCCATAGCTACCGTAGCTACTATGGCACGGAGCTACCTACCCCCGACCTCCTGCGCTCTCTCTGGCCATGGAATCCCCAGTCCCTCACATCCGTACGGCTTCCGCGCAATGTTTTGTCCCTCGCAACCCATCTGGCTTTCACTCACCCATTCTCCCTCGGCTCACTCCTTCACTTATATGTTCTTTGCCCCTCCCCTTAAGCCTCCACACGGGCATGCTGGTAAGCACAAGAAGACGCAGTAGATGACGGAAGAGCTTTTCTCAAGTTACACATAGGAAGCGTTTCATGACCGTTAGTGCGGTTTTGGGGAAAGAAAGAGCCCCCCTACCTACTGCAACTCTATCTGTTAAAGCCGACACCATCCGTGGCCTTTCACGGTTACGGTTGCATGCAGACTAGGCTGTCTCCGCACGGGAGGGAAGCGACAACCGCGCAACCGTCATTCCCGTTTAAAGTAAAGGGTAAATAGCGCTATCGGATTTGCCAAAAAACAGCAATGTCTATGAACAACTCTAAAATATGGTAAGGACGCGGCACCAGCATCCATGGCCTATGGGATTGGTAAATACAAAGAGTACCGGTAAGGTACGGACCCGAGCTGCGGCTGCGCAAAGAATACCTGTAAATACGATGCAACCTTTTACATAAGTTACGCAACACTTATGAAGCTCCGATGACAAATGGAAGGTCCGATGAACCTAACCTCAAGTCAGGTTGTACCGTACAAGTAACCGAGCGTGTAGGTGATTGCGGTGTTGCATAGATCACACCATAATTTACAAAACGCTGTTCATCATAGTTCGATTTATTTCCCGGCAATCATAATTACTTTGCCTCTTCTCACAATGCGCGCTCACTGTTGAAGCCATGCCGGCATTATTTGTGTTTGTGCTCGCCTGCATCCTGGGCGTCCTAAAAGGAGCCCAAGGAGATGTATCTATCACAAGTATCAGCCCGACTTCGGGAACCTTGGCTGGCGGGACGAGGTAAGAGCAGGCTTCCAGTCGCCTACCCCAGCTTGCGCCTTCAGTGTCTGCAACATGGCTTAGTTACATACGTCTGACGCCGGGCTATTCTTCCCTCCTCAGACTTGTCATCTATGGCAGTGGCTTTGGTGACATGTATACGTCCACTGCCGTTGTGTTTGTCGGGTCCTACCACTGCGACGTTATCATGCATCTCAGCACCAGCGAATTGGTAAGTTGCACGCTTGCGTTGCATAGTACGGTTACTGAAACGACAGTTGCTCTGGTACCATCTGCGGCGATTCGTGTGCTGTGGCTTTCGCAGATAACATGCGAAACTGCTCCTGGTGTGGCCGGCTCCTACTACGTCACAGTGTCTGTGGCAGAAGATGACTATGCATCTTTCTGGGGCTATACTTATAACAGCGATGTCACACCTAGTGAGTACCGTACTCTTGGCTTCGCCTTGCGTTAAGGGATTCTCTATCTTGCTTCTGCTCGTAACTTGGCCTACACGTCTGCCTGCTTGCCAATAGTCAATTGCTTCGTCGTGTCAAGCCTTCACACTTGTTGGCGGTAAGCAAAGCAGCCTGTTCCATCCCTGCATGCAAACACGCAATGCCACCTTGCTGCTATAATGCAACGTAACCACTTCTTCCTCCTTCCCATTCTTTCGCAACGCAGCCTTCAAGGCCATTACCCCGCGTGCGGGACCGCCCGGGACCCTGGTGTACCTGTACGGCGACTACACATGGTACTTGCAGTACAGCGATTGCGCGGAGTCTTCGTGGGGAGAGATAAGCTGCATCGGCAGTATCCTGTTTGGTGACTACCTTTGCAGCCAGGACCCTACCAACACAAACACGGGAATCACATTTAATGCAGCGGACTACTATGGCCGGTACGGGTCAGCCGTCTACCGTGTGGGGTGCTCGTTGCCAACACCAGACGTCGGCCATTCGCAGGTGAGATCCTAGCATGGGGGCATTCTGCCGGGGTCCTGTAACATGGTGGTGACGTGATGCGGTGTCAGCGGTACTGCTTTCAGTGGACCATATCGTGATAGCTTGCCATGACTTCGGTCCACCTTCCGTGTGCTGCTGTGTCTGCAGCCGGCCCTTGGCACTGCGGGAAACGTCAACGCCTCAATTCACTTCGAAGCGTCCCTACGTGGCGGCTCGCCTCTTACTCTTCGCTCATCATACCAGTACGACGTTAACGGCCAGCCGTACCACTTCCAGCTGTATCCGGAGGTGACCGACATCTCCCCCGCTGTCGGCTCCAACGCTGGTGGCACTCTGATTGCAATTACGGGTCGCGGCTTCCCCACTTTGGATCTTGGTCTTGGCGACACGGTCAATATCGCCATTGCGGGCGTGCCCTGTGCGGTTGTCAACAGCACGTATAGTACGATCTATTGTGTTACGGGACCCAAACCCTCCACGCCGCCATCCTCCGCAACACCCATTGGCGGCCTGTACCCAGCCATGCGTGGAGTGGAGTACGAGTTATACAATGTCACCAGCAACTCTTCTATCTACTTCAGCACCTTGAAGTTCCTGAACAAGACCATCTTCATTAACAACACGGCTGGGACGGGCTCCTACAAGACGGTGCTGACGGGCGCCATGGAGGGCCCTGACTACATCAAGTCGTACTACTGCAGCCGCATGAAGGCCTTCTTCACGGCGCCGCGTAACGGGAGCTACAGGTGGGCTCCGGGATGTGCATTGCGGTTGCTGAGCTTGGAATGGGAGCATACAGTGTGCCTATGCTGCAAGCTAGTTGCGGCTTTAGAGTGTTGAGTGAAAACTGTGATGGCCCTCAGACACCGATCCCGCATTCGCGCAGGTTCTATCTCCAGGCGGATGATTATGCCCAGTTGAACGGCACCTGGCGCCAGGTGGGTAGAGGGTTTGGTTTTGCCGGGCCCCGGATGGATGATCTTGGCTCATGGCAGCAGACACGAGATGCGTCCCTTTTGGTTTGGAGACGTGGGTTATTGGTCTGTATTGCCCTAGGCTGTGCTAACTTCCTTCTCCCTCCTGTCATGTGGCCCATCCTTAAATGCAGAGCAATGGCATTGAGGTCACTAGGATGCTAATTAACCTTACGACCTGGACCTACGCGGATTCATGGTTCGGCTACGGGATTCAGGCCTCTGCGCCAGTTGATTTAAGCGCCAACCAGAGCATCCTGTTGGAGTCAAACCACTGCAACGGTGGTGGTATAGGCCACCAGCAGGTTGCCGTGCGGATGCCGGTCGAGCAGCCTCAGCCCAACTCCATTCCTGAGGTCCAGAGCGTGTCTGTTACGGCTAGCTTTGCACCTCACCAGGTGCTCGTTAAGTTCATGTACGGCGCCGGTGCCAACACCACCGCCTACACGGTCACCGCGACTGCTGATGACGACTCAAAGCTAGACAACTCTGCTGTGGGGCTGCAGCTTACGTTCAACGGCGGCTCGCCAACCGTCGTGTTGCCGGTCACCGTGACGGGTGCAGCAATGACCAGCCTTATCGAGGTTGGGTTCGGCGGCAAGGGCTCTCTGGGCAGCAGCACTGGCCTCTTTGGTGTACGGAAGGTCCGCTTGCAGGGCAGCGTGATGCTGGAGATCGGCATGAGCTCAAGCCTGGCCGACTCGATGGGCTTTGAAGTAACGGCAGCACGTGTTGTCACCATCTACACTACCAGCGCCTTCACCCCTTCCGCGTGCAACGACAACACGTCGCTGGTATATGCCCCTCCTCCACCACCTCCAGCTTCTGTAGATGTCACCGCCGGCGTCTCTGTTGTTGTCGCCTCCGCTCGGCCTGTCCCAGCCGTCATCCCGGGTGGTTCCTTCACTCTGAGCCTGCCAGCAAGTTCGACCCCCGTTACCCTGCCGTACGACGCCAACACGACCCAGGTGTATCAGGCCGTGAAAAACCTGACTGGTCTAGAAACGACGGTTACGTACAACAGCGCCACCCGTGAGGGTGCCTACTTTGCCCGCGTCTGGACGGTCTCATTTGCTATTTCGGCTCTGGACAACGTCCCAACCCTGGTTGCCGTCCCCGGTGATGACGCTCCCTCGGGTGTTGCACTCGCCACTGAGGAGCGCCTCGCCAATCCTGCGCTCTCCGGCTACTTCTCCCTATCGTACGGCAGTGAATGCAAGTCTGTCAAGATCTACTTGTCGGACTCTTCAGCGAAGGTCATCACCAAGCTGGGCAGCCTGCCGGGCATGAGCGCCCCCCGCAGTGTAGACATATCCGGTAGCTCGACATCTGGGTACACTTACAAGATCACATATGATCCTGTGGGTAATCCTGGGGATCAGCCACCGCTGCGGGTAGCGGACATCAGTGGGCTGGGCGGCATTCTGCCAGCCGTCACTGTTAGCACCGTCACCACCGGCTCTACCGACGCCTTCTACGGCCCCATACCAACCGAGTTCCTTAAGCTCGCGGTGGCTACCCCCGGCACGATCGACTTGTCAGTCAATGGCGTCCCGGCAGCGTGTTCGCATCCCTCTGGCGCGTGCAAGTTTGACTACTCTTCTGCCGCCACGCCATTGATGACATCTGTGGCACCCACAAACCTTTCCTTCGTCTCTGAGTCGAGCCTTCCGCTGACAATTACGGGGAGCGGCTTCGACGGTGGTTCCAGCGTTGAGGTTTTGGTTGGTAATACTACATGCAACGTCACCTCGGCCTCTGCGACCCAAATCGTCTGCACCGTTCCCGACACAGCCCCTGCTGGAATCCGTCTGGTCACTGTTAATGTTGGAGGCCTTGGCTTTGCTCAGGGCGCCACCAACGTTACTCTGGAGACGTTGTTTGTGACGGGATCTGCGCCTGCAGTACTGTCAGTCTCCGGTGCTGGTTCATCTGTCTTCAAGCTGACGGGCAAGGGCTTTGACCATGTCAACTGCGCCAACAACAAGGTGCTGGTTGACGACGTGCAGTGCGGTGTCGTGGCCTGCGGCGCTAACTATGTAA